CTTTGCTGGACGAACTTCCGTCATGGCAGCATCTCAAGCTCGATGGGATCCAACTCCGCTAACGTGGAAGAGGCCGTGGCCGAAGACGGTGAAAGCGGGCCCTCGGGCGCCAGCTCACCCTTCGCCCGCCGCGTCTCCTTTGGTGCACAGGCTCTGCGCGACGCCCGTGCAGGCAGTTTGAGCAATGGTAGATACCCCTCTCCTGGGTCTCCTGTCTCCAGCGCACGTCGGAATGCTTCCTCCATCAGCAGCTCTTCCTCCCCCTACACCCCCACTGCTCCGCTTGCTGCAAGTACCAAAGCTGTCTCCCAGAACGATAGATCTAACCCGTCTTGGCGACCACTAGGCGAAGGCTTCAACTGGACCGAAGCGCTCCGGTCCCGGGCTGAGCGAGCCCCCTCCTTGGGTAACATCTCCCCCAATGCGCCGCCCGGCCATCACGCGGCCGCAATGAGCCCGTCGGGCCACCATCAACGGGCCGCATCGATTGCGACCATGGAACAGCCTTCCCGCGAGATGCCGAAGCAGCCCAAGCAGAATAAGCCGGACTTTTTCCAGGAGAAGATTCTCCGCGGGGATTTCATGGATTAGTCTTCGACAAGTTCATTGAGAGTTTACGAACGATCGGAGGGATTGCCTTTCTTATGAGTTTCCTTTCCTATGCCTTCTTTGGCGAGCGCTGCATGTTATGCAGGAGCCTGAGCGCCTGCAAAGCTTCCGAGCTCGATGTGCAGCAACGTTACGAGTCGAGTTGACCAAGTTCCCTCGCGAATGTCTTATCATTGATGTTTACCAAATTGGTTTGAGCACATACTGCACTTTATTCATGGGGGTTATATGTTTCAATCCGGAGCTGCTGGTCAGTCATATTGAAGGATTACGATTGAAAATGATGCATTTATTTATGAGCTGGAGGGATTATCTGGAAATATCTGTTGTATTTGATTCAGTTGATTATTCGCATATGATAGTGAGCCGAATGTACCTGTTAGCGATGACTTACTTCCTGGCAGTTGCCTAGGTAGTTAGACACTTGGAAATAGTCCCGCAGACAACAGTTAAATCTCTAGTATAGTCAAATAGAACGTAGATGAAACCAATACCAACAAAAACATTGGAACTATATACAATACAAACACTAGTACGGAATTCCGTTAGTCAACAACTGGAACTGATCGTATCCCTTGGTCGACACGCTCATGTACGACTTCCGCACCAGCTCGCGCATATACTCGGCCGCCTCGCGCTCACTCTTGTCGAGCACAAAGCGATCGCGGAAATTCTTCAGCGTATCGGGCTTGAAACATGGCAGCCCGCTATCCAGCATCAGCGACACAATATGCGCCAGCTTGCTGCTGTACGGCCGCGACGCCAGGAACGCCTTGACGACCAGCGCCTCAAACCACCGGTACGGCTGCGTGCTAGTGGGGTGGTGCGACCCGCCGCCGCCGGTGCCGGTGCCGGGGATGCCGCTGCCGCCGCCCTGGGCGGCCTGGGCGCCGCTCATGACAGCGACCATCTCGGAGGTCAGCTTGAAGGGGGCGCGCTCGAAGCGCACGCCACCAGGGGCGATGTCAAAGCAGAAGCCGAAGTCGATGTGGATGATGTGGCCGGCGTCGTCGACCATGATGTTGCCGTTGTGGCGGTCCTTGAACTGCAGCAGATACGAGATGACCGAGTAGGCGGCCATGCTCTTGACGAAGTTGGTGCGCGCCTCCTGGAAGCGGATCGAGTCTTCGCCGCCGTATTTCGACACGAAGTAGTCGTAGAGGCCGTTGACGGCCTCGCGGCCTAGCATGTCGCGCGAGATCGAGTTGGGGAGCACGTCGATCACGCCGCATCCCGGTGCGGTCGACGTGACCCGGTACGGGAACACCCAGACGTCGAGCCCGATGCTGGAGAAGATGCTGCGGAAGGCGGCGATCATCTGCAGCGCGAGCATGTCCTGCCGGCAGTCGTCGCCAACTTTGAAGATGGCGGACTGCCAGACCTCGTAGGTCTCGGTGTTGTCGTCTTGGGTGGTGGGGGCCATTACTTCGTTTCCGGTGGTTGATTGCGGTGCTGTGATTGAGTCCGGGCGCGCCCGTGTCTTTTGGATCCGGAATGTCGCCATGTACGGCGCTTTGGCGTGGCTTTGCAGCGGCTTGCCGGACTTGCGGTCGATGCCGACGACGACTCCGTCGGGATTGCTGGGGAGGTAGACGCCGACTTCGACCTTGATCTTGCGGAGCTCTTCTTCGATCTTCTCCTTCTTCTCGGGTTTGCTCTTCTTGATGTACGGCCGCAGCTTTCCGGAGATCCCGGTGATGTCGTTGAAGAAGGAGAATTCTCTCTCGTAGAACTCGCGCTCTTCGTCGCTGAAGCTTGTTACCAGGGTGTCCATGAATCTGTCTAATGTCGGCTTGAGGGGATCAGGCTGTTCGCACGTTAGTATGCTGTCTTGGGGGTCCTAGTGTCATCACTCACAATTTGAGAGTCCTCATCCTTGTACGAATTGGCCTTCATGTTCCAGATCACTTGGTGCGCGAACAGCTGGGATTGCTTGGCCGTCTCCATGATGTACCGCTCCACGTAACCTAGCGTATCGTATCTCAAGGCTTGAACCAGCTGAGGGACAAAGTAGAAGCGGACGTCGATGGAATGGCTCTCCATAGCCTTCATGGCGTATTGCAATATGTACGGATGGTTTCCGTATGCCGGCAGGAAGTATGTCAAGGCTTCGGTAGGGTTTACGGGCGCCCAGTACAATAGGTACTAAATAATCAGCCCTGGCCACCGACGCAAACGGGCGAAACGTACCTTCAATTGGAAAGACACATCCGAAGGGAGAGAGGTGCCGAACATGATCTCAAGGCTGCTGGCTTCTTCGATGACCTTCTCTGGGAAGTTGAGCAACAACCACCGAACATCATTCTTCAGCTTTGGAGACGGGAATCGGGCGGCAAGCTGGATAGCCAAGCCCGGGCTCTCGGCCCAAGCAAGCCACAGGAGAGACGTCACCTCCTAGAGTACCGTTAGCATTCGTTGCCAATTGATAAGTTCAGATACACCCTCGCATTCAGACGCACCTCCATGAGATTCCTGTTCCCAGATGGATGAGACATGTAATGCTTGCGCTCCGGGTCCAGCGGATACAGCCAAACCCTCAGACGGGACCTCTCATTCTCGATAAGGGCATGAAGGAGGTCCTGCTTCCCTTGCAGCGACTTATAGGCGCCACGGTTTTGCGAAGCAATTCCGGAAACGCTACCCAAAGCCGATACAACATCACTCAGGATCTTATCTTCCGCTTTGATCTGCAGTCGATTGCCTCCAAAAGACCATCTCGGCGGATGTTTGAACCAATGCAGCGCCGCGGACAGGATCTGATCTTTCAGCTTCCACGACGCGGCCGGGTCGGTCGAGCTGAAGTGCCCGAGTACCTTCAGACTGAAAAGAATGATGCGGAAGTGCAGTTCCCTAGATAAGGGATGGCCGGCCGTGTGCAAGAGGCCTACGGTTGTCCGGTCGATGAGTCGACCGAACAGGCGCTGATCTTGCACGTTACCCAGACGTATCGCGCTGTAGTGGCTCTCGAAGAATTGAAGCACGAGAAGGTGTGGCGTAAGGATATTTTGCGCCTTCTGTTGCTTGCTGAGCATCAGTGCCTTGTCTGTTGGCAAAAGCTCGATCTTGGCGTAGAGCGGATCGATGTAATCGAATGACGGGTCGAACAGTCCTTTGCGCCGCTCAATGGTCCTCTCCCAAGCTGTCATTACCTCCACCAAGATCTTCGGCTCGACTCTTGGGTTTTCGTTAATGACTCCCAACCAAAGGGACAGTCCGAGACTGATGGATTCTTTCGTAAATATCTCGAACGGCAATGCAACCAGGTAATGAGAGAGAGCAGGGTGGGTGTCCTCTTTATTGCACAGGAGTGCAGCAGCCTGTCGGAGAGTATCGCGAACTTCAGTGTGTGAAATCTCATGCCCTGATTTGGCATGTTCACATAGTTGGGACAGGGTTCTTTCCACGGTCTTTGTCGAACCCAACAGGGCCATGGAACTTGGAGCATGATGGAACCCTAAACAGCTCTGGATTAGCTTCCAGTACGTACGAGTATGGTCAGTATACATACCGTTGACCTTCGCCTGACCGTGCCCCGAAATGTTGGTCGAAAGAGCATCGGGATATCTGTACTTCTGACGCGTTGTATATTGAGCGATAAAGTCAGACGCAACATCAACTTTGTTATCTCCGTAGCTACCGATGGAACCTAATTGGGACTGTGTTAGCCCGGGCCATTGCATTCTCAGTACCAAGTGCACTTACCGAGTCGTTGGTCACTGTTAGGGACAAGGGCTCCCATATCTAGCGCAAAGGAGCGTCCCATTGAAACGTGGCCAAACTCAGTATTGACCTCGGAGACAGATAAATATGTCTGATTGACAATTAGCATCAATCCTTCATACTGTGTTTATGCCATACCTGAAGGAGCCCTTTAATATCTAGAGGAGCGATGTCCATCACTGCTGTCACCCACGCCCAGGCACGCTCAACAAGCATATCCAAGGTCTTCTTTCTGAAGTTGTAGTTATCAGGGAGGTCAACCTTGACGAGCCCTGTGGGGGAGGTGAAAGAAGATCGCCATTCAAACTCATCGAGTTCCTCTTCAAGGCACGAAGACCACATCACTGTCAGAAGTTCAAGCAGAGCAAACAGCGAGTGCTTCTCACAGAGAGCTGACGGGCACTCTTTTATGATCTTGTTCGCACAGAATACCGCAACATTCTGTACTCTTTCGATGCGATGGCAGCAAGCCACAAAGAGATTAGCCAGCTCCTTTGACAGGAACGGAATTGAGAAGTCTTCGTGTTTTTCAGACAGGGTCAAAGACAGATAGCATGCTACAATCTTTTCCGCAATTGCACTCATGCAGGAGGCCATCTCGACTGTGGTGAGAGCAGGGTCCCGGAAATAATGGAGGAACTTGGTACAGTCGCCCGACAAAGCTCGCAGGCTCTCTACCAGCATGGCCGCATTCAGGAAAACGGCCTTTGGGTAGTTCAACCGCTTGATGTCATGTTCCCGGCTCGGGAGCTCTGTCATCAGGACCTTCTTTTGCTCCAGCAAACGCTGTTGGCTCATTCCTCTCCTAAGAATCGTGTTGAGTTCCACGTCGCTCTCAAGCATCTCCATTCGATCTTCGGCGACAAGAGGGGGTGTATGTTTTGCAAGGAGGCGTAACTCCTTGAGGTGGCTTCGAGCGACGGCAGAATTGAGCGAGATTCCATGAACGGCAATATTGAACCAAGCATCACGGAACAAAGTGGTGACATCCTGTTCGTACTCCATCACGGGCCCATCTTCTTCACTGCCGTCCCCTGCCGAAGCGACAAGTAGAGCCAATGGCTTAATAAGAGGGACGATCTCATCAGGTGCCAGAACAAGCTCCTTCTGTCGCTCGCTCTCGAAATCGGGAGCGTCGCCTTTGTTCACAATGCTCTCCAGCAGGTGGATCAGATATGTCCTGTAAAGCGGGGAATGTCTCTTTAGAGTGGTTGACAAGGACGTCATTGCACTCTGGATAGCATTTGCGGTACCAGCATGTCCCTTGCTTAGCCCATCCCGGTAGATACGATCGTAAAATTTGAGTAAAAGGTGGAACTCCGCTTGGCCTGTGCTAAGAGCCAGCGAGGCGGTCTCCTTGACAATGCAGCAATCAACTGCAGCGTTGACCTTTCCTATCTTCTGCAGCAACATGGACTGGGCGAGAGCACTGATTTTCTCGTCGTTGCAACTCGTCGCAATCGTCACGATGGCATGAATGACGTTTTTGTACGGTACGGTGCCCTCCTCACCATCAGTTGCGAGGGACACAACGCTAGCACCAAGTGCACCATTTGCCTCGCCGGCGTGAGCATGGTATGCTTTGTCCGTGCCCGAGCCTGGGCTCAACACATTGCCCAATGAATATAGGGTCGTGATGACAGCATCCTCAGACAGAATACCGAGAGCCTGAGCGAGGCATCGTGCAGCAACAGACCCAGTAGGTTTCGCGGGAACGCTACCTTCCACGATAAACCTCAGGAGAGACCGACTTCCTGACGAGGCATTGTTGAAGGACATCCGTGCGACGATTGCAATACTCTTGAGAGTTGCTGTCGCCAACTCTGCGCACGACATCTGATTGGGATCAATCAGCGTGTCCTCCAGCCACGAAAGGAAATCTTCGCTGCTCCCTTTGTCTTCGCTCAGAAGGACACAGTGAAGAAATCCAATCAAGGCAAATGTCTTTGTAGAGAAAGTGAGTCGCTGTTGCCACGGGGAGCCCAGCTGCAGATAATCAGACCCGTCCTCCAAAAGCTGGATCTGCTGGGCAATAATTTCTGTGACCCGGTCCACAAGCGCCTTCTCGGCATGGTCGTTGCTCCTCGCAATCCCAACGCCATCCATGTAGTCGTCCAGGAGCTCATCGTCCGATAGGTTTTGCGCCCCGATAAGGGATGTCATACAAGCCTTGACGAAGCGCATGAACCCTTCCTGCAGCAACATGGCTCCCAGAGGGCGCCCGTCGCTCGCATACCGTCGGGTATACCTCCTCCAGTCCCTGAGCGCCAAGTCTGGGACAGCCGCATTGCGCACGGTCGAAGACGCAGTCTCGATCGCAACCATGAAAGGTTCGGACAACATGGACCGCATATGGTCGACGATGCGCAGCTTCTCTGTCGCATACCAGAATGCAGTATACTTCGCCGCCGCCTCCAAAAACCCCACCAGAGAGACGGTGATCGATAGCACACTAGCACATTCGTAGCCCGCGCCATGCTTGACAGCTCCTTCATCGTAGGGTCTGAGAGGGACGGCCGCTTTGACAGCTTCGGCGCAGTTATATACGTAGTCGTTCAGGGCCTGGTGAACGGTCTCTCGCAGAGCGGGGTACTCGGATCCTAGGAACAGCAGCGCGGACGTAAGGTTATACGTGAGGGATTCCCAGGGCGACGGCTTGATGTTGTGTAGAAACGGCGATTGGCGGAAGAGCTGGCTGTGGGACTCGGGCAGATACTGGGCGAGTTGCGAAACGAGTTTGGAGGCGTGTTCGTACTTCGATACCGAGGAGGAGGCCTTGCACAGCGCAATGAGGACATCTAGCTCTCGAATTCCCTACTTTGGTCAGACTATCCGATCAAGACAGTAAAAGGGCATGAACGAACCATGGGAATCCGCGCGGTAGGAGCCTGGTTTTGTAGGACGCCATTGAGTCCATTCGCGTGGGCGGTAGACGATTGATAGTGGGTAGTCAGTCGTACAAGGTCGGTCTCGTCGTTTTGCGGCGCTGCGACTGCGAGGCTTGCGAGCTTGGCCAACGCCTTGGACCGAATGTTCTCCGGTAGGCTGGCAAGGAATTAGTCCGGGCGCATCGATGCGTCTTGGGAAATTCAAGCACTCACTCTGACATTGTAGGAGAGCCCAGGACCAACACACAAGAGAGTTGGAGGAATATACTCCGTCCGTAATTGGGCTCCAACCCCTGGACGTCAGCGGAGGGCGGGAGTCTATGTAATTCCGAAACGCCGCCCCCGGATCCACATGGCGCCCCGGTTTCCTAGGTCCTCGGTGTTCTTTGAAGAATCACAAGAGAAGGAAGTAAGAACCTAGATCGAAGTGATGAATGTTGATAAAAGCGGGTTAGTGGAATTTCGTGCTTTGGAAGCTTTTGGGTGTTTTTTCGATAATTATGTATCTTTTGGTGAGGGAGGAATTAACATAGAATTTTGAACTGAATGAATGGAAATAAGAGAGGGCGAAAAAAAAAAAAAGTCATATGGAATTGATATTCTTGCTACCGATATATATTGTCTTGTTGGACCTTTTGGTAGGAATCGGTACATGGATATATATCATGGCCACTACTCTACCCAAGGTACACACGGTAACACCCATAAACACAGCTAACTAACTAGATCAGTGCTTTCGCAGACACCAGAAATCCATGGATACACAATGAGTCAAGACAAAAGCAATATTCTGATGACTTCTACGTGACCTCGAGGTACATGGATCCCCTGCACCCTAGTGTTTGGCAGGAAGTAACTCTGAGGTACCGCTTGGCGGTGGAAAGCTAGACCGTCAATGGACGCGCCTCGCTCCTTTCTGACTCGAGACCAGGATTATCGGCCACAGCCTCGTCTCTTTCTCTCTCTTCTGCCCCCGACTCACCTTTTCTGCCAAATTCTTACTTATCGCTATTTTACCAATCGATTGTCCGAGATCTCAATCTATCCTCGGGGAAATCCCGTGTTTGTTTGGGTCCTAATTCCCAATTACTCACCTCCGGCGTTCCCTCCGCTATCGCCTTAGTAGCACAAAGCATGCTAGATCTTGGGAAAATCTAATCATGGTGCCCAAAAATGAAAAGAGCTCCCTCAAGCGTGGCAGAGTCTGTCTCATCCCCGTTTCTTGCCCTCCAGATGGCTAACCTGCTTTCGCGCTATAGGGTACTGCCGACAGCGATTCTCAAGACCAGAAGAAGCCCCGGCGATCTCAAAGAATAACTTCGCAAAGCCAGAAACAGGCCACCCCGGTTAGCGCGTCTTATCTGCCGACACCACTCACACAGCATGATTCAACGGCGACAGACACCCGAAAGGAGGCCACCGCAACACCTCCGCACCGTCCCAGTCAGGCTCGCCCTCAGACCCCAACCCATTCGGACTCGCTCGGACAATGCTCTTCACCTCCGGGAGACACCCAGGCTCTGTCCCAGTTTGTGTATCCTCCGAGGTCCTTTGCCAACGAGGTGGAGGATGAAGTCGCCGAGGGCGTATGGGGCTATTTGATCCCACTAGATGACAATTTCCGAGATATCCTGGTGCTGAGGAAGCGGGACACCTGCGGCCAAAGAGAGGACTCCAAGTGCAAATCGGGCAAGGAGCAAGGCAAGACCTCAGCATCTAAACAGGGTAAACAGGGCAACAAATCGGCTCCGGGAGGTTATCTTGTCGGTCGTCACCCGGAATGCGGTAGGATCCTTTCCCGACGAAGCCCTTCTCCTAGCCTGACGATCGCCAGATCTTGTTCTCAACGTTCCCACCGTATCGAACCGACACTTCCTCATTTTCTCGGAAAACCGAAAAGGCGACTCCATTGCCGTCCTGGAGGATCTATCCAGCAACGGGACGTTTGTCAATGATGCAGTTGTTGGACGGAATAAACACCGTGAGCTCGAGGATGGCGACGAGATCACAATCTTGAACGAGGCGAGGTTTGTCTTTCGGCAACCCCAGACCAGAGACACCAATGGCTTTCGACAGCAGTACCGCATCTTTCGACAACTGGGCAAAGGTCATTTTGCAACTGTCTACCTCTGTGTTGAGCGGGCCACCGGGACTCAGTATGCAGTGAAAATGTTCGAGAAACGCCCTGGTGACTCCCAAAAGTCTCAGACGGACCCTCTGCAGCAAGAAATCGGCCTGTTGATGGGAGTGAACCATCCAAATCTGCTGTGTCTGAAAGATACTTTTGATGAAACTGACGGAGTGTATCTTGTGCTGGAGCTTGCTCCCGAGGGCGAACTTTTCAACCTCATTGTCAGCAAACAGAAGTTTTCGGAGAAGGAGACGCGTCATATTTTCCGTCAGCTTTTCGAGGGGCTCAAATACTTGGTATGACCGGCATCTTTTGAGTAACAGAAGCATGCTCACAGGAACAGCACGATCGGGGAATTGTTCATCGAGACATCAAACCCGAGAATATTCTGGTGGCAGATAAGAACTTGACCGTGAAGTTGGGCGACTTTGGGCTTGCCAAAATCATCGGAGAAGACTCCTTCACTACGACTTTGTGAGTCTAATTGCTGTCCTCTTGGGACCTTCCGGCAGATGCTAACCATCACGACAATACGATAGATGCGGAACCCCAAGCTGTAAGGAACTCTCCAAATCCTCTACTTTCAATACCATGCTGATATGAGTTCTGTAGATGTGGCTCCGGAAATCTTACAGGAATCCCGTCGCCGCAAGTATACCAAGGCGGTGGATATCTGGTCATTGGGCGTTGTTCTCTACATCTGCCTTTGTGGATTCCCTCCTTTCTCGGATGAGCTTTACACGCGCGAGAATCCATACACGTTGGCGCAACAGATCAAGATGGGACGTTTTGACTACCCCTCCCCCTATTGGGATTCAGTTGGCGATCCCGCTTTGGATCTCATTGACCGGATGCTTACAGTTGATGTGGACAAGCGGATCACGGTGGATGAATGTCTGGAGCACCCATGGCTGACAGGCAAAACTCAGAGTCTTACGGACAGTACTGACGGGCTTACCGGAGCATTGGGACAATTGGATTTCTCCAAGCGCAAAGTCGCACGCGAACGCACGCTGCTCAGTAGCATCAACGATGCGGCGTTTAGTGAATGTGGCGAGGGAACTGGCACACCCGTCAAGGTCTTCCACAAGAACAATGCCGGAAAGCGCATGCACAACCAGCCGATCACTTCGAACCAAGCAACCCCTGGAGGACAGACTGCGCCTCAAGACTTTGTCAACCTGGGCGAGGGCGGAGACCCGGTTCTATTTGAAGAAGACCCGACCAGTCGATACAAGTAGAGTGGTTTGATGGCCGGTGGGCGTCATTCTAATTGGTTCATAGACTCTGTGATGCTGTCTTCCTTTTGTTAGGTTTATGTTGGAGTGGTGTCTGACGACGAGGTATTCGGGATGGCGCCATGGGGACAGGATGATATTCCAGGACGACATTGGTATTAGTGCTAGGTGTAAAAAGTAGGTAGATCCACTGGAAACGGTAATGCAATTCATCATGAGATTGCATTCGACTCCAAACTTCAGGCAGTCATTTTTACTATGTTCTTAGCGTGTTGATAACTAGAAGTAGACTATTATCAACAGGCCACCCTAGATCGGCTGATGCAGGCACAGCCGAAGTGGCGTGATGTGAAATTGCCCCGGGTGTGATTCGCCGCCGACTTCCCTTCCCAGGGGTGCTTTTCACCCAAGCCACTCTCCCAGCCGGTTCGTCCGGTTTGTCTAGACTCCTTCGGTACTAGACCCAGCTTAGTCAGAAACTGGACCCCTGGCGCGGCGTTCTTTTTTTGAGAATTCATCTGCGACTGCGTATTCCCGTATCGCGCGCCCCATCTCCCTATTACGACGACTGCCACGGCCTCTCTTGAAAAGGACCCCCTTTCTCGTCCTATCGGCTCCCATCGCGAGCTTCACAGGAGGGTGCCTTCATATGAGACACTTGTCCTTCTCTGTTAACGTCCTGCATCGCTAATTCGCCTCGTTTATTTGTTGTTCTGAAATCATGGGTGTGTTTGCCGACATTATCGGCACCCTCTGCGAGCATTGCTCGACCCTCTCGATATGGGCTTTGGGGGGAGCCGTCCTGTTGGCCGTGTTTGTCCTGTCGGTCGTCATCAACGTCTTGCGACAGCTCCTATTCAAGAACCCTCACGAGCCTCCGGTGGTGTTCCATTGGGTCCCCTGGATCGGTAGCACAATCAGGTACGGCATTGACCCATACAAGTTTTTCTTCGAGTGTCGCGCAAAGGTTGGTCTCCTCACCAAACGAAACTGTCCGAGCGAATGGTTGGATTGACTTGGTTGGGTAGTACGGCGATATCTTCACCTTTGTCCTCCTGGGAAAGAAGACGACAGTGTACTTGGGAACCAAGGGCAACGACTTCATCCTGAATGGCAAGCTCCGTGATGTCTGTGCGGAGGAGGTCTACTCGCCTCTCACGACCCCTGTCTTTGGTCGTCATGTGGTTTACGACTGCCCCAACGCCAAACTGATGGAGCAGAAGAAGGTAGCTCACGCCTGGAGCGCCCCAGCCAAATTGCTTCTCGCTGACTCGTCTAGTTTGTGAAATTCGGTCTCACCTCCGATGCACTCCGCTCCTACGCTCGCCTCATCACCGCCGAAGTCGACGATTTCGTCAAGAACAGCCCGACATTCCAACAGCCGAAGGGAACCTTCGACGTCTGCAAGACCATCGCGGAAATCACCATCTATACTGCTTCGCGTTCCCTTCAAGGAAAGGAGGTCCGCAACCGGTTTGATTCCACCTTTGCCGAAATGTACCACGATCTGGACATGGGCTTCGCTCCCATCAACTTCGTCTTGCCCTGGGCTCCTCTCCCCCACAACCGGAAGCGGGATGCGGCGCAGAAGAAGATGGCAGAGACCTACATGGAGATCATCAAGGAGCGTCGCCAGGCGGGTGGCAAGAAGGACTCGGAGGATATGGTCTGGAACCTTATGTCGTGCGTCTACAAGGATGGTACCCCGCTGCCTGACGAGGAGATTGCGCACATGATGATTGCGCTTCTCATGGCTGGCCAGCATTCGTCTTCGTCTACCGCCTCCTGGATTGTCCTGCGTCTTGCCGAGAACCCCGAGATCACGGAGGAGCTTTACCAAGAGCAGTTGCGCGTGCTGGGCTCGGATCTCCCCCCGTTGACCTGGGACAGCCTGCAAAAGCTGGACCTCCACGCCAAGGTGATCAAGGAAACCCTGCGGATCCACGCTCCCATCCACTCCATCATGAGAGCAGTGAAGAACCCGATGCCCGTGGAGGGCACTCCCTATGTCATCCCTACCTCTCACAATGTGCTGTCTTCGCCTGGTGTCACGGCCCGGTCGGAGGAGTACTTCTCCGAGCCCCTGAAATGGGATCCTCATCGCTGGGACGAGACCGCTGCGCCGAGTACCGAGGAGGAGGAGGAGACGATCGACTACGGTTATGGTTTGGTGACCAAGGGTACGAATAGTCCGTACCTGCCATTCGGTGCCGGCCGTCATCGCTGCATTGGTGAGCAGTTTGCCTATGTCCAGCTTGGTGCCATCACCGCCGCGCTGGTGAGACTCTTCAAGTTCAGCAACCCCCCGGGAGCCAACAAGCTCCCCGACACAGACTATTCGGTAGGTTACTTATCCTTCAAGAATCAGTTTTTCTATTTGAAGCTAACGGACGAAGTCTCTTTTCTCGAAGCCTCTCGGCAAGTCGTACGTGCAGTTCGAAAAGCGCGAGACCAACACCAAGGCCTAATAATATCTCATTGCATGGGAACACACTTAGCTTATGGCCTCGAGTGGTTGAGTTTAGATGACTGGAGTTCTTCTATCAGCAACTTCTTTCCCCGAGAGGTTGTACATGACGATCGGATCTGTCCTTCTTGAACATGTCTATACCTATACTTTTAATCACGCACTGTACTACAAGCAATGAATAGAAAGGATTTTGCACTATATCCATCCTACACAATGATGGACTAAATATAAACCTGGGAATTTATTGGCTCTTTCCGAGTATCAGTCTCCGGTCCACGACCAAATAGTACATAATAGATTCAACAATGTATAATACAGGCAATTGATGTCTTACAACGATGAATGAGGCTCAACCCAAATCAACCATTCATGCAGTCCCCTTCTTCCTCTCCTCGCTCCGCTTCTTCGCCCGGACTTCAGCGCGTCTCCTCTCTCCGCCATCAACCTTGTGCCCCAACTTGTCCTCCCACATGCCCTCCTGGATCTTGATGACAGCCGCACTGCCATTGGTCCCTTTCAACGGCTGCAAAAACGGACCCCGTACCATCGACCCATTGTGAACCTTCATGTGCGCGAATTTCTTGAGCGGTTTCGACGGGTCGTGCGTATACGCGGTCGCATCAGGCGGGAGGTTCACGACGACCTTACGCATGCCGGGCGACAGCGTGGCCGACGCAGGCGCCGTCTCGCTGCTCTGGCCCGCCGAGTCCAACGGCACCTCCACCACGCGCAGCTGCGCCGCCCCGTCCACCACATGCTCGAGATCGCCGCCCGGCCCGTACGCCCCCTGCCGGAACTTCTCGCGCTTCCGCAGCAGGTACCGCCGTTGGCGGGCGGGCTCGATACCCAGATCGCGGAGCTCGCTCGAGCTGAGCGTGAAGAGCTTCTCCCACGAGGGCAGCTTGCTGGCGTGCTTGGACATGCCGCGTCCGATCAGCGTGAGGAAGGTCTCGACGTTTGGGACGAAGGGCGTCGGTGCGGGGACGGGCGTGGGATTCGTCGTGTTTTTGTGAAAGCAGCGGATGCAGGTTTTGCTGATGGTGAAGGGGCGCAGAAGGCGCGAGGAGAGGAGCGTTGAGTTGCGCATCGCTGCCATGTTGGGTTGTTCGGGGACTCGTTCTGTTCCCTTCTGTTGTGGATTGGGTTGTTGTGGGTGGAGGGACGGACGAGGGAATGTGTGCGTGTGTATGGGCGAGATATCCGGTGCAATTGTGGAATGGATTATATTGTAGTCGATGTCATTGTCGATTGGGTCGTGGAGCTGGTGCTGTTGATGGTGTCCGCTGTGTTGCTGAGAAATTTCGGCGATGTTGCGGGATTAACAAAACTCCGAGCGGTCTGCCGATCCTCCAGTGTAGTTACTTTACTTCCGCACCTCGAAGCGCATCCTCTTGACAGATCATTATTCTTAACCGCGCGATCTTCTGAGAGGAGTCTGAAGCTTATGCTTCACTATTGAAGGGATTCAATAGCCCGGATCACAACAATGCGCAGTCAATAACTCGTTGGTAATAAGCTACGAACAGCGTCTTCGTCACGTATTCTGAGATCGGCCGCTGCCTTGCCACGATATGAACCTTTTCGGACAGAGTGACAAATAAGCCCAGACATCGCACTAATGGCTGTTTCACCACTTCCTCCTCAGTCTCCCGCAGCGGCGGCGTCATCTGCCCATGCAGAGGCGAAACTGAGAAATGTTGCGGCTCAGGCCTCGCTCAACAACTCCCGCGGGAGTATCCCTTCCCCGCAGCCCGCGCAGGATTCAGATCGTGAACTCACAGAGCAATTGAACGATGAAGTGCGGAACAAATATATCAAAGGTGGAGTCCATTCTTGGTGTTACTCTCGCGCGTACTGTTGAGCTAACGAACGGCCGGTCTATAGATAAGAAGCTCGGAGAGGGTACATACGCCGTCGTATACCTGGGACGTCTCCGGGCCGATCCATCTTCCCATGTCGCTATAAAGAAAATCAAGGTCAACGCCGATTTCAAGGACGGGCTGTCGATGGACGCCATCCGCGAAGTCAAGTATCTCCAGGAACTCGCCCACCCGAACATCATTGCGCTGCACGATGTCTTTTCTTCGAAAGATCAAAATCTCAATCTGGTGCTCGAATATCTGCCGCTCGGGGATCTGGAAATGCTTATCAAAGATGGAAACATCCACTACGGTGTTGCGGACGTCAAGGCTTGGATGGGCATGCTCGCGCGCGGGGTCTGGTTCTGCCACGAGAACTTCATCCTGCACCGCGATATCAAACCGAACAACTTGCTGATCGCCTCCGACGGTGAAGTCAAACTGGCCGATTTCGGTCTGGCGCGGTCCTTCTCCGACCCGTACCTGCGAATGACCCATCAAGTGATCACGCGTTGGTACCGGCCTCCGGAACTGCTGTACGGGGCTCGGTTCTACTCTGGCGCCGTCGACGTCTGGTCGATGGGCATGGTGTTTGCGGAGCTGCTCCTCCGCGTGCCCTTCGTTGCGGGAAACACAGATCTGGACCAGATCTCGAAGATCTGCGAGGCGTTCGGCACGCCGACGGAGGACAACTGGCCCGGTGTCACCAAATTACCGAATTATCTACCCCCCGATAGCAACCACGTCGTGCCGCTGCAGGGCCGTGAGTTCTTCCTGAGACAATTTCCCACGGCTGGTCCTGTGGGCGCGGATCTGCTCATGTCGATGTGTGCGTTGGACCCGAGGAAACGGAGCACCGCATGCCAGATCCTCCAACATGGCTGGTGGTTGACGGAGCCGAAGCCCACGGACAAAGAAAACCTGCCGCGCAAATCGGGTGGGACGAAGAAAATGGGCGATGATCTCACGCGACGCGGTGGAGAGATTGATGATACGACTTTTAAGAATGCGGCGCGACAGCTAGATTTCGGTGCGATGCGATAAGAGCGCCTAGCCGAATGACATCTGACAAACGGAGCTAGCTGGCTGTCTGACTAAAGTACGTACCTAGGTAGAGAACGTGCCGCTTGGACCAGGACGAACGACGGAGATCGGAAAAAGGGATAGCAGACGGTATTGGCGATACATCAGATACATCGGAGCTCCTGCGCGGTGCTGTAAGGGCGTACCTATCAGATTATCTGCCTCCAAAGGATAGACGCCTTTGCACGCCCCCTGAAACCGCTCTCATGGGGATAATCTCCCATAAATTACCGCTAGTCTTGGATCAAACGGCGATTCACCAACCATCAGGCGAGTTGACAGGGAGCAGACTGCGTGCCAGATAAACAAACACCCCCGGTGGGGCGTCAATCATCATTTCAGGAGTTCTCGGGCGTATCCATCTGATATAGTTACAGAGGACCTTTACATACACCCGGCCGATGTGGGAGCAGACAAACGAGAGAGCTGCGAGGACAATGAGATTGTTGACGTTAGGGATAGTAATTCTCATTTCTCTCTTATTAGAGGCGTATAATATGGAAAAACACTAGAACACCCACCATAACAATAATAATGACAAGTACCTTAAGAAGAACTGTCTAGTAAGAAGGGTTATTTTTACTCCGCTCCCCCCTCGAGGCCATCAGCGGCCAGACTAAGACAGGAAAAAAGACTAAAGATGATCCAAAACATCCCCAGGTCGCCCTGCACTTCCTCTCCTTCCTCTGTCCTCCTTCGTCCCAATCCTACTCCCACTCCTACTAACTAATACATTATAATAATACTCTCCCCTCGTTTCTTCTGTCCTCCCTCCTCCGTCGCCATCCCTCCTCCTCGTTCTCGCCCGACCTTCGGATCGGCGCCGCCACTGGCGAAATCTTCCACTCCGCCATCACGGTTCGCGCTATCGCCCCGTTCGTTACCCCCCCGGGAGCTCCGTGGAAGCACACACTCGCGCGCTGTGTTCGGATTGAAGTTTCCAGAGCACTATCATGAAATAAACGACAGAAACCATCAACGACGTTGGATCGCATGCGGTAGAGCCCCTCAGGGATCTTCAACTACCGAATTACACCACGTCCCGGCAGATACTGCAGGTCTCCATGATCTTTGCACAACACAACAATAACCCCTTCAGAAGAGTCGACTTTCATCAATCTTAGGTGAGTGTCCTGGACAGCATCTCGTCTTCTTTCCACGTGCTATCGGGAATGAGTCGCCTCGGTCGATGCGCGGGGAATGCAGAGATAACCTTCTCTGCCTTAAGCTCTGTGCAGAGAATGCACCGACATTCCTGATCCATTCCATCCTACACTCATCCAACATGGTCGCATTCGCGCCGAATCTCGGTTCATTTTCATCTCGCTAATAATGATGTCGACTTAGTTACCCGTCCTCCGTCCTGCCATCCACGGATCGCCCCTAACCAGAACCGCACCTGGCCTGCGTATGGCTATTCCCCGCATTTGAAACTTACCGACATCAGCCTCTCTCGTTCGATTAGAAATGTCTACCGTATCGCAACCATCCGGCGCTACCGCCAGCCCGTCCACCGGTTCCTTGCCCACGTTGCCCGCCCCCAAATCACGCAAGAGCTTCCCCGTGTCGGCCGACTCCTCCCGCGTCTCTTCTCCGTCTCACTCCGCGAAACTGCGTTCGCCATCCAGCCCACGACCAACGCTGACCAGATCTTCGTTGTCGAATCCGGCGTCGACTCTGAGCGCCTCCCGGTCGATCCCCGGCACCCGGACCCCGAGCAGTCCAGAGAAGTCCCTGCGGAGGACGATCAGTATCGCGGCGTTTCCCCAACCTCCGAAAGCGGGAAGCCGCTCATCCACCGCATCGTCCGCCTCGGGGATCCCGGGCATCCACTCATCCGGCAGTGTGAAAGTCAAGGGTGGCTCCAGACTCAGTGTCGGTACCACTAGCAGCTACCGCAGTTCCAAAGCCTCCTCCCTGCTCAATGGAGGCGAGGGCAAAATTGCGACGGCCGCGGATGCTCGTGAGCATGACGCTTCGCCGCCGCACAGCCGAAGCTCGTCGGCGCAAGGCTCCTATTCAACCAGCGCAACGACCTTCGAGGATGGAGATGAAGCGACCGGCACGGCCAAGACCAGTTCAAAGGCGAAGGAAGTCAAAGGGAACGTCATTGTCAGTGTGCGAGTACGACCTGACGCTAATGGGAGTGACGGCGCAAAGGCCAGCGGCGAATGGATCGTCGATGGTCGCCGGGGATTGATTTCTCATCACGGAAAGGAAGCGGGTGATTATTACTACGGTAAGTCTTCATTTCTGTTAGTTGGCGCACCATGCTGATTGTCTGATTACTCTAGATAATGTCTTTACTGCTCACGAGCATAATTCGCGAGTCTATGATTCGGCCGCCAAGCGCCTCGTGAGGAGGGTAATGGAGGGATACCATGGGACAGTTTTCGCCTACGGTATGACTGGAACTGGAAAGACCTTTTCCATGCAGGGAACCGCAACCGCCCCGGGTGTGATCCCCCTCGCGATCACGGATATCTTCTCTTTCATCAGAGAAACGCCGCATCGCGAGTTTCTGCTCCGCGTCAGCTACCTGGAGATCTACAACGAGAAGATCCACGACCTTCTGTCTGCCTCCACCTCGGGCGGCACAATGGCTCAGCAGGAAGAGATCAAATTGCGCGAGGACAGCAAACGAGGCGTGTACGCAACCCCTTTGAAGGAAGAAATCGTGCAAAGCCCCACACAATTGCTTCGCGTCATCGCGCGCGGTGACCATGCTCGGCGCACGGGAAGCACGCAGTTCAATGCTCGCAGCTCCAGAAGTCACGCGGTGGTGCAGATTGTCGTGGAAAGCAGAGAACGCGCCCCAACCGGTCCCACGCAGGACCGACGCTCCGGAATGGCACCCGGGGGTGTCCGAGTGTCTACTCTCAGTTTGATCGATCTTGCTGGATCAGAACGCGCTGCAGATGATAAAGAGCGGCGCACTGAGGGTGCACATATCAACAAGAGTCTTCTTACCTTGGGGAATATTATCTCCAGACTGTCGGAAAGCAAAGATAAGTCGGGTGCAGCCGACAAGGAGGGAAGACATCTACCATACCGTGACAGCAAACTCACGCGGCTGCTGCAACCGGCGCTGTCTGGAAATTCGCTGGTTAGTATCCTCTGCACCATCCAGCTGGGTAGTGCAGCAAACTCCCACTCGGGCGAGACCCTCAACACTCTAAAGTTTGCCGCGCGTGCCAAGAACAATATCGTCAGCCATGCCAAGAGAGCGGAAGAGGCTTACGGTAGTGGCGGCGGTGATGCCGGTAGTCGGGTGCTTCTGGAACGTTACCGGATGGAAATCCAGGCCCTTCGTGGACAGCTCGAAAGCCAAACCAAGGCCCAGGCTGAGAAGGAACTCAAATTGGAAGAGCAGCAGCTGGAAAAAGAGGCACAAGCGCGGCACGAAGAGCAGATGCTCGAGATGCAGCTCGCTCGGACTGCGTTGAAGGAGAGGATCGAACATTTGAATCGACTTATATTGAGTTCGAAGTCGACCGGGGTGAATATTCAGGGCAGCATGTCCGCACTCGGTCGACTATCACGGATGTCGTCTTTGGCGGAATCCGGCTCGCGGTCGTTACGATCCTCCGTGAGTCAATCTACATTGGGGGCGTATGGCGGTATGCGGCCAATGTCTTTCCTGTCCGTCAACAGCAATGACCCGTCTGTCTTTTCTGGCGGACCGATGAACAATGATGACGATGATATGGGCGAGTTTGCCGACGGGAAGGCCAGCGCGCAACGACAGATTGCGGCCCTCCAGGCTGATCTGAGCGATAAGAATCGCTACATCTCCACCTGGAGAGACGTCTGCTACAGGCTCGACGGTCCAGTCACTCCCGCATGTCGGTGGGCGTCAAAGCTGGGAACACCCCGCCTGAAGCACCCGACATGGCGGCTCTGCTTCGAGAGAAGGACCTCGAGATCAATGAACTTCGCCAGCAGCTCGATGACAAGGACCGCATGCTGGCTGCACTCCGGTCCGCCGCCCGGCATCGCGAAGTGGCCCACATCAATACAGATACATATAGTACAGACGGGAAGGAAAAGAGCAAATCCCCGGAGAAACGCCCGAGCAGCATTAGTACGCCACCTGCTGACCCTGACGTGCTGGCCCCGTTACCCGGCGAAACCAAAGACGGACAGAGAAAGAGCATGGATGAAGTCTCGCGCATTCTCGACGAGATGATTCAAGACCGCGTTGAAAGCGGCCAGTTGATCAAGGGCTCCCGCGGTAGCGTTCGTATCGCTGAGAGCCGGCGTGCCTCTGATTCAGTGACTAATGTACCGGGATTGAGAACCGCGAGCTCGGGGACTGGGGATCCAGATACCGGCGTGGATACGTGATCTGCAGGATGGTCTTCTTGCTTGCCTCGTCCATACCTGATTCTGTTTACGGCCTTGTATTCTTTCGTGTTGTGTTTTGGTACTCTACTTTATTCGTTTCTGTCCAGATACCCAGGCTGTCTTTGACTTTTTTATGACTACAGGCTTTACATAATTGATGGTTGTTTGTTGATTTATTAAGATTTATCACGTGTTGAGATTGAGCATGATGGTGAAGCATCACCGTGTACTGTTGATGACCAGCTTACTACAAGAAGCCAGATTCCTGAAGCGACTTGAGAGATGTACCTCTATCAGGGACGGGATAGTTAGGGCACAGGTGTGCGACTCTGGGTATTGCCATCTAGAAAACATCATCCCAACTACGCCTCCCATCAGAGTTACCACCATTCCATTCCCCCTACCGCTGGCGTTGTAGCTAATTACTTTGCCTGGTATAGTGGCCGACCTGATGGCGCTCCGCTCCTGGTGCATTGGACTAATAGCGTAGGCCGTTCTTGCCATCACAGACCGTCGAGATGGATCCGGCGCCGGGGAAATACCACTTGTCAATGCTATACCGTGATGCGACGGACTCCCTTGAGAGATTCACCATGGGCCGGGAAATTGCCTTGGTCTATCCAGATTGTCGAGCGGAGATGGTGCTTTTTGACGAACAAAGCCGTACCGCGCATGAGAAGTAATCCCCTGATACGAGGACGAAATTCTCCTTTATTTACTACCTTATACATGGGCCGATGGCCCACTACTTTAAATACGGCCCAATCGGATTCGCAGTAGTCGCACAGTTCCCGCTCTGTGGGTCTTTCATCATGGCCTGGAGAATAGTGGCATATCTAAGCCGACTCCGAGGATAAATGTGAACGACAGAGGCACCTCTTTCTCTGCCTTGTTCAAAAATACTGCCGGAACAAGTTGCTATGGCTTCACAATCCGGTACATTTGCTAACTACAGGGAAAATCTCCTATAGAGATATAGACAATTTAGGGCCCAACAAAAAGCAGACTGAGCTAAAAAAGGAAATAGGCATTCCCCCCCGGCTGTCCCCCGACAATAACATTCTACACTTTCACTCTGCCAGTTGTATCTGGCCCACCCGTGTCCCCCGCATATACCCATAATATCAACCGAATATCATCATAGCTGGAAGATCTTGCAAATTTACCTCCTCTTCCAGGGAGATGGCCATCATTTCATCATCTCCATAAGTTTTTATATAAGCCATATTATCCGCTCCTCTTATTCCAGCTCTGATGCTTTGGACATTCGTTGCCCATGCCCTGATAATGCATACAGCAGCCCAAGAACAGGCCTCTGCACCAACCAAATGTCCTCTACCATGGCCCGAGTTTACCATATCAATGATCTTCTGGATAACAGCTCCTAATTGTTTGTCGAGATAATCACCGTTCGCCCGAGATTCATCTGTTGGGAGCTTCGTGTTTGTGTAACTCTCCTCTAATAGACCTGCTGTCTTAACAAAGACAAAATCCTTCTTCTTATGCAGGTTATTTTCCTCCGGACAATATTGATCCACCATTCGCTCAAGTAGCGTCATATATCTGCCAAACACCGCGGCAGCGTCATTTGTGTTCCCACATTGGATTGCATACTTGGCATCTTCCCAATTCCCTCTTTCGCTGACATATGTTCCAAATACCGAGCCTGGAGCTTTAGAATGGAGCGCGTTCTCTAAGTGTTCCAAGGCTTCCGTACAGCCAAGGTCACTCTGTCCAAGGCTCCTAAGCCAATCATGTTCCGCGAACAACGTCTCCAAGAGTCCAGTTGTAAAAACTATAGCTTTTTTACCTCTTTGGTAGTCTGAGGCACCAACCCTCCGAAGGCAATACCAGCCACGGCCGTCCACACAATCCCCCACCCGTTCCGCTCGGGCCTGGTTCTTTTTTTCTCTGCCGGTGAATTATACCGGCAGGTAAATTCCTGTCGACACCAAAATGAGGCCACGCTTGAGCGAACTTGGACGTTGGAAGTCTCCGTATATACTCAATGGCGTCAGGTTGATATGGATCCTCGTCTATAAAATATCTTTCGCTCAATTGAGGCGGAACCGGAAAAGACCTGGATTCCCGCGGGGCGCTCGGTGAGACTTTTCATCCAGCCAGTCCACCAGCGACAAAGGGTATTAATGTTCACATTATCAAGCCCATCCATCAGGAGCAGTTGATGCAGGTGTTATGGAACAATATGATTGACTTATATTAATAAAATATGGGTTTCTTAAAGGCAGTGGCCCTCATGATCAGACCTTACGGCTCATGTCCCGAAACCAATTGGAATCGAGACATTTGTGTGTAATCTATAGATAGATTATAGTGAACAGCGGTAGGTATTGCGCGATATTAGGATACAGCCTCACTGTAACCAAGTGTCTACCGCATGCTTAAGTGTATTTGTCAACCACGGCTCATCCAGATCAGTTTCAAAATCAAATGCATGATTACCAGACTCTAATAAGGTGAGCACCACCTTATCGCCGCCTTGCTTCCCTCTCATGGTCGCCCTTGCAATTTCCGCAAACTTCCTGCTGCCTTCGACAGGAACCGCATCGTCGTCGATACAATGGAAAATGCAAATCCCCCCGCGCGGAAGTTTTGTTTCAGTTTCTCTTAGTTTGTCTAGCGGAAATAGTAATCCTCGGCGCGAGGAGTTCTCCGATTCACGTTCATAGAGCTCAGAGAACATCCCATAATGAAAAACGGCGCTAGTCAGCTTGGACCGATCAGGTTGTGGTGCGCTGGAAACTATATCTCCTGTTTCCAGGTTCTGGCAGTGCTCCGTCAAGACCGATCGAGGAACGAATGGTAAGCCGGTTATTCGCCTTTCTCGAGGGGTAGAGAATGCGTCTGATTGTACATCAAGCATGGGGTAAGCCAAAATGCCGGCGCGGATATTATCAGGATGAGAGAGCGCCAAATAGGCGCTTAACAACCCCCCCGCAGAGTCGCCAGCAACAATCAAGCGGTCCAGGTCAAGCTCAATTGGAATAGGCCGAGAGTATAGTACGCTCGCTAGCGTCGGCGAGTGGATGTATGTCCAAAGGTCCTCAACGTCCTGCAGTATTTGCAAACCCGTGGCCTCGGGCATAAGGCGATAGTTCCCCGATATAATAATCGCATTATGTTTGTACGCGAGGTCTGCTAACCATCGAGGGAATAGTTCAGGTACAAGAGAGTCACCTTGTATCTGCAACTTGTCAGCTCTCTGTATATAAGTAAACTTGGCGGGCAATTTCACTACCAATCCTCCACCATGAAGACGAATTATGGCCGGACGTTTCCCTCCAAAGTCTGTCTGGGGCACGAGGATATCGGCACGGATGCCATGCTGCGACACAACTTTGTAATAAACCTGTATCACTTGGAACCTCTCCAGCTTATTAGAGGTGGATTCAATGGGTGTGGTCTTCCCAGGATCCATATTCCGTACAAGACTGTGTGACAGACAGTATAAGTAATGTTTGTGAAATGTGGTTTTTGGCGGGAGGTGACTTATACAGCCTCACCCCTATTCTTATAATCAAGAACTGCTCCGTCCCCAGGTGAGAACTAAGGTGTGCATTGACGTAACTATTTCCAAGTGTCACCTAACATTTAATAATCACCAGTGATTGGTAAGATTGGTAATCTGGATGCAAACGGACCGGTAAGATATACGTGAATGGAAAACTCTATTTTTTAAGTTTTTATATGTCATAGCCGTCTCCAGTAAGCAACCCCATCACGCCTGAAAACCATGAGATATCTCACTATTATGGAAGGAAACCAAAAGCAGAATGGTTTTGTATATTTGAATTATCAAGGTCTAACACCACAGCTTGTTCTAATATGATTAATTTGATAGCATTTACTACATTGTGGTGGCGCATACTTCTTGGGAACTGGTTGCATTATCTGTATAGCTTCTTGGGGACGTTGCTAGCCTTTAGCACCACTTAGAACACCGCCAGTAGCAATTAACCTGACATCCTCACCGACGATCTCAGATGGGTCCGCCATTTTCAAGTTCGGACATTCCTCTGCTCCGGACAATCTACACCACTGCACTGGGTCTACTTCAGTGCAGCCTTTTTTTCTACCAGCAGCATTCATCGCGCTATGAAGGAAAGCCCAGCCAAACGTAGGAATGAGAATATCATGCGAGTATTAAATTCATTACAGATGCCCTAGTAAAACATGCCCAGTCACCATTACCCACACGACGCCTGGGCATGATGGCAGCTCGAATAGGGGAAGTCGTCGAAAGTGCCCGTCGTTAGTCCGGTTACTTTAACCGGCGCCGCCTTTCAACCAGCAGACAGAGTTGCTTGCGCGTTAGAGTACCCACTGGGATGAAGCTATAGACTACTGTTGACTCCGCGGTTTGGCGGCGAGACGGGAGCCAGTCAATCATCTCGAGCGCGACAAAATCGTTACTGTTTCTTTTTGTATTGTTCGAATAGTATGATGCCCGGGAAAGTCCGTCCACTTGTGTCAGCAAACTCCAACGCGAATGACCGACAGCAAATGGTAAGAATTGAGTGCGAATCATTTCGCCGTATGCTACCAGCCGAGGGAATGGTCATGTTGGACTTTTATGCCCGGTCCATTGGCTTTATATTGTACAAACAGTCCTGGGAAATCCAAGTATCTCTAAGTCTGGCCATTGTCATCTCTTTCATTCAGTTCTTCTTTTCTTCTGTGTACCCGGCATTTCTAAACTGAACTGGCCCAAACTTATGGAGGCTGTGTTTCAGGAGCCATGACCACGGAGGAATCAAGCATTTCGCTAAGGCTACGTATGAAAAAGAAACACTATAGCGAAAACCCCAGCAGAGAAGGGAGCCGTGGAAGAAATCCAAATATGAAGGGTGCGCGGCCCAACGGCAAGATAACCGGCTACGTTCGCCCAAATAAAGAGCATATCTAGGTTGACCGAACTGACCCCTTCAGCTCGGCTCTATTGAAGCAACTTAGTCTATTGGCTTGATAGATTCGGATATTGATTTTTTTTCTTTCTCTCTCTCTCCCTCTCTCTCACTCTCTCTCTTTTTATTTTATTTTATTTTATTTTATTTTATTTTATTTTATTTTATTTTATTTTATTTTATTTTATTTTATTTTATTTTATTTTATTTTATTTTATTTTATTTTATTTTATTTTATTTTATTTTATTTTATTTTATTTTATTTTATTTTATTTTATTTTATTTTATTTTATTTTATTTTATTTTATTTTATTTTATTTTATTTTATTTTATTTTATTTTATTTTATTTTATTTTATTTTATTTTATTTTATTTTATTTTATTTTATTTTATTTTATTTTATTTTATTTTATTTTATTTTATTTTATTTTATTTTATTTTTTATTTTTTTTTTTAACAGAAGAAAAAAATAGGGAAAAGAAAATAGACCGATTAAAGACTTGCTGCGCCTTGTAGCTACGAGTCGCTGATGACACTATTCTCAATAGCGCTCCGTATTCGGCCTCGTTCAAATGCAATGCCCTGACCGTTGCACTGCGCAAAACCTTCCAACTTTTGTTTAACACCGATGATGTCTACTACACCCGCTTTATACAGTGCATGGTTCTGAATCATGTCCCACGCAGCAACTTTATCTAAAAGCTTGTCACCGTCCTTGCTCTCTGTTAGCCGATGGACCGGATGGTAGTATGGGCTACCACTAGGCCTCAAATCCGACGCGGAGTTCAAGCTCGGAGCCTCGACAAGTATATCTGCCAATGCAGCCTCTGATGCGCGCTCTTCCGTGGCTGAGATGAAACTGCTCATACATGTTGCAAGGCACAATTCATTTTCCGCTGCTATTCTCGCAATCTCAAGCTTGAGCTGTTCATTGCTCGCATGAAGGCCCGCATTCAAATCTTCCATGGCGCTAATTTGCTGGTTTAGGCGAATAAGATGTTGGTCCTTTCGTTCACGGTAGGCCCGTTGACTGACAGTGGGAGTGTTAGTAGTCGCCCGGATCATTACATGTAGGTTGGATAAAACGTACACAGCTTTTGCTCGAAACTTCCGTCGGTCCTGCTCGGTGGCGGATGAGTGGTATTGCACCTGTGTATTGTTTATTAGAGCTGCATTTTGAACACTTTCGTCTCCGTCTTTCCGAAGTGCTGCTTGCATGGTAGCGCGTGAATATGTGAATGTATCAGGAGTAAAAAAAAATAAAATAAAATAAAATAAAATAAAATAAATAAAATAAAAGAGCAACCGGGTGTTGGTATCGACTTTAGTAGTTAATTGGAACCGTGAAGATCATGCATGACAAGGAGTGGTTTGCAACAACTTGATTGTGGTGGCAGCTTAGTCAACCCGTTCTTCCATAGCACCACCGACGAAAATCGACTGCCGACTTGAATTAGTAAAAGGCTATGAGGTGATGGAGATGAAACTGCTATGCCTCCAGTACGATGCGAGGCTATTTGCCGTTGATAGTCTTCAAGGTTTGTGATGTTTGCAAAAATGGGCAAAGCGGGACCTGTCTTGCTCAGCAAACAGAAAACAAAGGTTAAGAGAATTAAACTTCAGCATTGAAACCGTAGTCGTCATGCCAGTCTGTTTGTATCCACATTCCAAATCGCAGTATTGTGGCTTGCTAGGTTGTGGATTACGTTGGTAAAGGTGGATTACGAATCAGCATGATTTGTAAGTATAGTGCAAGACTCTTGTCACGTAGTTAATATTAAAGTTGGATTATAAATTACTTCAGTCCTAATATCCTAATAGCACGACGTCAATTTAAAGCATATATAGCACACATTGCTTCACTTTTAGGTTTATTCTGATAAGCATAAGTGCTAAAACTGAACCACTAAGGGCTAGATCAGCATACAATTCCCATATTGGATTATCTCCAGAATGTCCAAGCCACTTGTGCTTATCCTCGGAGCAGGTGCCAATGTAGGCGCAGCTGTGGCTCACAGATTTAGCCAAGATGGGTATCAGGTCGCAATTTCTGCCCGTCGCATTGCAAACGGCATCTCACCTGAAGGATATATCACAATTCAAGCAGACTTGTCAGAGAAAACGGCAGTTCCTCTAATCTTTGAGAAAGTTAAATCAGCCGCAGGAATCCCCAGTGTTGTTATCTACAATGGTAAAGTCCTGAGATGTTATGCTGAAGTAGCGCTAATTCTTTCTATCCTAAGCGGCAACTTTCACGCCTCCACCCCCCAACGCCCCGCTTTCTTTTCCCCCGGAAGCCCTGGATCGCGATATCTGGGTTAATACTCACAACGCAATCATTGCTGCTGACTGTGCAGTGAAGGGATTTGAGCAGCTCCCGGAGACCGTGAGGAAAACATTTATCTACACTGGAAACTGGCTGAATACCACTATTTCGGCTTCCAATGTTCTTGTTACTTTAGGGATAGGCAAAGCAGCAAGCGCATACTGGGTTGGATCGGCGGACCAAACATACTCTCTGAAGGGGTACAGGTGAGTAATACCGAGCTTTTGTCTTCAGCCCCCATAGACAATGCTTACTATTTATCTCAGGTTTCACTATGTCGATCAGCGCACACCAGAAGGAACAGCGATGCGAGCAGGTGTTGATGGCAAGGCCCATGCTGAGTTCTTTAAGCAGCTTGCAGACAGGCAGGACCCTTCCGTGCCATGGCTTGCGACTTTTGTCAAGGGGAAAGGATATATTGATTTTTCCAAGTAATTCACCCAAGTGGACTGAATGAACTGGTGATATGCGATGTGTACTGTGGTTGACACCGGTGGTTTGTTCGTACGGTGGGACATGTAAGGGAGCAAATCATTTGATTCTGCTGCTCTCTGGTTGGGCTAATTTTGCCCATACAGTGTGCGCCGCCGTTGTATTGCGAGCTAGGAGTAGCTGAATAAGAGTGAAGGAGTGATTGACCCTGTCCTAAGATTCTAACTTTGGAGACGGTCTGCGGGGATAGTGTATTCATAATGAGCAATTGCTGTTGCTGTACCAGGCCAAAGATGTGTTGTGGTACTTAAGCGCCCATTTATGGCTTGCTGAGGTAATCTTGACAGTACTGACTGCCATCCGTTGCGATTGTTAAACCAGACGTCGCACTCAAAGCAAAACTCCGCAAAATCGTCTACACTCATTTGACTGAGTCTCTTGTGATAGCACCGATATAGATGTAGCCATTGACGATGAGCGTGAAACCTACTAGATCAGTACAATGGTATATATTAGCAGGGAAAGACTTACCTATCGACTAATCCACCACACATACACTTGCCGTCGTTGCCGGGTCGTAAGCCTGACCGATAGGTAACCGGATGGTACTGGCTGCAGATTGTTTCCAGTGCCTTCATAGCCTCCAGCCCAGTTGAGCTTCGTATAGTTAACCTAGTCAGCAAAATCTGAGCGAGGAGGTCCCGCTCTAGCATAGCTCGCCGGCGGTAGTAGAAGAAAGTTTGTTCATAGACACTTCCTGTTTAGGTACCCTGTTGGACCCCCCGTTGTCGTTTAAGTTCCTCAAGATAGAGCTTATCCTTTTGACTCGGGACTCGACGCCGTTGCAGGTAAATCTCATACGCCATTTCCTGGCTGTCGGCCGAGCTAAGGAGTGCGAATTCTGTGTTAAGTGCCATAACGTCCTCTCGTTCCTAGAATTCAAATTCCGCCTTTGCGGGTAGAGATTGCCACAGATTTAGGTTACAGTGTATGCCCATGCTGCGTCGATTTTAGATATACTCATGGCGGGAAGCAATATTCAAGTAAGTTACAGGTCCATCCACTTCGCACACAGGATGAGCGTACGATCGGCCAAAAGTGCGTGCTTCAGTGTGAGAAGCATGCTTCATTCGAGCCGTCTAGGAGTATTTCTTATCTATAAAACGTGAGTGGCTCATACAGCGACAGTAGATTAGCATATTTCCCTACCGGTTTCCATCAGTGCCCATCGACGACACGCACAGGCAGTAACATTCAGTTCATACCCGCTCCGACACCCAAATACAGCAAACTCTTTTCCAAATGCATCGGCACCTCTTACCCTACCCGTGGAGCTTTCACAATCTAGCTTGCTCAATAGTCTAAATACCGGAGTATCCAAGAGATCTTTTCGAAAATAGATCCTGGAGATAACGTGGTTGGACTGTGACTCTAAGTCGCTGATCTTGATAGAGTCTACTTCGTTAAGGATCTCGGTATACGATTTGCAATGGCGGAAAGCATAGTCAGCAGAAAACAATGGAAGCATGAAAAAAATCAAGTTAAAAAAGAGTATAACATTCTCTTTGTACACCTCGTAGAACGCAGCACTGGAGGTTCCCATTTTTTCCTTCTCCAGTACCCCTTTACAAACTTCCGAGCATAGGTCAACACCAACATCGGAATGCCATCAACCAGTTCTATGGTAAGGATAAAATGCTGTGCGAGGTCAGCCTCCAAAGCCTTCTGCCAAATACAAATAGCTGGATACGGACCTTGTAGCATGCAGCCATGGCGCTAGCTCGGAGATTCGCGTTATTTTCGTCGCTACTGTCCTTCTGCCGGGCAAGAGACCGGCGAGCTGTTAACTTATACACCTCTCCAGTTCGGGCGGACAAAAAGCAATAAAGTAGTATTAATACAGTAAGCTACATTCTACTCCGGTCAGAAAACTGGCCTCAATATTCCTTAAAGTCCCGACACCAGAGTTATATTAAAAAGATAGTCAAATTATTTGGAGAGAGTCCATCTCTAGATATCTCAACATCTAGAAGACTAAATTTAGTCTTCAAATCCGATATAATATAGTTAGAGAGATTTATTAGTACAGACTATATTAGGTTTGAAAATCCATAATTCCTTCAACATATTAAACATGTTCTTTGGGACATAGAAGCCCCTTAGCCGAGTAAGAGCTATTTCGAAGTTCCGGCGGAAATTCTCCACGGTCTCTGTTGTAGGCCTTTTCTCGATCCGACCCTTTATATTTCTTGCGTAGAGTTCCAAAAACCCTTTGTAGATTTTAATATCCGGGGAAGAGCAGGTAGCAGGGTACAGCTTAAGGAATCTAAAAGGGTAAGAGGCAAGACTCCGCAAATTCGAGTAACTTACTTGTTAAAAATCTTCAGACTCCGCTTATACTATTCGACTGTCCGTGGAAGAACAGCTCGTTTAATCTCTTTATTATCATGCTCGTTAAGGTTAATCACGCACGTAAAATTTGCAAGGGGCTTGTTTAGTATAGTATCCGATCAGTTTCAAGTTATGGATAAAGATGTAAGAGTAAGACTGACGTATTGTGGTTTAAAGTATATTCTCTCTCACACATGGGCGCTATTGTGTGCTTTTGTTAAAATGCAGCTTCTTGGTAATCGAGCGCAAAATATTCAGATACCTGAATGTTTACCTGAAGGCCGCCGGAACGTGGGCGGCAAAGCGGCGAGGGAACAGACGCTGGGGTGGGTGAGCACCGACATATATATGCTATTGTATGTTTTTCTTTCTTACTTTAAATGTTTTTTGTTGTTGTTGTATATGGGAAGACACTGGAAAATTAATTGTTCTTAATTACTTGCATCAAAGACAGCAACCAGTCTAAAGAGACTCCGGAAACACCATCGCTCTTTTCCATACACCTCCAACAGGCCATCCTTTATTAGCGCCCTCAAGCTCGATGCCCACTATCGCACAGCCTTATTATTCAAACGAAGCACCGGGCGAGAGCGCAAACTTGCTCAAGGCACGCAGTCTCGCACCATAGAAGTAAAGCAACCAGATACCAATGATGCCAATAACGCTCAGTCCACCAAGGAGGCTGACACCGCGAGCAACGCCCAAGTTGCCGAACAATGGGTGTGCAAAGAGCACACTGCCACAAGCCAGCGCACTTCGGAAGAAATCATTCGCGGCAAACAGACTGGCAGCGTAGTTGGGGTAGCTGAGTGGGATATAAACAAAAATGCACTGCATGACGACGAATACGGTCGCGCCGTAGATGGTGATTCCGATCGTAGGCGCGATCCAGTGGATCGAGGCGCGAGCTGTCCAGGCGAAGAGGAAGAGACCAATCGTGGGTCCGAACGAGGCGGGCAGCGCTGGGACCAGGCGCGTCTCTTGTTCCGGGAATCCAAAGCGGGCGATGCGCGGATTCATCCAGAAGTACAAGTAGGAGAAGTAGATGGCAATCCCGAGAATACAGGATACCAAAATACACAGGAAGACTAGACCGATTTGACCAAGGTTCATGTTGTAATCGACCGGGTAGACCAGCGGGAAGACCTCGAAGAAGGAGTAGTAGATGCCGTAGATGATAGCGGTATAGATCTGCACGAAAAGCACGGCGGGATCCTTGATCGTGATTTCTAGGGGCTTGATCAGCGCATCCACGGTTACATCAGAAATGCGCATGTTGCGCTGGTCGATCTCCGACTGGGACATGAAGCGATCGTCCTTAAAGATGCGGCGGAGACGGCTTGCGCGCCGGAGCAGGATGGTTGAGGTGCTGGTCTCGGGGAGGAAGAAGAACATGAGGAGGAACACAGGTGCCGAGGCCCAGATAGATTCGAAGAGAGACCAGCGCCAGGACTTGGCTGGGACGGCGAAGCCGCTGAGGAGTGGCCCGAGGGCAGCTATATCATACTGTTAGGACCGAGGGCACTGAACGGAAAAGAATCTGAGGGGCGAGACTTACGTCCGCAGTACGCGGCAGCAACCCAGGCCATCATGGCGTAGGGCAGAGACATAAGGCTATACATGTCGCCGATCGAAGCACCGCCCGAAGCAAGACAGGGAGAACCGAAGAACCCCTGCAGAAAGCGAAGCACCATCAAGCCGGGGAAGTTGCCCGCGAAAGCTGTGGGGATGGATATGATGACGAAGAGGAACATGGTCACGATATAGACGGGATTGCGCCCAATAATGGGAATCTCACTCATCGGTGAGAAGAGCAGCGGTCCGATCCCATATCCAAGCACATACAGCGAGAGACCCAATGTAGCAAGTAGCTCGCTGACGCCGAATTGCGCAATGATGCCTCCCACCGACGACGTGTAGATGGCCGAAGTGGTGTATACGACGAAAGTATAGAGACAGATGATTGTTGCTACCAGAGCGCGCTTGAGATTGGACCAGTTGTGTGGATTCTCGGCATCATCGGTATAGTACCAGTCGACCAGGATAGCGCCATCTTTGGTCTTTTTCGGGGCAATGGGAATCGACTTGACTTTTTCGATCTCATGTTGCTGGTCCGCTTCGAGGCGGGCTTCGGTAAAGGATAGACTGTAATTGGTGGTGACTTGACTGAGACTTTCATCACTGTCGGGCTGTCGTGTTGGTGTTTGAGCGTCGGTTTGAGCGTGTTCGGAGCTGGCTGCAGCGTCCAATCCGTCCATGACCTTGATCCATTGATCAGGTAGCTTGAAATCGGCCTTCTCCTCAGGATATTGAAAGTATTTGTTTTTTGTAACGAGACGGACGAGCTGCCCGAAGGCGGATTCTCGGAGGACTGCCTGCATAGTATGAATGGAACGCCCGGAGACGAACTAAACTTGTTTTTTTTTCCCCGTTATGCGAAGGCAGAGAGTAAAGTACGCAGTGGAAGACTGTCTGGAGGATAATATGTATACTGAAAAGTGACAAGCTCTTTATAATTGTTTTCACCGAGCTTAACTCCATCTACAACCATGACGTTAACAACCATAACGTTATCACCGAAGGCGCTTGCTAATCCGAGGCTAAACACGAGAAATTATAAATCAGACATTGATGCCATCTCTCACTGGATGGTAGAATGACTCATTTAACAATGGTGATGATTGGATCATTTACCAATTCGAGACTAACATCGTCCGTTGGATTGCCCCGATCCCGATGTGCCCAGAGATCGTAATAATCCTCTAGCTAGTGGAGATATAGTTCATCTCGGATGTTTCCGACGGAGATAAGGATAGATTTATAATGAGAAGTGACGAGAATGAGCTTGATGATTAGTCAACTTGGTTGGATCTGGGGCTTATAAATCAAGGCTTAAACTTTGTTAACTACTCACCCGTCTGACAATTACTCAAACACGAGAAGTCTAAAGTATTGATTACTCTCTACTGTACTGGCCTTTAGACAGGAGCATTTCTGGGGGGGAAACAACTGAAGTCAGGCCTGAATCTTGGTCCATGTAAGTGCAGCAGAAGAGCTGTCTTTTCCTATCTCCGTGGTGCTATATCTAACAACTGAACGAAAGATCGTATTTGATATGGACCAGGGCAAAACCAGCTTCACCAAATCAGACTCTCTTAAGTTACAATTCTCTCCTGAAAATTATCCGACAAAACAACCACTCTATTAATTCGTATTCTATGTTCTAAGGCCGTACTTAGAAAAGGGAAGACACTCGACCGCACTACTATTACCAAATCAAAGGTCGATTTAACGCAGTAAGTTAACAGGTCATTACTTAGCAAGGTTGGCCTACTCTCCATATCCCGTCCATAAAGATAAATTAATCATTAATACGGCGGGTTAACGGTCTATTATTTAGTAAGATTAGTTTATCTCCTATATTTCGTTTTTGGATAGCTCTGCTCTAAATCCAGCGTAACTCTCTTTTTGTCCTATTCTATCCCGAAATCTTGGTTAAAGATGTGACTATGTACTAGGTAGTTATGCAGGTGGTTGCATTGCTTAATCATCACCAGTGGTGCCAAGACCGTTCTTGGCATGTTCATTTACTCTGTACGACGCGGATATAGTATATTGTAGGTATACATGGGCCGATAGTCCACCCACTACCTAAAATACAGCCTAATCAGATTCGCAGTAGTCGCACAGTTCCCGGTCTGTAAGTTATTTATAATAGCCTAGATAATAGTAGTATATCTAAGGCGACTCCAAGGATAATAATAAAAACAGAGAATATAAATATTATATCTATTTCTCTGCATTATATTATATATATTAAATATCATATTAATTACAACGGGTATAGTTAGATAAATAACAAAATATTATGCGCCATGCTCTTGAATAGTGTCTATTATTAGTTATTTTAGGACTATATACCCTGGAGATTAATCCTGTGTTCAGGGGCGCAGTGCACTATGAGCTTTGAGCCAAACCATCCGTGGGGCAGGGACAAGCCATTGTTCTGTTGATCCGATCCCTGGCGTGGAGATGAACATGTTCGCGAATTAGCTCTATCTAAATTAGTGGGTCTATTCCAATCAGGACGGTCACAGCAAGAACAGTGTGGACAATCCTGAGCGACATGCTGATCGCTATAATATCAGAAGATGCGACCACGTCCTATATCAGGGGGTATGTGAAGTCATATTGCTCCCTTGTATACTCGTGGCTGTTAGTGTTTCCTCCACTGTCCTTTTCGCTTGGTTTGTTTTTTCTTACTTTCTTCTTTATGTGGCCTAAAAGTTGACAGGCGAGTACTATGTAACCGCCGATCCCCAATCGCGAACCTACACCACAGTGACAAATTAGATGAGACCATTGACTGCCGATCTCCGCGCCACGAACAACCCTTCAGCTGAGCCCATGCACCCTCTGCCTATAACTTCGTTCCGAATCTCACCCCTGGTTGACCCTCTCCGAGCACTTGCGACTACACAAAGCGCAAGATCAACCATGGCCCTCGTGACGGCCGATGCCATCCCCCGTGGGGTGAACGAGGAGCTCAACAGACAGTTGGCAGAAGTCTGGCTGGATATGGGCCAGCAGATTAAAAAATACGCAGACTTGTGGCGTATGGAGTACGACGAGAACTTGAAGGCCGAGCAAGTGCAGGCCAACTTGGAAAGAATAGAAACTGGGCACCGCAAGAAAGGCGAGAAATGGGCCAAACTCAAGGAAGTCTTTGACCGCACCCTTACTGCCATTGCAACGGTGGGTGATATGGTGGCCAGCGCCGCATCTCAGGTATGTGTCAGAGACCTGGACAGGGAGGACGCGACTGATTGCACGCAGGTGTTTGCCCCGGCTGGACAATGCTATAATGCCCTCAGCTTTATCATCCATGCGTATAAAAACTACCAGAGCGCTTTTGCGTCACTCCATGAAGTTTTCTCACAATGCCTCGAATATTTGGGCCGCTTGTCCCGCTACGCGCAGGGCAACCAAATGACTGCCGGCCTGACTAAATTGTCCTGTGATGTTTTGAAGCACTTCGCAAAGGTGTGCACGAAAGCATTGCGCATCCGGAGTGATCGCCTGTTTCGGATCAAAACGATGGCCAAGGGCGCGTTCCTTGACATTAATGAGTTTACTGAGATGCTGGGAACCATGGAGAATCTCACCAAAAAAGAAAGCATGGAAGTCGCGCTCGCTACTCTGGAGACCACGCGAGAGGCCAGGGATTTCGCCAAAGCCAATCACAATATCTTGGAACAGGGCGAGAGCGAGCGAGCCAAGGAGAAAAGGGACAAGAAAGACAGAAGACTTCTCCTCGAGACCCTCAGCTTTGAGATGACCGACGACAAATGGAATAGCATCGAGTACGCCCCTATTCCAACCTGGGGAACGACTTGGCAAAGAATCCACAATCATCGCGTGGATGGCACTGGCCAGTGGGCGCTTCAGAGCCCGAGATTCAAGGCCTGGGCGAAGGAGGATGGAGATGAACCCATCCTAGGGATTGTTGGTCCAGAAGCCTCGGGCAAGAGCTTCGTATCTTCCACCATTATCAGTCATTTGCGGGCCAGTGCACCGGACAAAGGGAGCAACTCCAGAAATCTCGTGGCATTCTATTTTCTGGATAGCAAGAATGCCACTTCGAACATTGACATGTACAAAGCGATTATCTGGCAATTCGCTGCCAGCGACGCATCATATATGCAATCCGCAGCTACGACGTGCGACGGGAGACACATTGAGGCCAACCACCTGTTGACTCGGCTTCTCCTTGATAATCACGAAGAGTTGAGTAACGTCAACGCAACCTTTTATATCGTGATCAACAAGCTTGGCGACAAGAATGGCTTTGTTCACGAGGGCGTTCTACACTTCCTCCAGAAGCTTAGGAAACTCAAGAAAAGCTCTGTTCGGGTTGCCTTCACGGCCACACCGCAGACGATCGACGAGCTGAGAAAGCATGACATCCACTGTCCAACAATTTCCATGCAAGACAACAAGAAGGATCTGGAGCTGTACATTGATTACCGCTTAGACAGAATGCGTGGTCTATCAGACAGAGGAGACAACCAAGTACTCAGGATTCGCAAAGAGGTGCAGTCCAAATTACAAAACCGACCCCAGAGGAACTATTACACCATCAGCAACATTCTCGACGAGGTTAGCTCCTTGGATCTTGACAAGGATATCTTCAAGGCTCTGGATGGTCCAACGAAGACTCTCAGCCAGAACGTCAGGGCTGATATCGCGGAGCTGAATAGAAGTCGTAAATCTCATGAATTGGGAGAGATCAACGAAATTATCCTGTGGATCACGTTCGCCCGCGAGAAGATGACAGCCGAGAAGATGAACGCAGTGCTGCAGTTCCACAATAAGGCCGTCTCATTGCTTCGTCTGGAGGATCGACTGAGGAAGTTTTTGCTATTTGAGATTGACAATGACGGGCTTGTCGATTTCCGATCGGAAAGTATGCTGGACTACATTCCTATGCGAGCCACCAAGGCGAAAACTCGTCAGGATCAGAATGAGGTGGTGAACCCGAGCGAGATTGGCATTCTCAATCATTTTCTCGGCAACGTCTGCCCCCCGGGGCTCATCGACAAGCTCCAGCTGAAAGCGCATTTCGAGAAGATCTTGACCCCACAAGAGGAGATTTTCCAAGAAGACCCCAATACAGCCAACTTCAGGCTCGCTCGCGTATGCATCTTTGTGTTGGCCAACGAAGAAGGTCAAAACCTGCGCATCTTGCGAGGATATGCAGCCCGCCAGCTTGTTGGCCACATGGCCAATGTGAACAACCTCGCGATGATTGATTCAAAGTGGAAACGCGGGGTTGGTAGTGATCTGCTAAAACTATTCCGCACTGGCTATGCTATCGACAATCTTCTATGGGCAAAGAAGCAGCATCCAGAACTCCCGCCCTGGATATTCGACGAAAAGACGATCGACCTCATTTGTTCATGGCTCAAATATCTTTCCTCCGTTGAAATGCTGGACGATGACTGGCTTCAGCAAGTGATGCATGACGGACATGTGCCTATGGAGACTATGGTGGAGGGCATCTTCGCTCGAATGGCGCAATATTGCTTCCGAATCGAGGCCTCGAAGAATGACACACTCGCTGCACTCGAAATAGTTTCCAAACTAGTCTCTAAGGTGAGTTTTCCCATTCCATATTTCAGTCGGTTTCTGGTGGCTAACGCGGCACATACAGTCTGTGGAGGACCCAACTCTGGAGCACATTGAAGACTGGTGCCAGAAAAAGCTCGGAGTTGCAAAGAAAAATTCAATCTGGCATTCCCAGATGGCTCTGCTATATTTCTTGAACGGTAAGAAGGACCAGGCTGCAAGTCGATGTCGAGAGGCACTCCACATGGACGATAAGAACTGGCGAGCGTCCCTAGTCAAAGCTCAACTCAGCGAATCCAATGACAAGCGCCGTCGGATCCTGAAGGATCTTTACCGACGTTGCGAGAAAGATGTGGAATGGATGAAAGAGCACAAAGAGTTCCTTTCTGATATGGCCGAGCCTGTTGGCCATGCCTACTGGGAAGATGGAAACTTTGACAAGGCAGCCGTGTGGTACTCAGCTTGTGTGGAGCATGGCGCCGACCGATACACGACTGTGGTTTCCATTCTGGAAAGATATGACAACGGGGCACGATGGAACGACATCATAGAATTGCTACGCAAGATGCACTCGCAATCGCATTTGGGTCCAATGTTCGTCCATAAAGCTCGGGCCGAGGAGCTACATACGGCCGTTCTGCACGCTGCAGTTGGCGAACAGAACTTTGACTTTCTTGATGAGGTATACGATCCTGTGATAGAGTATGCCAGGCAAAACCAGTGGTACGGGGCCTTGTTTTATCTTCGCGAAGCCTATGCTAGCGCTCGTTCCGCAAAGCCATCCGACTCCAACGCAAACGTGCTGGAGTTGCTGGAAGCGGCCGCAGCAGATGTTGTCTATACAGATGAGGATCCGGCTTCCGCCTTCTTCCGCGTTGGCTATCGATTGGGAGCAATCTACCTGCGAAACGCCACAAATGCTAGGGACGCTCACAAGATGGCCGAGGCAGAGATGTGGCTGGGCAAGATGAGCAGCATCATACCTGAACAAGTCAAAGAAACCCAAATGCGCCTCCCGCTCAGCCTCTATGCTGCACGGTATCACCGCATCGCTGAAAACGAGGCCGCAGCCTTGAGAGCAGCCCATAACACGTTGCAAATGGCCACGGAGCTTTTGTCGGACGGCGACCCTACCAACGACATGTTCGCCTTCCAGAAGATCCTCTATGCTATGATCCCATTCAAAGACGAGCGGAATGCCACCACCGCCCTTGCCATGATGAAGATTGCGAGCCCAGCTGGCAGGTTCTCGATCCCTTGTTCCTGCAAGTGCGGCCATATATGGCTGTCGCCTGGGGAGATGTGGTGGTGCATGGATTGCATCAACGTGGTTTTGAGGGAAGAATGCCGCCAGAACGTCAAGGATAAAAACATCTGTCGCAGCACGCATGAGGGCTTTACGATCCCTAAATTGGATGAAACTTTGCTGAAAACTGTCCCCAAGGACCATGTGCCGTGGGACGGTAAATTCATCCATATGGACAAGTGGAGGAGTAAGATCGCCCACGACTATCGCTTGAAGAAAACGTGATAATGCTAGCCATAGCTATTGTCATCACGTTTGCCAACGCACTTGCAGGATGTCGAAGGGATGGAGAGAAACAATGGGAGAAGACAAAATGGGTTGTCTTTGGTGAAGATCAGGTCGTGGTTATAGTCCAGTCAGGGAAGTTGGAGCTACAATCCCAGACCGCCCAGTCTGGTGAAGGTAGAGTCTAGACATAATACTATCTCGCTAATGTGATACGATCGATGTGTTCTGCACAACTTTTGCACATTACGCAGTGAAATGTAGGTAGGGAATATTCTACTATGTGCAAAACTAGTCTATTGGGAAATCTCTTCCAAGGCTCGGTGATGCATTAAGAACTTGCAATTAGCCAAAATGAATACGAGTGATATGCGACTTTCCAAATAACAGATCGATTAGGTTGCCATAAGATTACATGGTTTCCCTGGGCCTAAGTACCCCAGTGGGAAAGTCTCTGTTGGATCCTGACGACGTCTATAATTCGAAAGGCTGCAGTGCAGTATCTTATTAGTCATTATAGTACTTAGTGCCGCACTCCGATAACTCAGGGACAAGTCCGCGTACCAGCAATAAGTGGTTTCAACCAACGATAAGGTCTTCATAATGCAAGGCTCGGTATATAGAAGTAACCTATCTCTGAACCCTTGAACGAATCTCGTTGTTAAATCTGGCTGACCTGGGAACGCTAGTCCGAAATCACGTGTATCTAGTCAAAAACCAGTACTAGTCAATAGAGGCTCTATATCTTATTACTGGCAAACGCAGATATTCCTGCTGCTTAGTATGGACCGTAGCGAAGTGCATAAGCCAAGTTGCCCAACTGTTTTACAAGGTCAGACGAAGCGCAATAGAATCATACGGATTCCTTGCTAGGTAATCTTTTAGCGCCACGAAAGGAATATCACACCAAAGATATAAGGATTCATACAGAATTGCACATTTTTATAGTGCACTGGCGCTACGGAGTAGTCGCGCGAGCGCCAACATTACGCACCAGATTACACCCTTAGATGCACCTACTTAGACCCATATACTCGAGCTCGGGCTTTATTGTGGTGGGTGTAGATAGTGCCAGGCCTAACCCTTGCCCAATCATGGTTTCAACTCCACATTTTGTTACTGCATGGTGAGGAACTATGGCTGCATTGGGCGCGTAGGGCTTGGCGTAAGCAGTGAAGTTATGTTGTGGAGAGTCATCGGGGATGTCTGCTTATGTGCTCGCGAATCGTCCGTCACACATCAGCATTGAATGTCCTCTCATCCTCTATTTCTAGAGAATCAATCATATTTGGGCTCGCTCCAGGTCCTCACGTCCGGGCATGATGGCGGAAATGACCTATCGCAGTTGGTCTCCTGAACCCCCAGCCAAGGGAGACCCAAACGGGCCAAAAAGCAAGTCATCCCAGTTTCAAAGTGACAAGAATCGAAAGGCCATATGGCGACTTCTGGGGAACGGGTTTAACATTAACGATGGGGGAATGGATGTCCAAGCAGCCTTGCACTGGGCCGCAGAGCAAAATGATGTTGTCGCGATTCAAATCTTATTCAGCCTGGGCGCAAGCGCAACTGGGACAGCCCTCCGCTACGCAGCCAGTGGATGGCGCTGTGCCTCCGCGGTTCAGCTCTTAATTGATCACGGAGCAGATATTGGAGCCCGGGATGAGCCGCATGGTCGGACAGCCTTGCATTTGGCCGCCCTCATGTCCGTCGCAGATCACGTTCGTGTGCTCCTCGACAACGGAGCCAAGGTGAACACCCGGTCAGGAAGAGACGAGACAGCCTTGACTCTTGCCGCTTTCGCCGGCAAAGCAGCTACAGTGAAGCTCCTTTTGGGGCGGGGGGCTGACGTCTCTTGTGCTGACAGATCCGGGTGGACTGCTCTCTCGCACGCCTGCGATGGCCAGGACAAGCAGGAGGTCGTGCAACTTCTCCTAGGGGCAGGCGCAGACATAAATATTCGAGATAAGGACGGGTGCACACCTCTTTCTCGTGCCGCGCAATGCCGGTCATCTATAAAAACAATCGAGTTGTTGATAGCCACGGGTGCGGCCGTGATAACTCAAGATAACTATGGGAACACTCCACTGGCTCTGGCTGCTCGCCTCGGGGATGTTGATACTGTTCGGTGCCTCGTTGAGAGAGCGCCTACGTCCCTGCGCATGACCAATAACGCTGGTAAAACGCCACTGGCCCTGGCTGCGGAGTACGCGCAGATTGATGTACTTTGGCTTTTATTCGAGCTGGAGAATAAAGATGGCGGCGCTGATCTCGAGCAACTGGATGCTAATGGCGACAGCTTGTTAGCGGTGGCAGCTGCGCATGCCCAGACCGAAGTAATCAACGCTCTCCTCAGCATGGGAGCAAATTTGAATTCCGTCAATGTCAAGGGACGTAGTCCACTGGCTTTGGCAGCCCAGCAAGGGTACGCTTACGCGGTGGAAATGTTGATAGAGGCGGGAAGTAATGTGGAGGCCGAGGATAATGATGGCTATACTCCTATCGCTTTGGCCGCGATGGAAGGATGCGTCGATGCGGTCCAAACGCTTCTCGATGCTAGTGCGAAGACAAATCTCCGATGCCAGAACGGGCTAACAGTCCTGGACTTAGCCAGGGCGCACAATCAGCAACAGATTGTCCACCTTCTTGCCCTGGAGCAATGGAAGCAGACGCTGCTGGACCAAGCGCGAAGGGCGCCATCCCATATCGCTTCCAATTCGCCCCATTCACAGCAATTAGCTTGCCCTCGAAGCACTAGAGTGTTAACGTTGCACGCAGGTGGCTTCGAAGATCCAATTTGCTGTTCCCTGGACGTTATCAACTACACATCCCGGCATTCCCAATACGAAGCCCTGTCCTACCTCTGGGGCTGTGACAGCCCCAGCTGTGACATCTGGATTTCGGGACAGAGAGTCCTTGTTCGGGAAAATTTATCCTGGGCCCTGCGTTACCTGCGCGATGAGAAAAGCCCTCGGGTACTATGGGTGGACGCGATCTGTATTGACCAAGAAAATATCGCGGAGAAGAGCATGCAGGTCCAAAATATGACGGAAATTTACAGATCTGCATCGAGTGTCCTGATTTGGCTTGGCCAGGGAGACGACCTGGGACATGCTTTCTCCCTTGTCGAGTATCTCACCTGGAAGAAAGAGAGAGCTCTTCGTACCGGCTCCTACCACGATTTGTGGGATCAATCAACTCGACCGCTTGCCTCCCTTCTAGACCATCCGTACTTTAACCGGGTTTGGATCTATCAGGAGATTGTCTGTTCCAATAATGCCACCGTGTACAGTGGGACCTTCAACTTAGGCTCTCCAGAAATGTACTCCATTCCTTGGGACACTATAGCCAAGTTCTATCATCTGGTTGGGGAAAGGGAGCTTAAGTCGGAAGTATGGCGGGCCGCGACGAGCTCTATCTCGCGACTCGGCTCGCTCATCAAAGGGCAGAGATTGTTTAGCAAACCAGGCTTAGACTTGCTGTCTCTTCTTGAAGTTCAGAGGGACAGCCAAACAACCTTGCCCGTTGACAAAGTCTACTCCGTCGTCGGATTATCCACTGAGGGAAATCCGGCCGCATGCTTGCTGACTATAGCTTAACAGCAGTCGAAGCTTTTACGCATGTAGCTAGGGTCCTGATTGAGTCACGGCGTGACCTGCGAGCCTTGAGCGCCGTTCAGCACTCTGCCGAAGAATCCTGCCTTCCATCATGGGTCCCCGATTGGCGTAGATCCTGGGAACAACGACCTATCCTGTTTGGAACCTCGGAGCGTGCAGACCCCTTGACCTTCTCGGGTGCTGGCGCAGAACGGAGGCGGCGGCTGCAGGCATCCGAGTTCACGGCAATGGATGCCAACTACGGATCGATTGAGAAAGCCCAGAGAAGCTTTGATGCAGTGGGTGGTCGTCCTGTATCCCTTGAGCCGTCCGAGAATCCGACAGAGCTGGGGTTGAAGGGAAGACGCGTCTCGACGATTAAGACTCTGGTCGAGTTCGACGACGATGTAGCAGTCCCGGATGATTGCCTCGAGACCCCTATTATGTCATTCTTCTTACGCGACTTGAGCGCCTCCTGGCAGTCGCCGTACCCTGGCAGCAAGGAGGAGACCTATTGGGACGCTCTCTCCCAAACAATAATTGCCGACCAGAATGAAGATCTCGCTGACTTTGAGGAGCTCCGTTTCCCGGAACCCGAATCCAGATTTGAGGAAGGCTTCGTGGAGCTTTTGCACTACAGGTGAGTCCTCCATGCTTGTGTCACTGTCATATTCCGATCAGATCCGCTGACCCAGTGGCATGCAGGCAGCGATGGGTCAACGAAAACCGGACCCGTCGACTTTTCCTCACGGAAGATCAGAGGGTTGGACTTGGGCCCGCGCACGCACGACCCGGAGACGAGATATGTATTCTCTTTGGTGGTCATGTTCCATATATCGTCCGAGGCTCGGGGCGTTCGCGATTTATCGGCGAATGCTATTTACACGGTGCGATGAATGGTGAAACGCTGGACAATGGAGATGACCAGGACGATAAAGTATACATATTGCATTAAATTTTCATCACGTCCAAGAACTGAGGATTACAACTTTAGCAGCGCATAGGTGAGATGCTACAAAGAGCTTTTGCATTGACAATTTCGATTCGAATTCCAGGAACTTGCGGGGTCATTTCAGTAGGCTTAATATTTTCCTTAACCTCATGAATAACTCGTCCGCCATTAACTGTAGTTAATAAAATATGCCTTAATCTTTGGTTGATTTGTCTGTTGATATGATATATTTCTATTCGTCAAGATCCGTAGAAAGTGCTTATTCTGCCTACTGGGAGTGTTGTCTTCCTTTATATGTGGTTTAAAAAACCCCAGAATATTCGTTTATCTTCTAAACTGGCTTAATTAAGCTAATGTTCATTTGGGATAAACAGTCATAGACATTGACCTTCTTACGCTCTGCTAATATTGTTCGGCGGTTCGTGTGTGTTTACGACGCGGATATAGTAAGTTTAGTAACGGGTCCCTCCTGTTGCCTCTTCGAGGACCTAGGTACTCCTATAGCATGTTTTTTTAAATGTACATAATCCTCCCATTCATCATTTCATCTAGACCCCTGAAGCCTGCCGGTGCCATTGGGCGCCCTCCGACCCAATGAGCGGACTCACGTCTAGCACGAGGATCCCTAAGCTGGCCCGCCATCTTGGCAGCCAGACTATATGAGCGGGCGAGTCCCCGAAGCAAACAAGCGGCAATTGAGGGGGAAAAGACACAAAGTCGACAAGATGAGGCTGGCATGTGCTCTTGGATCGCTCTTTGCCCTTTTTCTGAGTGTGGCTGCGTCCGCGCCGACGGTAAAGGTCTCCATCTCTGCCCTAACCGCGGGAATAGAGTCCGACTGGGCTGCTGTCTACTATGGCCCTAGACCACAAGACTCGCTCCTTGTCGGAAACGACGGAAGTGCAGCGACAGGCGGTCTCCGCACGTATGGCCTCCTTGACCGCAACCTGAACGAAACCGCTCGGCGAACGCCCGGCCGGACCAAAGTAGTAGGTGTCTTGTACGACATCGGCGGACGCGATCTGCTGGTGTCGATTACCACCACCGAATCGATCATCCGTCTGTATGACGTTGATGGACTTCGAGAGATCTCTGGTGTGAAGAAGAAGGTGCTCGGCGACTGGTCGTGTCTGTGTACGTGGCGGAGTCCGCGGGGTGCGGATTATGTCTTTCTGCTTGGGAAAAAGCAGGCGGTTCAGTTTCTCGTGAGAGGGAACCGGAAGGAGCTGGAGATTCTTGAGGTTAGTGGACTTGTATCCGCTGCTGTATCTGCACGTTGGGGCTGATCAGTATCTACAGGTCCAAGCTTTCCCGCTGCCCGTCGAACCAAGTTCTTGCGCTGTTGACCCTGAGGGGGTTGTCTACTTCGCTGCAGAAAACACGATGTTATACAGTTTTCAGGCGGCAGAGTCAACCGTTGCTCCTGAGATCAAGGCGTTTGGAGAAGTCGGTGACGATATCTCAGGTTTGGCGGTTTACGTCTCCCACAGATCACATTACCTGTTCGTGGCACAGACAGACGTTATAGAGATCTACTCGCCCAGTCTGGAGCTCAAGGGGTCCCTTGCTGTGACTGGAGCCGAGGACATCGAGATTGCAGGAACGGCCATCTACCAGAGTAGCTCAAGTCAGTACCCCTACGGACTGATCAGCTATGCGATTGAGTCGGATTCTGGCGTGGGCTTCGGCGTCAGCTCCCTTGAGCCCGTCTTCACCGAACTGCGTCTTGAGCCAAACACCCGCTATACACCGCGCTCAGCACGTCCTCCGCAGTCTGAGTCAAAGCTAAACGGGTTTAGAAATCGTGATGGCAGCCTTTCCTGCTTTGCCGGCTTCACAGGCCGTAACTGCAACCGTGTTGCCTGCTCGAATGACTGCTCCGGACACGGATCCTGTGTGGGACCCAATGAATGCCAGTGCCGTGATCCGTGGGCTGGCCCCGATTGCTCCTGGATCGGTGTAGAGGCAAAGTACGAAACGGATGCCAACGGCGGAGATGGTGACGACCCGGCTATCTGGATCTCTCCTACGAGCCCGAACCTGTCGACTATCATCACGACGACCAAGTCCGAGGTGGGCGCTGGGCTTGCTGTTTTTGATCTCAAAGGGAATCTCCTGCAGACCATAAGCGCCGGCGAGCCGAACAACGTGGATGTCATCTACAGCTTCCAGCTCGGCAACCGCACAGTCGATCTGGCTTACGCTGCGTGCCGAGCGGACGACACGCTATGGTGCTTCCCCACCCGCTACCTCTCCATCTACTGAGCCACCACTAACGCTCTACAGCCTGTTCGAGGTCACTTCCGACGGCCTTTTGGCCGAGGTCCCTGGCGGAATCCAACCCGTCCCTGAGGACTACACCGTCTACGGCTCGTGCGCGTACCGCTCCCCCTCAAGCGGCAAGCAATACCTCTTCGTGAACGCGAAATCCGGGCAATACCTGCAATACGAACTCACCTCGCGCACCAACGGAACCCTATCCACCACGCTCGTGCGCACCTTCACCGGCGGCACCGGCGGGCAGCCCGAGGGGTGCGTCGCCGACGAAGAAAACGGCTCCCTTTTCCTCGGCGAAGAGCCCTACGGCCTGTGGCGGTACGACGCCGAGCCGACGGGCTCGAGTAATGGGACTCTCGTCGCGAAGGCGGGGGACGGAACACTCTTTGCGGACGTCGAGGGCGTGACCCTCCTCCCTGGAAAGACCGCTGATCAGGGGTTCATCGTTGTATCCTGCCAGGGGGTCAGTGCGTACTCGGTTTATCGGCGGGCAGAGCCGCATGAGTATGTGATGACGTTTACGATTGGGGAGTCGAAGGACGGACGAGTTGATGGCGTGACGAATACGGATGGGGTGGCTGGGGTGCCGAATCGGTTGAATGCTGATTTTCCGCATGGGTTGCTGGTGGTGCATGATGATGCGAATCAGTTGGCTGAGGGGGGGACGGCGGAGTTGGCGTCGTTCAAGTTGGTGAGTTTGGAGGATGTGTTGGGACCCACGGTGGGAGGGATGTTGCTGCTGGAGCTTGATGCGGAATGGAATCCGAGGACTACCGTGTGAGGGTACAGTATGGTGTTGATGCTGGAGACTGTAGACGCTGAGTTCCATGTCTATATTGAAGTATACTGACCGAGCAAAAAGTATTCTCAATATGCATCTTATGTAGGTCTATCGAAGGAGAAACGTCAGTGCCGCTTCCTTCCCTTATTACGCAAATATAACTTCTTTCTAGCTTGGGTGTTTAGGTGATCTGAAGGAAGCCTCTTCAGCAGTTGTATGATTTGATCATCTTAAGCTTCTTCCTAGGCTGACCGCGGACTAGTCTATACAATTTTAGATATATTTGGCCGGGTCAGGTTCCCGTGTTATTTGCAGACTAGCATGGCATGCGGGTGCTTAAACATCACTTTTTTGACAGGGTTTACTATTAATCCATTTATTCAAATGAGTCTCTATGTATTTCTGATAACTAGAGCAAAGGTCAAGAATAAAGCCTATTCAAAAGTTCTGTTCGATTGAACCTCCATGAGCAGGATATATACCATCATCAGATACCCTGGGACCGAACAAATCCACCAACAAACAAGGCTACCCGAATAACGCGTTGGATACTATGTATGTCCTTCAGTCCTTATCTTCTACTGCTGAGCTGGAAAGTGTACACGTGTACTATGGAATACTCCTGAGCGGGAAGAATGTGTGGCCATCGTTGGTATTAGGATATAATATTGAGAAAGAAAGTGCAATCAATTCAACTGAGTCAAGCTATTCCATCTGACTTTCAATACGAGCTTCAACGTCCTCTCCGTGTTCAATCTAGTATGGGAAGTACTTGGCCTGGAAATTGAATGGCATCCGGATACGAGATAGCCACATGATGGCGCATACCTCCGCATCCATATACTTCGATCGTGCTGTGGGTGAACCAATTTGGGTCATCTTCAAGCGGGACATACGTCCCTCATCGCCAGCACGGCCCGAATGTCCGTCTGAAGTACGGAGTCAGGACGAGAGAGAGAAACTTATAAATACCATGCTACCTCCAGCCCTCTCAACATCATCATCAACAGCTGAACATCCCTCCCCAGTTCCACAGCGACCAACCAGCCCACCAACCACGACAGCCAACGTGTATTCGTCGCGATGAAGTTCACCGCAATCCTCGCCCTCGCCTTCGCAGGCTTTGCCATTGCATCTCCAGTTGCCGGACCGGCGCTTGAAAAACGTACGCCCCCCACCCCTCCTCGAGTCTATCACGCACAGGCTGTGGTGTGCAATGACGATGATACTAAAAGAGTACAGGGTCCTGTAAGAGCGACTGCTCGAGTCTAGCTTCCAGATCATGCAACTCGAGCTGTGGCGGCAATGGGTCGTGCTTTAATGCTTGCTATCCGGCGAAGTACAATGCATGCGTGGCGGATTATTGCTAGTCGCTGAGTCGTGCTAGAAGCATACTTGGTCTCAGAGTGGGGGATATGGCAGAGATATCTGACATGGGCTATAGTCTAAAGAGATTTCTCCATGTCATTGTGCAGTCTTGACTGCCAATTATATCTAACTGACACTCCATATCATCCTTATACTATAAAAGTTTAGTACATACGACCACAGGGTGTGGAAAACAGGGCTTCCCGTCCGCTCAGCCGTACTTAAGCCACACGCCGGCAGGTTAGTAGTTGGGTGGGTGACCACCAGCGAATCCCTGCTGTTGTATGTTTTTTTTTTATATACTTTTTATAGTCAGTGGATATGTGATGACCCGCCGTCCGTTTATGGGTAAAGTGGCCGCCGGGGTGATGTAGGATCCCGACTCGGGTATACCTATACTAGCGGTTGAAGGGCCACCGAGTGAACCAGTTTCATTCTTGCAGCCTGTACGTCCCTCTTGGCTGATATATGCGTGGAGGCTCTACACCTTAGCATATTACGATTTACAACCCGTGGTGACTCCGTGCTGACGGGATATAGGATATTCGGTTAGATCTGATTGCATCTGTTAGATCTATAGTTTGGTAAGGCGATCCGAACTCTGTTCTTCCCCACGTTTCACTAGAACCATCTGAAATATGATGAAAGGCAATACCGACACAATTTCCAAGCCGTAGTTCTACATCTTGACTTGGCGAGGACCTCAGTTAGTCCTTGAATCAGCAACTGTACCTGTCGCTGCCTCCTACGCCCCATCACATAGTCTAGAACACAGCATAACGATAAGAGATATTAATAACAGTATAGAACTAAACAAGAAAGCAGGTATAGCAATTGAACAAGCAGAAGCAACTTGGAGCCAGTGGCTGATAGGTAGTAAGGTGCTATAAGACATGTGCATACGTCAATCCAGATTATTCTCCGCAGGATCGATCATGATGTCTAGATCCTCTTCCTCCTGCTGCTTTGCTGCCAGATGCTTGTCTAAAAACGACTGAAACCGAGGGTCATTATCTGTAGACGACCAGATACTGTCAGTTTTACCGGTCATCCGCACACGAAAAACGCTATTGTAGGTAAGCTTTGTCGCTCCCCGCTGGTAACGCTACTAATGACTATAATAAGAATTAGAATGGGAACAGAAGAAGTCCTCCTTAAATAGTTTCTATTTTTACTGCTATCTAAGGGCTTGAAGCAGGTATGGAGAGACCAATTCCGTATGTATCGACCTATTGTCTTTGATGAGAATACGGAAAATAGGAGAGTAAGGGCGACGACAAAGTTTTATGAGACTGGTATCAATGAGTTTGAGGGCAAAGTCTGGGATAGGCCCGGCTACTTCGACAAACTTATATTTGACTTATTCCGAACGTAATATCCTTCTGAAATAAGATTTGAATTTGTAACTGTTTATCTTACCTGTACCAGAGATGGGATGTGAGGGGTTATTCTGTCTTATGAATATAGCCAGGGAATTATTAAAGACGGCCTTGTCGAATTTATCTATATATTGCAGCATTATATCGGAGATCTCTGATCTAACAGCCTCGGACAGGCCGCTGGGGGGTCTCTTCTGTAGCATCTTGCGTTGCTGAGATGTCACGTCTGAGCCCTGATTTATTTGTGCTCTGTATCCCCTCAGCCACCGAAGCATCTGTGGTATGTTTTGAAGTTTCTTAGCTTATCTTTGTGAAGAAGGCGACTTTCTTTGTCTATCTTCTTCTGTAGATGATCTGAAGTGATCTGGGCAGGGTGCTTTCCTTGACGAATGGCCTCTATGCCTTCCCCTGGCCCAGACTCGCCTCTCCGGTTATCGTTGTTGGAGTTAGAGTCGCTGTTGGACCTGTCTCCTGGAGCCGTTGCTTGCTGTCTTCTTTGACTGGACGTGTTTGGGGGAATCTGCCCTTCTTGTCTCGGCATCTCTGGAGGCGGTAGTGTACTAGTTTGCCGTTCGGTTCGCCGGGAGATTTCTCCTGCGTGGGCTCTGCCGCTTGGACTCTGTAACTGAATCTCGAAGGGTTTGGCGGTGTGTTTAAGGTTTCTAAAATCGTGTGGTTCTTCGGTAGTGTCTGTAGGACGTTGTTTAATTACCGTCTTTTTAACCCCTCTATGACTCCGGTGCTGAGGATCGGTAGTGTAGCTGGTCTCGAGGGGCATGGGAACCGGCAGAATAACGGATCACTTACAGGAAGAAGGGGGAGGAAAGAAGAGAAGGAACGGAACTGCTCGAATTGAAAGGAAAGGGAGATTTTGAGTGCCGACGCACAGCCTTATTTGGCCTATTTTGCCTACTTTCCGGACGTCCAAGGCTGAGCTCGGTGAGTTGGGCGTCGGCGCCTGCATTAAGATTGCACGAATTAGCGGCTTACCGAGGCGGGAAAGATTTAGCCTCGTGTGCCAGGTTTACATCACTTTCTGTCTGGCTGTTAGCACTATGCTAGAACATGCCGTCTCCATCAGAGTCGACAGCTCATTTACCAACCCGTTGTATTCAGAGATAATGGCAACATACGATGTTCCTAATTAACGCCTAGACGGAGGCAGCGTACCGTCGATATTAATACTCCCGGTCTCTTCTTTTACAACGGCCGTCTCGATATCTTCAGATACTACAAAACGCATATTCTCAAGATCTTCTATACAGCCTTTAATACAGGAGGAGCTGGACTAGAAGCCCTGGAAATATATAGGTGAGCCTCACAAACACTGAAACCCTTGATAAACGTATATTAACGTGGACCTGGAAGGATATTATAATTTTTCAACGTTCCTTGCTTCTGACAGCGATTTCTGTAATTTCCGACGTTTTGATCGTCTGAACCCCCGGGAAATCTTGGCCTTGTAAGATAAACTATCTTAGATAGAAGAATCCTTAGACGAGATCGATAGGTCCTGTAGCTAACGCGACGCCTCTGATGTGAATAACGTGTTATTCCGGTAGGACACACAGTAAGCTTGAGTGGATCTTATATGGGAGGCTTGTCGAAAACTAGAAGAATATAGTATGTTCTAAGGTTTTGGACGGAGGACATGTGCTGATATGGAAGACCGATATCTCTACCGGTATATCTACTTTAAGATATGAGTATCCGCGGCCGAAAAGGATATTACTAGTCTAAAGAATTGGTTCTACAACTATGATGGAGCTATTATGTCCGAAGAACGGATGTATATTGATAAGAATAATCTTTTCGCTCTAGTGCTTAAAGATCGAAGTCCTTTACAGTGTCTCTTTGAGCGGTCCTCTTATTTTCGATTCTTTAAACTCTGGCGATAAAAGCCCTAGTCCTTAGATCTACCCCTTTATATCCGACAGTATATTTATTACTCGTCTAATAGCCGAATCGATTAGTTTATAACGCTTACCATCGTTGTAACCGGACTGGTTATATTTATCGCGTCTATCTGGATTCTAGCATTTATAAGGCCTGTTGCCCTTAAGTTGGTAGTTATCACTATTTTTATTCTTTTGTTCTTGGCGTTAGTTGTTTTTAGGACATATGCTAAGTCATATAAGTCTTTGGCGGCAACCGCGGCGTAAGTAGTTCAAACGCATCTGTTCAGGTCTTTCCAGGCCCCAAATTGCTGATTCTTTGCAGTTATTCTGCCATTCTAATGGTCTTTCTTCAGATGGGGAAGTAGAACCTTAGCTAGGGAGGTACAGGATAGGTAATTGAATAGGGCTTGTGTTTCAACAAGCTGGTGTTGAAGATCGATTTTGCATATAGAGTAGCCCCACAAATCGGGCTCCTCAATTGTAGCCTTGAGACGACCTCCTAGCGCGTATCGTTTGATGTCGTGCTTAATGGCTTCCTTTAGATATGCGACTAAGATAGGGCGCCTGATTGACCACTTGGCCGTTGAAGATGTTGCCTTAATTGGGGTTGAAAGAGATAGAACCGAAGCGCTACCTAGTCGCAAGAGTAAGTTATCCGGCGTTAGCGCTGAGCAAGAGGCCTCTAATATAGCTGAATGGTTGAGCGGCAAAGTCGCCTACCACAAGAAGCTGCGCGGAGGTGTGCACTTCATAGACCAGACCCCCAAGAGTGCTACTGGCAAGTTTCTACGACGAGTACTGAAGGAGCAGGCGAAGAAGGAGGCTACTTCCAAAGCCAAATTAAAACATGATACATGGAATGGCTACGAGCACTAAGATCCACTCAGGAGTTACATCGATATCTACCTAAGGCTCAAATCCATCCAGCGTCCGCTCCTGTTTCTCGATGCGAGATCACTCGTTATGCCCCCGGCCCCCAGGGCAGACTTGCCTTTTCCATCCCTAGCCCTTCGAACGGGCAATTGACTCGACGATCAGTTTTTGCCCGGGCATAATGGTGCATAATGCTACGTGGCAGAGCGATGACATCAGCTCTTCTCCCAGCGTTGCTCTGCTGGATAAAACACGTTTCCTTACTCCACATAATGTCATGCAAAGCCTTTAACTGTTCAATTCATGCCCATCACGAGTTAGAGCCGAAGCCCGATATCTCGGGGATAGGGTTAGGTGACCTTCTATGGGCGTTGCGATACAGGAACTCAAAATATGCAAAGGTTGTGATCGGATTCATCGCCTCCGGTTGGACAACACTCTTGTTTTTGGTACTTCGATATGTTGCTGCGTCGTCAAACCCATCAATCGACGACGACGCGGCTCTCCTGGACAGCTCGTTGAGGAAAGCGGCACGGAGGATATTAGGAATATGGCCGCCACCACTGCAATGGGTCCCAACCCTAGAGACGGTAAGGATACGTCTCTCATCGAAGACGGCAGCACCGGACGTTAATCGTTACCCGAGCTCGTGTTGGCAATGAGCGACCAGCAGCTAGTGACCGGTCTTTCCATCGTTATCGGCGGCTACTCCCAACTTTGATGCAGTCTATCATTCTATCATTGGAAGCTGATAGCCATGCTCGCCTGGTTCTCATCGGCAACCCACCTTGCGACCCTGCTGTTCCTCCAAGAATACCTACAGAAAAATATGAGTGGGAGGTTTGGGCAGAGGATGGATCAATAAAGCAGAATCTATGATTGGCACATCGATCGTGAGGACTAACCCAGCCAGCAACGGGTTTCACTTGAAAAGGTCCTAGTGGAATCATGGCGCATTCCTGGTGATATATGTTCGGACGAGTCCCGAGCCTCCAGTCGGCAAAAACTCGTTCAGGAAACTTGTATAACTTCTCTAGTATCTGGGAACTATCGACGGAGAGTATTATATAAGATATCTCTTTTACGTCGGTGTTTTGCTGAGTTGCCCCTGAGGGCGTCTAGCAGTATATACGGTGCAGCCTGAGTAACAGTAACTGGGTAATGAGGGCTATTTTAATTAGTACGGAGGATAGTAAGAGACAGCGGATTGTTTGCCGCTGGGCAAGTTTCCGAATGGTTAGGACTAAATACTTTCTCTATGTCTACTAGGGCTCGCTAGTACATCTCCTTGCTCTCTTTCACCTTGCCCTGATTAAAGTAGAGATTCCCAAGATTGATAGATTCCGTAGGTCTCTCTTATTTATACTCATTTATAAGCGCTATTTAAAGCTTGGACATACATCTAACATGCGAGAAACTTTGATTGCCCAATAGAGGCAGCGAAGAAGATCTAATATATATATCTTTCTCATCTATATCATGTCCAGCCCACTGATGATTTCCTTTACATTTAGGACCAGTCTCCTTCATCTTCAACAGGCTTGCCACTCTCCGAAGCGTCCAGAAGCTCCTTGACAGTCCATGGCTTGTATGTGTAGCCAGGTACAGAGTTCGTATTCTTGAATGGCGTACCCTTAAGGAGGTGCTCCGCACATTTGCCGTAATTCTCATATGCGTACTGCTCTGGGTCATGGCGTAGCAGCCAGTCTCCAGCTATTTTGCCGAATAACTGGGGTTTCTTGGCGACGGCATCCCAGTCGGTGTTGTGGAAGGACTCGCGGTTTTTGAAACCCATTTTCTGGGCGCACGAGACTCGCTCAAACCTGTTATTAACGTGTGTGTTATCAGCGCCTGTAGCATCTACTCCTTAAATCCGGCAGCGAAATATGACTCTTTGGCTGCCACATACCTCAAGTAGTTATGCACTTTCGTTGCTAGAGATACATCCTTCCTCCCGGCAATATCCAAGCACGCTGCCAGAGAATACGCATCCTCCATGGCCATAGTCCCACCACTGGCTGAGGTCGGCAGAAATGAATGTGCGGCATCACCGACCTGGACGACGCGGCCGCCAGGTGACGTCCAGCGCGGTTGAGGGTTACGCCACATAAGCTTCCAGTCAAGAACGCGGTGGTTGGGTGTTGCCTTGATAAGCTCGGTCACGAACGGCTCCCAGCTCTCGACAGCCTGGAGGGCCTTGTCGATCGTTGTTGTCTTCACCCAGTCTTCTTCGGCAACACTGCCTTCCTCCTACGTGAGGTTAGTATACAACCGCACAGCACAAGCCGTGGAACGTGACGGGCACATACCTTGCGAGTGAGCAGCCAACAAATCTCTTCCGCAGTTTTGCAAGTAACGATGTGTGCCCCCGGACCTGCGTGTAGGAATGTGCGGTCATTGAATCCTCCAAGCTCCGCTGCGATGACTGGATTTTCGAGGGCCGGTGCTACCGGGAATGTGACACGATAAAGCACGAATCCTGAGCTGATTGGGGGGTCGTTGCTGCCAACGACCAATGCCCGCGATTTGGAGCCAACTCCATCGGCCGCCACCACTACGTCAGCCGTGAGACGGCGCCCATCAGACAGGACCACACCACCATGGTCGTCCGTTTCGAAGAATTCTGAAGCAGTCGCAGAGAACTCTATCGGGATGCCGAGCTGCTCGGCGTACTCGGAGAGCAAGTTATGCAGCTTTGATCGATAGATGGGTAGAGATGGGTCGTCTGCAATACCCATAGGGAAGGATCCGATCACAGTCCCGTCGAACTTTTTCATAACAATCGTCGGGGTGACTGCCTCTCGTCTCGCCCGTTCCATGAAACCCGGCCATTTCTTCGGGGTCTGGAGGGCAGGGCTTGTAATCACAATGAGTTCGCCTACACCAAGGGTTAATGCGCCACTCAATGAGCTAGTATGTACAGCACGGTGATGTGTATAGAGATGCGAAGGAGTTGAAGACGGTTCTTACCCGCAGTCTCCCCACGGAGTCGTTGTTCGATAACCTGGACATTGTGACCCTTCCGGTGAGCCTCAATAGCGAAGGTTAAACCTGCAATGCCACCCCCGACAACAAGAATGGAGATTCCGGTATCTTCTCCTCGTTCCATGGTTGAAATTGCGCGGGCCGATGAAAGATGGTTTGTTTTAAGTTGGACCCTTGCCCGCTTTTTAAAGGGTTCATGTTGTTCGTGTGTTGGATGTACCCAATACACTGAGAGATCGGCAGGAACAGACGGCTCCGGTACCTAGATGGCCCGTCCGGAAGATCGGGTTGGTGCTGTATCCGCTGACTTAGCGATATTGGGTCATCCAATTGGGTAGCTGTGCCATAATCCCACACCATGCGGTGTACAATAAATGTCTCTACTATAGTCCGGAGCTTGCCTACATAAATGCCGCTGTGGGGAATCCAAACTGTCGTACCAGGTAAGAAAGACGTAGAGCCGCAGGGTCCACGACTTAATAAGCGGCATTTCGGAACTCACGCACTCTCCGATTCCAGATTGAGTTATACTATGAACGGGGAGGAAGATCTTAGGCATCGAACTACTGTATAGAACTACGTTGCCATAAATATAAATTTGAGGGTTCGGAAAATCATCGGCAAATTGGTAATGTTGACAAACGGAAGTACGAGAGCTCTGCTCACTACTGTCTAAACAAGGGGATATTTACTATCCGCAGCAAGTTGGACATCCTATGCCACAACTTCCGTTTTCCTTCCATTGCTGCACACAGAGATTCTGTCTAAGTGCAAGACAGTCGCAATACTTGTGCGTCGAGATTCCACTGCAGCGGCGTCCCACCTACGAAGCATCAAGACCGTTGTGGGAACTTTAGGCATAAAGCGTAGGCCATCAGAAAGCCTAGGTTATGGTAGCTTAGCTTCTTCGTTGGCGTAGGCTTGCCATTGGCCTACGCAGTCTGCTTCGCTGCCAGCACACACTCCTCTAACAGTGTCTGCTCACATTTCCATAACCAGCATAGGGATGTCCAGCATTATGAGTTAGTGAAGTCAATTCATTCCTAAGATTTGCCGTAACATTCCTGATCTATTCTGAACAAACTTGCCCATATCTCGCTTCGAGATCGTTTTCCATCGCGAAGGAGAAAGACGGTCCGATTCATGTCGACTTCTGAGGAATCCTTCCATATCAGCCAGGGCCCACGTGTACGTGATCTCAATATCCACATCACATTACATCTGTCAAATATGCACATGTCTGAATTACTGCGTAATCTACCGCTTGAATAGGACTGTGGCAAGGATTCTGATTCCTCTAAATCAACTAGTAAAGTGGCTCTATTTATGATCAACCTTGACCGCCATTTAGGGGTCATTTCCCGAGCTCTGCGGTCCGGTTGGACGTACGAGGTCTAGGAGCGAGGTGCAGGGACTGTCTGACTAGGGCAATTTGTATGGGCGGTGAGGTCTCAGCACCTAATACGAGACGCCCTGGTTTGACAACATCCCACCCCCGTCCGTTCTTCAAACAGGGGCAACCGTCTTTACCCCCTGGGCAATCCGCTGGATCTGCTCCGCATAATACGACTGCAACCATTAGCACGCCCCTCAGGGAACCACACAGCGACACGAAAACATACGCTCTCGAGTCCAGCCCCCACCGCCCGCACAGGCACAAGCTTCATATACCACGGCGCTGGCACCTTATTCAGCACCAGCCGCGCCTCCTCGTCGGCCACACTCTCGTCCAGTAGCAGCCGCGCAAACGCCGGGTCCACTGCCGCCGGCCGCCCAATACCGATCAGATCGCACGCTCCCTGCGCGATGGCCGCCTGCGCGCCGGCGCGCGTGCGGAACCCGCCCGTCAGCATAAGCACCAGCGCAGGATACCGCTGGCGCACGGCGGTCGCGAACTCGAGAAAGAAAGCCTCGCGCGCGGCGGTGCGCGCGGACTTCGGTTCGTCCAGGCCCATCATCTACCACTCATTAGTATACTAACTATCCTCCAGCGAAAGGAGACGGAAAAGCTACTACCTTTGGGTCTTCGTAGGAGCCGCCGCTGACCTCGAGAAAGTCGATCCCGGCCTCGATCAGCAGCCCGATTTGCGCTATGGTATCCTCGAAGCTGTCGGCGCTGTGGTCAGCCGAGTTAAGCTTGATGCCGACAGCAAAGCGCGCGGGCACGACCGCGCGCACAGCCGCGATGATGTCGAGGACAAATTTAGCGCGGCGCGCGGCGGAGCCACCGTAGGCGTCGGTGCGTTTGTTAGTCTGTCTTTGCTTAGCTATCTTCCCTGCCTTTTCTTCCCTCGGGGGGATCTACCTTGGGGTTAAGGAACTGATCTGCGCTAGCATTAGCATAGCTCGCTACGCTCAGACACAGGGAGACGACAGTACCAATAAGATATCCATGCGCGCCGTGCAACCGCACCCCAGCAAAACCAGTATCCGCCATCAACCGCGCGGTGTCGACAAACCGCGCCGTAACGGCGTCGATATCGGCCTGGGTCATCTCGCGCGGCGCGGGGAACACGATCCTGTTAACAAGGCGATCGAGCCAGCCGTCGCCCATAGCCAGCGGGATGGCGCTGGGCGCTATAGTAGGCGCGAACAGGCCGCGTTTGCCAGCGGCGCGGACGGACTGCCGGCCCGGGTGGCAGATCTGCACGATGGCCGGGGGCCCGTGCTGCTGGCAGGCAGCGGCGTATTGCGTCCAGAGGGCGACGAGCTCGGGGTTGGACTCTTTGCCGCTGTAGGGGCCGGGCAGGGCCGGGTCAAAGGGGGTGCCCAGGTGGTTGATGTCGACTTGTACGTTGCCTTTCGTCGTCAGATTGCGCGGGACGCGGGAGAGGAAATGGGGGATAGGAGGATACCGGTTAGGACGGCGCCCCAGTCGCCTTTACCCCATTTATCATAGAGGTCGACAAAAGCTGGGTTCGGGGTATTAGACCAGCCGGCCATGAGCTCGGCCATGGCGGCCTGGCTTGTTAGTTGGAGTGGGCTTTGGGGTTAGGGGGTGTATACCTTGACCAGGCGGTTGGGAAAGACCAATCCGCAGGGAAGTTTGACGGGGTCACGGAGGGACATGGTAGGTAATTGGATTGTGTAGCGTATATTGTGTGGTGGATGGGGGAGGTCCCATATAAATTTTGTATGGGTGCATTATAAATTCTTAGAAATAGGGAGAAGCCGAGGTCCCGAATGGAGATGGGAATACCGGCAGGCGGATGTAGCTGCTCCGTACAATCGGCAGGCGGATCTACAATACACTCGCCACCTGGAGCCAGTCGGGAATATGAATCTCTCCGCAGCTCCACCTCAGATGCCGACCTTCTATTAATGAACTTGTAACAGTTACCGGCGATAAAGATTAAACTGTTCATAGACAAGAAGATAGAGCAGCTAAAGCAATATAATATAGAATGGGCGGCAATGAAAGAGGAGCTCAATAAAAATAAGGCGGAGTTCCAAGCGCTCAAGGCAAGAGTAGAGGAGGATGCAGATTAGAAGGGCCAATCACCCGGGTAGTTCTTTTATGGAAGAATCACTATAGGTGCCTCCTGGTCTATATCTATGGTAAAGTCTCACTCTAGAAACTATACCTTAAAGTTCCCCATGTATTGCGGACGCCGCAGGATTCAAGAATGATATGGTAACTTAGTATATTGATATTAACCACCCATTATAGGAGTTATCCTGGGACATGGGAAGTCCTTCTAGACAACGAGGTTCTCCGAAGTGGAAAGTCCCTCGTTTGGCGGTCAGGAACCAGGGGATAAGGTATATAGTGACTGAAGACCTCTGAAATTAACAGTTTCTGGAAGAGGGGAAGTTTCCCTTAGGCGGTGGGAAGTTCCTCATTCGGATTTCGAAAATACTTTGGGGTCCTAAGGTACTTCCTTCTGACAGGCAACTACACGTCTTAGTAGGATCCGTTTTCTGTTCGCCTACTGCTTCCCGCACATCTTGCCAAAAAGAAAAAAAGATAACTATTACCCTACAGCTATATACAGAGTCATGATTGCCTTGGTCAACAAACCGAACCTAATTGCACGCCGGGCAGTTGGTAGTATACTAGGTAGCGAGATAGCCGTTGTGAGCATCCATGCTCCGTCACCTGACCGGGCCTAACCCTATACCGCTAGGACCAACGTAGCTTCAAGGTTCAAGCTTCAAGCTTTCCTCATCATAAACTCCTCAACCAGAATAAGCTGGCCACTCTCACCTAAGTTGACCGGCCGCATCATATCCTATCTTGCCAATCCTATAAACAATCGAGACAGTAAGCCAGAATTAGCTTAATATATTACAGTAAATCTTAAATAGCAGGTCCTCGTTAAGAAATAATCCTAGGCTATACTGCGTATTAAGACAGGTACTCTATTAGATCTGACTATATTTAAAAAAGTAATAGACTACTCTTGGCGATGGTTGTATATCTGGAACATCGAGCTGATCGCGGAATTGGAGCTATATGACGAAGCTGCTCGCGTTTACTTCGAGACGGAAGCCGAGCAGGACTGTAATAATCGAATCTTCTCTAAAGTAATCTAGTTAATGCTTCAGATTCTCGCTTAATGGCCTGCCGACTACCCGGGGATCTTACTCCCTATTAGAGCCCAGTCTCCTAGTGATCTGGTCGCGTGTCTACGTCTACACCGACTAAGGCGGAAAAAGGCTGCCCGTGCCGACTGTACTACGGACCTGGTAAACCGCAGATTCGAAAGAAATTATCTTCGGCTTGACGATTAGTTTGAGAGCTAGATAGAGCTGCTTAAGTTGGTGTATACTCTTAGGATCGAGGCGTTATCCGACAGACGACAGATTGACGCGGCTTCGTGCGTCTGTTTTGCCTCTTAATTTTCTCGCCTTCATAGCCTTAATCTTTTATTAAACGATATCTGTAAACGGGATAAAGCCCTGAGAAAACGTAACCGTAACGGTTAGTCTATTATCTATATATTTGTTGCTAGAAGATAGACTAGTTATTTTGTTAGAATTTGCTGCTTGTTTCGGCCTCTTACTATTGACGGTAAAATATTTTACCTTATATTTTAATTATAAACTTCTAGGAGACTATAACTTCCTTCCGGATGATATTATCGAGAATAATATAGATTCTCTAAATACGGGGCTGCGGACGTTCTTCTAATAGTTTATAATTCTTTATATATACGAGACAGCTATCGGAACCGATCTTTTCTAGCTACTAGGCCCTAGCTCAGGCTAACTTCTATTCTAGCTATATCTTACTACTGTTACTATTAGCTATACACCCGTAACACCCTTGCGTAAGTAGTTTTTTTACGACCGCCCCGGCCGCGATAAAAACAACTACTTTAAGTTTGAGGATTCTAATTTAGATAGAGTTTTCTCCGAGTATATAAGGATGTCTTTCAAGGACTATAGCGGTAAGTTTTTTTGAGAGGTCGGCGTGTCGGACTTATTTAATAATCTCTATATGGCTGTTAGATGAGCGGCGCAGCAGATGCCTTAGTTAGAATTTTTGAATATAAGAACGCAGTCGGGATAGGGTTATAATTAGTTTAGGTATACGTCGAAAGGGGAGGTAAAGGCGACTTAGTCTGATTTTCATGGATTTCAGCCAAAGGAGGAGGTTTTAGATCTGTGGAAGAAACTTGCTTTTGAGCATACTGGCGAGGAACTTATTGTCGAGTTGTGCAATAATTGACTACCATTGACGAGACTATCTACTGCCGCATTTCATACCAGGTAGCTTCGGTAGTAGTACTCAGTTATAGACTTTCACATAGATGCCTGGCTGCAAGAAATAGAAGGTGCCCAGTTGGATCAGTAGTTGATCTTACTGCGTAAATAAATAATGTAATACTCTGGGCTACACTAAACAAACTGCTTGCCTCTACTATCCATCGCAGCAAAAGGCCGTTTATTATATATCACTACATGCGTCAATGACATGCAGGTAGTTAATCCTATCCTCGGGGCTTGACATATTCATAAACCATTTTATGGCTATTAACGAAAAGCAGGTGGTACCTACCTAGTAGGTTAGGTAGTTAATGTTGGTAGTTAATAGAAGCAGAAGGTGAAGGAGCTGGTCCTCTGCTTCCCTCACATCTTGATGGCTTCACTATTCTGTCGTTCCCTCTTCATATATCTTCCTCTTCCTCCCCCCCCCCTCCCCCCCCCCCCCCTTCTCTTTCCTCCTCTCCATCTTCTCTACTCAAGTCGCACTTCTGTCATCTCTCCTTTCGCTCCAGTTTTCCATTCTCGTTGTACAATAAGGAGCTGGTGGACGGCCATGACCTCTGCATGCGCTATTCCACCACCAACGTCCTCGTCGTCTGGACAGGGACAAGATGGGGATCGTGTTTCCACTGATATATTTGGATAATCCTAGTGGAGATGCCCAGAGAGATGGGCTGGATTTGTCCTACAACTTCAGTAACGCGATGGCATCTTTGGCTTTGGTGGAAGATCTTCTCGCAGACGAGGTCCTCCCTCGTAAGGAGATGGTCATTCTGACTCCTTACCAGGCGCAGTGGATGCGTTACCTCGATTACCTCGATCGTCTTCGAAAACAACGACCCGATCTTCGAGTTGCAGATGTTTTCGTTTTCAAGGCGGACTCGTTCCAGGGGCAGAGGCCCCGGTTGTTATCGTGGACCTCGTGGTCACCACAAAGGCCGGGTTCGTGGGACAAGCGAATCGACTGAACGTCCTTCTCGCGCGCGAAGTACGGAATGTGCATTGGGCGAGTATGGATATTCTGGAAGAGCGAGGTGTGGGAAAGTGGATAACCAGAGCTTTTTTTTTTTTTTTTTTTGGTTATCTGAGGAAATTCTAGTGCTATGACAAGTTTCGCAAGATGGAGTTCGAAAAATTTTCTCCCGAATCCGATAGCGCCTGGCATCCTCATCCTACCTCTGCGATAGGCTCTAGGAATCCCGATTCTTCCTCTCCTGACAGCGCCTCATGTCCCGATCGCACCTCTGCGGCTGATGGTCTGTTCCTGATGTCACCGTTGCGACTTCTTTGAAGACCAAACTCCGCGTGTGGCATTCTGTTTCAACCGTCATACTTGATGGATTAGAGCACTTGTGAAGTTGCAAGGCGCAAGCTTTACGATAGCGTGGCTTGAACACAGACAGTCAAGATGTCAGGGGAAATTGACCATTACACTACCAAAAGGTGTATTATATGGCTGTGGACGTGGTTTGGCACAAGACAATTCCAGCATTTTCAGAGCTGGGCAGTGACAGGCTGGACCTACTAATGCCGCTGGGATATGTAGAATAGTTTAGATTGAATGGAAGAACCTGCAATGACATGTGCTTAAAACCACAGGCAAAGCAACCATGATTTATACGCAATAGTATTATAATAATCTCAGTCTTGTTCACTTGCTGAGGCGCTTCGCTCGAGGACGGTGAGTTACCTTCAATTCCCCAAGCGCCCTTTCAAACCTGTCCATGCCATTGCGCAGCATTTCAGCATCCACCGCATAGTTCAGCCGGAAAGCACCTCGATCGTTGGTATGAAACGCCTCGACCATTGTTAGCCCCGGGTTAATCGATTGAAACCAATGCCTTTGACTGGAACTCACATCGCTAGGCATTAGCAGCACACCTCTGGAGAGGAGATACCTGGCCAGTTGGGCTTCCCGACTTGCAGAGGAATTCTGACAAAAGAATCGCAAGTAACGCTGAAGGTCGATCCATATACCAAATGAAGCATGCGGTTCCACAAAGGGAATCTCCAGCTCCGTTAGCCGCTGCATCACGCATGCCCTGGCTAGGGATAACCGTTTCCGAAGGGCGGGTATGTGGACAGAGTCCGTATACTCATGATCCGAGAAGATGGAAAGAAGCAGCTCCTCCGCGAGCGAGGATGCGCGGGTAAACCGGCTGTGAACGTGCAGGTCAGCAGAGATCCACCGCAGGACAAGGACATAGACATGTTGGACTTACGCGGTCTGCTCCAAGGTGCGAAGAAGCTCATGGTTCCTGGTGATCAAGCATCCCAACCGAGCGCCACAAAGGCCCCAGTCCTAGCCGTGGATTAATAAGAGTACCTCTGTTGCAGCCCTCGCCGTGAACTCTGGGTGAGTATTACGCACCTTCCCAGGCCCGTACAGGACGTGGACATTTGTCGCCGCGGTACCACTGACAGTCAGCGTGCTGTGGAATCGACCTTCGGACGCAGACAAGGCATAGATCTCATCCACCACCAGATGTAGTCCTCGGGTTTCACAAAAGGCCATGATTGCCCTCAGCACGGATGGCTCGTAGCATCTACCCAGGGGGTTGTGAGGATTGCACAGAAAGATCGCTCGGACGGTGAGACCCTGTGCGAGAGCCCCGTTGATGGCGTCCTCAAATGCAGCCAGCAGTTCCGGGATGGAGGCGGATGCAAACTGGTCCTTCAAGTGTTCCGTGTCCGCGAAGACACAGCGTATCGAACTGCGCATCTCAATCGCATGCGAAAGAAGCTCGAAGCCAGGGGTTGGCATGAGGATTGCTTCGTGTTCATCGAAAAGGGCAAACATCATGGCATCGATGAGTGCTGAGAGGCCGTTGGCGCAGAAAACGTCGGCGGGCGATACCTTCTGGCGCGGCGCAAAGTGTCTATTGAAAAAGTCCGCAAAGCATTGGCACAGCGCAACGGAACCGCGGAGTCGGTTGGGAGAGATGGCTGAAATTCACAACCCCCCGGACGGGTTAGAGAGTCCACACAGTCTGGGAGTGAAGTGTGAGTTACCTTTCTGGGGGCTGAGTTGATGGTTCTGCCTGACGAAGTCTTCCATCAGATCCGTCGTGATGGTATTCAAGCTGGATCCCAGATTGATAATGCCGTCTGGGTTCCGCGTCTTGTCATATCCATCGGTAACCCACGAGGCAAGCAGATCTTGCTGTATTGATGGACTCTGGATGGCCAGGGCGCGTTTAGACAGCGGCACGTTGTGTAACCCCATGGCGCTGCTGGGTTCTGAGCGAAGTATATCGACAATCAGTGCTTCATAGCATGGTTAGAAGATTTATAGGACTGATACTTCCTACCTGCACAGGTTACCGGCTCTCCTGCTGCATCTCATCCCTTGCAAGCCCCTGGGGGTATTGCCATGGAGGCAAAAAAGGCCTGCACGCAGCCCCTTACATAAGATTACCGTAGACCCTGTACGGGGTGTTTATTGCTTGCCTACCCATCCTCGGAGAGGGTGGCCCTTCACGACTCCTGTGAGGGTTGAGCTGAGCTGCGCTGCACTGCAGGCCCTGCGGATCGACCTATAAAGAAAAAGGGGACGACCTCTCTCACCCACGAACAACAGCCTTCTGCCACCGTCAAACTGTCAATTTCTTACTAGTCCTCCTGAAATATGTCCTCCAATGGTGTCTCTACCGGCAATGACCGTTTCAATAGCGATGCCACCAACTGGGACTCGAATCCAATCGTGCAGGAGGCGACCCGACTGGCTTTCCAGACTTTGAAGCCCATCATTCAACAGCTCTCGGCGTCCTCTGACAGTGGCCTCGATGTCCTCGAAGTCGGCTGTGGTACCGGGTTGCTCACCCTCCAGCTTGCCCCGCTGGTAAAGGATCTCGTTGCCGTCGATCCAGCCCCTGGTATGATCGAGATGCTTCAAGCAAAGCTTGAGTCTCGTTCCGCCGAAGGGCCACAGAACATTCTCCCTCTGTGTCTATCTTTCACGGACGCCGAAGATCCAATGCTCCCCCCAGCGGTCGCGGACCATCCATCGGGCACCCGGCGCAAATTCGACCTCATTGTCTCCCACCTTGTTCTGCATCATGTCCCGGACATTGCTCCCTTCTTAAGGGCTCTACTGAGCTGCCTGAAGCCGGGGGGCCGTGTGGCATTGACGGATTTCGAGGACTTTGGACCGGACGCCATGTACTTCCACCCGCCGTCCAAGTTGGAGGGCGTCGAGCGCCACGGCATTAAACGGGAGTGGATGGCAGACCTTATGAGATCAACGGGCTTTACGGACGTGAAGGTATGGGTGGGTTGGACAATGGACGTGACCATCCAAGGCTGGGAGGGTGCCCCGGCCACGCTGCCATTTCCTTTCTTAGTGTGCGAGGGAACCCGGCCGTGAGGGAGCCGTGAGGGACAAAGGGGCAAAGAATGGACGTCTCTAGGAATATTAGGTATTTAGGTTGTATGTAGCGGATTGTTCAAAGCCGCAACTCGTCAATTTGAAGATAATTATCCAAGAAACTCTCAAGCAATTGTTACATCGGCCCTTCATGCGGCGGCGAACTTGTTCAAGGCGCCACCAAACAGATCCAGAAGTCCTTCAGCTTCCCGACTTTCGATAGCAGCTCGGGAGACACAGAGTTCAACTTTGATCCCAGATGAGGTAACAGTGGTAATCAAGTACAGACGGCCCAGGATGGTGGCCGCGTTCCAGTCCAGGGCCCGACATCGAACTCCATCGCAAGCCAGGATATCAGTTGCCTGCTCCTCGCCCTGATGGAGCACCACGGTCTGAAGGGATGCAGTGCTCGGCCACTCGGTGCAGTGGGAGACAATATCCCTCCATCCGATGGTTTCGAAGGGAATGGACTGGGCGTGTTGCTCCTGGACAGCCTGCAGCACCTCTCCCACACGCCATGTAGGTGAATAGGTGACCCGGACCGGCGTGACGTTGGTGCAAGGGCCGACGACGTCTTCAATGCCCGGCACGTTCATTGTACGACAGCTCCTCAGCTGCCCAAACAGGATATCATCACGACCGCTTTTTTGATGCAGCACATACGACCACGCCGCCTTGATCATTGTCGCCAAGGTGATCCCCGAGGGCGGACAGACGTGTGAGACGGTACGTGAATAGCTGATGCTGGGAGGACGATCGCGGCAGTAGTCCTTACCTAGGTGAGTAGCGCCTGGGCAGAGTCCGTCCAGGTAGAGCGGGCTGGAGCCGAGCAGCAAATTTCTCCAGAAGCTGAATGCTGCAGGCGTGCGGAGCTTTGCACAGATTCCCAGGTACTCCCGATAGTCAAGCGGCACCTGGGCTGGCTCGCCATCGTAGAGGTGCATCAGTTGCGAGATCATTGTCTTCAGGCCGTGGGCGTCGCATTGTGCTTCACACACGCGCACGATCAGTACGTGGCTGTCGCGGCTTGCTTCGACAACGGTAAACGCCGTGACAGGCTGCGGTCCGAAGGGGGATTGTCTCTCGTCTTTCCCACAGATGGTGATCGCAAACGCTCCCAGATCGACACCACGCGGGGCCTGAACGACGCTGTAGGGAGCTTGTAACTGGCGCAGAGTCACCTGCATGATCTCTTTCTCGTATGGAATGAATAGAGACCGGAGAAGAGCATGAGACGCCACCAGCGCCTGACACGCAGACTTCAGCCGTTCCAAATCCAGCGGGCCAGACAAGGTAAACAGAAAATGTTCGACGGCGTCCTTGTTACCAACCGCCGCAACGATGTCATGGGTTAAGGAGACACTCTCCACATGCGCCCCGATCGCGAAGTTGGGATAGTCGATGAAGAATTTCTGAACGACAGAGCTTGTCCGCTCGTCCACTGCCGCGGACAGCTGGGAGGTTGCACACGAAGGGCTCTCCTGGCACCTTTCGGCCAGGTTTGCAAGCGTGAGGTTTGTGAAGACATCTTCTGCGCGTAGATTCAATCCTTCCACCCGCGCGGCCTGCACTAGGTGTCGGACTGTCAAGGAGTCGCCCCCAAGTTCCAAGAAGGTGTCCTGCATGCCGACCTGTTTGGGTGGACACCGCAAAACAGCTGCACATAGGCGCTGCAGCGTCTCTTCCTGAGGATTACGCGGCGGAAGGTGAGGCTTCCGGCAACTTCCATAAGCCATGATCTCATTTCGGGCCAGCCGAGACGCAAGATCGCGAAGAATGCGCCGAGAGAGTTTCCCCGTGGGTGTCTGCGGGGTGTGGGAGACCGGTATGACTGCAACAGGCACCATGTAGGACGGCAGGATCTCACCGAGTCGCGCCAACGCTGCTTTAGTATCCATCCGGAACTTGTCATTAGGCGGAAGAACGGTAGGTACAGTGGTCTTGTCCTTGGGAACGGCATCTATGTTGGATGTCGGACGCGACGCGGTGAAGAGGACCAACATCGGATCTAGGTCCCCTGGGCTATCTGCCGGCCTGACAACCTCGGCCACTGGCGCCCCATCATAAGAAGAGAGATGCTGGTTGGCGTGATATTCGATCTCCCCCAGTTCCACACGTTGACCGCGGATTTTGACCTGGGCGCCCTTTCGACCCCGGTACTGGAAACAACCTCGCCGCAAATCGTAGCAGACAAGATCCCCGGTTTTGAGAAAGCGACCACCAGCAATGGGGGTCAGCTGGTGCTTCTGCAACCAGTCTGGGTTGTGTATAAAGGTGGCATTCGTCTGCTCGGGGTTGTTGAGATATCCCGGCCCAACGCAGGGGCCCTCCAGCAACAGCTCGCCTTCGGCCCCAAGCGGTACCAGCCGGTGGTGGTCATCCGGGTCAACAATCCATCCCCGGGAGGCAAAGGTGCGTCCGATGTTGCGATGGTCCGATGCCAGATCCTCGTGGCTTGCAACCGATGCACCTAAAGCGTTCTCCGACTGTCCATAGTATACGCGCAGATCCAGACGGCCATGCCACCTGTCCACGTCGGCTTTGGACACAGCCTCACCAGCCAGAAACAGTGTCCGGACCTCCGGGATGGCTTCAGGGTGCAGCAATCGCGCCACGCCCGGTGTGAACTCGGCCCAATTGGAGCGCAGAGCTCGAATGGCCGCGCCAATGTCGTTCCGAAGAGCTTCCTCAGACGGAACACATACGCATCCGCCCAGACACAACGGAGCTAGCTGCTCGAGTGTGCTGAGGGCAAAACTGTATGAAGCACTCTGAAAGATACGCGACCCTTCGTTCACGTTCATGGCCCGGCCCCAGCCATCTATGCCACTGCAGAAGGATGCGTGGCTGATGGTGTAAATTTTGGGCTCACCGGTTGAGCCTGAAGTAAACCCGGAGTACAGGATGCGGTCATATGGAGGGGCGCCTTTTGGTTCTTCGCGAGCAGGGTTCGGTGTACAGGGCTGGTCTGTTCTCACCGAAAGAAGTATTTTCGGGACGCCCAGAGCCTCGACGGCGGTTTCATACTGGGGCAGAGATAACACGGCCTGAACGCCCAGTCGATTACAGATTGCTTGCAACCGGCTGATAGGTTGAGAAGGATGCAGAAGAATGATCCCCCGTCCGGCCTTCAGCGCTCCCAGCATAGCGACCGTCGTCCACATTGACTTTTCAAAGTACAGACCAATGACCCCTTCATCTCCCGGCAGCGCTGCTTCCAGGATCCGCGATGCAACGGCTGCTGCATGCGCATTGAGCTCACAATATGTGAGCTCACCATCCCAGGCGCAGATTGCGGGCGCGTGCGGATGTTTGTCCACCCTTCTCTCGAACAAATGGTGTGCATAGTCATCCTTCCTCTCGTATGTTGCACCTTGACTCCATTCTGCAACCTGGCCCAAACCCTCAGGATTGATTTCTTGAAGGTCATGGATGGAAACATTTCCTCGTCTGCACTGAGAAGCAACGCGGAGTGCTTGGACAAATTGTGACACCATCATGTACACATACAATGGAGATGTGATATGGTCATCAAAAGAGGCCCTTAATGTGGCGTGCTGAGCGTCGCTCGTACAAATTACGACCAGACGCGCGCCATAGGCGTCTCGGTATGATCCATCATCATCCATACTAGGGCTCATTCCGTTTCGAATCACCAACAGAGTATGGGAGTGTATCTCGCCCGCGGAGCCATCACTAAGCTCCTGGCACGTAGTACTGTCTTTCCCATGTTGAATTGTGGCATCGGAATAGCTGGCTGCCGTCAAAGCCGCATCTAGATGCTGGTCTGGCACCACCCGGTAACAAAACAGGTGCAATTTTCCAGGAACTGATGGCTGCTCGGAAACATATCTAAACCGGACGTCGGTTGCGTTGGCGTACTTGGCTATGACAACAGCCCAGCAAACTTGCAAGAGCGCAGTCGATGGGGCTTGCCCAAGTTCGACTTGCCATGTGAAAGGACTCTTCAGCGAACGCGCGGGTTTGTCGCCACTTAAGGACGGGGACCCGTCCAGGGGCTTGAGGTTGTCCATTGTCAGATTGTTGCACAAAAGGGGTTGCTTTTCTGAGATTCATTGGAGCATTCACGCCAATTCCCTTCTAAGGCTATATGTACAGACCCCTCCGTCGCTTGCCAGCACATGAATACGCTGATACGGCCGATCAAGGCTCTCTAGTGGTAGCACGTACGTCCTGGACGTCACCGCCTCTCGCGTAACGTGCACCTAGGTGTAGACTGTGCTTGACTGTGCACGCAAGGGAGGCATTTCAGATCATGTATACAGACCGCTGACCAGGCTGATTTAGCCTGGGCCATTCCCAGTCCTCCTTCGCTGCAGGAGGCTGATACGAGTTCATGGGACCGCGGTGCAGGCTGTATCCTTTGCGTCACTGGCGCGCTCTCCTCTGAAGAATGTCCCCACCAACGCTGTCTGCAGGCCTTATCATGTTATGCATGAGAGTCCCCCATTCAGTGGTGAGAGCATTATCTGGGCCGTGAGACACGATCTGGAATGTGCAGGACAGGATGCGCGCTCTCTCTGCAAGGAGCCCCCTTGCCTCTTCTGCAGGTATGCAAGGCCACGCATTCGCAGTGGTGGAATTCCCTGCTTCGATTAAGGTTGTACCCAACAGCACTCAACAGCGTAAATTGGATCACCTGTGTCAGACCGACTGCTGCGGCAACGAGCACCCATGCCTGTAAGTGGTCTAGTTGGAGAGCCGTTGGTAAAAATCGACAGACAGAGACAGGGCTCGCACCGAGAGATTTGCTCGACTCCAACGCAAGAATAGAACACAGTGACTCATGGCCGAACCTCTCAGACCGTTTCGTGTTATCATCATCGGTGCTGGAGTCTCCGGACTGGCTCTAGCACTCATGCTGGAGCGCGCCGGAATTGACTTTGTGGTGCTAGAGCGCGCAAGCGAAGATTCAATCCTTCGGGGAGCGAGCATCGGTCTACAGGCGAACGCCCTACGTATCCTGGACCAGCTCGAGATCTATGATGAAATTCTTGCAAACAATTCGCCTGTCCAGACTGTCTACCAGCGCCGCGCGGATGGGGCGGTCATCCGACAGACCAACTTCACCCGAGAACTCGAGAGACGGCATGGGTATCCCCTCATTGTACTTGAGCGCGGACATCTTCTGCGCATACTCTACGCGAGGCTGAAAAACAAGTCCAAGGTTCATTACCTGCACAGGGTGGTTGACCTTCAATCCCATCGGGATCGTGCCTCCGCCATCACCGAGACAGGGAGGATATTTAATGGCGATCTCGTTGCTGGGGCAGACGGGGTTCGTAGCTTTACACGCCAGAAAATCTGGCAGAGCCTAGCGGAAAAGAACCCTCATATCGCACTCAATGAGTCTAAGCGTACGAGCAAACCCTGTGCTTGGTGACTTGGAGGAATTACTGACCATGTATCCTACCCAGGGATGACGTGCGAGTACGCATGTGTCTTTGGGATCTCTACGTTCCAGAGTGACGACCCGGAGCTCGCTCTCGGTTCCTCTCACATGGTCTACAGTGAATGTGCATCCGTCACCTGCATTGTTGGGAATAGGAACAGGAAATTCTGGCTGCTATATATCAACTTGGGCAAGAAGCACACATCCCCTGACATACCACGATACAGCGACGCGGACGTTGAGGGGGCTCTTCTCCGACATGCTGACATTCACATAACAAAGACCACCCGGATGAGGGATCTCGCCAATAATGCTGTGAAACGGTCCATGTTGGCGCTGGAAGAGGCAGCGTTTGAGTGTTGGTATGACGAGCGGTTCTCTATCATTGGAGATGCTGCCCACAAAGTCACCCCACATGCGGGTTTGGGGGGAAACACGGCGATCGAGAGTGCCGCTGCACTAGTCAATCTTATATGCGACGGTTTGCGCGAAAAAGGTCCGTTGGCGATGTCCTGTGAAGACGTTGGGGCGATCCTGGAGAAGTATCAAAACACGCGTAACAAGCGAGTGGCCAAAGTCCATACGATATCATTCGCCTCCGCTCGCCTCCAGGGATTGGAGTCATATCTTTGGAGAGCTTTGGCAGTCATATTCGTTCCGCTCATGGGCGAAGAATTTGAAGTCAGTGGTTGCTCTGACCTCCTACTTGGAGGCGCACCTCTAAGATTCATCCCCTACAAGGGCCGGAATGGAATCATTCCGTGGGACGGCTGGTCGTCACAGTCTATGGCAGACAAACGCACCAAGCAATTACCTGCCCTTCGCGGCCTTGAGGTCTCCTCCGTGGCATTGATTTCGCTCGCCGTGATGGCGCTCGCAGCAGAACACCTTGGGCTGTTGCCCTGGACGATGAGCCGACTCAATGTCCCGTCCGGCTATGGTGTTGGTGGCCGTCACAACAAGCTTGAGACAATTCTTCAGTTCCTGAACATGTTACCCTGGGGGACAATAGGGATGGTCGAGCTTCTCCGGTTCAAAAACAGGCTGTTGCTGCCTCTGATGTGAGTTCTGCCATCCTATTCGAACCTCTCTGTCTTCTACCATACAGATTGAGGCAACACAAGTCACTGACGCAGGCGAATCTCGTTCCTAGCACACCCATCGCTTATTTTGCGTGCTACTCAGGTACAAAGGGTCTCTGTATCTGCGGTCTTTGCATGCTTATTACTCTAGGTTTCTTCAATCAGCACGGTTCCTGTGCGTACAGTCACACCCTCACCATGGCGAATGCTCGACTTGTCGTCTGCAGCCTCTTATCAAGCATAGCTCTGCTTACCTTGCGCGGCATTACATGGTCCCAGGGTAGGCTACTAGGCGGTGCAGATGTGGTATTAGCATGTCTACTCTTGACGCCAGCCTGTTTGTTTTTGATAAACACGGTGCGGGTCGACCCCTGGATGTATGGACACGAGGACCTGGCATTGGTACGACAGGCATACCTGATCAATTCTGCCGTGTCGACTGTTTCCTATTTTGTATACTTTGCTGGGACATGGGCTGGCTTTGTGCCCATAGTTCACGGGCATCTTCTCTTGGTGGCGTTGGGAATGATTGTCGTCTATCTGAACTGTCTATGGAGTACTGCCCAACGCGCCTGGACCTGGCAGTTTGCAGTGAAATTGGGTCTAGTAACTATGGGGCTAGCAGCTGTCTTAGGGCCTGGTAGTGCCGCCTCCCTTCTGTGGTTTTGGCGGGAAGATAAACTGCGATGCCGTGGTTAAGGGGATCGTTCTTTATGTGCTCGCTGTCCCACCCGTTGTATACAAGGGAGAAAAGATCCACTCGAGGTAATTCTACATGGCCAGATTCGACGAGAGGAAACCAGGAAATGAACTGTTGAGCCTGTCGGCTTGTTCAGGGAGGACGTGGGTCTACGAGTTTATACGGAACAATTGTTTTTATACCTTGCTTGATGCTTGCTTCCGCATTAAGTCCACGAGTAGTTTACCACATTATGCTATCTCTTCCAGCACGACTTGGCTTGCAGAAGTAATCGGTAGGCCCACCGCGATCCGATCAGCAGCGATGCCAAGGGGCCCTGCATGGAAGCACCTGGTAACCAACAGCAAGGCAGTGAAGTGTCCTCCACGTACCAAGCTGGGATGCAAGGAGATATATCAGTGAAGAACTTAAAGTGCGTCACATACTGGCCGCGGTATGCAAGGTCGACCTCAAGCGAGGACCAGCAAGGAGCAGCAGCATCTATTGCATAGCGATAACCACTTCTACTACTATGCACATTCCAACCAATGGCCGATCCCTCCAAGTGGCCTCAACAATTCAAATTATTCTCACCGTGGCTCGCTATCTGACGGTGTAGCAGAGGCAGACTACATATTTCCAACCAGCTGCATGATTTGAGAGCCCGTCCGTCATCAGCGAGTCGGGAATTGTTGCTTTCGCACCTACTCCCATTTATTTTACCAGTATGGCGCGGCTTCTCCGTGAATACACTTTGCCTGGCGTGGAAGATCCGCTTAGGACCACTGCTGCCCTGCTAGACGATTATAAGCGTGGAAGTTATTATGCCTACGAGTACGGAGACACCTGGTATATTGGGCTGAGCAGCCACGCGTCCCTCGTTGTTGACCCAGCGGGAGAGACAGCAACAATCATCGACAAGGATGGGACAAAACTGTCAACTCCGGTTACGGAGCCGCTCGGCCAGATTGCGACGCGCTTCGTTTCGGAGCATGGAGGTCATGGAAAGGTCTTCGGGCAAGTTGGCTTCAACTACGGAGCCCGCACGAAAGGCCGGACGTACGAACCGGGCCAGTGGCCCCTTTTAAGCCTAATGATCCCTCGAACCCAAGTTGCCCTGCGGAAGGATACGATCACCGTGACTGGATACTACGAGGAGGAGGCGAAAGAGGTCTGCTCGTTCCTCCAACATGGCTCGACGCACCACGAGGTCACCACCGAATCTCGAATCAGGCATCCCCCGCTCGACCTGCAAGCCAATTCCGCAGACTATAAGACAAGGGTGGCCAAGGCCATCTCGGATATCGACAGAGGGGCATATTCTAAAGCCGTCTGTTCTCGAGTTGTCCCTGTTCCGACCCGAGTGAATATGGCCGCCACCCTCCTTCACGGCCGTCGGTCCAATACCCCGGCTCGTACGTTTTCCCTCAGCCACGGCGGCATCCAGGCAACCGGGTTCTCCCCGGAGGTCCTCCTCTCTGTGCGGAATGGGCGTGCATTCACGGAAGTGGTGGCGGGCACCCGATCGGTGGACCCTGCAAATCTGGAGAACAGTCGAACTAAGCTGTTATACGACACTAAGGAGGTCTTGGAGCATGTCACCGTCGTCAAGGGATTCAGCAAGCAGCTTGCCCAGAGCTGTGTCCCCGGCAGCGTGTCGATCCGCGACTTCATGACCGTCATCGACCGAGGAAACGTCCACCATCTGTTCTCGCACGTGTCCGGCCATCTTCCGACAAGCCGGAGCGTCTGGGACACCCTGGGCGATATGTTGGGGTCTGTGGCATCTCCGCCGCCGCCTGGTCAGGCATTCGATGATATGATGCAGGCGCTCGAGCCGAGGCCCCGAGAGCTTTACTTTGGCGCGGTGGTGATGCTTGACCCGGACGCAGACTTTTTTGAGGCCGCACTGGTTCTTCGCACAGTGTTCCAGGACACAAGCCGTCAATGGCTACAGGCTGGGGCAGCAGTGACTCGGCATTCGAATCCGGAACGCGAGTTTGCGGAAACGTGCGAGAAGCTCATGAGCATGGCGCCTTATGTGATTGTAGATACCACTAAGTTCGATGGATAAGACGGGTCGTCGTACGAGGTTGTCATCTTTGTCATCTCTAGGGAGACTTCGTGGCAGATATTTTGCCTTTTACTGGGTTGATATTACACGGAATGTTGATATTACTTTTTGCTTTTGCAGCGTTAGCTATATTCTAGGCGGGGCAACTGTTGCAGACTGGAGGTAAACACGAATCCACGTCTATCAACGACTCTTCTACTTGTAAACAGTTTGGTAGTTGTTGTACTAGGATGACTCCCAAGCCTTCTACCATCATGCCGGCACAGTAAGGGGGTGTAAGGGATACTAGCAGGCCAGCTTCGATCTCCGATCGTGATGATCGTTCGATGTTCAGGCATATGCAACTATCTAGTATGCAAGGGGTTTTGCGTGAATGCCGTGGACGCTCGTCATTCTCTTGGTCTATCCCGGGGCCTGGGAGAGCCTCGAAATCGACACTTCACTCCACCAAAGTTGTGTCTATACGAGCCATAACCCATCATGTCTTTACACTCTAGCATGGCATCTTTCTCCCTGCTGGGGTTGGCCTACCTTGTCCTCCGGTCGATCTACCGCCTGTACTTTCATCCCCTTCGTCACATCCCCGGCCCAAGGCTGGCGGCAATCAGCAGCCTGTACGAGTTCTACTACGACGTGGTCTGCCAGGGCCGGTATCTCTGGGAGATTGAGAGACTGCACGCTATTTATGGTACGACCGGCTGCCTTTCTGCCTTCGATTTGCTTTTCTGCCCCGAATCCTAGTAACCAAGCGCAGGGCCGATTGTGCGAATCAATCCTCGCGAGGTTCACATCATTGACCCTTCGTTCTACGATGAGATTTATGCCCCAAGCTCCCGGCGCCGGGACAAGGACGCCAAATGGGTGCCGACTTTTGGCCTCTCCCAGTCCATGTTGAGCACCGTCGGTCACCAACAACATCGCTTTCGCCGGTCTCTCCTGTCCAGTTTCTTCTCCAAGAAATCCGTGCTGCAGATTGGACCGCTGATCGATCAACAAAGAGAAAAGCTGTTCCAGCACCTTGTCAACTTTCATCGCACCCAGGAGGTGGTCCGGCTGGATTCGGCGTTTGTCGCACTGACATCGGACATCATCTCGGCATACTGCTACGGAGAGTCGGGCAACTTCTTGGACGACCCCAGCTTTCGCAGCGATATCCGTGCTTCGGTTGTTGACGCCGCTTCGATCTGCCACCTCGCTCGGTTCCTGCCGTTTCTCCAGCCCCTGATCCAGTCTGTGCCAGAAGGTATTCTGCGAGCATTGATGCCCGGAAAGACAGCCTTGCTTGATTTCGAACACTCACTCGCCTCCAAGGCTTCCAAGGCTCTGCACGAGGGCAAGCCATCTGCCGCAGCCGAGGAGACCATCTACGACCGGTTGACTGACAAAAGTGTGCCCCCGGAGGAGAGGAGCCTGTGCCGTATCCAGGACGAAAGCTCTCTGGTCCTTGCCGCCGGCACAGAAACCACTGCGCGCATCCTCACCATCGCGATATACTACCTCAGCCGGGATCAGTCGATGCTGGACAAGCTTCGCGCCGAACTCAAGCAGGCTCTCCCGACACCGACCTCCTTGACCACTTGGGTGCAGTTGGAGAAACTGCCGTATCTGGTCCGTTCCCCCGTCCATCTTCCAATTCTTGCATCCAGACTAAACGGTAGGTAGACCGCAGTGGTCCGCGAGTCCTTGCGCCTAGGGTTCGGTATTACCTGCCGGCTTCCCCGCGTAGCCCCTGAAGAAGTGTTGCGATACAAGGGCTATGAGATTCCGCCTGGTGTAAGTCTCCGTATTCTCTCATTTGATCCCGCCGTGAGTGTCTAACTGGGATATCCTCGGGCAGACGGCCATGAGCACATGCACCATGTTTGTCCATCGAAACCCGGAAATTTTCCCAGACCCGGATCGCTTTGATCCAGAGAGATGGATTGAAGGAGGCCAGCTCAACAACAAGCTCACCAAATACATTGTTTCATTTACGAGAGGCAGCCGCATCTGCCTGGGGATCAAGTGAGTTTCCTACATGGGGCGCCGTGGTGCACCGCGCTCACCTCTCGAACAGCTTGGCATACAGCGAACTATATCTGCTGATTGCCCACCTGGCTCGGCGATTTACCTTTGAAATATACGACACCAGTGAGGACGACGTTCGAGTAACCAGGGATTTGATGGTGGGGTATACGCGGCGAGGGGATCTCCAGGTCTATGCAAAGGTGGCGGAGGTTGTCCAGGAGTAGATAGTGATCAATTGATTTCGGAGACAGCAAGCACTAAAAGCACATGTCTATTAAATGCCGATATTGGCCGAGGGACTTCCTGATAATGCCTGGGGTTACCTAACGACAGTCAGAATTTGGAGCAGCAGTAGCTACGGATACACCATGCGTTCGAATGCAGATTATGCGCAGTTCAGCGGCATGACCGTGAAGCCACAGCAAGGCTTCCCACGCGTAGATAGACGATTAAAGCATGGTACATGGTTTTCTGTCTATTTTAGGGACCTCCTCATGGCTAAGCCAATACATCCGTCCGGATATAATGTTTTCGGTCTCGAGAACCATGTTGCCGGAACCTGTGACTTGCCTAGGTCGTACAGCATGCTCGTGGAAGTAGTCGGGAGACAGTGGAGACAATAAATGCCATTCGACGAGCCTTGATTGAAGGATATCCTCCGAACAGGTGTACCTGCCGACTCCAAGGGACCACTTCCTGCTGGACAACGCACCAGATCGAAGTCAATCGTACCGGCATGCACCTATTACAGGTGCAGTTGGTCGGTAAGGGCGAGCCACTAGCATTTACCAGCAGGAAAAGCACGTTGCCTATCATGCAATAAGTAGATCGATGGTCTTACTGTGGACTGGTGGATTCAGATACTCTCCTTGAATTCCCTCCCTGCATCAATTCTGAGTCCTCCGCCGCCGCTGTACTGGCACGCCAAGCCATTTCCACTGCAATGTCGCGCTTTACTTTCAAATATAGAATAGTTTCTTGTTTGTGGAAAGCTCGATAGTGACCCTGGCGTGACCACATATCATGCATGCAGGCTGAGACGCAAGGTCCATGACATCTCCTTCCTTCACCGCCACAATCCATGCTGCCGATGAAAAGGTCGGTATGTAGGAAAGCGTGGTTCACCAACAACTCTGCCCTGAACAGTATTGCTTGCTGATCCATTACGAGAAACTGCCGGGCCGAGACTGAACCACTCCTTAGCGTCGGAGGGCTGATTCATCGACATAGAAGATCTCTCATCGTCATCAGCCCACGCCCCGGTAAGCGGTGCCTACCTCACCCAACTGGACACATTTTCAGTGAATTTTGAACCAGAAGGAATCATCATGACCATCGAAGACGGCGGCCTTCCCGGAGTGGCCGAGAAGCACACGGATCTCTTTGACTCGCCCTACCTCAGCGAGCACTATGACCTGCTTCTCGACGATTACTTCAAGACCAAAGTGCGGGACGTGCCCGTGTACTGGGACCTGTTCAAACAAATTGAATCCCCCAACCCGGTGCTTTTAGACATTGGCACCGGCACCGGGCGCATTCTGACCGGCTTGATGTCCGAGGCGGCCAGCGAAAAGGTCGATGTCAGTGACTGGACGTTCATCGGGCTCGACATCTCACAGCACATGTTGGACCGAGCCAAGCAGATGACCTCCTTCCCGCCCAGCGGCCCACAGGTCCATTGGATTAGAGGGTCGGCGTTGGAACTGGACAGGGTGCCACTTCTGGACGGAGGCAAGACCAAGGCCGCCCTGATTCTCTTTTCTGCTGGCGCGTTTAGCCATCTCTACGAGGCCGAGCAACCTGAACAGTTTCTCACACAGATTGCGAAAGTGATCGAGCCGAATCGGGGACGGGCGTGCATCTCGATCGGGAACTCGTTCATGCCCGATAAGTCCGGCAAGGACGCTGCGCTGCCCCAGATCGACGGGCCCACGCAGATCGTGAGCAAGGAGTTCCCGGACATAATCTACGAGAATCGGATTCTGTCGAATGAGACCCAGGGAAGCACCTTGACGGAAAACCGCGTGATTTTGGTGATGAAGAAGACCGGTGGCCAGGTCAATGTCATTGAACGGAATCATATTTCGACGGTATTGAGGCTTTGGACCAAAGAGGAGTTTACTCAACTGGCGAGTCGCTTGGGGTTCCAGGTGCTCTCTTGTTTGGAGGGCAATGAGGAGACCTACTTCACCCTGCAGCTTCCACAGTGATGGCGGTAAGGGCGCCGGTTGTTTCGAATAGTAGTTAGTCCTGCAGGAGAATAAGAGACCATCATCAGTGCCTCACCGTTTGGTAAAGCCGCAACCCTCCGTAAGACCAGCCGCTATGGACGATCCGACCCTTGCTTTTCTCTAGAGTAGTAGCGGTGTGGCAATAGCCCTACCACCATAGCTTCCATGTTCAGCCTCCGAGCCCCAATATAGTATGTCCAGCAGCGCGTCTGGGGAGGGAAAACGGAAGACCCCATACCTACAGCCAAACCCGAACCATGGTCAAAGCAATTCAATTCAGGGGGTCACCCTCACAGGAGATCGTGGAGATGACCTTCGATCTTCCTGGGCTACAGGCGGGCGAAGTTCTTATTCGCGTGACCCATAGCGGACTCTGCGGAAGCGAGCTCTACATGCTGGATCGGCCGCTGGTTCTCGGGCACGAGGGTGAGTGCTCTGAACGTTCAAGCCCCCTTCTCTTCAGCATACTGAGTAAATCTGTGCCACAGGAATTGGGATCGTTGAGGCAGTTGGCCCAGCATGCACCCGCCTAGGGGTCGGAGATCGAGTGGGCTGGGGCCCAGTCAACGCCACCTGCGGAGACTGCGAGCCATGCCTCAAAGGTCAAGAGAGCTACTGCAGCCAGATCAAGCTGTATGGCTTTGATGCATATGACCGATCCGGCTCCTTGTGTAGCCATGCGGTGCGTTCGGAGCAATGGCTCTTTCGCATCCCTGACGGCCTCCCGTCGGCAGACGCGGCCCCCTTGATGTGTGAGTACAACGGGCCCTTGCCCTTATCTTCGGCCCGAAACACACCAATTAGACCAGACAGGCTAATGGCTGCTCGCTTTAGGCGGCGGAGGAACGGTGTGGGCGGCCTTGATTGAACATTGTCGCCCGTTTCACCGAGTCGGCATTGTAGGGGTTGGTGGCCTCGGCCATCTAGCCATCCAGTTTGCTGCTAAAATGGGCTGTCACGTCAGCGTCTTCTCCTCCACGGCCGACAAGGAGGAAATGGCTCGGAGACTGGGCGCCCATCAGTTCTACGCGACCCGCGGAGTGACCGACTACACGGCGTTGGGCGTGGACGGCCCCATTGATCGGCTTCTGGTTACTTCGTCCGCGAAGGCCGACCTAGCAGTGCTCTATCCACTGTTAGACCGAAATGCGGTCATCATGCCGTTGTCCGTCGGGGACGGCAATATCCAGGCTCCCTACATGCCAACCATCCTGTCCGGACTCAGTATCGTCGGTAGTTGCATGTGTAGCCGTTACCTACAGCAAGTTTCTCCATGCCAGTACACTTGGGGGAGGTGCAGGCGCTAACAGGCCATAGAAACAAAATGCTCGATTTCGCCGCCCGCCATCATATCACCTGTGCCGTGGAGCATTACCCCATGACGTTGCAGAGTGTTAAGGATGCGATGGAGCGACTGCGGAAAGGAACCATTCGATACCGTGCGGTCTTTAGCTGGGATCGCGCTCGCAATGGATACTGCGAAGACAGTCACTATCGGTCCGGTACAGGGACATGTTAGATCTAGTTTGATCATTGAAAGCAGGACATGCAATGCTAGAGACAAAGCAATAGCTCGGTAACAACGGGAGGCAGCATTGTAGATACCTATACCAGTTTCTACCAAGGCCAGTGAAACGGCGGCAGCATCGCCAGGCGCTTTCTAGGAATTGAAACTGACGATAGATCGAACATCGCCAGAATGGGTGACTACTATATGCCCACTCACACAGGTTGGATCACACATACATCTTTCACGGCGATCTGATCAAGCGAATCCAGGTCTGTCCAGTAGGCCGGATGAAGTGCATTCTCTGGCTGGGTTACTACGCCTATCATTGCTCTACCAAGACGCAGCGCTACTGCAGGTGATCCACTATACTAGATCCTCTATTGGGAAACCTTCTGCAGTCTCACTGTAAGGTGCGGACTCGAATACACGGGAACAAACCGGTCCTTCCATTCCAACTTGGCAGGACTGCCGACGGAGTCTTGTAAGCCGGTCTGAGCTCATTGGAGAGGGGATATTTTATACGCGGGCAACGTACCTGGAGGGATCAAGCTCGACATCAAATTTACGATAGAAGTGAGCCATGGCCGTGAGAAGAATGACCCAGGCAAAACTATGCCACATAGTCAGCACCTACAGGTTTTAGGGGAGCAGTGGCTGGGCACCTACTTTTCGCCAATACAACGCCGAGGTCCCCTTCCGAAGGCGACCAGATATTGTTCCATGTCGGCCCTGCGCTCATCCAACCACCGTTCGGGAATGCATTCATGGGGCCTGTCGAACACGTCCCCGTTCCGGTGAACGAAGTGGCTGCTGGAGCCGACAACGGTCTGGTATGGAGAATCTCCAGCGTTAGCTTGAATCTTAAAAGGCAAGGACGTCGACAGTTCCTGAGACTTACCCCGGGAGGAACGAACTTCCCATCGATTTTGGCGCCGGTCTGAGGGACGACTCGGAGCAGAGGCGAGGTAGCGCCTCCGCCCATGCGCAACGACTCCTTCACCGTCGCGTTCTGGAGAGCAGAAGGATGAATCCGTTAGTTGCTGGGCTGGGAGAGCTCCAGGAAGGACGACCTACCAGGTATGGTAACTGTTCCAGAGTGGCCAGGCTAGGAGGCTGCTCAAGATCCGGCCACGCCGCCATGAGTTCCTCCCTGAGCTTTCGGTATACCCGCGGCGTTTGAATGATGTGGAACGAACCATGCATCAGTGTGAGTCCCGAAGATTCACCCGCAAAGACCTGGGTCTGTGTCTCCTCAAGAATACTGAGCTGCGAAGGTGGGTTGGCAACCTCGGGGCCTAACAGCAGATGGTAGATGGTGGAGGTGTGTGGCAGCTTTTGTAGTTCCCGGCGATCAGCCACGAGGCTTCTGACTTGCTTTTCCAGAAACTGCAGCGCAGATCCTGGTGGTTAGCATACAAAGGCTTCGTGTCTCATCGGGTACGTTACATTTCGAAAGTCCACCATTCCGTTTGCCTTTGGACTAAGCAATTTGCTCATCCACGGGGGGCAATGGTTCATAAGCAATTGGAGGATTGGAAAGTGCTTCATGAGCATGATATAGCTAACACCTTCGTCCATCGACTGAATGATAGGCGCGTCGAACGTGGGTGACTCGATTGCGCCCAGGGACTGACCGCAAAAGATATCTAATTGTACAATATCGTCAGCTCGCTGGACGGTATGTGAGGGGACAGCTTGGATCAACCCACAAGCAATGGTTTCGATGGACAAGCATCGAAATGCCGCGAGCAAGTCGACTGGACCGCCCTCGGATTTTTCGAACGCCTTGCATAGTTCAACAACCTATGTCGACAGAAGTGAGTGGTGATCAGACCGCCAGCAGCAAGCAAACCCTACCTTGGACTCTACCAAGCGATGCGCCTGGACCGCTGCTTTCTTGGAAAACAGCGACTGTAGCACGTTCTTGCGCTCCTTCGCATCGCGATAGGACAGCCTCCCAAATGAGGAGTCGCTCTCGCCGAACGCTTCATATAAGGCGGGATCCTTGTCCCAGCGGTTGTTCATGTTGTAGATGTCCATGTACGCCGCTGGGCTGCTGAAATGCAACTGCCCGCTGGGTCAACTTGGGATCCATTTGGATTTCATTCCCGGAGCAGCAGATGACATACTTCGTTTGGTCCCGTACGCACAACATCACCTATGTGGCTCGCAATTCAGTGTCCCGTCTATTGCATGGGGTCTCCCGGAATCAGCTAGCTTACCATACCGAGCATGGAGCTCTTCCAATTTGTGCACAAAGCAGCCCTGCTGCAGAACTTCAATGTAGGTCTTGTAGAGCCCGCTCACGGCGGCCAGCGGCGGTCCAGGGAACCGGGACAGTCCCGCGTGGTGTAGTCTTCGCAGCAGAACCCATATAAGGGTCAGGATGGCTCCGAAAGGAAGCAAGCTCCAGCGCCATGGGATGCCACCTTCTAATTCTGCCCTGAATGGACCTCGGGTAGAGGAAGCCGATATCATCTTGGTCCGACTTTGTGCCACTGCGATCGGATTAGCAAAATGGGGTGGTCCGCATAAAGCAGCACGAACACAGGGTTGTAGAGTAATCAACTAGTAGATATGGCAGAGGGGCGAATGTGAACCCGCGATGTCTGTCGAAAGCTGATTATGCATCAACGCAAGGAGCAGTGAAGAGCGATCCCATGCATACCTCAAGGAGCCACATGCCAGGTTGTGGTGAAGGAGTCTAAATTCGCCGGGGCCCTTGCGTTCGCATATTCGAGTCTCAGTTGGTGTCCTCCGGTGGAGTACACCAGCTGTGCATCGAACGCTGATCTTCTTCTTCGACCCAGTGGCACGATCAGTCATTTCGAAAGTGTAATCGTGGGCTCGCCTCCACCTCATTGACGATTGCAGGATGGACTGGAGCAGAGCAAGGGGCCAATCCTTCAGCTGGGAAGCTTGCGGTGACCAGGTGGAAACTCGATCCTCCCTGACGCCCCAAGATTTACTAGTAGTAACATTGCCGGATGTTTGTTGATGCGAGCATTTCAGCGTTAACTCATACTCGTTTGCATTTCTCTCCCCTCGCAGGCTACTTGCCATTGCTCGACCGTCTTCAACCTTTCATCGTTATCGAGCGAGCAGGAAACATGGGAGACTCCAAGCTTTTCAGTCCCCTTACGCTGGGACCTTGCCACCTTCAGCACCGACTGGTCATGGCTCCTCTGACCCGGTTACGGGCAAATGACTTCTTCGTCCAGCTCCCTTTCGTGAAGCAATACTATGGCCAGCGGGCCTCCACTCCCGGCACTCTCATCGTTGCCGAGGCCACATCGATTAGTGCTCGGGCCGTTGGATTCGCAAATACGCCGGGTATCTGGAGCGCAGACCAGATCGCGGCTTGGAAAGAAATCACGGACTGCGTGCACCAAAAGCGCTCCTTTATCTTCTTACAGCTGTGGTCGTGTGGACGGGCCGCCGAACAGGAGGTTATTGACAAGGAGGGCATCGATTATGTGTCCAGCAGCGCCACGCCCGTAGAGCCCAATGGCCCATGCCCTCGTCCCCTCACAGAGGAGGAAATTCGCGGCTATATTGAGGACTATGCGCAGGCTGCCCGGAATGCCATGGCAGCTGGGTTCGATGGGGTGGAACTACACGGAGCGCACGGGTTCTTGATAGACCAATTCATCCAGGAGACCTGCAATAAGCGAACGGATAAATGGGGTGGCAGCATCGAGAACAGATCTCGTTTCGCGCTTGAAGTAGCCAAGGCCGTCGTGGATGTGGTGGGTGCGGATCGGGTTGGCATCAAACTCAGCCCGTGGGCCGAGGAATTCGGCATGAAGCTGAGCCGGGATGTCATTCCACAGTTCGAGTATCTCATCAGCCGCCTGTCTGAGATGGGTCTCGCCTATCTGGCCTTGTCGAACCCCAGGTGGGAAGAGGGCAACCTCCTGGACGGTGAAGAATACAACAACGGTATCTTCGTTCGTGCCTGGGGACCATCGAGACCTGTCATCCTGTGCGGAGGGTATTCCCAGGCTTCTGCTCAACAGGCTGTCGACGAGGAATATGCTGCATACGACGTTTTGATTGCATTTGGTCGCTACTTCATCTCGACTCCCGATCTACCATACCGATTGAAGAGAGGGTTGGAGTTCAGCAAGTATCACCGGGAGTCGTTCTATACCCCCTGCGCCGAGAAAGGGTATATTGACTATCCTTTCAGCGAGGAGTTCCTGGCTGAATGTATTATTTGAGATGTCCTGTGGACAGGGCAACATTCTCGCTGTTCTAGAAGTCATTCTAGAAGCCATTGGCGTCCTCCGAATTGCTTCTCTGATCCTCATGGACAGGAGTCCTGAAGGCAATACACGCGATCCGACCGCCAAAATAACTCCCAAAGGCTAGAAGAGATAGATCGTATGCAGGTACGCAGAATAGAAATGTTACACTCACTTCCATAGTCATCAGGAGTCGATATCTTCCCGTCATGCGGCTAGTAGTTTCAAGAACCAGGACCTTTAACGCCGCCGTAGTGTAGGACATGGTCCATTCACACTGGGTCTCTGTAAAGGCCCAGTAAAATTGTCCAATAGCAATGCCCGCGCAGATAGTGCATGCGGACGCATCCATTCGGTAGGGGGTTGGTAGTATCGGAAGGCATGCAATTGGGACCACTGAAGAAGGTGCATCACACCGCTCTTTGTCTGCAGTGAAAGCAAAGTGGACAGACCACAGGCGGCTGCTGAATTTAAAAGAATTAAACCACACAGCTGGGCTGAGTCTTCACGACCATAGGTTTGCTCTTATACCTACGTTGGGCGGTGTCTTGGGCGCTCTCCTGAACTTCACCTCCAGGTCATACGCTTGCAGAATGACGATTCATGATCCGAATGTCTCTGTACAGAGAGAGACTGCATCACCGTTAAACACGCTCTCTCGTGCCCTGGGCTTTGGGAACGGGGATCAAGAGCGCTGGTGGAACGATACCGCACCTCTGCTCCATGGATTGCTCGTGGCGACAGGATACGACGTCCATTCGCAGTACCAGCATCTGCTTTTCCACCATCGACATGTCCTTCCCGCATTGGGGCCGTATCCAGAGGCTCAGCCAGACAGCATCGTCCCCGGGGGCTGCCCATATGAACTGAGTGTAAACTTCCAACAGGGGAAGGCTGTTGTTCGGTTCGACTTTGCACCAGCTGGCGATAGCAAGCAGAACCAGTTCAGTCCCGGGGTCGCAATCAACCGACTGCTCGCCGACCTGTCTGATTCCGGCCATGAAATTGACACCAGATTGTACTATCACTTCACGAATGCGCTTGCGCTGACGAAGCGCGACATTGCCTTCCTCCAGAAGAACCCAACACCCCATTCTAGTACCCAGAACATCCTCTCCTGGGATTTGAAAGGAGCCACGAATGACCTCAAAATGTATTTCTTCCCCTTGGTCAAGGCCGATGCGGTGCAGGTTCCGTCTGGTCAACTAGTTCTGGATGCGATTCGCAAGGCAGATGATGGCTGCTATGATTCACCTGCGCTGGGACTGGTCGAATCCTTTTTACGAGACCGGAAGCTCCTTTCCAACGTCTGTGTCCTCGGGTGGGACTGCGTGCCGGACAACGGGAGGGTGAAGATATATCTCGCCGACCCGGACGTGAGCATCGCTAAAATCCGAGACTTGTGGACGCTCGGGGGACAGCTTAGCAACGCTACCGTTACGAAAGGCTTAGAGCTGCTCCTGGAGCTCTGGGACTGTCTCGGCTTACAGGAGGGAGTGCGGTCCACCACCGAACTAGGTCAGCCGGAGCAAGAGGACGGTCGAAGCGGGTTGACGTTCTCATATGAACTGCGACCTGGGGACCGGTATCCTGAGCCCAAAATTTACTTTCCCTTGGTGGGAGAGAACGACAGCATCGTCAGCCAAGGGCTGGCCCGGTTCGTTGCGCGCCTGGGGTGGACTGAGCTGGACAGCTATCCTTCTGCGCTCGCAGATGTCTTGTAAGTTTGCAAACGTCTTCGGTTTACTCAGTAGCAGAAGCCTGACTCAATCATTCTTAGCGCTGGTGTGGACATGTCCATTTCTACTCGCCTAATCTCTTCGTTGTCCTTTGCCTATACGGAAGAGAAGGGACCGTACATGACGGCATATTACTATTCTTCGAAGCAGTACCCTTGGGAAGGCGCCCGGCCAGTATAGATACACCGTCAGAGACCCCCATTTCAATTCCTTTTATGGTTTTTGCTTCCGTTCGTGTCTCGAAAGGGATTGCTTTGTATGGTGGTCCTAAGACTGCTACTTTTTAGATCGTGGAATTGTCAGTTAGTTATCCAACTATGTATGTTCACGTAGCATAGCGTCTTTAAATCACCGCTTTGCTCTTTCGTAAGAACAAAAGCTTCGTATGGGAAGATACGCCTCTTCTCTCTTTTTTTTTTTTTTTTTTTTTTTTTCCCATTCTCATCTTGCCATTCAATGGCTCAGATGTTGAAAAAAACGGGACAATACCCCTTACAGAACTGCGTCTAGAAAGCCTCGTAGCATTTCCTCCATGCTTGGTAACCTTGCTTTACGATCTTACATATCTGTAAGTGCATGAAGATAACACACCCCCTTGCTGAGCTGTCTCCCTACTTCTTGCATTCTAAGCATGTAGCCAAGAATAGAGTCTTTTTTTTATGCAGAGGATGGTCGGTCATGGGAGGACTGGGCCGCCCTTGGCCAGCTGCAAGTAGGAACCAGAGCTTCAAAGGATGAGATATCTAAGAGAGACGCGTATGTCTTAGCAACGCTCTCCGGTCACCCTTCGTCAACACCACGATACCCTGGAAAATGCATCACAATCGTATGCCAACCTTCCGTGAGAGCCTGAAGCGCCTGGCTCGGTCAGCCGATGTCGTCGCCGCCGAACTAGATCAGGCCGGTTACAGCAACTATAACTTCTCGCCCGAAAATTCTCCCTTTGATCTGTCTTTCCTCAGTTGCGAGGGCCTCGCTGCTCGCGGAGACCTGATCACCGCAGCAGAGACCATCCTGAGACTCGCCAAAGGCCCACAGGAAAGCCTCTCTGTCTTCGCCGAGAAGGTAGCCCACCCCCGATTGCTTGCTACCAGGCCCCGCTGCTGACCATGTGTGATACCGCCAGGGAATCGAGAATGGGACTCTCCAGGCTTTGATCCAGCTGGAGGTCCCGCAGCAGGTGCCTTTGCACGGATCAATGACCTACGCGGAATTGGCAGCGCGCGTGCAGGTTTCGCCCGAACTACTGCAACGATTCATCCGACTGGCCGCGTTGGCCGGATTCCTGGTCGAGGATGAGAATGGCCTAGTCCGTCACACCGCCATGTCGGCCGTCTTCTTGCGCGATCAGGCTGTCGCGGACATGACCCGGTTCATGTGCGATGTCGACGCACGCGCGGCCACCTATTTTCATGATTCCATTCGTCTTGATCCGAAGGGAACCACAGTCTCCCAAGGTCCGGCGGCCCTGGCGCTGCATCCGCGCGACTACGAGAACGAGTCGCGGCGAACGATCTGGGAAGTCTTGGAGAGCGATCCGGTGCAGAACGCGCGGTTTCATTCGAGTATGACGGCCTTGCTGGCGTCTCCATCGCACTCTCTTAAGCATATTGCAGGTGCGGTGGACTGGAGTCGGTTTCGCACCGTGGTTGATGTCTGTCTGTCCTATCCGCTTCTCGCTCAGACGTCGCTAACGCTTGCATAGGTTGGTGGGTCCCTCGGTCAAGCATCTCTCGCAATTGCAGAGAAAGCGCCCAACATCCGAGTCATCGTGCAGGACCTCCCCGAGGTTGTCCAGAGAGGAAAGGACTCGCTGCCCCCTGTGCCATGGGCTGGCCAGATCACATTCGAGCCCCATGACTTCTTTACACCGCAAAAGACCAAAGCCGATGCCTATCTTCTACGCCAGGTCCTGCATGACTGGCCGGAAGAGGACGCCCGGCGGATTGTATGCAATATACTCCCAGCCTTGGAGCCGGGGACCCGTCTACTGATCATGGATATTGTCTTACCCGACACTGGAGCGGTCCCAGTATACACCGAAAAGCTGTTGCGGATCTATGATATCTCCATGTTTTCCTTCTTCTCGAGCACTGAGCGCACGCTGACCCAACTCCGGCAGTTGGTCGAAGGCTGTGACCCCAGACTGCAGTTTGAGCGAGTCAGCCATCCGGAAGGTAGCGCGCTGAGTCTAATGTCGTGGGTCTGTGTATGAGCATCGGCAGAGCAAGAGGCAGTAGCCAATACCGGAAAAGTGAAACAAAATAGTAGAAATCTATTCAATTGAATTTATTCGTGCTGTTGCTATCTTTATACCGACCAAGGCCAGTTACCACTACCAGCGGGTTTCAGCCTATTGCCTGCCATCTGGAATTATCCTATATTGTGATGCCGCCCTCAATTGGAATCATCTGCCCAGTCATATAAGAGGATCCCTCCCCCAGTAAGAAAACTATGAGCTCGGCAACTTCCTCCGGTCTCGCAGGCCGCTTCAGCGGCACAGCGTTGATGAACTCATCCACCATTTCCGGCGGGATACTGTCGTTTCGGATCATGGGGGTGTCCGTCATGCCCGGAGCAACACAGTTAACGCGCACCCCGCGCCGGACAAAGTCCTTCGCCCACGATCTCGTCAAGCCGACCACGGCATGTTTACTCGTGTTGTAGGAGGCCATGCCCGGATCTGTGCGGATGACCGATTCAGACGCCAGATTCACAATGCTGGCGATGCCTTCCTTTATCGGCCGCCCGTCAACGTCGCCCTTGAGCTCCGGGTTTCGGTCCAGAACGGCGTTCAGATACGCAGTCCCAGCGATCCAGGTCCCATAGACGTTGACGTCGAGCACGCGCCGGAACGACTCGTCCGATTCCGGGAGACCCGATCCATCGAGGTTGTCCGGGGCGATACCAGCGCTGTTCACGAGTCCGTGGACGTCCGGCGAGTGTTCAAAGATGGCCTTGAAGGCCTCGGTCATCTGTGCGCGGGAGCTCACGTCCACTCCGCGGTGAATGTAGGCGCGGCCGCTTTGCTCCGCTTCGATGAGGGCTTTGGGGGTCGAGGTAGTTATGTCGATGATATGGACGACGGCGTCTCGGGCAAGGAGGGCCTGGGCGACAGCGAGGCCGATACCTGAGCTGCCCCCGGTCACAATGTATGCTTTTCCGGTAGATCCCATCTTGTCGGTCAGGTTTGCCTGTGACAGAGCTTATGTCTAGGAGTGGGGGAGAGACAAAGAATGGTATTGAATGCAGATAGAGGATAATGAAGGCTGGATAGATTTGGCGTGCCACAGGTGTCCAAGATACTCCTTTACTTTGCTAGCACTGATAGCTCGGCTTCATAATATTGTTGCTACCGGAGCAAGGTCTGCTTCACCGCCGGTTTTTCCGTCCTGAGAAGGATTCAAGACACTCATACGCTAGTCTCTCCCTCGTTGGACGCAATACTAACTACATGCCGAGCTGCGTGCGTGCGCCCCCTTGGAGTTGCAGATCAGTCCCTTACGCATTCAAGTGACTGCATGTGCATTGCTGCCGGTGCATATCCTACCTGTCGGTATGTCCATGATAAATGACGTAGCACACTGAGGAGTCAGATCATGGTCGATCAGATGCAGTCGCATCATGGATTGCATATAGGGTATTGGAGGGACACGCTGCTCGTTCCGGATTCTTTTCGTGCTCAGCCTGCAAAGAAGTTATTCACCAGATATACTCTATCATCCTAGGTTGTTGATTATTAGGACCACTCGTGATCACTCCCGCAGCCTGGAGACAACTGATTCTAACCATAGGCATAGGGAAGCATGCCGCATTAGCTCTCCGCAGTGGCATTGACCAAGGGGATGAATACGACCGGCAGTTCTTCTACGATCCTCTATAGTTGATCATTGGATTTACTAGTTTTCCTCTATTAACCTCGTACGGTTCAAAAGTGGCCACCGCTCAATATGTGGCTAGGGTAGTGAGAAGAAAGAACTACTAGCTGTCTTGCCATTGCAACAATTTGCACACAGGCTACCCTCTTAGTCACCAAGTCTGCTTCGGACAGTGACTTTCACATCAAAGAGTCCGTCCTTGGGAAATGCAGTAATGTAATCCCGAGCCACGCGGATATCCTCCTCTGTAGTCTCAAAGAGCTCGAAATCAAAGCGGCGTGCGACAGCCGCGATGGTGAAATAGAGTTGACACTGAGCTAGGCTGCACAGATGAGAAACGTCAGCATGAGCTACAGCGAAGAAAAGGATTGAAAGAAGAGAGATATTTACTTGATCCCAATACACTGCCTGGTTCCCCTGGAGAACGCTACTAGGTATCGGTGCAAGTTCACCCCACTGGCCGCGGCTCCGATCCATCGCTCGGGGCGAAAGCAATCCGGCTCGGGAAATACATCAGCGTTTCTATGGATAAGGTATGCAGATGAACTCATCGGAGTCTATTGCTAGCGCTGTCAGGAAGAGCAACAACGGTCATGTGGAAATGGCAGGGTCACGTACCATCCTGGGAATGGGATGAGCTTTATATCTCAAGTCTTCTGTCGGAGCAATCCGAGATAGTCTGCCGATGGCTCCGAACGAAAGCCGCAGAGACTCGTTTACGACGCCACTCTGTGATTTGAGGCCGATTAGGTTACCGTATCGCGGGAAGGGAAGAGGAAATAGGCCTACCAGGTACGGGAGATGCTCAAGCTCGGCCCAAGACGCCTGCGATGTGCAAGTTGGCATAACTTGTCGAAGCTCCTGGCGAAGTTTCTGCACGTTTATCGAGCCGGTAGCCATATAGTAGACAAAAACAGCTAGAGCACGCGCAGTGGCCTCGGCTCCAGCGATCAAGAGAACCAAGCTCTCGTCTCGCAACCTCTCAAGCGTACGCTCCTCTGGTGGCACTTCTTGATGGCAGAGAGAAGTAAAGATGCTGTCTCGTTCTTTTTCCTGCGCGTGCCCGCTCTGGCCCGTTGTGCGCAAGGATGAGATGATCCGTTGGTCAATGACCTCCTGGAGAGAACCTAAGGACTTGTTCTGCAGGCCCAGAACCTCGGTCACAGACGAGGGAAGCCATCGCACGGGTTTCAGGAGGAAAGGGAAAAATTTGAGGACGTGACAGAGCATGTCCAGCTCCAGTGCACTCCGATACACATCGTTCCTGAACAGAGGGTCCTCGAGGAAGCCGAGGTCAATGTCGAACGCGTAGCCGGCAATGATATCAGAGGTCAAGGCAGCAAAGGCATCGCTAACATTGAGAGGGCGAGCAATCGCCGAAGCTTCCTCCAGACGGCCACACAGAATCTCTGCTTTCTTCCGGATCGTGGTGGTAATCTTCTCAATCGACTGGCGAGAAAAGTGGTTTTTAATGAGGCTTCGACGGAATCTATGGTGACCGTGGTGCCAGGTGGCGCCCATGGAGAATGGAGCCCCGATCATGGGGACTTGTTTGGGGTCTTTCCATCGTACCCTTGCTGCTGGCGCATAGATCTCGTCGTAGAAGTCGGGATCACTGATATGGACCTCCCGGGGGTTGATTCGTACAATCGGGCCTAAAGTTGAGGAAGATGGACCTTAGCCTGGTTGTCCTCTCAAGAACGAAGGACGCAGTACCATATTTCTGATGCATTTTCTCAACTTCGAAGAGATAGGTGCCCCCTCTAATTACATCGTAGTAAAACTCATATAAGTGGCTGATGGCAGCGCGTTTTGGACCGGGTATATGGCTCAACGGATGCCAGTAAAGGCGATAAATTGCCTTGCTGCCAAACCAGAGGAACGCAAGAGCAACAATGAGAGGTAGCGTCACCGCCATCGCTGCTGTATCTTACACCCAATGCCAAAGGAGAAGAACGGGTGTGCTTGAGGGCAATACGTCGGGTCTTCGATTGGCAATGTCCGCCGGCCTTGAAGCTGTTCCTTGGGATATCGCGTTCCTCTATTCTATCCTGCTCTCAGAAATTGCAATGCTCGGTTGTACGGCAACGTCTGACTAGTAAGAAAAGGATGGACATTCTTCTGTCTGAGCCAGAGCTTGCAAAGGCGCATGACCAGGGAGTCAATGCAAGGGCTATCAGGCGATCGATCGTGTTACCTATCAGCTCAAGGTTAGCCCGGTATGCCAGGGTTCGAGCCATGAGTCGCGCCACAGACGTAAGGACAAGAAGAAGGGGAATAGTGCTGTTCCAACCCCCTGTCCCAACGACTGGAACAGTGGAGTGACCGGCGTGGCCATGTTTTCAGGCCCTGCTACCGACATGCCTTGCAGGATGCTCTTGTTGGTAGCATACCGGACTAAAACATCCACATTTATACCCTGTATCGTTTGGCATTGATACCGCACGTTCAAGCTTCAAGCAACTCCGTTCATCTACTCCCTCTCGAGGCACGGATAGGTCTAACGAAAGCACCTATCTTCGTAGACACCATGACCGTGCACGGCGAGGACTATGCGCCGGAGGCCCTTTTGGGACTCACACTTCTTCAGCAATACGATAGCTGCAAAGCTGATGATCAGTTGGTACGTCGGCCCACGGCCGAGGAGGTGGCTAAACTTGAGGAGATGGCGGTGCCCGGGATTCCTCAAGCGCCAAACAAAGTGATAGAGGATGCACGCAAGATCTTGTCATATCGTGTCGCCCTCGGCCATACCCGGTTCTTCTCGTGTATTCCTTCTCCCGCATCGCCTATATCCTGGTTCGGAGATGCGCTCACCAACGCCTTCAATCCCTTCGCGGGGAGCCTGGAGGCCGGGCCTGGGATCTGTACAATCGAAAAGGCCCTGATCAAGTGGATCGCAAAACAGTTCTCGCTCCCTCCGACGGCCGGAGGCCAGTTCGTCTCGGGAGCCTCAATCGCAAACCTAACGGCGATGACCGTTGCTCGGGATCAGAAGCTAGATGACTGTACCCGTGCAAAGGGCGTCGTCTATATCTCCGAACAAACTCATTTCTGTGTCCGGAAAGCACTGCATGTCATCGGCTGCTCCGAAAAGCGGATCCGCGTCATTCCAGTTGACAAGAGGTTCCGGATGGATCTCCAACGACTTCGCCGCGCAATCTCCCTCGATCTGGACCAGGGGCTATGCCCGTTTCTGATCGTGGCAACTTGCGGAACTACCAACACTGGTGCCATTGACCCCCTGTTGCAACTCAGCGCCATCGCCAAAGCTCGAAATATGTGGCTTCATGTGGATGCGGCATATGGCGGCTCCGTTGCATTCTCTCGGAAGTACAATGAGCAGATCGAAGGCCTCGGACAGGCGGATAGCATTGCGTGGGATGCTCACAAATGGATGTTTCAGACGCATGGCTGTGGTGCTGTCTTATTTCGAGACGAGACCCATCCACTAGACAGCTTCGCTGCCGGCGGCGACTACGTCCGAGACGTGAGCATGGTGCGGGATCCCTGGAACTATGGTCTCGAGCTGACCCGACCTGCTCGCCATATGAAGCTGTGGTTTACCCTGCAGGTTCTGGGAACGGAGGCCATTGAGCGGATGATCAACTGGGGAATCGAGCTTGCTACGCACACCGAGGCCCAGTTGCGAGCGCTGGACAACTGGGAAATCGTCTCCCCTGCAAACCTGGCCATTCTCGTCTTCCGCTACGCTCCTCCCTGTCTGGATCCGAGTCTGGTGAATGGGTTGAACGAGAGAATCTCCAGGGATATGATCGCCTGCAACACTGCAGTAATGTTTACAACGTTGCTAGAGGGAAAGGTATGCTTGCGAATGTGCACCATAAACCCGAACATATCATTGGCCGAGATCGCAGAGGTCGTACAAGAATTGGATAAGAGTGCTACCAGATGCGTCCACCAGACCATGCAGACCAAGCACTGCAGGGACCATTACCCAGGCCCGAGGAAGTAGCATTGCAACGTGGAGACGCAAGCTTTCAGTCCAGGTTGGACGACGGAGGCGCTATATGTCTGCTGATATATCTTGACACCTGTCTTCACGGTAATCCGTGTGCTTCCCGCCAGTTACGATATCCAACCTGTCCGTCTTTTAAATGTTCAGAACTGTACGAGCCTATGGCATCTCACGGCTGGAGTGAGCCGATGGGCATCATAGAATGGGTGTGCCGCCTAAAGGTAGTTTCGATATCTGTCTGCCCAACAATGCTCTCAATACGCCTGTATACCTCGCTTTAATCGTACTGCATCCCTTGCAGTAGCCGATCCCACGCCGTGATGAAATCATAACCTGTAGCTTGGTTCAGTAGTGTAGCACGCAAGGCATTGACCCTGCTGGGGTCCTGTTACCTCCCACGCTATGCCATGACGCAGGCCGGTCTGCGTTTCTACTCGACGCATGCACCCATGGTCTCCTTGCCTTCTCGCTGACCGCTTGAAGAGACCGCTTTTCTAGACCAACTGGTGATAGTCGCTCGACGATGGGTACAAGCTTTTCAAATACCCCAAAGTCACCCTTAGCATATATGACTCGATACTGCAGAACGCGCAATAATGGCAGCAATTAGGGAGGTCCTCGCCCGTCTGAACGAAGCGGCCGACGCCTTCACACAGGCACTGGATAGCCAGGAGAATGACGACCGCAGCAGCTTGCGCGAGCCGGATCCCTGGTACAACTTGTCTTTACTGAGTGCACAAGCTTTGGAAGCTCAGGGGGAGTTGATAGCGACTGCGGAGGCAATCATTCGTCTAGCCAAGGGACCACAGGCATGTCTTACCAGCTACTCGGACAAGGTGCGTATAATGTCCCTGGCTCACTCGCGGGTGCTTTCAATTCTATAAAGGATAGATCACTTCTAACACATATCTTGTTCGCCTATCCATAGTCGGCAGAGATGGGTACGCTGAAGGCGCTGATTAAACTGGGAGTGCCTGAAAAGGTCCCCCTGAAAGGCTCGATCACATATCACGAGCTCAGTGCAGCCCTTCCGATAGCACCAGAGCTACTTCAGCGCCTGGTCAGACTTGCGTCGCTCGCAGGGTTCCTGGTGGAAGATAAGGATGGGGCTGTCCGGCACAGTGCCATGTCAAGTGTGTTCCTCCGGGATCCGCCAGCGGCCGACGCGGCCCGATTTCTGTTCGACGTTGATATGCGTGCATCCAACTATTTTTACGACTCGATTAAGCTGGATCCGTCGGGCCGGGACAACCGCTGTTGCCCGGTGTCACTTGCCTTCCAGAAGGACGACAAGTCCGAAGCCCAGGCCCATCCGTTGACGATCTGGGACATCCTGGAGCGAGACGCAGCCCTGAAAGCCCAATTCCACTCCAGCATGGTTGCTGTCCTTGCCAGTCCCTCGCACGCCTTGAAACACGTTCCAAATGCGTATGATTGGGGCAAATTTAAGACACTAGTTGACGTACGGCTTGCCTCCCCTTTTCCTCAGCATAGCATGCTTACCCCTTTCCCGAACACCAGGTCGGAGGGTCCCAGGGCCAGGCGTCGCTCGCCATTGCCGAAAAGTACGAGGGCATTCACATAATAGTCCAAGACCTCCCGGAGGTGGTTGAAATGCTCCAGCCGTCACGCGCTACAGAAGCGGCGCGCCGCCTAGATTTCCAGGCTCACGATTTCTTTACGGAACAGCGTACTGTTGCAGATGGATACTTCCTCCGGCAGGTTCTTCATGACTGGCCGGACAAGGAAGTCCAGACGATCATCAAAAACTTGGTCCCTGCTTGCCGGTCCGGGACTAAGCTGCTTGTCATGGATATAGTCCTCCCCGTGCCGGGGTCGATCCCCTGGTTTATGGAGAAACAGCTTCGTTCGGTGGATGTCTCGATGTTCTCGCTCTGCTCCGCGAAGGAGAGAACGCTGGAGGAGTTTCGTACTTTGGTGGAAAGTTGTGATGCTCGGTTTCGGTTTGAAGGGGTCTGCACTCCGCCAGGAAGCGGCACCAGTTTGTTGTCCTGGGTATTCGACTCTGGATCAGGGAATGCCAGGGCAGATGAGATTCCTGTAAACAAGGATCCCTTGGACGGATGAGCACTCACCGAAGCGTGCTGAGTTGTCGCATCGACCAGAATCCTTTGTAGCGTGCTATCTCCATTCAAAGCTCATGCCATCAAGACAGATAGACATTACGACCTGTGGGGATATGTAGGAGAAAAGATGCCAGTGAGACGCGTCAATCGATTCCAAATAGCACAGTTTTGATCAATCAATTGAGATTCTACAAAAGCGTTGTGGTCTATCGGTCGAAGCGATCAGCTATGCTAGCACCGCCTGGTAGAAATAGAAGCTCCTCCTTAATTGTTGAATTCAATCTATCACTGTATCCAAGTTACGATTTCCCACGTGCAGAACATACACCACGGTGATACAGAGGCCTGTGCCTTGTGCAACATGATGGATATATATAGCAACGCCGCTACATACTAGCGCCTTGACATTGAGGCTTAATTAAATAGGCTTTCGGCCCAGAAGACAAAATAATTATACTTCTCCGCTTGTTAAAACTGGGATAGCGCAAGTGTGAAAAACATGCAGAGACACGAAAAGGGGATTTGGAGCAGAGAGATGGAAATTGTTAAGCATTTGATGGATAGAGTGAACCTCCTTATCAGCACCGATGAAGTATGTCATCACGTAATCTAATTGTCTTATCGTTGTACTAGTTAGTTTATTCAAGGATCTTGTTCCCATCAAGCTTCCTCGGCAGCGGATCTCCCGAAAGGCAAAAGTAGGGGTAGACTACCAGTATCTAGAATGCGCTATACATTTGGATGCAGACCAAGTGAGTGGTCCAGGATATTACCACGATGTGTACTTGGACTGCTGCTGCCTACCTATATTACAAAGCCTCCATGGTTAAGCTGATACTTGCACCCGGATATATATTTCATCGGCTTGAATCTCTAGGACCATCTTCTCGGGCCCTGGAATTTGCCTAACCGTGCAAAATGCTTGTGCAGGTCGATGGAGCACCCTAGGAATATGATGGAATGCCATTGAAAAACGGGATTGTGAAGAATAACACCAGAACAGGTGTGAGGTCGGATGGCCTGCTAGAGCTGTTCAGGGAGGGACAGATTTGCTGCTAGGCAACCCTTCAGAGCGAAATCACACCAACCTTCATACACTTATGATCTGCAGTTAGTCGGTAAAGGCATTCTGCAGGAACGAAAAGAATGTTGCCTTGCATCTAAGAGCCGAAGGAAGAACCAGCTTTCTACATAAACTAATAACCTCCACTGTGGGCATGTCTTATGAGTGTCCACTTGTTATATAGGCACAAGATTTGCCCCTAGTTTAAATTTCTATAGTAGCGCAGTTGATTTATTAGAAACAACAGCATTCACTGGCCAAAAATCTGTCCCCGTGAGCCATTCACATATTGTTGGGACGTGGTGACTTACATACCGGGAGTCCAGACGGGGCATTCATATTCACATATACATCCCTTCAGCATGCCATGGTGGTAGAATGATAGAAATTCTCACAATGCAGGCTATTTGGCCTAACCACCTTGCCCCTTCTATGAAGAACACCATATAAAATGTTGTAAAGTAGAGTCCCATTGTAGGCTGGAATACCTGTCTAATGCTCTTCTTGTTTCCCTCCCCGTACCAACCATGAAGTTTATCTGTGCAGCTTTGTACGCAGCAGTGGTCTCTGCGAGCTCCTGTTATATATCTACAAGACACACAGCGGATGGGACTGGCCATGTCTTTCCGTTTTCCTACTCAGGAGACCACGGCCCGTTGAATTGGCATCACATTGTGTCGGACAGCGGTGCCTGCGCACACGGCCGACAAGAATCACCAATTGATATCAACAAGGATAGTGTTACCTATGCGCGTCAAGGCGACGTCCGCATTGCTATTCCACCAGCAGAGAGCGCAAAGCTCGAAAATCTGGGCGCTGGGCTCGAAGTTGTCCTCAGCAACGGGACCTTGACCACCCCCGACAATACCTACTAGCTTGTTTAGTTTCACTGGCACACTCCCAGCGAGCACCGTATCGACTAAGAGCACTTTCCACTGGAAGCGCACTTTGTGTTCCAAGATACTAGTATGCGTCCACACAATGATCCATGATAAAAGATCTTCAGCTTACCTGGAATCCAATCGACGCAGACAACCACCTAGCAGTTGTCGGCTTCTTGGCCGAACTCACCGAGACTGGACTCTCAACATGCCTTTTTGACTCCGTCTTCGCACAAATTGGTGCCGTTCGAGAACCGGGTGCCTACGCCTACATTGGCTCGTGGGACTTCTCGGAGATCACTGACCATCTTGACCGCAACCCACCAGCCCAATATAGCGGCTCTTTGACAACACCTCCATGCTCTGAGGGTGTCAGCTGGTATGTGTGTACCCAGCCCTTGCCACTCAGCGTCAATAGCTACAACGCAGTGAAGAAACTGCTCAAGTTCAATTCTCGCTACAAACAGAATACTCTGGGCTCGGTGAATTTGCTGGACCTCGCTTCCCACGATTAGGATGTGTAATTTTATCTATTGCTTACTGTGGGGGCGGAAGGAGGAGTGCTTCGTTTGCTTAATGTCTTTGATGTGTTGTTATCGATCACGGTGAGCGTGGAGACTATTCCAAGGTCTGCTGCGCAACGGGATGGCCGGATACAGGGACTTGAAGGCATCATAGTAGGGTTAGAAGTACTAATAGATAAGGAATATCTCTTACGGATCACTATTATGCCTAGTATTAGTGGATAGCGATATTATCTTGTCCAACTAATCTTGTTATCCCTGCCATGATGATATAATTATTACGCTATATATTGCGCACGCGGAATATTAATAAAACAATTTCGTGGTATACAAGTCGTATGATCGAGAGTATCTATCTAACATTACGTTAATTGGCCGCGCGAGACATATCGTGGCTTCATATCTCAGAGGGCAAGTCCAACTAATCATAGCCTCTATGATATCTTAACGACTATTAGACGAAGACTACTCCGATAGCAAACATCCTTTCATGTGAAAGGACTCAATCCCTACAGCGCCGTTACTAGACATCCTGTGAAATTGGATTTATGACCCATGTCCACTGTTGATTATCATGGAGCTGAACTTCATGGCATGCATTGGGAACGGAGTTGCATATGATATCCCAGGGTTGACAAATAGAAGATTACCCACCATGGAGTAGGGACGGGCTGTAGAGTAGAGACCTGTCACAGAAAATAACCTATCTAGGTACTATAAGGTAGAGAGACACTACAGAAGAATCCACTACGGAGCAGGAACAGGCTGCAGGAATGCTACATAAAGCCAAGAAACAGCGGTATTCCAATGAGACGTGAATTCTTCCCCTAACGATGATGACTGACATTCGGCTATTGACATCCAGACCGGCCATGACTCGGGCACTATGCAGTAGGTATTTGTGAGGGCACTGTGGCCACCACCAGATAGTCTATTGCGCTGGCACGTATCCCATTCGCTGTGCGAAACTCCTCATATTCCTGCGCGATTTCCTGCCGGACCCTGGCCCGCACGTCTTCGGGCAGATGGCCGAGATAATTCCCGAACGAGCTCGACTCGACAAAATCGATCATGGTGTCGGCGTCTCTGGTGCATAGCTCATTGGGCACCTCGGTAACCGGGCCTGCGTGAAATCCGGCGTCGGTCAGGTATCTCTCCAGCTCCTTCCTCGTCACCAGTTGCGCCTGGCCCTTCACACCGCCGTCCTGATAGGCGCGATAAGCATCCCGGGCAAGCACACGGTCCCGAACGGTCTCGTGCGGGAACCGATGGTCGCCTGATCCGGTGGTGATGCCGAGGCGGCCGTTGGGTTTCAGCACGCGGGCAAACTGCCGCAGGGCTTCGGGTTTGTCGGATAGCCAGTGGAAGACGGCATTGAGGTAGACGACATCGAAGCTAGCCGGTTCAAAGCGGGTGAGATCGTGTGCATCTCCGACGGCAAACGAGAGATTTGCCCGGGCAGACTCGTTGGCAATGCTGACGCGAGCGCCAAGGGGATCGATACCAACGACTCGCCCGCTTTCGCCCACCATCCCGGCGGCGTAGGTGGCCAGCTTGCCCGTTCCAGACCCGACATCGAGAACACTCTCCCCCCGGCGCGAGCTTCAGCTGGTCGAGAAGGACGAGCCCTGTCTGATATTGGTGCTCACACACCGTCTCGTAGAGACGGGCCAGCTCTTCGGTGTCGATGCCGAAACTGACTTCCGATTGTGTCATGTTGTGTGTGGATGTGCTGAGCTTGAACGCGGACTGTTCTTCATTTATTCCTGGTTGAGGGGGGGGGATTCGAAAGGACATCCGTTGGGTTGTAAATCGACCCAACATGCATGCTACGCTGACTGCATTCCGGCTGCTTCTCCCTCCATTCTATCCCTTGAGGCGGTAAGGAGGAGAAGAAACCCAGTCAATAATGTCCTTGGCGTGGAAATGGGGTGATACCTAGGTAGTAGCCAAGCGTCTCCCTTGCAGTCTAGGCGTATTCATCCTTGTACCACTTCGATGGCAGCTCCTTAAACATGCGTGGTCTTCTTTGACCACGCCCTCCCCCAGATCGTTCGACATAGCATTGCAAGTCTTCCGCTCACTAGCGATAAGGCCTCATGACCAAAATTGATTTGATTAACCTCCTGGACCACGCAGCCGACACGGTTGCTGCCAGCGGAATCCTGATCTACTCTCCTGGAAATGTCGAGTCACCACACCGATTAACCTATGCTGAACTTCGGGATGCTGCTCAGCAGAATGCCAGGCGCTTGGGATGCATGGAGGGCTTTGCCCCCGGCTCGCTGGTTCTGCTGCATTTAGACGGCTACCGGGATAACATGATCTGGCTATGGTCGCTGATCTATGCCGGATGTATCCCGGTGATGTCTACGCCATTTGCACATCACGAAGAGCATCGCCGCTCCCACTTGCTGCACCTCCAGTCTCTCCTACGGGACCCCATCTGCCTGACTCGGCAAGGCCTGGAGGCGCAGTTCCCTCCAGACGTAGGATTCCGACTTTGCAATATTGAGTCAATCAGCGGAGGATCCAACCCATTCACTAGCCCACGATTGGGACAGCCGCCAGGCCAAGACGACAATGTCGATGACATCGCGCTCTTGATGCTCACGTCGGGGAGTACGGGTCATGCAAAAGCCGTTCCGTTGACTCATTCCCAGCTGTTAAGCGCCCTGGCCGGAAAGGAGCGCTTTCTACAGCTTCGGCAACACGGGCCGAGCTTAAACTGGGTCGCGTTCGACCACATTGCCAGCCTCGCGGAGATGCACTTCCACCCGATTTTTGCCTGCATCGACCAGGTTCACGTGGCAGCCGCCGACGTTATTACCGATCCGCTGATCCTCCTAGAGCTCATCCATCGGCATCGCGTGGGGATTACTTTTGCCCCGAACTTCCTCCTTGCCAAGTTGCTGGACAGCCTCGAAAGAGAACCATCACCCTCCAGTCGCCCCTGGGACCTCAGCTGTCTCATGCATCTCCTCTCCGGTGGCGAGGCGAACGTGGTGGACACCTGTGCCCGCCTCGCGCGCCGGTTGACGCAGGACTACGGGGTCCCATCAACCTGTATCAAGCCTGCGTTTGGCATGACGGAAACATGCGCTGGATGTTCCTTTAACGACCGGTTCCCCACATACGAGACGGTCCATATGCTGGACTTCGCTTCGCTGGGACGCGGCGTCAAAGGAGTGCAGATGCGAGTGACCTCACTATCGACCGGGCAGCCGGTCGACGATCACTCGGAGGTGGGAAACCTCGAGCTGTCCGGGCCAAGCGTCTTTCGGGGTTACTACAACAATTCTCAAGCCACCCGGGACAGTTTCACACCAGATGGGTGGTTCCGAACCGGCGACCTGGCCATGATTGATGCCGGCGGGCAGCTGGTGCTCCGGGGGCGGTCCAAGGAGCTTATCTGCATCAACGGGGCGAAATACCTCCCGCACGAGGTAGAGTCGGCTATTGAGGACGCCAAGGTGCGCGGTGTAACACCAGGCTTCACCATCTGTTTTGGGTATCGGCCAGCTAAAGCGCAAACCGAGTCTCTAGCCGTGGTGTACCTCCCGGCCTACGAAGAGGCGGATGTCGAGAGCCGATCCCAAGCCCAGAACGCAATCATCCGTGTCGGGCTCATCATGACCGGCACACGGCCCTATGTCCTACCTCTGGACGCTCACACGCTGGTGAAGTCCAGCCTCGGCAAGATCTCCCGCAACAAGATCAAGACGGGCCTGGAAAGCGGCGCCTTCCAGGCATTCGAGGAGACAAACAATCGATTGCTCAAGCTCCGCCAGTCCACACCAGTCGTGCCTGCCGGGAATGAGACGGAGACTCTGCTCCTCGCTGCGGCGTTGCATGTCTTCCGCGTCACCGCGGACGAGTTCGGCGTCGAAACGCCCATGTTCGCCTTCGGGATCACTTCCTTGGACATGATCGCGTGGAAGAGACAAGCAGAGACCATCCTCGGGCACGAGATCCCCATGCTGGCCATCATAACCAGCCCGACCATCAGGGTCCTCGCTCGCCAACTGCAGGATGGGCACCATGGCCCGGGCGAATACAACCCCGTCGTGACCCTGCAACCACACGGTTCTAAGACTCCCCTGTGGCTCATCCACCCCATCGGTGGCGAAGTGCTCGTGTTCGTCTCCCTGGCCGGGCTCTTCGCGGACGACCGCCCGGTGCACGCACTTCGCGCACGCGGCCTCAACCGGGGCGAACCACCTTTCGGCAGCATCCATGAAGCCGCCGACGCCTATTACCAGGCCATCAAGCGTGTCCAGCCCCATGGGCCGTATGCCGTCGCCGGATACTCGTACGGCTCGCTGGTCGCTTTCGAGGTCGCCAAGCGCCTCGACCAGCACGGTAAGGACGAAGTCCCGTTCTTTGGGTCCCTAGATCTACCTCCGTTCCACGCCCAAATCATCAGCAAGAGCGACTGGACCGAGAGTCTACTCCACCTAGCGAGCTCCCTCTCCCTCATTGCCGAGGAGGAGATCAACACCCTTGGCGCTGACCTCCGAGGCCTACCCCAGCCCAGAGCAATCCAGAAGATCCTCGCACGGGCACCCCCGCGGCGCATCCGCGAGCTGGACCTCAGCCCCGATGGACTGATGCGGTGGACGAAACTGACGTCTGCCATGGCACAGGCCACGCGGGGCTACGTGCCCGTCGGACAGACGCGTAGTGTCGATGTTTTCTACACCGAGCCGTCGGGGGCGCTGGCGACCACGCGCGACGAGTGGCTGGATCGACACCGCGAGTGGAGGCAATTCGGCCGTCTCGAGACGCAGTTCCATCCGCTGGAGGGCCTTCACTATCGGTTAATGGATGAGGATAACGTTCATAAGGTCTACCGAGTTCTGAGCCGGGCGATGGATGCTCGGGGTTTGTAGAGGGGAGGTTGTAGAGGGGAGGTTGTAAGAGGGTTGGTTGTAAGGGAGGAAGGAGTATTAGTCCGTCTAGTAATGTAACTATTCAACTACAGGTACTCTCTGTCTCTCTCTATCTCTCTAAACCTTTCGGTCAAAAATCTCTAAAAATTAGTATTAAAATCATTATAATTAGAGTCACTCTAGAAATAGTACAAAGGCTGAATTTCAAAGCAAATAGAACGCACTTTTTGAATAGGAATTTAGTTCTTTTTTAACATAGAAACAATGGGGATATATTCCATTTGTACATATAAGGAAACTTGAATAATAAATCAGTACGAAATTTTCTGTTTTGAATTGGATATAAATTCTGTTGACCAGCGTCGTAGACGGGCAGAACACGGGACGCTTAGGCCAGTATGCGCTAGCTTTTACCGGGACCACATTGTAAAAACGAAAGAAAAGCCCCTGAAGGCATTGAGTTCTTGCTTTTCTTTTCATAGCCGGCTGCAGCTTGGTGTATGCGTGTTCTCCCAGAACCGCAGAAGGCTCGGTGGACTAGATTCTTTCAGACATGGGATTTTGGCCTTGTAACTCTTGCTATTGCTCTTCTGATGCTTCTGATGCTTGTTAGTGCAGTATCATATGTAAACATCTTCATCTAGACCATCCCCTACTTGATCCCCCATTCCTTGCGGATCCGCTGCAGCCACTCCTCAACCGGCAGAATCTCCTCGCCAACCTTTACATTGCCCTCCCCGATTCTCTGGCGCTCAGCTGGATCATAAGCTGGAACATGCAGCATCTCATGATCCTTATTACAATCATTCAGCGTGATGGTCCCATTCCGCATATTGTCCAAGCAGCGTTGGTCAAACTCGACATAATTGCACTCCTTGCAGACGTAAAAGTTGTCTGCAAATGTCCAGTAGGTGCCACAGCCACCATCGCAGATGTCGCGCAAAGGCCCCTCGAGTTTCCTCTCGGATGTGTCAGATGCAGGGGAAGTTCCAGACTCTTCCGTGGCATCCTGGGGTCTTATTAAGGACCAAGCGGCGAGGGCATCGGCATCCTGGCCTGCGAACATCAGGTGAACCGCCAGAGCATTGTATCCTTGCCAGTCATTGAGCGGGTCATCATCTGAGAGAAGGTCAAGATTCAGCTTGATGTAGCTGCGCAGGGCATTCTTGGCCTTCTGCTCATCGCCTTGCAGGGCGTGGTACCGGGCAAGAAGTCGCGCCGGATGCGTGCTATAATCGAGATTTCCCGTGCTCTTGACTGCCGCGGCGTTCTCTAGGTGCTCTAGGTAAATTGCGGCGGTGTCTGGGTGTTGTCGAGCTTTCTCGAAACAGACGAGAGCGAGCTGCGATCGAGCTAGCTCCTGTTTGTCTGCAATAAGCACGTCATCGGCTGAATCTATTTGCAGAATGTGTAGCCACTGGTTGATGGCCAATTCCACGCGTTCTGGATTGCTGGCGCTGTTCTTGTAGCACAGAAGGGCAATCCGGTGCATCAGGTCGATTTGGCAGATTTGTGCACTCCACTCTTCTGTTGGCTTGGAAGCCTTTCGTCCCTCCGCGACTCGTGCTTTGGCAGCATTAATGGCTGCCTCGTAGCTTTCGAGGACGATGTCGAACTCTTGGTCGCTGCGAACGGATGCAAGAAGTGCTTCATGGTATTCGTCCCGATAGCAATGCGTATGGAAATTCTGGGTCCGCCGATCGAAGCCACTTCTCTCGTCTATAGAATCTTTCAGGGACTGGAGAAACTCGAGCAAGCGCTGGTAGTTCCCCTGCTTATGCAGCAGAATCATGAGCGCAAGAGCCGTGTTGTAGTCGTTGGGGATTTCCTGTAGCAGTTTCTCGTATATTGCAAGAGTGATTTCACTTCGGCCAACCTCCTTGTTCCACTTAGCTAGGTCGCGGTTCATCTCCGCTAGGTCGTCCTTAAGCTCCTCGGCGTTTCCTATCTCTCCAGTCTCAATGCCTTTCTTCGTGGCCTCCAGGATTTCGATAGCGGTGGTAAAGTCCTTCTGGCTGGCATAGCAATCTGCGAGGCCCCACTGCGACAACCAGTTGTCCTGAGCGAGGGTCGATGTGAGTTTGAATTGCTCAATGGCCTCATCGAACTTGCGGAACTCTCGCAGAGTGCGTGCCAGGTTACGGTTCTCCTCGTAGCCCAGGGTATCCAGTTCAAGCCGCGCTTGAGCCCATTTTGCTGCATCTAATATCTGGGAGGCTTGAATTTGATCAACGTCCGGGTCTTCGGTTAATCTTTTAATCTTCGGGTCTTTACGATTCTCGATCTGAAGCAGAGTCAGCCATTGATCGTTTCCCGCGACGTGGGTTATAGAATACCTTGGTGATGTACCCATGCACCGCATTGAACATAAATGCAACGTCCTCCAAGCCGGACTGGAGCCAGTTGCGGGCGAGCACTCTGCTAATATGCTCCAGGAGATCTGCATCGAGCTCGGATTTGGAGCTCAGACTCTTGACCCACTTGCTCTGGTCCTCGGAGATATTCTTGGTGACGGCAGAGTCCTGCAGCCATTTCAACGTGGCTTCGGCATAGCCGTCGTCATAGATCCAGACGACCCATAGCCAGAGAGTGCTCGCATTCCACCATCGGTCGATGGTTTCTTCATCGGTAAAGATCTTCACCAACTGCGGGCCTAGAGCGATTTTGTGCCGCGGCTGTGTCAGCGAAGGGTCCGCCTCCTTGAGATGCCGGCCGAGATAGGCCACCGCATACTCAAGCAAAGCATCCAGATGCGGCGATGCCTTGGAACAAATGACCTCCAGACACTCCGACAGGATCATCAGATGTGCCGTCTCCGTGTCCACCCTGATCCGGGCGGTCTTGCCCTCCATTTTGCGCTGGAAGAACTCATCAAATCCAAATTTGCTGAACAGGTCCGGGTCACAGACGGACTCGAGGAATCGGCGCACGATTCTTACCTCGGCCTCGCTGACATCGCCGATGGTGTCCGAGTCCTGGTCGTCTGTCGTGCCTTCAGAATCGGACTTTGAACGCAAGAAGTCCTCTATCGAATCCGAGACAAGATACACGTATGCGCCTCTAATGCGAAGCAATGAAGAATACTGATCTCTGATTTTCTCCGCTAGAGGCCGCAGAGAAGGCTCGCGCGACTTGAGGAAGAGCGCCGCCTCCAGTTCCTCGGGGGTGAGTTGTCTCGCCGCAAACAAAACCCATGTAAGCAGATGGTTGAGATCGGAGATATCCTCGTCGCTGAGCGTCTCGTTGAGCATGTCCATCTTTCTCACGATGGTGTCTGATCGATTTTCTCCCGACCGGGCCAGGATGTCGCGGATCTCGCTGGGACGTTGTTTGCCGCTGATTTCGTCTAGAAGAAGTCCGACGTTGACGAAATCGCCCTTGGTCTCGTTCGTCAAGGTCTCCAAAATCTCGCTACGCAGAGCTATCACTTGGTCCGATGAACCCCCGAGAATCTCCATCTTGTTCATCCGGTCGTTGATGAACTTGATCATATCGTCACGGTTTTTGGACGCCACGTCGATCACGGAAATTCCGTCCCCAAGTTGAGTCCTGATCTTGTCCATCGTCTCTGGCCGTCCAGTCAGGAGAATACGAAGAGTGAACCGAGACCACGTTGAAGCCGTGGTCTGCCATTCCTGCAAAACCTGCACGAACTCCTTCAGATGTTGCTTGTCCATCTGGTTAATCCCATCCAACAAGAGAAAGAATGTCGAGTCGTTCTTATAGACCTTGCCAAAGAGCGTTTCGCAAAGGCCGCCAATCTGGTTGATACCGGCCGTTTTGACGGAGCTCAGCTCCTTGCGATACACCATATCCGCTTTGGCAAGTTGCCATGAAAGCACTTCCAGGGCTTTGATCAGAGATGGGTCTTTCATCTCTGGTTGGTCGAACATATAGTACGCAACAGAGGTGCATGTCATATCCTCTGACACTTCGGAGTACACTTCTTGCAAGTGCTTGATGATAGCCGCAAAAAGGAACGACTTGCCATAGCCCTCGCCCCCCGCGATCCCCAGAATTGAAAACCGCGAGCGTCGGGCATCGGCCCAAGCTGTGTACAACGGGTCGCGTTGGAGCCATTCGCCACTCCCTGGGACTTGGTCATTGAGGCGTCGTTTGTAAATCGCCTGGATACCCTTGTACGTCTCGCTGGGTGTGTCGAGACTCGCGTCAATGTTACTCAACAGCCGCTGCGCCACATTTTCGGCGTCTCTCTTCTTCTCCAAGGTGAGAAGCTTATCAACGGAAGCAGTGACCTTCTTGGTTCCATCTCGGGTTTCGACGATCGCTTTTTCGCTCGTCTTCTGGGACTCGAATCCCAGCGTTGCTCGCATCTGAGACTCGCGTTCGACCAGCAACGCTAGTCGAGCCAATTGCCCGCTGACGCCTTCATCGCTATCGAACGCAAACACCTTGAGCGCGGTGAGGATCTTGTTGCCCTTGAGAACCTTGATCGACAAGGCGCAGATATCGACAAAACACACCAACTCCTCGTTGATGATCTTGCGGAGAGAAATGTCCACGGCGTCTGCCGGCAAGCGCATGTAGATCTTGCAGCGCTCCAGTACATCAGAGATCCGCCGGAACAGCTCGGATAGACTGCTGAAAATGCGCTTGTATTTCGCCCCGGTGGCAATGAGATACGAAATTGCATTGAAGCAGAGGCTACTTGGTGCGAAGACCTAGAATGCCGTTTTCAGTAGCACGTTGCGGCCTCTCCACACCCTGGAGTATGCTCACCATGCTAGCACCTTGGGCAGCGATACCCCCCAGCACCGTGATAAATGTCAGGGTCTTGCCTATGACCTCCTTGGCAGCCCTGAATTTGTTGTTTTTCTCGTCGTCTTCATCCTGCTTCGACCGGATCTGGTCCAGAACCTCGTCGACGGTGAATTTGGGAGACGTGGTGAGATCGACCTTGGTGGTCTGCGCGAATGCCCCGCAAGCCCTGTTCCATGCTTCCTGAATGTTATAATCATCCTCAATTTCGACGGCGGCCATAATGGCGGTTATTTATTGTCTGTTGGCCGCTGGCACTATATGACAGGACTTTGTTCGGGTTGAAATGCCCTACAAAAGGGAGATCGTTTCCGCAGTGGGTATTCCTCGTATTTATATGCTTAGCCCCGACCTGAAAACACCATGCCAAGAGAAAGCGGCTGAGAGCTTGTGCCCGACGAGAAACGTGGCGTCGTTCCGCCAATCCCAGACGACGATATCCAAGTCAGACGGAATTAACAGGTTGGAGTAAATCCGCGAAGGCGGTTGAAGCGGTGCCCACCAAACCCACCCGGGAGAAATCTCCGCAGATAAGCCTCGCAGCTAGAGGGATACAGAATCTAGACTTCAAAGTGTCGATGATGATGTGGTTAGTCCTGTTGAAGTGATGACACCGCGCCAGTACCCTTATCGCCATCATCTCTGCAAGAAGCAACGTCCAAGAAAACGGGAAGCGAACAGCCAGTGCTGATGGACAAATATGGGATTTAGGGCTGGCAAGACGCTCAATAGAATGCTCTGATCTGCAAGCAGCGACACTGTAAGAGCAAATATAAGTGCCTTACTCTGAAGTATATATATTCGTCTGACTCTCCGGCGTCTTTTCATGTCTCAGGCACTTACCTACTCCGTATAGTAAAGCAAGCCCCGCGTTTACGATGTCCAGTACATGTACAAAACCCGGAACAGCTACTCCACTGGCTTTCGCTGGGCCCCCACACAAGGCACATCGGTGAGGTGTGTATCTATATGAACATGCCCTTTGCATGAGTCCCTATATAATCCTATCTTTCTACTAACCTAGTACATACGACCATAGGGTGTGGAGAACAGGGCTTCCCGTCCGCTCAGCCGTACTTAAGCCACACGCCGGCCGGTTAGTAGTTGGGTGGGTGACCACCAGCGAATCCCGGCTGTTGTATGTATTTTTGCCTTTGAAGGAACGTTAAAATTTTATACTATATCTAAAAATACTATAAATGCGCCCGGCTTTCGAGCAGTATGGTTCCCATAGGTCCAATGAAGTCGCTAAATCTTTGTTGGAGACGAGACAGTACAGTAATATGGTATGGCATTAGCCATGAAAGAAAATATGTATCAGTACCTAGATTGGGTTGGACATCTTGTGCAACAGAAATATATATATCGCACCCCTCGCCCCCGACACAGATTCGGCAACAGGGATGTATATAACAAGTCTAAGCAGATGATATTTGCGCAACACAAATAAATCCAAAGCATCCAAGTTTAGCCAACGTAAGAACCGTGACTGCATGTAGCTTGTACAAGACGGCCTTGCCCGAAAGAGAATTGATGTAGCTAGGATGGAATAATTCGGTATGTCCGGGAGTGGCTGATATTCAGGTCATATCCACCCGACAGGAAGAAGGCAGAGGGTCAAGGAAAGACGACAAACAGAGGCTCTCCAAGGCACTGGAGTAGTTCAATTCAAGCAGGGAACAGTTATGTACTACCTGGGTACTCCGTATGCCCCCAAAGCGGTCGGAACCAAACAACCTACTTAGTCCAGTACCTTCATAGGGAAAGTTCCTAGCTGAACGAGGCTCGAGTGGAGAGATCACGTTACTCCAACATCGACTAAACTAGTTAACTAGTTAGTAGGGAAAGTTGACTAAACAGTGAAAAGAATGGATTGTTGCCGAGCCTGAGGGTCCCATATAGTGCGCGGGGTGATTTTCGATTTTCCGGCGCCGCTCTGAGCCCCGTACACTCAATCCTGAATCCCGTTCAGCTGTATCCATTCCCCCCCAAGTCATCAACGCCGTCGTTCACCATGGCCCCAGCATCCTTACACCGTCTCCCAACCGAGGTTCTACACCTGATCTTGGGACATTTACGCTTCCCCGCGGAAGGCTATTCTGAACCGCCAGATGCGTATTTTTGTGGCGACCAGCAGGAGCCTGACCAGCCATCCTGGTACTCTCTGAAACTCCAGCCGCTTGTATCCCTCTGCCTGGTCTCCCGACGCTTGCGCAGCATCGCTCAACCAATTCTATACCATTCGTTTATGCTGGGATACGGCGATTCGTGGCGCTCGAATTTTTACACCTGGGACGGTCGACTCGCTTCATTCATGCGGACAGTGGCACAAAGACGAGATTTAGCTGCCCTTGTGAGACGGATATATATCCACCCGTTTCTATTAGAGTCCTTTGGTGAGGAGAGGATTATACAAGCGGACTGTATATGGGGTTCTGTTCACCGGGTTGGCCGTGCGTACCCGCGGCAGTTTTTTAGCGAGAATGAAGCCCAGGCTGTGCTTCGGGTAGTTGCAGATGCTTTAAAGATCGAAGAACTACAGCAGCTCTCAGCACGCGACCTGGTCACAGTTCTACTTCTAGAGCTACCGAATCTAGAGCATTGCAGCCTTCAAGTAGGCCCATATAAGGAGGAAGCTGTTCCGTCAGCAGGGATACGAGCCGCCGGGATTTCACATCTTCCTATTAAGACCATTGATGTGTCACTGAGAGCTTTCGACTTAGAAGCGTCCCGTGGCTGCCTATTTTATATCGATCAGCGTGTGGGAGCTCTTTTAGACGTATCTCAGCGTCTGGAGACTCTTAATCTCCATATGTGCTATGGCTCGTCCACTGGTTTATTCCCTACCCTGCCGAACCTAAAGAATCTCCGCCTTACATTCAGTCGGTTAAGTGAGCGAAATCTTCAAGGACTACTTTCATCTTGCCGCAGCCTCCGTACTTTCTTATACGAGGCTACTTACGCCCCGTACAACCCAGATGTTGATATGTTTCGCGGCTACGATCACTTCCAACTTCCAAATGCTTTGAAGTATCTCAGTTCCCACTGCGAATCACTTGAATTATTGCACCTTGATCTTCGCAAGCGGGGTCTGACCTTCTCGCCCCCGGAACCTCGAGCTAGTTTTAGTCTCAAAAAGTTCACGGCCCTAAAGGATCTATTTCTTAACCTAGATGAGTTCCATTCTCGGTTCATGGCAGCAGATCCATCGGGCGATCGAGAACTCCTAGTTCAGATCCTTCCTTCCAGTATAGTTTCTCTGAATCTTGCTGGTATTATTACTGAGGAGCTTCCTCGGTTAGAGGAGAGCCTATTCGGCCTTGCGCACGCTGTTTTGCAGGGCCAATTCGCGGAGCTGAAGGAGGTTCGATGGGATGAGAAAGAGAAGTTAAATGATGAATTAGGCGTACGTAGCCTATTTGCAACTGCCGGAGTCAGCTTTGATTACAATCGTTGGCCTATGAGCAAGACTCCGTTTGGCGATGGCGGGATTTCACCGTCGAAGCCCACTTATTATAATTGGTTATCGGAGATGGAGGAAGAGCCTGAGCTTTGAAAATATTTGAAGTCCTTTGCCACCCGCTGAGAGAGAAGGTATGCAAATAGCGTTTTAGAATGTGGAAGTCTCAAGACGACTGATATGGCTGTCCAAATTTAGCATCTCGCTCGCCTAATACAGATATTCTAGACGACTATCTCTGCACTAGTGCGGACGGCGTAGATCGGATCAAATCACCACCTCTTTAAGATAAAGCAAGTAGAATGGGGTCGGTGCTCCAGAGAGGAGGGATCGTAGACGCCAAAGCATATCTTGTTAGACTGCCCGAAGATTAGCACGCTCCGCCTGGTGATGTGGCGAAGAATTAAATCGGTGAAGGCCCTGCCGCACGATTTTAACCGGTATGACCACGACCAGCTAGTTTCCGAACTGAAGGTAGTCCAGTTTGTCGGGGATTTCGTGCTGAAAACGGACCTCCTGTAGTAGTTCGGGGAGGTCCAAAGCCAGAAAGCAGAAGATTCATGGCAGCGGGGGAAGATGCTGGGTAAGCGGAATTCGGAATACTAACTGGCTAAGCAGGATGCTGAGTCTCTATAAGGTTGGGGCCTGTGGGCCTAGTTGGCTAGGAATCAGGCAAGCGGAGTGATGTAGATGTCTATATAGACGCTCGGAGCGAGGCGGTAGATAAAATAGAGGAGGCATCTTAGCAGAATATAGTAAAAGCGTGAGCTTTTCGGTGGCCTTCAGATGTACGGCCACAGGCGCTTAGCGGTCAGGTAGACGTAGCAGCGAGATTTGGGAATCCTGACCGTTGTACTTTCGTTGAGATATCTGTTTTGTATGTGTCTGAATAGCTCCATTTCGGGAGAGCAGAGAACGCCCGCACAGCACGCGCTACGCTAGCTATTTCGAATATATGAATCTACTACTGCTACTACTACTGCTGCTGCTGCTGCTGCTGTTATTCGCACAATGCTTGCTCCGCATCCTGTACCAGTACTAAGTAGTAGTTCAATTCCGTTGCGAAAGCCTCCGGCAAACGGAAAGGTCCCCCCCCGAAAAGTGGGCATTTGTCGTATCGGGTTGTCCTGAGGTATTCTGCCTTCTTCGACTGATGAAGAAGGGGCCCGCTATTCTACTTTACAGTTGCGTGACTCGAAGCAGAAGTATCCCTACTTCACTGTAGACTAGCCCCTTCTCTTGGGTAAATACCCGCGATACCAATATACTGTGTTAACCCAAGTTGCTAGGTGGACAAAATTAGAACGAGAAGCATTATCTAGGAAGGTTGAAGCTCACGTACCCATGGCATATGTAGCAAACGCTTGGGCATCTTTATGCCCTTGCATCCCCCCTTGTTCCCCTTTCACAATCGCCCTTAAACATGCCGGTTCAGACGTGGTAGCTAATTCATTGCCAAAGGTGCATTTTATATCCCCTGTTGTCATGTTATTTATGGAATATTTCAGAAAAGATTAGAGAGGAAAAGAAGGAAACACTTACGTAGTTTGTTATCATCGGACCTGACGAAGCCTATTGCATGCGTGGACTCGTGGATCATAGTTGAAACCAGAAAGTCCCAGAGCCAACGGATACCGCGACTGGATGTGCCATGAGCGAAATCGTCGAGATTCAGAAGTCTCTGCGCGAGTTGCACCTGCTCGTCAGTTGGGGCAGAGCCAATGGGAACATGTAAGTTCCGATAATGCAGAGCACTCTGCGTTCGAGTGGATTCGGTAGCAAGCCATGCATCGAAATGTATCGGACAAAAAGTTATAGTTTCTTCAACCAGAGGTTCCGCGGCTGGGAATGTATGTGCCTTGATTGTGGGATTGACAGGAACAGCACCGAAGCGTGTTTGTCCATTGCCAGGTTCAAGAGCGCAGACTTCAAGGCGGGGAACCCACTTTTCCTCAAGACTTTCTGTAGCATCGCTTTGGGAGAGCCAGTAATAGGTCAAGGCTCCTTCCGTTGTCGCTGTTCATATTTGTTTAGTAAGGGGGATGTCAGAGAATTATCGACGATACTCACGATTAGGATTGCCGCTTTCTACCGGACTGGTTAGCAGTTAGGGTTGGGATTGGGGCAGACTCGCTAACCTTCGGTGTACGTCAATCCAGCGCTGTTTCTCTCCGAGAGGTATTCGGCTTGATCACAATGGAGTGAGACATCGGGCGGCCTGTCTGGCTCTTCCCACCCTGTCACTATACCCGCGGCGTGGTTTTCGTATGTAGTGATAAGCGCTTGTGCAGTATCTCTGGTTTTCCTGAGCCTGTCCAACCCAGCCCGATTTCGAGAGTCACCCGGTCCCCAGTATATCTGTGAGACAAACATCATGTAGCTTGAAAAGGCATTATGTTCATCAAAAGTGCGCAGATCTGGGGTCGCTTTGTCGGCCCTGAGCTCCCCAGTACTGTCCTGGTTATAAAGACTCAGGGCGAGATCCAGATGTTCGATCATGTTGTGCATCTACCGGTAGGTTCATGTCAGATTGCTTGAGCAGTCCGCTCCGCTGGGGCTTTGCCGATACTTACAATCGGGAGAGCATCGATCATAGCCCGATTGAGCAGTGGTCTGAATTCATCGTTCATGCACTCGTTCCATACATCGCGCTTCACAAGTGCTCTCTCGTGCAGGCGAGGGATCAACGTTAGGTTGAAAAGGGCTCCTTCCTCCAGCGTGGTCCCTGCCGGTGCAGCAGAGCTGGCAGAGATCCAAGGACCAAAGCAAACCACGAGCAAGACGAGTTTCATACCCATCGCGATCTGTCTGCAGAGTAATCTACAGAAGGACGCTGTCGTGACATTCATTCAAGGAGAGCCTCTACCCGTACTAGACAGGTTTTAAAGTATCCGACGCAGACCCATGCCGTGATTAGTGGTACCCCTGACAGTCTCGGACACTCTTTCCCCTGGCTTAAGAGTGACCCATAACTCCACCATGCATGAGTGTACTGTTCTTTGGGGGCCAAAAAACACCTGAAAAGACAGCGTAGGGCATCTCATTGCCTTGATATGGTATTCGCGCTGGTTAGTTGCATTGGCGTGTGATCCAGGTGCATATAGCGGACCCTGTCCAGCGTCGCAACTCGATAAGATCCACCGCAATGTGGATCGCCGGGGACCGAACTGTTTTACTAGTCTAGTCGATGCAGGGTTCTTTTTGCGCTTGTGTCAGATCTCCGCTTAACACAAAGGACAGGTAGGCCGAGATAAAGTATAGGGATACATACTCTCCCCTGGCTAACAGTGACCAGTGAGTAGACCATGCATGAGTGGAGTATCTCTAGTGGTGGATCGCCAAGGACCGAACTGTTTTACTAGTGCTAGTCGATGCTGGGTTCTCTTTGTGCTTGTATCAGAACTCCGCTGAGCGCCAAGGAATCGAAATCTCCTGTACAGGAGAAGTAGGTAACCCCGAGATAGAGTATACCGGACACTACCGGACACTACCGGGGGGGGGGGGAGGTGGGTAGGCTCCTGTTCATGGAGTCAAGACCCGTCGAATTATAAATCTGCCCCTTTAACCTCTAGCTTCGCTCTTGATCGATTCCTCAAGTTGCGCCACCTGCTGTCCCAGGCTGCTATCTTGGATGTCAAAGAGGTCGAGATGCATTGGATAAGTTTGCAGACACCTGCAGCCGGGCTGGTGTGCCTGCTGATGGCTGCGGGCACCCCGGCACTCAAGTTGAGCGCTCAGTCTGAGAAGGTCGCTGAGGCGTTGAATGCTCCGAGTGTGTTTCAATCCCAGCTCAGACCGTGTCCTGCTGAGTGCACCACCCTCAACCCCAATGACTGGACCGTTTATCCATCCTTTGAGCGTGTCTCCTACTGCCATGAGCCAGTTATTTTCGATTTCGCTATCCATACTCCTGTTGACGATCCGTCTAAAACCCTACGGTTCCGTGCCTGCACTGCAGGAGATCGGAATGAGACTACAACCGTCTTCGCGGCAGCTCACAGCGCGCGGCCGTCAAGTGATTCAGTCTACGATGCTAGCCTCATTCGCGAGTCCAAGGTGAGGATGCAGACTATGCAGGAAACAACATCTCTCAAGAGCACCAGCAACCACGTCGCTGTGACGCTAGCGAATCTGCAGTCATATCTTCTCGCTGGGGAGGATTTGACCAAAGGGATTATGCTCGGCTACTACGAAGGAGTCGTTGTTGGCGTGTACATCGGTCAGGCCTTTGGTCGAGCCACTGCTCACTCTGTTATCAATCACATCTTGCAAGCCGAGGGAAGCGCGCCTCCTGCCTCGATCACACAGCTTTGTGGCGACGATCGGGATCGACACCATGTATTTGGTATCGCAATCTCAGCTACAAGCGACCTGGCCGCTGTACAGGCCGCATTAGTCTCATGGTCCAAGGGCGAATGCGCGACGGGCTCTGGCAAAAGCGCGACCTCAGTCCCAAATGTTAGTATTTGGGAGGTATCGCAGAATCGAGGCAGCAGTACCCCGTCCAATTCTACGACCCTTACAACGTCCCACGCCAAGAACCTCATTGCTCGCGATGCCAAATATTGCGAGAAGCGGACGGTTGTCTTAGGTGATACTTGTCCCAGTCTGGCCAAGGCGTGCGGAATTACCGTCGACCAGTTCTACGAGTACAACTCCAAAGACATTTGCCCGAAACTCAAGGCCGACCAGAAGGTCTGCTGCACAAGCGGGTCCCTGACGCCCCAGCCGTACGACAATGGAACATGCTACACATACAAGACCCAAGCCGATGATAACTGCTACGAACTGAGCAAGACCTGGAGCCTGACTCAGGACGAGATTGCCAAATTCAATGACGGCACCACCTGGGGCTGGAATGGCTGCGACAACCTGGGTGCTGGGCTCAATATCTGTCTCAGTAAGGGTGATCCTCCGCTTCCAGCCGTGATTCCCAACGCCGTCTGCGGCCCTCAGGCCCCAGGCACGAGTATTGATGGATCAATCACCAACGCCTCAGATCTAGCTAAGCTTAACCCATGCCCGCTGAACTCCTGCTGCAACATCTGGGGTCATTGCGGAATAGACTCGAGTTTTTGCACCGAGTCAAAGGGTCCAACGGGGAATCCAGGTACATCAAAGCCCGGCGTCTTTGGCTGCATATCCAATTGCGGCACTGATATTGTGAATAATGAAGAGGGGCCATCGGCTGGTTACCAGCGCGTGGGCTACTATGAGACGTTTAATTGGGACCGCGAATGTCTACACATGCGGGCGGAGTGGTCGAACACTCTTAACTACACTCACATGCATTGGGCGTTTGGTGGCATCGGCGAGGACCTATCTGTCTACATTAACAATACTTATGAGCAGTGGGATGGCTTTAAGAGCTTGAACAATGTCAAGAAAATTGTATCTTTTGGCGGGTGGGGTTTCTCCACTGAAGGTTCAACGTACGACGTTCTTCGCAGAGCGATGGAGCCCGCCAACCGCGATACATTCGTCAAGAACATGGTTGCATTTGCTCAGGCGGCCGGAGTAGATGGAATTGACATCGACTGGGAGTATCCTGGGGTATGCGATGTCTCTCCCCCTTGTTTTACTTCCAAGCTATGCTAACAAGGACGGCTTCTATAGGCCCCTGATATCCCCGGAATCCCTCCTGGACTCGAGTCAGACGCTCCAAACTACCTTGCAACACTAAAGGCATTGAGAAAGGAACTCCCTGAGGAATTTTCTTTATCAATTGCTGCCCCCGCTTCTTATTGGTACCTTAAAGCGTTCCCGATCAAGGACATGGCTGAGACCGTCGACTACATCGTGTACATGGCATATGATCTACACGGTACGTGCTCCCTTTGAAATATATTCAGCAGTCTTAATTAATGCCCGCTAGGCCAGTGGGACTATGGGAACATCAATGCACAGTCGGGCTGCGAAAGCGGTAATTGCCTTCGCAGCCACGTTAACGAGACTGAAGTCCGTTCGACACTTGCCATGAGTAAGCCTCCAGATTCCTACAATTCCGTTGAACAACGTGACTTACTGGTAAACCGCACAGTCACAAAGGCCGGTGTCAAGACCAACAAGATTATGGTGGGCGAGTCCAGTTATGGGCGGTCATTCAAAATGGCCGAAGCTGGCTGCACAGGACCAAACTGCTTTTTCACCGGCACAAACGCAACCTCAAATGCAAAGCCGGGTCGGTGTACCAACACCGGTGGTTACCTCGCCAACGCTGAGATCAATGAGATCATTTCGAAGCGAGGCGACTCGGTAAGAACTTGGTATGACGACGAGTCCGCCAGCGACTACATAGTATATGATGGTGAGTATTCCCTTGCTTTCTTTCCTTTCTCCAAATGGATCTGACTTGTGGCGAACACAGATCTGGAGTGGGTGGCGTACATGGGCGCCAATACCAAACAGGCTCGAAGGGACACTTGGGAGAAGCTCAACTTTGCCGGCACCATCGACTGGGCTGTTGATCTCCAGGACTTTAACTTGGCTGACACAGTCGGCAATACGGGAGACTACGACGAAGAGTCATGCATCAACATCTTCGATAACATGATCTGGGATTGGGCTAACCCTGTCATCGAGGCCCCTGAAGGCTGCACAAATCTGATTCAAGCATCCCCGCTGGCCACAACCGTCACGAGGACAGCATATACCACTCTCACGTTGGTTTCTGGAGGCACTTTGAGCACCACGGTCGTTTCCACTGCCTTTCCTATCTCCGAGGTCAACTACCAGCCATTCACACTCGCCTCTACAGACACGGTGAGCGACACCGTTATCACATATAGGCCCATCCCGCGAGTGACGCCTAACCCGATGTCGGTGACGGTGCCGCAGGGGTGGACTGTTACATCTCCTGGCGGCAGTGTTGATGGACCTTCAACAACGACACCGACGCTGGTCGGTCCACCTAACGCAGGTGCTACTACTACAACCAGTACCACTACTACCCACGAAGCTGGCTTTCTCATGTGGATCACCTGGCTGCCAACGGTGGCTTACAGTCTGCCCTCCATTGTCACGCCGAAGCTTCCGGCGCCCACCCGCATCCCCGACGATGACAGCTCACCCACTCCGACGCCGAGCCCAGGAGTCACGGACTGTATCGGGGACACGTGTACAGAGGGCCCTGACTGCACTAACAGCGACTGTACCCGTGGCGGAGACTGTACTGGGCCCAAATGCACCCGCGGCGGCAAATGCAGTGGCAAAAACTGCGTTCGTGGCGGTACGTGCATTGGCGAGAACTGCGCAAATGGTGGAGACTGCGAGGGCGACGGGTGCGTTACCGGGGGCGGCTGTTCAGGGTCCAAGTGCCACCAGGGCGGCAGATGCAGCGGCAAGAGCTGTAACAGCGGTGGCGGCTGCGTAACAACACTGCTCCATAAGTGCAGCCCAGGAGCCTGCACCGGTCCCGGCTGCAAGATCGATTTCGGTTGTCCGGCTTGCGACAATAAGATCACCATCACCGTCCATCCGGGTGGTGGAAGTAACCCTAAGCCGACGCCCCGGCCAACCTGTCTCGAGAATTGCCCAAAGCTGCCTCCCTGCCCGGGTGGTAGCACCGAGTGCAACACGCCATGCAATGCGAAGAGATGTCCGGCACAGAGTATGCCCACGGATAAAGCCTGCACCAGCCTCACCACTGTGGACGCTTGTACGGAGATCATTAGCAGCACGGCGGTCCAGACCTCCCCGGTTACCAGTTACTCGACGACCACGCGCACCCGCTGCGACAAAACAGCCGACTGTGACGCGCAGGACATGACTGTAACAACAACGATCACTACCAGCCATGAGCCGGATCCCACGGTCATGGCAACGGGCATATATGATTACTGGGAAGATGGGGTCGACGACAGGGCTGTATTTGAATCTATTGCTTCCGAATACGACGAGTGGGAACGAACCGCGGATATCCCTTTCCCTACCACCACTTCTACCACCGGCACGACCACAAGCACCGCGGGACCGACCCCGACTGCCGCCGATGGTTGTGCTATCATGGATAACGTCCAAGGAGTGTGTTGGAACAAGTGTGATCCGGCAACTGGTCAAGCCGTCGATGGGGTATGGGAAGATGGTGATCCGTGGTGCTGGCTGAAAGATGACGATATAGGTGCCTTTTGCAACCACGTGGAGGACTGCCCATCGGAATTCCAATGCCAACCGAGTGATTGGCCACGAGGCGGGTGTAAACAACCAGAACCCGTCTCCGGCGGTTGTGCTATCATGGGTGGCACCCAGGGAGTATGTTGGAGCAAATGTGATCCGGCCACGTCTGAACCTGTTGAGGGGCAGTGGAAGAAGGGAGACCCTTGGTGCTGGCTCAAGGATGACGATATCGGCGCCTTTTGTAACCATGCGGAGGACTGCCCGGCGAACCTCCAGTGTCAACCAAGTAGCTGGGAGTACGGAGGGTGTTCGACAAACACGCCCCTTTCCCGCCAGGCTCTCATGCTTGCCTTTAATGGGACGTCCAGCGCTATCACAAGACCCCAGGGCCTCCGGCTTGATATATACTATTAAGCACAGAACTCGTGGCACTTGTATCCTAATAAAGAGTGGGATAAGCAACCTGTCAAAGAGTTATAGTTATTTGAAGGGTCCGCAGTACCGGGCAGATCGCTATAGAAAGATACCTAGCCTAGGAGATCACTTTGAGTGACTGCAAGATATAGCATTGATGCCGCCCACGCAGCGCCTGGTGAGCACCACCAGACTCAAGCTGTTGTATATGTTTCCCTTTTTTTCTATGTAGGCAAGTTTCTTGAATCTTGATGGTAGTATATCATTTTGTGTCTTCGGTCTTACCTTCCTTCAGTCCTACCCCTAGATGTGCGTTGGATGAATCCTTAACCCTTGGTTTTGCAATATCTTTACATATATAACTGGAATCTATACTATAAGCAGCGGATATAAGGTTCCATTGTAGTTAATGCAGAAACGACATGTAATAGACAACATATCTGCTCCGTATTTACCCTAAAACAGAAACCTATAATTTTATCTAATCTCCAAGTAACCCTTTAAAGAAATATCTAATATAATCTTGTCTACATGAATCTTATCCTCGCTCTAGAATCTCTCTAGGCCTTACTAAAGAGATTAATCCTTTTCTATAGCTAGGTATATAGTAGGGCTTTTCTGTTTTACTTTTTCTATCTTTTATTAGCTACTGTTTGCGTATATTTTTCTTTATAAGAATCAGCTTAGTAAACATTAATTTATAACTTTAATAATCTTGTTAAATTAAAATTCTAGTAAAGATAAATGGCTGTAACTGCGTTCCGTAAGCAGTCTCTTTATAGTAGATGCTTGCTTCTCCAACTGCCTGGTTGTATACGGCATTTAGTTGGATGTGTACGTGTTGGCTGGAAAACAGGTATACGTTCGAACTTCCCTCTTTTGACCGACTTTATGTCAAGTACCTCCCGACTCTGTCTCTTATCTACAAGGCGTTAGACGTTTTAGTTCCCAATCGACCACGTTCCCGTGAGTCCACCGGACCAGGCATGTAGGTATTAGAAGGTACCTTATGGGCCACAACTGATTGAGAAGGGTTACCGTGGTAATTTGGCTGTGGATTCAGTTTAGAGGTACCCACTGGCTTCAACTTACCATCTAAGTGTTCATATTGCCGTGACATAAAACTGACGTGAGCTTACCTCAAGTTGACCTCATTAAGAAAGCAAAGGATTCAGGACTAAAAGCTATAAGAACATCTTCCATCGTCCGCGTTACCTTGACAAAACCAAATATTTTTGCGCTATCAAAAGTGTCGGATATTCTACCAATTACTCACCATGTCGAACCGTCTCGAGAGAGAAGCCGAAGACCGCTACGAAGCACAGAACGACTCTTCTCCAGTCTCCGGCAGGGTACCTGACAACTCTTACGCTCGTGAGACCCGCTCAGGGCTGCGTAACTACGTGCCCGTGCAGGGCGATGACCAGCCGTTCGAGGACCCGGTGCAGCCCCCCTACTCGAACACCGACCAGCAGCTAGGTACAACATCTATCAACAACAGCCTAGAGGACCGGCTAACGTATATTTAGCGGAGGATGAAGAGGAGGCCATCGATAAATCCAATATTCTCCGCGGTGATCGTCTGCGTCATGCCCAGCCACAAAGCAGCACCAAATATAGCGAGGGTCCCGATGAAGATGATCTCCCTAAAGCAGTCCGGACCGGACAGTCCGGAGCGTCCAACCAACGCTATTACTAGTATGGTTGTTTCCTAGAGCGCTGCCTGGATGCACAGTGCGCTAGTGAAAATCATATAGTGTCTCAATCCCAATCATATTCTGTATGGAATGTATATTTTCACTAGGAGGGAAAATTCACATTGTTTTTGCTCATAGTATATCTGAGTGGACTCATTAAGGTGGTAGCGCACGACTGGCGCAAGGAGTGATGATCAGACTGGACTTTGGGTGCGGGCAATTCTCCCTTTTAGAATTGAGTTACTTTAGGCAGGAGATCCTTTTCCAGTCATGCATCCTTTGTGCCTTCCGAAACGTCGAATACACAGTGTCCTATTTTCCTAAACTTATTGCACACGCTGATAGAGCACCAGAAGGAAAGGCCAAGATGGTAGATAATTCACAGCGTCCCGACCATCACTCTCTCAATGCCCGGATGTTGATCGATTCTTGGAACCGGTGCCTCCTTTGTGGCGACCAGGTTCATGCGGCGCGTTCGCGCGGCGAGCTGCCGCGACATTGGGAGCGTCACGAGCGAGGTAATGTTCTTCTTGCTCTTTTGGTCTGTTTTCTTCATCTCTGGACTCGTAGTGAGACTCGTCCACGTTCTCGCGGTGGAGAGTGTGGGAAGCTGAGAGATTGGAGGGCATCGCGACGAAAAAATGTTTGATCAATAAGATAGAAATTGTGATGTCCTTGGGAATAACCGGCTGCTGATCCTGGTATTAATAGCTGACACTTGACGGGATCCCAGTTTGACGTCAATAGTTCCACGGTTCAATCTCAACGTCATTCTTGCGCAAAGAATTCTCTCCGTGTTTGGTCGCCATCAACAACTGGCTCTCTCCGCGACGATAGTCTTTGATTGGGTGAAATCAGTATGGGCTCATTTCGTTGCTAAATATTGCTTTCACTTTGCCCACACGTACCTCTAATTTAACGCGGATGTGGACACTGACCCTAGGGACGAGGAATTGTGGCAATGAGTAGGGCGGCCTTCTTATTGGACTCAGTATCATCTGATAGTGAGGTCAGGATGAAGTCGTCTATGGTACGATGATTTACACTTTCTTCTGTGGCGGACATGCCTACATTCATTGCTCTATAGATAGCCGACGCATCGTCAACACAATGTATGATATGCCAGAGTTATAACTGTCTTCGATCTTGAAACACTCATAAAAATACAGCCTACTTATCTTTCACAATGTCTACTGAGGATAGATTGAACGCGATACGCGGCTACAAAGCGTGGTTGCGCGAGGTATTTTGTTCTTCCATCGGGAACTGATGTTATCAACAGCACTCTCAGCAATTCGAACATCTCTGACGAGGCCAAACAGAACGCTCAGACAATGCTAAACCGGCTTGGAGGAGACCGGCCTCGCAATGGATTACACGAGCAGACCGAAGGTGAAAAAGACCCTACTCATGTTACGAGCGGATTAGAGGCGTATGGAACCTTACCCTTCTAGAATCTTCAATCTGGGGAATACTGATATCTGGGGGATCGAAGTGCACATCACAATCCGAACGTGACGGAGTCTGGCCGGCAGAAGGTGGAGGAGCAACTGAGGGAGAGGCAAGAACTTCCGGAGGAGTAATAGGTTGTGCACGAGCGTCTCAGGGCTATGAGTGTAATCTATGGGTCCATGCAGAATGTATCTTCCGTGCTTCTAAAGACTACCTAGTTACCCAGTTACCCGTTTTAATTTACGCAGGAACTTACTTCCTGTGACGTTAGGATTGTTCATCAAGCGCAGGACTGAGGTCATAGCCAAAGAACCCATGCGAACCCACTCAAAGTCGGCGAAAATATCGAGGGAAAGGCCAGAGCATGCGTAAGATGCCTGCAAGCCGGTTTGATGATATTATACCTTGACGTACTATGACACATACCGTACGCCATCCATGTAGGAAACGACTGGCTCGACTGTCGTCACCGTGCAGTCATGGAGGCAGCACGAACATCTATAAAAGCCTTCCAATCACTCTCCTCGAGACTGTCAATTGCAAACCAAATACAACAATCTCTCAAAACATTCTGCCAATACTACGCGAATCTTTCCTGTCAACAAACATGTCGGACAACACAAACCCCGGAAACTTCTCCAATCGCCCCCAGGAGCAGGTGGAGAATATCGCTCGCAAGGGTGGCCAGTCCAGCCACAGCGGCGGCTTCGCAAGCATGGACTCCTCTAAACAGGTATGGTATCGCTGAACGAGTTTTACTGAGCGTCATCTAATTGGGACATAGCGAGACATTGCGTCCAAGGGTGGACAGGCCTCTGGAGGCAGCTTCGCTCCCGGGGATCCACGCGCCAGGGAAGCTGGACGCAAGGGTGGCTCTTCGACGAACGCTGACGCTCCTGAGGAGTAAACAACATGCCTGGGTGGACATTCAGGACTGTGTATGATGCGGTTTAAGATATAAGCGAAAAGTCCATCAGTTGTGGTTGTACAGCGAGGAGCCCGTCTTTCTTCGCTTTTTCAGAGTTGTACCAAGCCTTATCAGTCAAAACCAAAATATAATCCTTTTTAACTGACAAGAAGAGATAATCAAAACGAGTAACCCAGTACAGACAACCTCAATTCAGAACGATTTCCCTGCATCTTAATTACAAGACCTAAACGGCCGCGGCCCGCGGCCACCAGGAAGATTAGCCGTTAAACTATAAACCCTAGTCTGATAGCCGTGTTAGATGAAATGTGTTGTATCAAGATCGACGGATAATAGATAAATTAAGCCCAGAGTGATCTTCCTGGTGCGTCATGGCTAGGTATACTGGCCAATGATAAGCGGAGCTGGAAACTACATCCGTTCAAGAACCAGACAAGTATAGCTCAACGACCTAGTTGGAATTCTCGATGTCATGGTGATGCCGTGCTACGCATCGATAGAGCACAGACTGTTTAACTACCCATTCAATGCTGCAATTGTGGCGAATTCAGTCGCAAAATATAAGCCTACTGGAACAACTCGCTCCATTTTGATTATTCCGGTGTTCCAGTTGCATTGAAGCCTCTGTCTTATGTTACTACTTCGTAGCATCCGTACAACAGTCCTATTACACAAACTCGGCGAGTCAGCATGCCTGTCAGCAACCGGTCCCCGGAGCAGCCTTTCCTAAATACTTCGGGAGAAACCAGCCCGGTCTGGGTCCATCAGATGCCCTACAGCAAATACCCGCATTTCCCGCGGCTCGACCATGACATTGACGACACTGACGTGTGCATTATTGGATCTGGGATCGCTGGCATCTCAACGGCCTACGAGATGATCACGCGCGGCAAGAAAGTCGCCATGCTGGAAGCGCGAAACGTCATCTCCGGTGAATCCGGGCGCACAAGCGGGCATCTTTCCAACGCCCTGGACGACCGCTATATCAAGATCCAAGAGAAACATGGCCGCGAGCGTGCTCGCCTAGCGGCAGACAGCCATACCTGGGCCATTGACCGAGTAGCGGACATCGTCAAAAAGCTCGATATCGACTGCGAGTTCCGATATCTGCCGGCCTACATAGTCTCGAAGTTTCCGCGGGACGGGCCCGACGCTCTCCGCCACCACGATCAGGATGTCAGCATGCTCCGCTCGGAAGCCCAGCTGGCGCACGAATTAGGGCTGGATGCGACGTTCCGCCACCGGTACGCGGTGGAGGGCTGGGATAGTGACGGCCCGGATCAGCGCGATGCGGCTGTATTTGCAGGACAGGCCACCTTCCATCCGACAAAGTACTTCATTGGCGTCTTGGCGTGGTTGGCTGCGCATCCAAAGTTCCAGTGTTATACGCATTCGAGGATGGCAAGCATCGAAGACGGGGAGGAGGGAGTTCGGGTCCAGACCAGAGATGGCCGCAGCGTGCATTGCGGTGCGGCGATCATGGCTACCTGTGTTCCGATCCAGAAGCTAAGTCTTATTGCGGAGATGGAGTATATGCGGACGTACTGCATTGCCATCCGCATCCCCAAAGGTTCCCTTGAAGACTGTCTGCTTTACGATACGGCCGACGCTTATAAATATGTGCGGCTGACGGCATGCGACGAGCAAGACGACTATCTTATTGTTGGCGGTTGCGACCACAAAGTGGGACAGGAACAGACAGGCGGTCGTTTCGAGGAGTTGGAGGCCTGGGCCCGTGAACGGTTCCCCCGAGCTGGTAACACCGACTACAAATGGAGCGGACAAGTTTTTGAGCCGGTGGACCATGTGGCATTCATTGGGAAGAACCAGGGTAGCAAGAGCAATATCTACACGGTAACTGGAGACAGTGGCAACGGACTCACTCACGGCGTTTTAGCTGGGAAGCTGATCGCCGACGAGATCGAGGGACGAGAGAATCCCTGGGCTGCGCTCTACAATCCGAACCGATCGGCCAGTGTCACCAAGGCGTTACCTAGCATGCTTAAACACGATATGCAGATTAACACTCAGTATAAGCGGTATCTGCAATCCGACATCAAGGATATCGAAGACCTTGCCGTGGGCACAGGCGGCGTTCTTAACACAGTCTCCTCTGGTGGTCCTGTGGCAGCATATAAAGACGAAGCCGGACAAGTACATAAGTACAGCGCAATCTGTCCTCACATGAAGGCAGTGCTTACATGGAATAATACTGAAAAGAGCTGGGATTGCCCTGTCCACGGGAGTCGTTTCAGCTGCGACGGTGTGTGCATCACAGGGCCCGCCAAGTCAGATTTGAAGTCCGTCTCATCTTAGTCTCGTGTTTTTATATTGGATATACGCAAGGATATACGCACCTCTGTTCCTTAATGTTCATGAAGCAGGCCAATCCAAGTCAGAAAAGAATAGTGTCGACCGACAAGCATATAGCCCATGAAGCAGTACGGCGGAGAAAAATATACCAAGCCAAAGACGGACGAGTCTTAAAGCATAAGCAGCATAAGACAATTTCATGGACTATTTTCGGCTAATTGACCTGACGCATACTGCGCTCTACGTATGTAGTCTTCTAGTATGGCTTAGTCGCTCGCATCTATTCCGGCGACTTGGGTATGCGTTAATTCGTATCAGGAAAATTTTCGTCTTACGGCCGTATCATTCGCCAGGGAGCAGACGCGACGTGATTCATCCCACCGGCAGTTAAACATTAATTTAATAGTACAGTCGAGAGTTGATCGAAGGTACTAGTCAGTGGCTCTTTATGCCAGGAGGAGGACAAGAGTTAACGTTCTTTCTTATAAACTTGCAGTGATATGAGCCAGGAGCCCATATCGAATTAGTTGGGCTAGTTGTGCCTGCTATATTTGACTTGTACGTACGTCATCGCGACGACGTTCGTCGTAATAAAAGCCCGTTCACTGCAGACGAGTAGGCAAAACTTCTGCTGCGATAAGGGAGCTGCATCATCCATGGCTGCGAAGCGGCGACTAATCTTTCCAATCAGCCCCCAACTTACCCCGGCAGGATGACGGTTGGGGAGAAGATCGAGCAATACTTCTCTGGCAGACCAACATCCGTTGGAGTGTTGACACCGAGCAGTCCTATCAACTAGTGGTACTTCTATCTCATGCGGTGACACAGGTGCAGGGGCAGAGTCGTCCGCAAGAGAAGGACCGAAAGATAAAAGTACACCATTTGAGATATTCCCAACTAGAAAGGTACTGAGTTCGAGGAACATAAAGATGATTCCTACGACGGCACGGAATACTATACAACACGCCCCGGCGATAATAAAGTCATAATAAAGTCAAAACTCCATACACGCCATATACAGGGAATAGCCAACAGGTTACTTCGTAGATGGATTGGGCATACCAGAGGTATGTGGCCATCGGCGGAAGAGGTCGGCCAGGTGGTCGATAGGGGCAGTCATGAGTCCAATCGCAGTCTCAAAAGGAGGCTTGTCAGGGGCACTGGGATGGGAACGGGACGGCACAAATATCTTCGTCCTGCCAAACGACTTGGAAAGGCCCTCGCTTTCCTCGGTGGTTAGGGCATCTTCCAGTTTCGGAAGATCCTGTGTCTCCTCTTCTTTGATGTGCTCAGAAAGATCCTGCATCAAGGCTTTGATGGTTGATTCAAACTCCGGGTCGGAAGGCTTCATGTTCTGGAATTTCTTCAGTTGTTCTTTGACCTGGATAGTGCCCTTAGTGAACCATACACCCGGAAGACAGATTCGACGCTTATCTTACCGATTGATGCTCCTTACGGTCTTTGTCTGCCAAAGACCGACCATCAGGGAGCTTTTTCTCAAACTGGGGGTAGACCACTAGCTCCTCGGCGATAGAGTGGCGGGCTAATTCCCAGGTAAACTGGTTCTGCCACTCCACCTTTTCCTTATCCGTCGCGGAACCGAGAACCTTGTTGTAGTAGTCCTCGATCTCTCGGTGGTCCGTTTTGATTGTATCGATGATGCGAGTCGCCATGGCGATGCGTGAATGAGATAGAAGGCGTCGTTGGGTTGAAGAAACGGCCAGTGGTCTGAGAGGGCGAGTGAGACTTTGTAGGCGATATACCATGTTGAATTCGCGCGAGACTGAACAACCCTTTTCAACAGATCTGGGAGAGAGCGCTCCATTTAAATAAACTAGGCGCAGTTGAACATGGAAACTTGCTGATAATTGCCATAGTTCTGTTTGGGATCATCATTGTGACATAACGGGGCCGGAAGCCAATCGCCAGCGATCTTTAACTAATCGTCCCGCAAGATTGACCTTGTTAGAACCAGACACCACCTGAATCTAGACCTCTCATTAGAACTCGATGACCATCAATGACCTACCTAAATGTATTGATTCCTCATCACCAATACGTATCTCACGCGTAGTCACGCTGAAAAAGCCGGCCAGCTCTGTACGTAACCATGGCCTCGGACCGCCCAGCGCACACGTCACTCTCAAAGAGCTCCAGCTGTACGGTATCCCAGAGTATAGCCGTAAGCGGGGTTAAGACATACATCCTTGACAGTCAGTCTTACCTTCAGTCCTGCCTCTGAATGTCCGTTGGATGAATCTCCTCCACAGCCGGCTTTGTAATATCTTCAGACATACGCCATACTGCAAGTGGCGGAGATGAGGATCTGTTGTATTCATTGCAGAAGGACATGTAATTGAACATATTTGCTCCGTGTTTGACCTCAAACGGAAACCCATGGCCTTATCGGACCTCCAGCCGGCCCTCCAGAGGAATGTCCAATACACTCTTACCCACATAAATCTTGTAGGTTCCCCTCTGAAGATCCCAGCCCTGCTTTGCTGAGTTCCACACACTCAGATCTCTGCGCGTGAGCTCGAACTGAAGCTGCACCCTCTGACCCACATCTAGCATCTTCTTCTTGTAGCCACGGAGCTGCTTCTCCGGAGCCCCTGGGATGCCGACGTACAGCTGAGCGACTTCGGCGGCGGCCACTTGCCCGGTGTTGGCGACCTCCATCGTAACCGTAGCGATGTTCTCCCAGAGGGGAGCTGCGCCACCCCATGGCAGACGCTCGGTATTGTTTCCATTGCGTGTGGCATTGTCGGCGGAGTTTGCTGTCTTCAACGTGCCCCGGTATGCGTCCACGAAAGAGGGGACAATGTCGTCACGCAGTGTGATCTCCATGTTACTATAGGTGAAGTTGGAATAGGTGAGCCCATAGCCGAACGCATAGCGGGGGGTGATGTTGTTCTTGATAAAGTGCTTATAATCAATGTAAACACCCTCGGTAAAGTTGGCTAAGGACTGTGTGTTAGCAATTTCCTTGCTACCTTTGGTATTAATCTGATAAGGGCTGGTGAGCCTACCTTGCGTGTGATACTGGCTGCCACTATCGGCATAGGTGGGATCGAGCAGAGGGCCGAAATCAGACTCCCTTTTCGGAATGGTGTATGGCAGTCTTCCAGACGGGGAAGATTTGCCATACATGAGGTCCACCAAGGTGTTGCCTGCTTCCTGGCCCGGCAAGTGAGCCAGAATAACGGCCGTGATGTTGGGATGATCAATCCATGCATCGACGACTCGGATACCCGCGTTGTGAATCACGACCATCGTGTTGTCGCACTGGTTGGCAACATTGCGGACAAGCTCGTCCGACCACGGATCCGCCAGCCCACCGCGGTCGAAGCCCTCCGAAGCGAACTCATTAATGAAGACAATGCACGCATCGCTGCCGCCCATGACGCCCGGGTCCTGGTCCTTGAAGTTCCACGAAAGCATGGTGAGATCTTCGCGAGCCTGCTGGGCAAATGCAGCATATGGTGACACAATCCAGGGAGGATTGGATGTGCTTGAGCCTCCACCCGTGATGAGAGTTCCCTCGTAGCCTGCCCTGGGCCCGTTCGGCCAGATGTTCGTCCCATTGCTCCAGTACCCGCTGAAGTAGCGTAATGCCATGTCCTCACTGAAGTCAATGCTCTCGTAACCCAATCGCCACTTCGTGCTACTAACGGGATCAACAACCGCAGGAGCCACCGCGTCGTACCCGAAGAGAGACAGCACAGTGGGCTTTTTCAAGGGCAGCGCGTTGTTGACATTTTTTACCAGCACATGTCCTTCGAGAGCTCCCTGGTACACAGTGCCTTGTGAGGCGTGGCTCATCGCATTGGTGTGATTATGAGGTAGTGTCCAGTCAGAAGTGGGCGGGTCCCCATGGCCTGGGTTTGGGAGAGAGCCAAATTTGCTCCAGACGGCCACGATCCGCGTCGCCATGTCGTCGAGACGCTCCTGAGTGAAAGAGCCGTTGGTGACGGCCAGAGACAGATTCGTCCCCCAGAAGCCACCGCTATCAGGCATGACCATATCCAGACCGGCATCAGCCGCCTCGTAGCCCGCGTGCAGGGCTTCCCAATCCGACATGACAAAGCCTTGAAAGCCCAGCTCCGTCTTGAGCAGGCCGTTCATCGCTTTGCTATTCTGGCAGGCATACGAGTTATTAATGCGGTTATAGGCGCACATAACGCTGCCGGACTCGGCCTTCATAGCGTCCATGAAAGGCCAAAGGTACAGCTCGTGCATGGTCTGGTCATCAAGGTTGGACGACACCGACTCGTTGTGTCCGATTGGCAACCGATTTGTCTCTTGCTCGTACGCGATGAAATGTTTGACACAAGCCAATACAGTGCCTCTTTTCTGAATCCCTCGAATGGTCTGATAGTTCATCTTTCCGGTCAGGTAGGGGTCAGAGCCATAGCCTTCCCAGTTGCGGCCATTCGTGGCGATGCGTCCGACGGGGCCACAGATTGGCTCCAGCGCAACGTTCACACCCTTGGACTCGTACTCAAGCCCGCGGTGTAAACCCGTGTGGAAGGCCAGATCGTCATTCCACGAAGCCGCAATGGAAATTGGAGCGGCGTAGGCCGTGACGAGTTCTGTAGGACGGAGACCCGCGCCCGATCCCTGCATACACATGCCAGGGAAGCCAACCCGCTCAACAGGGGGAGCCCAGCCAGCGCAGCCATTCTGCGGATGCGTTGCCCCCGTAGTGATGCTCGCCTTTTCTTCGTTGGTCATTTTAGCAACCATGCTGGCTGCTACCCTGTAGGCATCGGCCCAGTCCTCCGAGGTCCCTACTCCCTTGGCTACATACAAGCTCCATGTTAGTCGTTGACCCAATGCAATTGTGCTGGATCTGCTTGCACTTACGAGAAGGATAGACTGGGGGTGACCTTTCATAGTCCCAAAAATGGGTCAGAGCAGTGAAGTCTTCCGTAACCGCCGCCGATGCTGAGGCGGCTAGATAGAGCAACCATGAATTCTTCATTATGTGTAGATTGAAGACCTTGGAATGTCATTTCGGCACAACGCAGTCTGTCTTTTAACGACTCAGATCGCCAGTCAGTAGATCAACAGGAACGCGGAGGAGCGGGCACCTGAATCAATTCTATCCATACAGCTCTCGCAGAGCCCGACTGCCGAACGGTACTAAACTGGGACCCCCGACAGCCGGCGATGGCGATCACGGAGACTGTCCCCTGTTCTGCGTAGGCGAGCCAACAAGAGAATCTTGCGATTCGAATGACATCCACTGTGTACAGAGTGGCAGGCTTAGACGATAGCACCATTCTCGTCCACTATTGCGTAACTTCCAAACACTGGAAATCAGAAACCCCGCATGAGGCCTCGACGAGAGTCTACTAAAATACCAGTTTGTGTTCCGTCTGATCTGTGCTCCAGCAAAGGAAGTGATATTTCCCTGGCTCTATTCTAGAGGACACGATTCATCCGACACGTCAAACCATGAAATAAAGGGGTTTGGCATGTCCCAAGCTTGTAAGGGCACACACGAGATGAAATCCCAGTCCTCGCCCATTGAAGCGCGACCATCCTGCGCCGTCATCAGCGCCTCGGCCAAAGCGTCGACACTAAGATCTTGGACAATCATGGACTGGCCCGAAGATTCGTCACCTGCTGTGGACTGCCTAGGACCTGTCAAGGAGTTGAATGAAGCCACAGAATCATCGCGACCTTCGGCCAGGCGGGGAATCGTTCTAGAAATTTCCGGAGAATCCGTCGGAGGGAACATGCTGCTATTCTGCATCGTAGCCGCAGTACCCACAGGTAGGATGCCAGTTCCGCTATCGACGTCGTCTCTCTCCGAGAACTTGGCTAGTCGCAGCAGACTATGAACGGCCAATTTTTCGTTTACCCCGGATACGGGCACTCGCGACGCCGAGCGGGGAGTCAACGTAGCCAGCGTGTGTCTGTTATTCTCCATTTCCGCAATAATGGGTCCGACAAGCTTGCTTTGGGGGAAGAATCTGCGTAGCGCCGCCAGGCACAGCTCCAGTCGGCTGGCTGCGAACTCCTCGGATGGCCGACTTTGGACGTCCCTTCCAAACTTAGAGATAAAAAAGAGCAGACGCGTGGCATGATATGCACAGATAGTGGTGTCAAACTCAAGAAAACAAAAACGGGGTGATTGTTGATTCAACAGGGTCAGAATTAGGATGATGGCCTTTGAGTGGTGTAGACACTGACGCTCCGCGCGGAGTAATATATCGTTGCAGCCAACCTCATCGGGACCATGTTTTCCCTGCCGTGAAAGAGCTTCGAGCTCCGGTCGAGGCGCGGCCTCTGGGTAGCCTCGTAGCAGCAATCGATAGAGGTCACAGTGACATTGATGCCAACTCAATTGGAGAGCTACGTGTCTCGGTAGCCAGCGCGATGTGATCAAGGCATTGATCTGATCAAAGGATAGGTCTGGGCCATTAGGTAACTTGGCGCCAATTTCAAAGAGGGTCCGCTCGAATGAACGAATCAACGATGGGATCTGCGGTGATATGCGCTCGGAACATGCAAAGGCTCTACCTAGTTTGACAATGTCTCGCCGTAACGACTCTAAATTGACGCACAGTCGATAGGCACCGCAATCATCCTCTAATGGCAATGAAAAATTGGGATGTTCGGCAGTAGTCTGGTCGGTGGATCCGGCCTGGTACGCAGACTCGACGCACGGCAACTGAATATAGATGCCATCGAAAGGGCAAAGTTCGAATTCCGGAAGACCGATGCTGAAGTATCGTTCGACGAGCTTTAGACTCCATACGATACGCCTCCGGGTCTCTTGCGCCACAAAGTCTAAGCCCTGATGTTCACGATGGAGTCGAAGAGCAGCAGCAAAGCGAGCTGCCATGGCAGCTAGCATAAACGCTCTTTGAAAACGCCCTGTATGCATCCTGTGGTTGATACAGAGAAGGAGGGCCTGCAGTCTTGCAATGGTTGGGCTTTCGATGCTCGACCATATGATCTGCTCTGCAGCTTGTATTGGCGTCACTCCGTGGCATGCACAATTGAGAGAATGTGTCGTGGTATTATTATCTTCGTCCTGGACCACGATACTATTCTCGTGGCCGCATTTTCCAGCCTGTAAGCGTATGGATATGTGTAGGGTTGCGACTCCGGCGAGGGCAAGCGAGAGACATGGGTCGAGAGTGCCCGCACGACATTTCGTTAAGGTAGATGCAGGATGCAGAAAGGAGTATGATGGTAGAGGATACTCTTCGCGGAAGAAGGATTCGACAAGTGCAATGAGATGATGGTTGATCTTGCCGCCATGTTGAGCGGGTGAGGCGACCGCCTGTGGACTAAGATTTGCGTGGGCAAGATCTGCGGTCGTAGAAGGTGAAGGTGTTGCTGGAAAGTGGCATAAGAGATCCGTACATTGACAGTCTGATTTCCAATTCCTTTCCAGCGATTCTTGACTATCAGCCGGTAGGGGGGAGGATCCCTGATGAACGGAGACTGGCGTTCGGGACGTATCTGTGCCCGGAGTGGGCGCTAGCATGCTCCCTTCGTCTGCCGGGTGATACACCTCTAAAATACTTTCTGCATCGGCCGATTGCATGCGAGCTGCAAGGGCCCCGGCCGAGGGTCGTGTCGCCCGTCTCGGGGTAGGATAGACGCAGGTGATGCCGCGTTGCTTGCATTTCGAACACTTTGGAAGAGTCCCCGAACATTTGACCTTCTGCGACTTGCATAATCGACAAGCAATCCTGGCTCGTCTCCGGGGAGGTCTCGATAGAGCAGCATTCCTGATGCCAGTAGGCGTTCGGTCGGTCGCCCGGGTCAAGAACGAGCACCCAAAGCCCAGACGCTGACAATTCGAGCACGTGTCGTGTTTGCCGTCGCAGCGAACCTGCACGCTGATTTAGTATTCGTGATCAAGCCTTGGACGCTTGGGAATTGATTCGGGTCTTACTTTTCGTAATCGACACTGCACGCATGTTTGCGCGGAGGAGCGCGGTGCGACCGGAGTCGGGACCGCATTCGTGGATCCACTCATGTTGACTGCATTGCGGTAGGATCGAGGATTATAAAGGCATTGTGGTGGACAGGATGCCAGCACGAGAGAGAGAGAGACTGAGCTGCTTTGGCTGTTTTGGAGAAGAATAACGAGCTTAGGAAGCAGTATACTGCACCAGCCAGAATGCGGGGAAGTCACGTGCACTCCTCCATAGTAGGGACCACCAATAATCAGTGAGGAAATTTAATAACTTATGTACAGTAATGTACATGGCGCGGGATACTACCAGGTATTGTTCCTTTACTCTTCTGGCAAGGTCCACCATCTATCTACACATACTACCAGACTGGCACTTCCAATGTACCACGACTACGCTTGGATTGTTGGAATTGTTGAATGTTGGATCCTGCATTGTCATTCTGTCTTCAAAATCTGTCATCAATGCTTATCGCCGGCATTCGTTACAGCCTCGAACGAATCACTCCCCCTGAACGGGGATGGACCATCTCGTCCCCGATCTCGTCCATCTTAACTTCCAACAGTTTGGTCATCTTCCGGGCCACGTCCTGATATTGTGGATCTGAGTATACGTTGAACAACTCCAGGGGATCTCGGTCACAGTCAAACAACTCCCACTCAGCGCCTTCGACGGGGCCCGCGGGACGTGAACCCTCGACGCCCAGACTCTGGTTGTACCAGTAGATCAGCTTATATCTCTGGTCGCGGATCCCATAGTGAGCCACCGCCTGGTGGATCTCATCATTGTTCATCCAGTACCGGTGGTACGCAGTTTGCTGCCAGTCGGCCGGAGCCGCCCCGTGGTTTTGCAGGAGAGGGAGAAACGACGAGCCTTGCATATACGAGGGGATCCGCAGGCCGGCCAGATCCAAGAACGTAGGCGCAAAGTCGACATTGCAGACCATATTGTCGCATACCGAGCCAGCCGCAATCGCAGCCGGGTAGCGCATGAGCAAGGGCATTTGGAAACTCTCCTCGTACATGAACCGCTTGTCGAACCAGCCATGCTCGCCCAAGAAGAAGCCTTGGTCCGAGGAATAGATCACCACCGTATCATTTTGAAGCTCATTTTTCTCCAGATAGCTGAGGATCGTGCCCACGCTGTCGTCAATAGCCTGGATGGTGCGCAAATACCGCTGCATGTATCGCTGGAACTTGAACTGGGCCAGCTCATCGGCGGTGGAGAAGGTAAACACCTCGGCGGTCTCCTTGTCAATAAGGCGCATGGAGGTCACGTCGGCAGGGGAAGGAATCTTGCGCTGCGCGTTGCTCCCCTCCTGCTGTACACGCTCGCCGACATTGTCGCCACCTTCCGGCTGGACCAGTCCGAGATCCTGATAAGTCAAGTCCTCTGCCACACGCATCTTAGCCACCTTGGCTGCCTGGGCTCGGTTCCGGTAGTCGTCATCAAAAGTCTCCGGAACCCGAATCGGGTCCTTGTACATGTGTTTGTGACGGTCATGAGCCTCCCAAGAGCGATGGGGCGCCTTGTGGTGGCACATGAGGAAGAATGGTTGTTTCTCCTCTCTGCCCTCGGGCGGTTGCTGGTTCAGCACCGAATCCATCCATCTGAGACTTTTCTCTGTGATGATGTCGGTCGCATATCCGCTCTCCACATGAGTGCCCATAGGACCAGTGAATTCAGGGTCCCAGTAATCACCCTGGCCGGGAAGGACAGACCAGTAATCGAACCCTGTAGGCTCATGAGCGGTCCCTTCCCCAAGATGCCACTTGCCTATATGTTTAAGTCCCGTTGGTCAGTGCAAACGGGTCAAATGTCTCCTTGTTCTTCGGGATAAGACTTACCGATCATCGCAGTAGCATAGCCACCCGATCGTAAGGTCTTGGCCACATTGGGCAGATGCTTGTTAATTTTGCTGTTCAGGGTCATGACTCCATTGACATGATTATACGTTCCAGTCAAGATCGACGCCCGAGAAGGGGTACAGATCGAGTTGGTAACATAGCAGTGGTTGAACTTCATCCCCTCCGTGGCAAGCCGGTCAATGTTGGGGGTGTGGTTGATGCCAGCGCCGTAGGCACTGATCGCCTTGGACGCATGGTCGTCGGCAAGGATGAAGATGATGTTAGGCCGTTTCTGCGACATGGTTGAAGCCCGCTTGTGTTCCAATGCGCCGAAGAACGGTGCGATCCGAGACTCTGCTGGGGGAGTCTCCGGATTTAAATCGACGTGGGGATGTACAGAGGACCATCTGCTTTAGTCTCCATGGGCCATGCTTGTTGGCCCACTACCGAATACCGAGATTGCATCCATTGCGATTCATCTGGACCTCTTGCTGTGGCTATTTGCTCGTTGACTCCAGAGTAGTCTCGCTTGGTGGATCTCCAACGAGACAATCAACGACGTTGCCGACCGACTACCGAAAGCTGTGGGTGACCGACTGCCGATGGCCATCACCAGACAACGAACCAGAGATTTGCCTGCGTCTACCGTCTTGGTCCGTTAGGGAGGTGGTCTGGGGGATTTGCAGTGACACGCGCATAAACGAGAACTGTGCCATTATCCAAAGCTTCACACGCCATACTCCGACTCCCGGCTGTGAGAAACTCAAGAGTTGATGAACCAAGGGGATTGATGTGAGTCTGAGTAGGATAAAAAGTAGCCGGTTTTGCTGTCAGTCGCTCTTCCTTCGCGTTTCATCTGCTTTCTTTGCAAGCTCGAGATAATGTCGGTGGGAACATTCCGAGCAACCTACCTGGTTGCGTTGAGCTGCATTGGATCCTTCCTCTTTGCATACGATACAGGCATCGTCGGCGGAGTTCTTACCCTTGAATCCTTCATCCGAGACTTGGGCGTGTCTTCCCATGATTTGGCCAATGTCAGCTCTCTTTCGGCCAGTCTGCTTCAAGCGGGAGGTAAGATCGTGGCGACGACCGTCTGAGGTTACCTTGTCAGTATCACTGACAGTGTTGATCTTCCAGCATTCTTCTCGTGCTTCTTCGTCTGGCCCGTCACCGCAAGATACGGTCGTCGACTCGCCATTGTGCTCGCCGCGCTCATTTTCGACATCGGTGCCATTCTTCAGCTCTTCCCAAACGGTGGTGTCGCTACCTGGTATGCCGGCCGTGTCATTGCGGGCGTGGGCATTGGCATCGCCACGGTAATAGTGCCACTCTTTACTGCCGAAATGGCCCCAAAGAGCATTCGTGGTCGGCTGGGTAGCATGTTCCAGTTCTTCTTCACCCTTGGTGTCATGACATCCTACTGGGTCGACTATGGTGTGTCTAAGATGCCGTCTTCAACCAAGCAGTGGCGCATCCCGGTCGGCTTGCAGCTTGTCCCCGGTGGCATCCTTTGCATGGGAATGCTGCTGGTGAAGGAGTCCACTAGGTGGCTGGCCAAGAAAGGCCGGCACGACGAAGCTATGGCGTCCCTGATCTGGGTCCGTGGAGGCGATTCCCCAGAAGTTCACCAAGAGTGGGTCTTGATCTGTTCCTCCTAGCATCAAGTCTCACTAACAAGTATTGATCAATCATTAGGATGGCGGAGATTTTGGCCGGTATTCGAGAAGAAGAGCGTCAAACAGAAGGACTTACGTGGAAGGAGTATCTGCTTCCTGCCAACCGCTTTCGCCTGTTCGTTGTCGTCACTCTGCAAATTGGTGGGTTACAACTTCTTATCTAAGATTCGGCCGTCCCAACATAGGTACTGATAGGGTGATGCAGGCGTGCAACTTACTGGCAACACTTCTCTTGCATACTGTGAGTATTGAGACATTCCCAGTTCTATAAGACGGCTCTGATTTCGTAATCTATGACAGTTTCTCCCCAGGTGTTCAAGTCTGTCGGGGCCGGAAGCAATGCTCTTTTCTTCAGTGGCTTCTTCGGTGTTGCTAAGGTCATTGCATGCTTTTTATTCTTGTCGTTCTTGGTCGAAAGAATTGGCCGTAAGGGAGCCCTGGCCGTCGGAGCTACCCTGATGGGTTGCTTCTTCATTATCGTGGCTGTCTTGACAGTCACCCACCCGCCTAATCCGAATGGAGGCCTTAGTAGCGCGTCTGTTGCTTCTCTCGTCATGATCTATCTCGAAGCCAGTAAGTCGCCGGACAATGCTTTATTCCTCGGGGGACTAAACTCTTTAGTGGTGTATAATATGTCTTGGGGTCCGGTGCCTTGGGTAAGTCGAATTCACAAACCTGAAACCATAACTGCCCTGGTCAACTAACTTCGGTTCTCTTCCTCCAGCTCTACACGGCTGAGATATTCCCCAACCGTATTCGCGAAGGCGGTGTGGCCATTGGCACGGCCACGCAGTGGTTGTTCAACTTTGTCTTCTCCCAGATCACGCCTCATGCCGTCAACAACCTTAAATGGAGGACATTTTTGATGTTTGCCATCTTCAACTGGGCTCTCGTGGTATACGTATGGTTCTTCATCAAAGAGGTTGGTCTCGACATTGTACCCACCATCGGTTTGAGCACTTTGCTAATCGCGCGCATACACACAGACTAAAGGCAAATCTCTCGAAGAGATGGAGCTCATCTTCAACGCCAAGCATACTCAACTTGACCTTGATAAGACACACCATAAGGCTGGCGAGACTTTCGAACACATCGAAAATCAGGATGGCAAGGGCGGGCCTGGTCAAATTGCTTAATGAAATGATATTCGCTGCAACTATAGTACATGGCTAAATACACATGTAATATTGGTTGAAGAGATGGCGTTTAGGATCCGGCAACATGTTCAATATACGGTGTAGACATGCGTAGGATTTGTTGTTGTGATTGAAAAGTGGTACTCACCCTTACACAACGCACAATCAGGCTCGTGATAGACTGGCAATACCCACGTCCGATATAAGCGCTATCGCCGGTCTAAGCATAGCTACAAAGTGATACATATATTTGCTACCTACCAACACTGCGCTCGATGTAATCCTATGGAAATGACGCTCTTCACCCACTCAATGATGCTGCTCTGGCACCTACAGAGTAGTCAGCCTTGCCGCAGAAGTCACTCGTGAGGTTGTCTGCCATGCTGCTGTCAATTGGCTCTTTAGGATGTGGTGTTGGTCCATGTAAGCGCTAACGTCGGAGCTGATACATACCATCACAGCTTTCATAATTCTTATAGTAAGTAAACATCACTGTGAAAAGCAAATGTAGGCGGATCCAACCGCTTACACTGATCAATATGTCGAGCTCCAATCACAACGTTACTCTCCCTGATGATCTCGCTATATCTAGGCTGTAGGCATGGTAGATATGGATAGCACAGGCAGGGAGAGCTAGGCGCTCTTTTGTCCTGCGGCGCAGGAGCACCCTGGCCTTCAGCCAATGGGTGTTGTACACGCAGCGATTGCACCCAGCCTTTCCAGGGAGGCGTCGAATCTTGGAAGCTCTCAAGATATATAAACATATCTACGAGCCGTGTCGGAGAGCAGAGCTCCAAAGCATCATATCCCAACAGAAGATCTACATTCCCAACAGTCCTCCTTCTACCCCTGAATGAAAATGGCTTCATCCCGGAGGTCTCGGAGAAACAAACGATTATTCACCTGTCCTTGTTGCTTGGCGCCGATTAGAGGCATGGGGGCGTTAAGGGAGCACCAGAATGTTTTGGATCATAAGCTGCCTTGCGCTGAGTGCCCGAGGAAGTTTGTGGACTCTGATGCTTTGGAGCAGCATAGTATCCAGAGACATAGAAAATCCGCAAAACCAAAGAGGAGGGGTAGGTATGGCACACCAAAAAGGGGACAACCCTCCAGTGTGATGAGGGTCCATGAATCCACGGCTACCTTGCTGTCCGTGACAGACAGCCTGAGTGCGATCGCTCTTGGTAAGACGCATCTGGGCGCCCTCTCCGTGTTACCGTATATACTGATCTAATACAGAGGACGAGACGTCCATCATGTCCCTTGGGCGGCGCCAATCGAACCACCCCCCAACAATCCTAGATCCTGTTCTGGGTTTTCCGGCAACAGAGCAGTCCTCCTGTACAACGACGCCTCATAGGTCCGACGACACCTTGCTCTCTATAACAGGCAGAATCAATACGATTGCTGTTGGTAAGACGCTCCTGAGCCTCTGCATACCTCTGTATATACTAAGCTGAGACAGCGGCTGGGCTATCCAGCGATTCCCTTTGGCAACACCAGCATCTTCATCCCCTAACGATACTCGATACTACTGAGCAGGCTACAATATTCCAAGCCCTCTCCGCGAGCTGTCACCCGCAGGACCGACGTCGAGCACAAGGGTATACGATGCCACCTTCTCCGGCAGATAGTACAAAATTCGCATACCGAAGCATCATCCAGAGAGGCAGATTTCGTGAAACACCTCGCTCAGAACTAGGCCAGCTACCTGAGAAGAGACAAGCAATCGTTATTGACTGCGAGATGGTCGAGGTCACGGGCAGACGACGAGAATTGGCTTTCTTGAGTGCTATTGATTTTCTCACTGGGGAGGTGCTGATCGATAATTATGTCCACCCAGTATCAACGGTGACCGATTGGGGAAGTGCTGTGAGTGGCGTGACGCCTGACGCGATGAAGCTCGCTGTCTCAATGAACCAGGCGCTTAACGGGTGGCAAGAGGCACGCCAGGCGTTGTGGATACATGCTGATAGCGAGACAGTGTTCATTGGACACTCTCTCAACCATGATCTGGATGTGTTGGGGATTCTGCATCACCGGGTGGTTGATTCTTCCATACTAACTGGCCAAGCTACGTTTCCGGGATGTTCTCCGAAAAAGGGCCTGAAACGATTATGGGGCTTGAAGAAATTGACGAAAGCCTTCTTGGGGTGCGACATACAGAGTAGTCCTGACGGACACAGATCTTTGGAAGACGTTGTTGCAACGCGTGAGGTTGTGTTATGGTGTCTGCGAAACCCCGAGCTCTTGAGGATGTGGGCGGACAATGCTCGAGAAGAATGGAGAGTAGAGATGGGGCGACGCAAGCAAAGAGGGAGAAGAGGAAGGCAGAACAGAGTGTAGCTTCATAACATGAATAGCCTGTATGCCTGTTAATAATAATTGCAAACGCAGCTTCGGGTGGAGGATATTGAGAGTATTCCAGGTGAGCAACCGATGACAGAAAGCACCCTGAATAGAAGCAGCTACGCGCGCGCAAAGTGCCAGGTGACCGACAGCCCACTCATAAAGTCGAGCGATCGTCTTCCTTGATCTGTTGGTAGGCTCTTATCTATCCAACATTTTGTCTTGTACGTATATGGCTCGGTCCAGTCATGGAGGGGGGAATCCTTGCCATATTCCACGGCGAAGTGCGGCACAGTCGATGAGCGAAACGCCAGCCTTGACTAAATATAGAGCTACAGCTGACCCCGCTTTCGTGACTTATAATATAGACGGTTTTCACTATCGGCGTCGAGGAGTTCAACTATCCGCCATTGTTCTATATTCGGTGCCTGCGTGCGGGTGTGTATTTCTACTGCCATGCCGCCACGGAATTCACCACCGAACCCACCGGATCCGCGTGCTCTCCTCGGAAGGTACAACATATCAATTGAAGGGCCAATTCGGCCCCGCGACTGGCCAAGGAAATATGCTCCTCTCTTTTCCCTGGTCCGGGATACCGAGAAGGTTCTGTACGAGGAATATGAAGCAGGCTCTGGAAGCGACGACCCGAGACTATTGCACGTTTCGCGAATGTGCAAACAAGTGACAAAGCTTGTCTATCAGGCTTACGGTCTACGGGAGTCCCAAGACAATGAGTATACGTGGCGATCAGCGACGGAGAATCAGGTTCTCAAGCGATTTCTGAGAGATGTCGACTGGTGAGTCAAGGACATCCCAACGCATCAAGGGAGCCATGTGCTGATACATCGGAACAGCCACGTCTGTAATGAACGTCTTTGGATCTCGGACTTCCAAGCTGTTCCGTCTTGTCCCATGGCGGCGGAAAAGCTACAACAAGTACGGGCCGCGAGGAGTCTTTGCCGTTGCAGCAAGGCTATGAGAGCAAAAGTGATAGTAAGTCAATACTGAATCTTGGACTCTGCAGACCAGTCGAATAATATATGCGGTATTTTAGGCCGACCCATCTGCACAACAACTCTTTGTGGCCAAAGCGGACTTCCCTATGGTTGACATGTTGATGCCGGAAATCCAGAAAAGGGTTTTGCCTCATCACAAGCCTGATCGTATACTTGGATTAAGAAAGGCCAACGAAATCAAGGATTTACTCGAGGCCAACCCTGACATTACATCTGCGGTCACTAAAGCTGGCACGGACCTGGTGTTCCCATTCCTAGTCCTTGAAGCAAAATCAGAGAAAGATACGGACGGGTTCGAAGCAATCGAAAGGCAAACAGCATTTCCAATCCGCGCCATGGTCAACATCCAGAAGGACCTGGAAAGTGTCAGCGCCGTTCCAGTGGACCCTTTGGTATGGTATGTTGCCAATCGAGGAGATGAGTGGAGGGTGTATGCCTGTGTACCTGAACGGTCTGGCATAGTAAGGTCTCCCATCATCTACCCTACTCTGCTTGCAAGGCGCTGACGATTGCTGTCTAGCGAATCATTGATCTATGGCACGGCTGTGTTCTTCGACACGACTCGGCACTTCAGCTGTTTTTGATTATGGATTTGGTGTGCGACTGGGCTAGAGATATTTTTACAGAACAGGTACTTGGCTCCTTACGCCAGCGTGCAGGCCTTGGGGTTTCTATCCCTATGTCTCAGGCCAGCCTGGAAGAGCTGTCCTCCTTCGAGCATCCTTCATCCTGCAGTCCTCATGGTGGCAATGAAGGTCGATCATCTTTATCTAACCGGAGTACAACGCTCGAGTCTGCCCGGGACTCCAATAGCGATGACGAAGTGGCCATCAAGTCAGAACCCGCAGATGTTATGACTTGGGAAGTGCCGAACTCTACCCATGACAATACCGAAAATCCTTGTTCCAGAACTTCCAATGCCGGCCTCTCAACGGAGTGCGGAGATGCACCAGAAATACCAGAATGGTCCAACACGCCAGACGCTTGGATGGAGCATATAGCCATAAGATCGGACAAGGACATCCAGATTCAGTTCCGCTCCATATCTCTTCCCGAGTCCCCTGACGGATTATACCCATTGATTAAAGCCATTGGAAACCCCGACATTGTTCATACCGCTCGGAGGCTTTTTGCCCTGTTCAATCTGGAAGACCCCTTTATAGTTGAGTCACATTTTGTCGATCGACTTCATCGCATTTGGGGAAAGCCGCAACTGAAAGTACCCTATGACGATAAATCTCTTCTTTTTGCGAGTCTGAGCTGGCGAACAAGCTTTGACTATGTAGATTGGGTATTGACGAAGGAACTCTCCTGCATCACAGCCTCAAGGAGGGCCATAGCCGCGTTAGCCACCGTCGGCCAAGTTTCTGGCGGCCATCTATTAACAGTTGGCGGTATCGAATCTGCTATTCTGGAGAAATATCTGATTTACCCTCTTCGTCACCTCCCTTTGATTGAAATGGTACACGCCGCATCCAGAAACCAGTTCCTCCATCTACAGGCATGTGATGGGTTCGCAGACCCTTCAGGATGGACTGCAGATGATGAAAAGGGCGCTTTCTCCAAGTTATTCTGGGATTCTCTCGGCTTGAGTCCCGATGCCTTCTTAGAATGTACCAGAAATATCTACACATGTGTGAGAGGACGCCCGAATGTTCTTGAGTTTCGCAACGACGTTAAAATCCCTCCTCCCCTTCAGGTACCTTGGGTCGCCAAAGAACATCCTATCGCTCTTATCAGAAGGCCGAGCGACATGGGGGAGTGTATCGGCCAGGAGTATTGCATCTTTGTGCTTGATCGCGAAGTGGTGCGTTCTCCCACTGAGATTGCCAGTGCAATCCTATCTCTTCTACACGATGAGAACAGCCGTTTTTATGGGAGTAATGAGCCATTCACTGCGGCTGATAGGAAGGATCTGGCTCTTTTGGGATCTTTCTTCGCAGGATTGGACCCAGAGCAGTTTGTTTTTCCCTCTTTGTAGTGATGTTTAGTACTACTATGTATTAGTCGTTTTCGTGTGCACGCCATTCTCGTTTATTTGATTTCAGTACTTTTCCAAATTGAAGCATGTTTACTTGGAAGAACCTAAATATATCCACAGTCTAGCTATAATATATTGGCAATTCCTATAAATTGGTGTATCCACTGGTATACACCCCATACGGAAATATTCGGTTACTATGCTATACCGCTATGAACCAGTGTGTGCTGTCTAGTGTTGACTATTATTGTTCAGACTTTTGACCCTTCATTTCGTTACGCGGCTCCTGATTTTGCCAGAAGCCTGGCTGGCTTCGTGCGTCGCTCCAATATTGAAGCATTTGAGGCGGCCGGAGATACGAGGCATACCAGGCGCAATCAAACTTGCTACAGATTTGACGACGTAGCACGGCCCATATAGATCCCTATATAATTTATATTTTATAGCCGTCCACTAGGTAGTACATATGACCACAGGGTGTGGAGTCTTAGTACAATAAACCAACCCATTTTCTTGTTAGCACTTTGTAATTATTTCATAAACCATGCCTAAGGTTCTACTCCGTATACATAGTCTCCCCCCTAGTTTCTGCGAATGCTGGGATTCGACCGGTAGGACAGCCGAGCCCCTTGGGGTACAGAGAAGCCCGAAATTGGATTCCATATCCTACCTATATACAACGAGTTGTTTTCGAGCCCTAATCAGGTAATACGCCAGTCACTAATAAGGCACAGTCTTGTTCTGCAAATAAGATACGTGTTATGCATTATGAAGGGCCCTTTATATAAGAGGTAACACACGACAGTCACTAGCCCCTGCGCAAAAGGATATCGCGGCAACTGATCAGTGGTCCAGGAACAACACAGACCTCGGAACGTGCCTGAGGTTTTCGATCCGCTTTCTTCACCCTACTGGCTTCCCGCAAGTTGGGATGTGACGAAACTCATGATATAGTCACGCTTTCCGAGCGGTACACCTTCCTTTCGCAAGATGGCATACGCAGTAGTGAGGTGGAAGAAGATGTTGGGAATGGCGGTAGCATTGACAAATGCAGCTCCGCTCATCGGCAGAACTGTGCCCGGCGCTAATGTTGTGGCTTCCACTTCTTCACCTCGTCGATTGACGGTATCCTTGTCGGCTTCACCGAGCGCTTTGATCGCGGTTTGAAGGCGTTCATGTAAATCCGGGAACGATGTAAGATTCTCATCGTAGACCACAGGCTCGCGACCGGTCAACCGAGCAAGCATTTTCTCGGTAACCTGAGTGGCAATATGGACTTGGAAGGTCAACGGCTTCATGTCATCGTGCAAACGTGCGGTAAGGAGGTCGGCGGCATTGGGGCGTTGTTCAGCCTGATGTAAGATGTGTGCCAACGAGGTGAGCGCACTTTGGGCCATCACGATGGTCCCATCGTAAAGGGAATAAACCATATTGGACTTGGGTATTATGCCTAGCCTTTGATTAGAAGGAGAGATATGTGAGAACAAAAAAAGAGGGATGTCAGCCCCCGCTCTAAATCACTGTGAACACGTGATACTACAGCTTACAGAGTAGTTAGAAATCGGGATTTATTTTTAGGACTATAACAATACAGAATATAACAGATGACTTAGTAGTAGTTAGGTGGGTGACCTTTTCCTATATGTCTGAAGAGCTTCGTGGACACAGCATGCTATATTCGACTCGTCCCAACTCTCATCTGCCGCTTTGGATCGTAGAATTATTAGATTAAAAAGCCGTTCTGCGTCTGTGCAACGTGTCACGGTGGCACGAGGGATGTTGCTATACTTAACTATGTACCTAGGTAGCTATACTAGCCGATCAGAAATTTCTACGACCTAATAAGTAATGCATCTCTTTGAACCTCTGGTGCCGGATCTATCCGGCCTGTCCTTAGCTTCCGCGGCTGATTGCAGACGCAGCGGTTTGATCTTTTTTACTCAAATCTAGGTGTGTTGGTAACGGATCATCTTACGTGTTCCTGTGAATACTCGAGCGTGGCTGCTTCTAACCCAAAAGAGTTATCACATACTAGTACTCATTAAGAAGAGTACTGAATCTCCGATCCACAGATGTTCGAGCTGAAAGCAACAGTGGGTCGCGTTCATGCGAGTTCAACCTGTTCGGATCATCTGCAAGCCGGCCAAGGCCGAAGCGCCCTCTTCCCTACTCCAGTACTCCTATACTACTGCCGCTATACGGAGTCCTCGCTGCATGAGTCCACCACCAACTCCCGTATCAACCTGAACCTCATCTGATTGACCCATCTACAAGGCATTGTGGATACACTATGATAGTACTGGAGGAGGAACAGGTCTGTGCGTTCTCCTTCTAGTGGGTCGTGTTCATGGTTCGTGCAGCAACTATATGCGCACAATGCAAGCCGCCCCTCTCTATACTACCACACTCTTACTAACTGTACTACATACTGTGGGGACAGCCTCTACTACTCGACTGTCGTCTCCACTTTTGCCTTGTCAGAGGGTGCGATTTGAGATCTCTGGCCTTCCGAATAAGGTACATCGAAGACCGCGGCCCGGGTGGTTGGACACCGGACGGTCTATGCATGATTGATATACGTGCATTCTTTCAGCTCTTTGCACAGAACCAGCCAGCCACACCGGTGGATTGATGGGTTTGCGTCATTTCTCCGCTACAGAGTTCACCGAGTACGCAGCTCATGGTAGGTGCAAAGCACATACAGTATATGTGGCCGTACGCAATGTGCGACCCTTTGAGGTAGGAGATTGTCATGCGAGGGCGGCTAGACTCTGCGTCGGCCTGCACATACAGTATCTGATCTGTATGTCTGAGTTCATTCTTGTTCTGTGGTTAACTATCGTGGTATAGATTCGCTATGGGCACTATTTGGAATCATCAATGCTGCGCATGCGTCAGACCACTGTACATTACAGCCGGTCTTCTCCAATAGTACCTACTTACCCACCTACCCACGACGGCTGTATTCGTGCATATACCGTGGCAAGCCGACATAGAGGTGACAACATTCAGCTGAGCTGGAGGTGATAATCCCTGGAGTCAGTCCAGTATTCAATCTCTGCGCCGGAGACGCCGTGCCGATCGATCATCGTGGCCATGTAGTGTGCCCCGAGTCTGAAATATAAATAGACGTTCAGTCCGGCAGAGAAGCAAGAGAAGCAGCAAAACCAGACTCCCTCATACTCTCAGCAAAACAGTAATCATGAAGCCTTCCGGAGTTGTTGCGCTCGCTGCCGTGCTTCCCTTCGTGCTTGCTAAGCCTACCACGCCTCCTGGCATGGTAAGTGCATTGTTTGAACATCGACTGGTTGTATGTTCTGATGTACTGATGATAATGGCAGGAAGAGTGGTGTAAGCAGCAGGGCGACGGTACGTCGGTGTGCTGAGAATGCAGTGAGACCACACTAACCATCCCACAGATAAGGAGCTCCAGTACAGCGAGAAACAGCAAAAATGGGTCTGCGTGACATCGAATCAGTCGGACATCTGCGGTGCTGGCCAGGACCAGTCGACGTGGCATAAAGATCCCATAACAGGCGACTATGGGTGCTGCGATACCGGCGAGGAGTGGGTTGTGGATGAGAAGAACAAGAAGCAGGGCTCTTGCTGCGCGAAGGGCTCGATTTACAGCTTTGATGCTGCCGCTGGTGAAGGCGCCTGCTGCCCCGATGGACAGGTCTTCAAGAGTGGCTCTTGTACTCGCCCTGGAGGGAATGATAATCTTGGTAGGTGAAGATCTGCTTGTCCTGGAACTCGAGCGCTGATAGTGCGTCCAAGACGTCTCCCCCGGAACCTGCGGAGCCTACCTCAAGGATGCCAGGCTGGAGAGCCTGCTTCGCACTTTGCTGGCACCGTGCTTCCCCTACGGCCAACAGACCTTGAACGTGTTCATTGAATACTATATCACGATTCTCCATGGCGGCCTCGATCTCATCGAGATCATCTACAAGAACGGCTGCGATGATCCGCAGCCTTCTCCTTCACCCGGACCCAAGCCGAAGCCTCACCCGTGGTGGAACTGCGGCGACAAGGAGCCCTGCAGATGGATCTCCCTGGAAAACTACGACGCGAAGAAGACCCTTCCGGCGACTGGCGCCACTACGAAAGCCCCATTACCTAACCCAAACGTGCCCAAGGCGGATTATGAGTACCCCTTTGATGTGTGGCTGACCAAGTCCCCTGACGATGACCTGGATGTTTACATCAAGGGCAAAAAGATCCAGCCTCAAGCGTCGGGGACGAGCTACTTGATCCCCGGTGGTAAGTGGAGCCCTGGGAGCGCTGCGACCGCATCGAGGCAGACGGGGGTGTTGTAGCTAACAGATATCAGGTACCAAGGCTACAGACGTCAAGTATTCCTCCCCCAACACATTACAGGTCAACTTCTACGGCAAATGCACTCAAGACACCCCGTGCATCGGCAAGAATGTGGAACCGTGGACCCCCAAATCCGTGGTGGCGCCGCCCGGAAAGGATGAGCTCGAGATCGATGTCAGCAAGTACGACTTCGACTTCATCTTTACCATGTCGGACACCTCTATCACCACCGAGCAGTACACTGTGTACGCCGACGGCAAGAAGGTCGGCATGACCCATGGCCGGCTGACGTTGGATGACAAGTACAACACCGACCACATCAACGTCCAGCAGAGTGGAAACGCTCCATATGTCATTGCCAATGACGGCTTCTGGGGATCATACCGGATCCCAAAGGGTGAGTGGGCGGATCATTAAAGAGGCATGCTGGTGCTGACTGAAACAGACACCGAGAAGATCACGGTGAAGATGAATCATGAGCAGGCCGGGTATCCCTGGTATGAATGGACATACCGCATTGACAGGCTCTGTGATTGCTAGGCGGATCATGATGGATCATGAGGGTCAAGGATCCGTGTATGGAATAATTATTGCACATTCAACATCGGCAGCCCAAGCTATTTCAACACAAGGCTGTCATCGAGGTGAGATTAGTCATAGCGAGTTCAATGCACAAGACTGAATAGTGACCTACTGGTACTATAATAAATGTCAATTTCCTCTCCGAGATTCTCGACGTAATCTCCGGTTGCATACCAATATAGCAGCCCGTTGAGCTTCGCTGGGTCGACGGTGTCACGTCCGGGACGTAACCTGCATCATGCAACGCATACAGTGCTTCTTGCGGGAGCGCATCTAGGGGTGCATATCTGGCAACCTCATTGAGCCGTTCGTTTGTGGTCTTGTCCGCCGAAAACAACCACTGAGTATGGAAACATTTTAGTTTGTCCGTTACATGCTGATCTTGTTGTGTGATTTTTTCAGTTGTCAAGGAATTACTTCCGATGTGTTATCCAAGGGATATCAGCTTCAAGCACCACCGCGGAGTTTAGTCTTTGATAACATATCCCTGCATGTAGGTCGCACTCTAGGGTAAATGCGTCAGTGTATCATTTCTCTTACCTACTGAGCTCCTAGGGTTATCTTTTCCTCGGCAGAAGTAAACAGAAAGAAAAGCGAAGATGAATTGCCTATTCTGTGTGGGTGCTTCGTCGGCAACACTGTTGTCAATGCACCATTACTTCATTTGTGATATGACAATCAACCATGTACAATCCTGACAAATAATCTGGAGGGTTATGTAGGAGCGTGCGAATCAGCTCACATGGGTTAAAATATAGACAAGTCAGTTTGCCAAGTATATCTTTGTCGATTACTTCTCTATGCTCTAATCAGTGTTCAGGCGCTCACGCAAGACCCCCAAAGCAGCAGTGTTGGTCAGGTTGTATGATATGCGGAGAACCTCATTAGGAGCAGTCCACAGCTAGCTGACGTACGAAACACTATCCTAGAACACCATTTCCTCGAATTTCAAACCTAGTTGTAAAACTAGGAAAATATATAACGAAGGACTCGACGAGCCGATGGACCTGACTCCTCTTATCCTGGTACATTGGATGTTTCCTCAGTGAGCTCGGTCATATTGTTACAAGCTTCAAGTTCTCCGTTCTCAAATCACAATGAGTACCATGGCTTCCTCTGAGGTTGATTCGCTCCTAGCGAGCATTACGTCTTCCCTGTCCGAGTATAAGACCTCTGGGAGTGAGGCCTCCAGGTTCGAAGCCCTGGAAAAAACCAAAGATTTAACCTTGGTGCTGGAAAAGCCAGCCGACATGATTTATAAGCTCTTCTTTTCGGTTCGATTATCTAAATCCTCTTGACTGATCTGGTCTTAGCTAATAGCAATAAAGCCGACTGTGCCTATGGCAGTCAAGGTAGCCAGTGATATGGAGATATTCGCTGTACTGAACGAGGCAACGGGTCCTGTGACTTGGAAGGAGCTGGCTGCTCCAAGGAATGCTGCTAGGGCTCTTGTTGGTATGTTATACTCTCCCACCTGCTCATTGTCCATGGATTAACATTTTAACAGAGCGCATTATGCGTGTTTTGGTTTGCTATGGCTTTGCGAAGGTGCATGGCCCCGGAGAATACACTTCTACCCCCCTCGCCACGGAGATGAATAAGAAAGGAATCGGTGCATTGATGGATTTCATGTACGTTCCGCGCGGCTCAGAGCCTTCATTGATGTTTATTCATGCAGTTGTCCAGGTTTCTCGATTGCCTGCCCGTTATTCAGAAAATACCTATGTTTTTGAAGCACAAGGATTACCAGAACCCTGGAAATCCCCTTGACGGACCGGTACAATATGCCTATCATTTCCCTCATACCTGTTGGGACTGGTTCGCATGCCATCCAGTATCCATGGAACGTTTCAACTCCTTTATGGAGGTGAACCGTGGTAGTCTTTCCCACTGGGCCGATTGGTACCCCATACAGCAGCGACTCTTGGAAGGATTAGAGGACGGGCCGTTCCTTGTTGATGTCGGTGGCGGCCACGGCCATGAGCTACTTGGATTCAGGCAGAGATTCCCGGATGTTCCTGGCCAGTTGGTATTGGAGGACCTGCCAGAAGTCATCGATGGGTTGGAATCCTTGGACCCGGAAATCAAGAGGGTCAAGCATGACTTTTTCCAACCTCAACCTGTCAGAGGTATGCGATACTTCGTCTACCTTGTCCATATTGCCATAATGCTAATGCATGGGTACAGATGCTCGTGTCTACTACTTCAAGTTTGTCATGCACGACTGGCCTGATGACAAATGTCGCATTATCCTTGACCACACGAAAGCAGCGATGAAGGAGGGCTACTCCAAGCTTCTAATTGAAGACTTTATAGTATCTGAACTTCAGCCAGCACCTCGTCATACCATGATGGATATGGTCGTCATGGCCCTTTGTCCTGGGATTGAGCGGACCCAAGAGATGTGGACTGACTTGCTCAACTCGGCAGGGCTGGAAATCAATGAGTTCTGGACTCATCAGCCTGATGGTCTAGGAATTATTGAGGCAGAGCTGCGCCCTACAGCCTAGAAAATGAGGTTCCCAAGTACAACGTCACAGACGAGGACCGCGACAGACCATTCATTACCACACGGACGGAAGCGCTCGCTTCGGACAAATGATGGCTATTAATTAACTCTAGGGTCATTGCTGTACCCAAGCATCGTCAGCTAAGTAGAATATATATTCTTCTACAAGGGCCAACTTTCGGTAGATAGAACCAGCTGAACATAAGGAGATATAGAGCTCAACAGCTGCTGTAAACCTGTTCTATCTATATGTCTCCAAGTCTCTTTCTTTTTTATTTTTTTCTTTAACTGGAAAATGAACAAAAAAGAAACATACAACAGCAGGGATTCGCTGGTGGTCACCCACCCAACTACTAACCTGCCGGCGTGTGGCTTAAGTACGGCTGAGCGGACGGGAAGCCCTGTTCTCCACACCCTATGGTCGTATGTGCTAGATTCACAGATTGATGGAACTATATAGGGGTCCATGTAGAAGGCATGATCTATGCAGAGATTGATCCCAGCTTGTTAGATTCCTACATAAGTCTATCTTATAACTCCCTAGCACATACGACCACAGGGTGTGAGAAACAGTGCATCCTATCCGCTCAGCTGTACTTAAACCACATCAGATATTATCTTCAAGTGCATTCGTTGATGTAGGATGCTTAGAACGAGATACTCGTCCTAGAAGCCGTGCCCGAAGTCGATGATAAGAAGTGCCAACTTCGGCTTCTCCTCGCGTCTAACAAGTTTATAGGCATCGAAAATACGCTTTTCAGTATCAGAATAAGAATTCATCTCTCCATGGTGGTGGGTAGAAGTCAAATAGCTTCAAATTTTGTGCTGGGGGTGGAGCAGACCAACATCCGAAGGGGTAGGATAAGTACTAACTTAAGAGACAGCTACTTCCTGAAGAATACCTTCCTGCGTATGAGGTGGACATATAAAGCCGTAGACGCTTGACCATCTTCAAATTTTACCGCGATCATGAAAAGTCATACGTTGTAAAGGTGTGAGCTGCCATGGGATGTGGCATGACACCTGGGGCTTTCCTGGGGCCTTGACTTGGTGGCACCTTGTACGAACATGCCAGCTACTATACGTCTTTTGGTTTCAAGTTGGGGCTACTTAACTAGTTTTTCCACCTGATCATGATGACAAGAACGACGCCAAGCATACTAGGTAGGCTCACGCCCGTGGCTACGTCGGAGATTGTTTCAGCCAAGTCCTTTGAAGGTCATAAACCTGATCCCGAGCCGGATACAACGGAGCAACCAGCTCATTTGACTCCCCATCTGGCCAGCGTCTGCAGTGGGTAGGAACCTGCCCACTTCGTGTTTGAGATCGACAGGGGAGGAAAGAAGGCCAGTACTTGAGCAGGACCACAGCATCAGAGGCAGCAAGAGATTTGAAAATATTATCATTATGGAGGGAAATCGGCTAAAATCAATGGGATAAACGAAAAGGGCGGGGTACGGCCTATTACCTCAGATATCCGTTTGTCCGACTACTGGGGAGTAGGAATTGAGCACGGATATCCATCAATCATGTTTCAATCGAGTGTAATAGGCTATATTTGGTATATTTCCTGCGGAGAGAGCTATCACTCTGGAACATTAACGGAGCTGATCTACGATGATGTCTCCGTTTTAGGGCTGTTGGTCATACGCGAGGCGCTCGTGCTGCAGGTTTGAAGAAATCTAAATGGATCCGCAAGTTTCACTCGTTCTGGGTATAGAAACATGTCGTCTTGTATAAGGCGATGTGCGCCTGCAAGGTTGGAGCCGTATGTCATAGCCTAATTCCGGACTATCTCCTCCATCGGATGAATTCTGTAACGACGGACCTCAAAAATCCCCGCACAGACTCAAAGTAGATACTTAAAGGACAGTAGTCCGGCCTTGAGTGATGCCAGGCCGAAGTCGATCATCCGGTACTCCCTAGGAACATAGCCCAGAATTCAAAGTCTTGCATCGTTATCATCATGAAGCTTCCAGCTTTTGCGCTCTTTGTGAGCCTTACGTCCAGTACGGCGGCACAAGCGGTCAAAGTCAGTGAGTAAACACCTCGCGGCAGCATCTTGTATTCGTGAAATATGTAGGTTAATATAGCGGGTTATTTAGTGCTGCTCGGTGACTCTATTACCGAAATCACCTGCTGGAGACCCCTCGTGTGGGAACAAATCACCTCCGCTGGGTTGGCGGATAGTGTCGATTTCGTCGGCAGCATGAATGACCTCCAATCCCAGTGCGCGAGGCCGTCGGGTTTTGATCCGGACCACGAAGGTCACTCAGGCTGGCAGGCGTATGATATTGCCAGGAACAATATCGCGGGCTGGGTTCAGAATACCACGCCCGATATCGTTCAATTCATGCTCGGCACCAACGACGTTAACATCGGCAAGCGGGACGTTGACAGCATCATTGACTCGTACACAATCATGCTCGACGCAATGCGTGCCGCGAACCCTCAGGTCAAGGTTATCGTAAGTGATGCTTCCTGATCATCGTCATGAGTCTGTCATCTGCTTGGCCAAAACGCTGACGCGCATCTCCCTAGGTGGATAAGCTGATTCCGACAAGCTGGAGCGACCCGACCATTGAGGCCCTCAACAACGCCATCCCGGGTTGGGTACAGCAGCAAACAACAGCCGAGTCTCCTGTTGTCATTGCCGACTGTTCACGGGCCGCTGGTTTCACAAATAGTATGCTGCGGGACGACGGTGTCCATCCTAACGACCAGGGTGATCAGTTCCTAGCAGGGCAGATTGGCCCCAAACTGATACAGTTCATCAAGGACGCCCAATAGAACCTATGAAAAGATGGAAGGGACGGACTTGGACTCAGACAAGGGCCCCAAATACCCACAACCAATACAAATTACTAAGGTATATGGCACGCGTGCATCAGGAACACAGCTGTAAGATCAAATCCTGCGTTTCTACTTGACTCAAAATCAGTTCGGGTCATGTTCTGTGTATATAGCTTCTCGTATCTCACCAGAAAGAATCGAACTTCTTTCCTCTGAAGTATGTACAAAACAAATAATACCCACATAACCAGATCCGTTTACCATATAAAATATTGCCAAGAGAAAGCGGAGAGGAAATGACACTGGAAAAGAGAGGCGAGGCTTCAGGATGTTCAGGGGCAGGGATACGTCCCGTAGTTGGGCAGCTGGCCTTCCGTTATCCGCGCATGAAGATCCTCGAAGTTGGCGCTGGCACCGGCTCGGCGACTCGCATGGTGCTGGACCAGATTGTCCGCGACTACCACTCTTATACTTACACGGATATCTCTGCTGCCTTCTTCGAGGATGCGCAGGAGGCATTCGCAGTGCACAGGGATCGCATCATCTATAAGGTACTTGATTTGGAAAAAGACCCCTTCGAGCAGGGGTTCGCTGAGCATGGGTACGACCTCGTCATCGGCAGTAACTGTCTCCATGCCACACACCGGTTGAAGCAAACCATGACCAATGTCCGCCGCTTGCTGAAACCAGGCGGCCGGTTCGCTATCTTTGAGACCACCGACCCCGAGCATATCTCCTCGTGCTTCACGTTCGGTGTCTTTGAGGGCTGGTGGCTTGGGGAGGCGGATGGGCGCCCCTTTGGCCCGCTCATCGCTCGAGGTGACTGGGAGCGTCTTCTTCAGAGCACTGGGTTCAGTGGATTTGAGGCCATATCCTCCGACGCTGATACCCAGCGCCTGGGAATGTCGGTCTTTACGGCTCGTGCCGTTGATGACCAAATTCTGCGGTGGGAACGGCCGCTTGCTGTACCCGCTCAGGCACAGTATCGCGATCTCATATTGCTAGGGGGAGCTACCGCAGCCAGTGAATCCCTGCTGTCCGCGGTGCGGGTTCTAGTAGGCCCATACTTCGCCAGCATCACCGTCGCGCCAACGCTCGATGCATTCGTGACACAATCCCAAACATCCCTGGCCGTCGTTTTATCGTTAAGCGACATCGACAGTCCATGTCTGCAGGGTCTGACGACGGGCCGTCTCCGTGGCTTGCAAGAAGTCATCGCAGCCACGGGTACGCTGTTGTGGGTGGCCCCAGATTCCCCGATTGCTGATCCGTATCTCCGCATGAGCAAAGGACTACTACGCTCCCTGGTCTTTGAAAACCCTCATGCGCAGTTTCAGCATCTGGCGGTCCGCGATCCTGGTGCAGTATCCGTGGACCTCGTCGCCACGACTCTGATGCGACTGGTCCATTCCAACTTTGGCAGCGATTACAGCCTCTCCACCTACACTGAGAACACCGAGTGGGAGCTCGTCTTCGAAGAGGGAGTCTAGAAAGTGCCCCGTCTGCGTAGCAGCGCGACGATGAACCAACGGTGGCTCGTCAGCCGGGGAGTCTCCAAAAGCCAACGCGTCGATCCGGGTCTCACATGCGTCGAGGTCCGTTCAACAGACAACGAGCAGGCGCTCCTGCCGCCTGTAAGTTCGTCTGACCAGATTATATTGGAGAGGAATGGGTTGGCCCACAACACAGCCCTCGTCTGCGTCCGGTCTCATTATGTTACGCAGACGGCGGTCCGTATCAACGAGAGTTATCTGTATCTCGTCTTGGGACGGCAGGAAGTAACAAATGAACGTGTCATGGCCCTATCCATCCGTCATGCCTCAACATTAAGGACCCCAGCGTCCTGGTGCTGGCCAGTTCCCGACAAAATCTCTGAGGAAGAGGAAGCGGCTTTCCTGAGCGACGTCTGCTCCGCGCTCCTGGCGCGGCATCTCATATACATCACGCCACCCGGTTCTAACCTACTTGTCCACGACGCCTCAGAGGGCCTCCAGCTAGCCGTGGACGCATTCGCAGCGCCGAAAACCATCAAGGTGCACTACAGTACCAGCCAACGGCAAGAACACAATCCGGCGACGGTCCTTATTCCCCCGCTGCTCAACGAAAACGCTATCCCGCTTACTACCCGCCAAAATATCGGTGCTGGCCTCTATCGTTCCGGATAAGGACAAGACAGTGCTCCGGCTGCAGTCAGCGTTGGACCCGGGGTTGACGTATTGCGGAGGGAAAGCCTTCTACGGCCCCTCATTTCTCTCTAGAGTGGATCTGGAAACCTCAGAGCTTGGGGAGACCCTGTCAACGGCCTGTGTGTTCGCAGAGCAGCGACGTCGCTCCGGATTCCCTTCGCAAGCCAATATCCTTTTGCCAGAGGACATTCCGATGCAATGCTCTCTCCGTCACCCTTTGCACATCGTCGATTGGTTGCATTCGGGACGGGTGCACGCCCATGTCCGCCCCGCCAGTTCTGTCGTCGACCTCAGTTCCCAAAAAACTTATCTGCTGGTTGGAATGACAGGGGACCTTGGACGACTGATCTGCCATTGGATGATCACGCGCGGCGCTCGTTCGGTGGTGCTCACCAGTCGATCTCCTCACGTTGACCCGCTGTGGCTAGAAGAGATGTCAGCCCTAGGTGCCCTTGTAACCGTCATGGCCATGGAAGTACTGCCCCAATCTTGGACTCTATGTATCACTGACAGACCCAGGGACGTGGCGGATCCCTCCTCGGTCGCCCTCGCACATAAACACGTTCAAACCCACCTGCCGCCGGTTGGTGGTGTCGTAAATGGCGCCCTAATGATGGGGGACGCTGCCTTCGCCGATCTGACGCTGACAGACATGCTCAGGATCTTCGCCCCCAAATTAGAGGGTACTCATCTTCTTGATGATCTCTACGGCGGCGTTGACCTCGATTTCTTCCTGCTGATGGGCTCGCTGACGGGCCCCTGTGGTATTTTCCATCAGACAGCCTATGCGGCCGCTACTGAGTACATGGCTGCCCTTGTGCACCAGCGGCACCTCCGTGGACAAGCCGCCAGCATTGTCCATCCCTCCCAAATCCGTGGAGTAGGGTACATTGCCGGGCTGGATGAGTCCCTGCGTGACAGGCTTGAACAGGGAATCGGCCCCCTGTGCCTTTCTGAACGCGACCTGCTAGAATTAGTCGCCGAGGGCATTCTTTCTGGCCGACCTGGCTCGGCACGCTCACCGGAAGCCCTGGGAGGCTTTCGCATGACGGATCCAAATGGATACCCTGATGTGCGATGGTACCGCAGCCCCAAGATGTGGTCGTTCATCAAGCATTTCTGTCAGTCGGAAGTCACGACGACAGCGCATACTGAGGTTACCTTGCGTGATCAGCTGCTGACCACCGCCAATATGCCGGAGGCCACCGAGATCATCGCTCACGGTCTGTGTGAGAAGCTACGGCGGAAGCTGTTGCTCCCCGACCATACCCCGCTACCGACGACGGGGCTCCTGACCAACATCGGTGTCGACTCACTCATCGCCGTGGATCTGCGCACTTGGTTCATCAAGGAAATGGGAGTAGATATGCCAGTGTTGCAGCTGCTAGGGGGGTCCTCACTGGAGGTTCTGGCGGCCACTGCGGCCAACTAGCTGGAGCATAGTTTGGTTCCGTTGGTACACGCTGAACCGCTGACCCAGTAGATCCTCGATGGAACCCGCGTTGTCCACTGCTCTTAGCTGAGATATAGTTAGTAGTCGGGTAGATATATCTAAATTGAAGAACATTGTGCTGGTCCACATAAAAGTTCTTATGGATAAACCTGGACCGACTGGCGCCAACTACGCTGAAGATTTGGAAGGATGATGTAATAGCCCAGTGATCACGTGAACCACGAACACCAACCGGTCCTCCACCTTCCATTGTGCCAAAGATCCATATATGACACAGTCATTGATGATGCCCGAGGTCTCCTCAGTCGGACGGCAGAAAGCCTCCCGCCCTACCGGGAGGCATAGGGCTTGCGATATCTGTTTCCAGAGGAAGGTAATCATTTGACCATGGACCGCTTTGAAGGATGAATCACGAAACATCACTAATGACCATTTGCGTGATTGATTATAGATCAAGTGTGACGCAGAATTTCCACAATGCAATTGGTGTAAGCACCATAGCCTCGCTTGCACATACAACCGAATAGTAGGAAGAATCAAATCAAGGTACGCAATAGGTTTTTGACCGTTTTCCTGTCAGAGTTTCATCATCTCGCCCCCGCAATAATATCTATTGGGCTATCTCTCACTCTGCCTGGTCCAACCCTCTCCAATTAACCACTAGTTACACAACCTCGCACTAACTAAATCCATCAGAAGCCATGTTAACTTGTCTTCTGTCGGCAACGTCACTCAATCAGAATCAAGTGGGTCTAGGTTATCTTCCTTAAAGGATGGTTCATATACTGCCAGCCTCTGTCTCAGCCCTCGGGGATGCTGATGCTTATATGAACAGGCATCTCTAGACCTCTCAATACATCATCAAATCCACCGCTGGGGACCCTCAGATTCACGGCCCCTCATAGAAGCCTAACATTCTTTAGTGGCATCCACTTAGTTTCCGATGAGGGTCTTGAATGGATCGAACATCAAACAGGAGAGACCGTCAACCGTGCAAAATTATGTGCTTTTGAACTTCCATGGGCAAACCCGCGTCGATTGCCCGACGATGCTACCATCTCCCCCTCCACCTCCATTGAACTACCCTGTCGAAGTATCGTTGAACTATATCTGATGCGGTTTATATCTTCATTCCAAAGCCTTGTTTTCCCCGTTATCAGCAAGTCCCTGTTCATGGGAACATTAGACCTTGCTTACGGTTCACGTGAAGTATTTGGACACGCAAGTGCTAAAGCTTGTGTCTACTCACTTCTTTCTTTAGTGAGTCTTTTTGGATTGGACATCAATGAGCATGGAGTCGTGGATTGTGGGTCCTATGTATCAGAAGCTCAACTTTTAGTGCCCCATATCATCCAAGAGATGACGGCCGATGGCCTCCAATCGCTGATAATGCTGGTGAGTTGGTCCTCTTCCCAAAACTTGTGATAGTCAACACCTTGTGCCTCGCGAAAAATGCAAAAGCAATTAACTTCTAACAAGGTGCTACTTCAATACCTTTTGGGTGATCTCCAGTCAGCTGCTGTTACTATATCAATTGCGACGCGCTTATTGTATAAACTTGGAGCCCATACCACTGTTAATTTGCCTCCATACAACAAAAGCTCTCTCGACTGTCATCTGCGGGACCTTTTCTGGGTCTGCTATTCTTTTGACAAGGATATCTGCCTTAGGACCGTCCAGCCACCATCAATTAATGACTCTGATTGCGATCTATCTTTGCCTTTGGAGTATGGTCGACTGCAGAACATCAACATGCACAGGGATGATATAACACCTGACGATCACACCCTTCCTTTATTTCCTTGGGATATTCGGCTCTCCATAATCAAATCGGAGACCTATCGAGATTTATACTCCACCAAAGCTTCATTCAAATCGCCCTCTGAGGTTCTCGAGGGCATTCGGCGTCTCGACGCTGTACTGGAGCAGTGGAGGCTATCGCTTGATCCGGATATTCGGCCAATGCTGTACTACACTCCGGATACACCTGTTACCACAGATCTGAACACACAGGGTGTTATCCTAAGGCTCTCGTATTACCACTGTGTATCCATGATCCACCAGGCAAGTGACCGACTTAACATCTCAGAACTTGGTGCCGGGATTGAATCAGAGGGGATACGTTCCTGCGTTCAAATCACAACCACTGCGAGTCGCTCAACATTTGCGCTGCTTCAGACCACACTACCCTCGCTAAAAGGCGAAAGTTTCTGGTGAGCTTCCGGTCTCTCTGTTTCATCAATGTCTCCCTAGTCGCTTACTGTTTCTTGTTCACCGGAAAGGGTAGTGCTTTTCTACATCGTTACAGCAGCTCAATGTCTATTTCGTAACATCCTCAGAGACCCTTTGCACTTTGATAGTTCTCAGGACGTCAACAGGTTGCATCAGGTTCCTGCTTTACTGGACAAAATCCCTATTCGACATCTGACTCCAGCCGAGATCATCCACTTGAAATTCTTGAATGGGTTTACTACGGAACTTGCAAGATTGGGCAGGTGTGCCATCTTGAAGGCGCAAAGGCAATCCACTGGCACTAGGAATCCATCTCCAGTGAACCAATAGACAATCTGTATAACCTGAGCTTCTCGAACACCATGCTGGACATCATAGGAACGCTCTAGGCTTGTTCAGAGTCTTCTTGTACAAGACTATCTCGAAGGTTTCCATATTTCGGCCAGTTTGGAAGCCCGCTGTCTTATGTAGTTTGTGCCTGTATCGCGCCTAGGTAGTGGCTCATACCCACTATTCTGCTCCAGATGACAGCCCATGGGTTGGTACTTCAGCACCGTATATATTTATACCGCATGATTATATTGACCTCCGCTTTCTGCTATTTTACAACCTATGACAGGCCTTATAGACATGGGAAACTAACTCCGTTCGACGCTGCGGTTCGTATACCCAAGACCCAGACCCTCACAGGATGCCCATCCATTTCACTTGCAGAACAGCAAAGAGGCAGCCCTTGCAGTAAGCCCCAGAAGGATCACTGAGCTGGTGGTGAAAAGAGCAAAGCGTCCATTTGGCTCATTGACCAAATTGTGGAACAGGCTGTGGGCAATCCGCATTCCCGTGTAGGACCACGCAAGCCGGTAGGTGTAGTCGTTGGTGTCACCCAGCAGGGTCAAGACAATCGCGATGGCGTAGAAGACTTGCGGCTGCTCGTGCAGGTTGTTGTAGTTATCGGCCTTGCGTTGGACCTTGAGCGGAATCTTGGTATGCTTGTCATGCTTGACTTTGTCCTCGTCAAAGCTGACGTTGTACTTGTAGATGGCAGGAATTCGAGTCGCATACATCCATGTCTACTTTGCTGTTAACATAAGGATCTCAGTCAGAGTGACTGGGAAGTTCAATTTACTTCTTGCACAAAGGTCCATCCTGCCAAGGCAACGAGTGGTTTGAGAAGCTGGGTGCCGTCCAGGCCGATAAGAGAAGACATGGTTGCTGTATGTAAACAATTGATTGAGGTAGGGGCAATCGGCAGACGAAAGGATGGGAAGTTTACTGGAGATTGATTGTTCTTATATAGAAGCCAACCAAGAAAAAAACAATCAATTGCAATGACGATGACATCAGGAGTACTACTATTTGTAAGCAATATCTTTGCCATACCATGATTCGGGCATTCCCCAACCGCGCATCCGTGGGGAGATGTCGCGATTTAACTCCGATAGTCCATTGCTCTGAGAACTTTTCTCCATGACTTCGTCCGAGTAGTAGTCCACTATAGATCGGGTTTCCGATTACTCATCGGGGATAGGGTAGTTTCGATTGGATGACCCACTGTATCCGAAGATCCGCTGAGGTTCCGCGATGCTTCAAGTCGACCTCGATGACCATGGAAGGTCCGAGAATGTGATGTTCCTTGAGTTGATAGGGAAAGCGTAGGATCGATGAACTGGGGCATCAGCTACACTTATTACAAATCGCGGAATTATCACAGATCACGGAGTTGTTATAAATCAAGGAATGAGTAGACCGACATCATATATAACGTGGGACACACATGGTACGTAGGTATAAAAATTTCTCGTGTTTTACTTCCGAAAAGATTTAAGACACTAAATTCTCTTTGAACTTGGGTGGTTATGATGATCTCTCAAAAGATACTTGTCATTGGTGCTGGGGAATTGGGGTTCCAAATACTGTCTGCTTTGGCTTCGCATCCTCGCCGGCCCGCCACAATCGCAGTTCTATTGCGCCCTAGCAGCATCGATTCTTCTAGCCCACCCAAACAACAGCAGAACGCAGCGCTGCGCCAGTTAGGCATAGATCTCGTCCCTGGAGATATTGTTGAAGGTTCCGTGCAAGACTTGGCTTCGATATTCGCGGAGTATGACACGGTGATTGGATGTGCGGGCTATGTCACAGGCCTCGGCGTCCAACCCAAGATCACCCGTGCCGCCCTCCTTGCTGAATTACCACGGTTCATCCCCTGGCAGTTTGGGGTGGACTTTGAGGTTATTGGACGAGGATCTCCTCAGGACCTCTTTGACGAGCAACTCGATGTGCGCGATATGCTACGGCCACAGGACAAAACTCAATGGGCAATTGTTTCCACGGGCATGTTCACGAGTTATCTTTTTGAGCCCTTCTTCGGGGTAGTCGATCTCGAAAACGGCTGTGTCAACGCACTGGGAAGCTTGGAAAATCAAGTCACTCTTACCACTCCAAAAGATATTGGACGGATCACGGCAGAAATTGTGTTGGGAAACGAGAATTCTTTCCGCAATGAGCCCATCTTCATTGGAGGGGATACCATCAGTTATGAAGAGCTTGCCCAGCTCATCGAAAGATTGACCGGAGTATCCATCACGAGAAATGTGCTCACTATGGAGAAGATCCAGACTGCATTGGCTTCAGACCCTCACAACCGACTGCTTAAATATCAGGCAATCTTTGGGCAGGGCCGCGGCGTGGCCTGGGATCTGGTGAGTACATGGAATCAGCAACGGGGGATACGAGCCGAGACAGCAGAGGAATGGGCTAGAATGAATTGGGCGGGTGCAAAGCTTTGATATTCGAATTTCGCGGACGACTATGACATCATGTTCCCTTTACATGGAACAGACCTGGCGCCCTATCTATTTATTATTATTTACTTTATTTTGGCCTCCGTGGCAGCCTTCGCCTGTCTAGACAATTAGACAAGGCCTGAAGAGGCAATTCAGGAGCCTGAGGCTCTAACACAAAAAATTGCCAAGACAAAGCAGAGAGAAAAATGATACTGGAAAAGAGAGGTTTCAGGGTGTTCAGGTGCTCAAGTGAACAGGCTGAAGAGGAGGAAGTGAAGACAGGCGCCATTTGCCACAAAATAGAAACGACATAAAAACATATAAATCTTCCTGGTGTCTGAAAAAGAAATGCAGAGGAAACAGTGCTATGGGTAGCCCTATGATATGTAAGCCACCCGCAAGTGGGATACCGATGGTAAACATTTTCATCTTTGGGGAATATTGTATGAACTAGCTAGTCGGCGTATACGTCCGAGTTGATACCGACATCCAAGCCTCAGTAATTTAGAGGACCAGGGTATCTCCGAGCAAGTAGGTGTTGGCGGGTGGGATACCGGGATACCTAAAGTCTTATACGGGTTCTTACATATCCTGCAAGCAAATACCAATGCTCTTATTATATGACTAATTCGAACCGGTATAAGGTCTTAATGAATCATACTACTTCTCCAGTGGGATACCGGCTGAGCAACTTTCAACTTTCTGCCTCGTTAATGAATGGCGAGGATTACTAACTTGCATATAAAAACCAAAGATGTTTGTAATCACTCATCTAGTCATGGAAAGTATTTAATCTGCCGGACGTACCTCTATATGCAGGATTGCATCATCTAATCAAGGTTTACCTTGAGCTTTCTTGCATAATACCTAGCTTCTGTTCTCCCGCAACCATGTCGCGTCCGAGTCTTACAGTCACCCATATCACCACGGCCACTGCCATTCTCAACATTGATGGCATTACTTTTCTCACGGATCCTTTTTTCGGGCCCGTCGAAGGGGCCGAGTACGAAAGCACAGCTACTTGGGAGAAAACGGACCTGAAACCATTTGGTTTGGACAGTATTCCACCACCACCACACTTGATCAACAAGCAAGGCCCTGCCCTCCAGTTACATGATCTGCCGCCGATCGACGCCATCCTTTTAAGCCACGAAGACCATATCGATAACTTGGATCCAGAGGGCCGCAAATTGCTGGATGGCCGGCAGGTGTTCACTACTATGGATGGTGCATCTAATCTGCGTCCTCGCCCTGGAGTTGTTGGTCTTCGCCCCTGGCAAACCGTGACTGCAAACATCGGAGGAAAGCTCTTTCGAATCACTGGGACCCCTTGCAAACACTTCCCAGGCGGGGAGGTTACAGGATTTGTTCTAGAGACTGATTCCTTCGGAATTGACGCCACTGGAAAGCGTAACGCAATCTACTTTTCCGGCGACACAGTCTACATCGACGAGCTCCGAGAGATTGGAAAGAGGTGGCATATCACAGCTGCTCTCCTGAACCTGGGGAACGCCACCTTCCACTTCCCAACTGGACCTATCCAGATTACAATGGACGGAAAACAGGCGGTTCAGCTTACCCGTGATATTGGTGCAGACGTCATGATCCCTATCCATTTTGAATCATGGGCCCATTTTACTGAGGACCGGAAAGACTTGATGAAGGTATTCAGTGAGGAAGGTTTCATGGAGAAAGTTGTGTGGACGGTTCCTGGTGTTCCTAAGCTTGTCTTTTAACGCTGTTCCCTGTATTTTCCACTTCATTTGCTCTTAAAAGACTCTGAAATGTCACGGTGTAATCTCCTCGTTACCCTATTCTTCAATCGCTTGTGTGCTTGTTGCCCCTTTGTGTAATCCACACATCTAGTTCTGCGCCATAATCGGCAGAATATCCGATTACGATTGTTCCTTTCCATTCTGCATAGACTGGAACAAAAACGATGTGTAAGCCAGTAGGAAAAGTATTGAGTTTACATAGTTCCGCAGTTGCCGCAGCTTTTATCATCAAGAAATGAATATTGTTCATTATACAATTTGCTGCGGCTAGGTCCATGTCACTACATGTCTGTGGAAATGTGCAGCATTGCAGGTTCTGAAGACCTCAGCGGTTGCAAGTAGCGCAAGTAATCTGCCTAGGTAGGTACTAGGTACCTAGGTACCTAGGTACTATACAATCTGCCACTTCCCCGCATTATTTCAAACTGCAGATCTTATAAGCTAACTCTTTCATCAGCAGATTACTGGATATGTCAGGCTGCGTCATTTGGCAGTTTAGGCACAGTTGCATTGGTTTTCCTCGTTACTTGGGCTTGGGGAGACATGACCATATCCGGTGCTAGACAGCTAGTGTGGCTACATGCATAATTGGCCCAGGTCAATATGAAAGTCGCCCAGACGCATGTCTATATATGTAGCAATCAACCATCGACAGATAGAGTAATCTACAGCCATCCCATATAACAACACGTGATACACCATCTTAGCCGGGGACTTATAACAGAGCCTGTATACGTTGACGTTGAGCTGATCACTTGAGTAGATACCTGTCTTCCCTTTGAGAAAACACAGTCAGTATTATCTGGAGACATGTTCGTCATCACTCCTCTCCTTCTCGCGATCTGCAAACCGCATTTGGATACAAACGTCTACCGGTAAAAGATAGACTGTTCCTTCTCCTGGGTATATCTCCTCACATCGGATCAGATTACAACAATGAAGTTCATAGCACAATCAGTGACCTGCACTTCATACACTGCAAGGCTGTCTCAGTGGTTCCACCTCATTTTGCCTTAAGATGTACACAGCTGCTGAATCCAGTGTCTCCAAGCAGTTTATTGATGCCGTCAAACACTTCTTGGACGAGGCAACAGATCGTGAACTAGAAGTATTGGCATCTCGTCTACAGCCCTACAGAATTGACGGTCATTCAAGCAACTCCAGTACAAGCCACCCCGTCCTCATCCTTAATGACATAGGATTTTCGTGAGTTTACATAAGAGAATGCGTCCATGTTTCTATAGCTGACTATATTCCCATCAGGGACCGGCTTCTACCAACTGTTCCAATCACCAACTTTGACACGGAACAAACCACACACACCGTACCCGATAGGGTTTCTGGATACATCGATGGATATAGCCAAGTTCCGCTCCAGGAGGGCAGCTCGACTGGAGTCCACCATAGCATTTTGGACACTGAACGACTTGGCCATCTACAGAGCCTTATGTCTAGTGTGCATGAAAGCGGTATGGGAGCCTCAAGTGGAATGAATGTGAGTCTAACCCTCTGTCGAGCAATACTCAACACCTACTAACCAAGAAGCTCTCTGAGGGACCAGCTGATGAGCATAATGTGCCTTTTCCAACGAACAGTGAAAGCTGCGCCACTATAAATTTGGATTCGCCCTTACTCCCACAAAGTGGTAAGTTATGGTTGTGCAACTATACAAATGCAGCTTGATAACAACCTACAATATCCACAGATCCCTGGCCTACTACATCCCCAGATGCTTCAATTTCCCTTTCTTATAGTGGCTATGGACGACCAGACTTCGCAAGCCGTCTTCCTTTCCAGTCAATCCCAACTCCTCCAGATAGTTGTTCCCAGTCTGCCGTTATGGCGCCTGCCGACAAAGTGATGTCCGACCCAAATTTTGGTCCTTTCCTTGATACCAACGATATCCCATCAACACAAAGCCTGTTTGAGAATATATCCTGCCTTACGCCGATATCGGATTCCCATAATCCAGCCAAGGAAGCCTTCGACTCGGCAAAAGCTATGTGCACTGGGTCACTGCCGCCCCGCATGCACTCAGTTGTGGTATCTGCGGTTCGGGAATGCGTCCGTCCTGACTACAGACAATACATGGTGGAACAAGTACCACGATGGGCGGAAAGGGGTCTGTGGCACCAAGAACAACGTCTGGTTCCTGCTGGAAGCACCGCTAGCTACGATGGTTTGATTCGACTTTACTATTACGTCTGCCAACTCGATCAGCAGATGGCGGATGACGATATTCGTAAACGCGCGAGCTTGGTTCTCCTCCATCATCAGTATGAAGAGCTATCCAGTCACAAGGCCTCTATTGAAGATTTTGATGGCCGGTCCGGATTGACTGGGCCTGGTAGGGGCCACGCGTCGGTTGCAGTGGACAGGCTTCTGTCCAACATATATCCCGAGTGGAACACATGCCACGCAAAGCATAAAACGGCTCTTCGAACCACTTTCCATAACCGTAAACGGTATGGGAAGCGGTGGTCGATACTAGTCAATTGCCTTGGCCCTGGTATTTTGTTTATTTGTTCTTCCAGATTGATAGGGATTGTGTATGTCTTTTCTTCTTTTTCAACTACAGTGCCCACAATCGTGCTAACCATAGTGTGCAGGACGAATACTAAGATCACTATGGAGACTCTTAAGATCATAGGAAACGCAGTCTCAAATGTTCGAAGTGACGTGCAAAGCGCCCTTCATGTCATCAACCCAATCTCAAGAGACTTAATCTTTGATAGTGGATTTGATTGTCATGCAGTAGAGGGCATTATTCGTGACCTTCAGTGAGAGCAGGACTAGGATATAGAGCGATATTGACTCATATGTACATGATCAATTACATACATCGGATCAACCCGTTAACACGCATCAACTGTGTCAAGTAACATCCCAGACAGCCGCATTGTTGGCATGTCGTCCAGACCAATGCATTCTTCCCAGTGTATAAAGTCTTTCCAATTCCCCTCAATCCCATCTGCCCCAACTTTCCACGTCCCGTCTTCTACCATTTCGATCCATTTCCGAAGGACCCAGTGGAGACGAGCCGGATGGCGTGGCCAGTAAGGCGACTCCAAAGGGATGATCTGCCACACTCTTTCGTAGCGGGGAAGTTCATTGGAATCGTCAATCGGACCGGACCAGGAGCCATAGCCTTCGGACATGGGTAATATCAAGCCAACGGCATCCTGCCAGCCACGTTCCTTGGTAGTGGAGAGGCCGGCCTGGAGGTTATCCCCTAAAGGGAACAGCACGGTAGGAATCACTTTCATAAATCCATCTTGTTCGGATGTAAAAGACTGCTCCTCTTCTTGAAATCGCTCCTGTTGTCGCGCGGCTAGACCCAACATCTGCCAGGCTGAAGGAAAGACAAGACTTGGAGCAACGTTCCGAAATGCCGGTATGCGAGCTCGACCGAAGAAGGTCTCGGCAAACCCCTTGAATGCGGGCCGACTTTCAGCAAGCTGTAGAGGAGTCCTAAGAGAGGGAAGTTTGCTCTCCACGAGAGAAACATACTGGTCCCAGGTGGTAAGCGTCTCTTCCACATCCTGCATAGGCGGATAGACCAAATCCCATCCTTGCATTAATCCGCCTGTTGGTGCCCACTCCTCATTACCTCGAGGGGTACACCGTCCACGGCGGAGACCCCACAAGAAACTATTCTACATCTCCCGATGTAGCAAGGAAAAACTTATTGAAACAAGTTTTTGTGTGTTAGAACATCTGCGAGTTCTAGGTACCTTGACCATTTCGGGAATCTAACAGGAAGCCCGTTCCTTGAGCCACATCAACGAAACTCGCAAATTTAGCCCGACACTGGAACTCCATAATCGCCTTTATGCTTTAGATACTAACCTGGAGACCCGCTTATGGTGTAAGCGCGGTCTGGCCGCCTTTTTTTGGTATAAAATCGGCCAAGTCCTTTCCCAGAGATCGACAACTCGCCACTGGAACGTCCCAATTGACATACTTGATTCATATCAAGTCTAATCCCCACGAAATTCCACACAATGCCCACCGAAACTATCCCCGGAACAAACCGGCCAGCGGCCTTCAAACTGCCCGATCCAGGTAGCTTGGGCTTGGACCAGGAGCCTCCTATTGCGTCTGGCCGCCTTGTCTACAACACCGATGATGCTTCCACTCTCGAACGGTTCAAGATCCGAGAACTGAGCGAAGGGTGGCCTATGCACCGTGATGCGTGTGAATGGACTGATCTGCGGGCGATTTTTGATCCCCGGGCGTTTCTCAACATTTGCTGGCTTCAGCTGCATCGCGACGATGCTATCAACAAGTGGACCAACGGTTGGAAGAACGGCGAGTACATCACACATCGGGTACTGGGCCACGCAGTGGAGATCAAAGGCGATCGTGCTATCAACAAGATGAAGGTCACCATTTCATGGAGGTTTTCTGACGAAGACGGGGTGGAGTGGGATTGCGATTGGTAAATATGTGATTCTCCAATGCGTTCGCTCGAAGACTTCGCTGATTCCGGCAGTGACGTTCGTTTCGTGCTTTTCTTGGGAAAGCAACCTCAAGGCTGGCAGATCTTTTGCAACCATCCCATTTACGAAAAGGACAAAATTGTGCCGGTCAATCCGTCTCGTATCCCAAAGATCGATCCTGAGGCTGTGGCAAAAGAGCCCAAGGGATATCGATATCTCGCGTATAGCATACGCCGCCTGGGATATCCTATCAAGACAAATCTACCCCAGCTCTATGGCCGCGAACGGGACCTAGTGTATCAAGAGATGGTTGACTGGCTCGATGGTAAGGAGATTGATTTCTCCGCAGATGAGTTTTAGCACAAGCATGCTGGAAAGCGTCCACCGTTCGTCCTTCTTTGGATGGACTAGGGAATATTGTCGTTTTTTTATCCAAGGTACGCCGAGGCTGTATGTGAGGACATTGAAATCAGCGTCAATTGGCGGTCTGTTTTCGGATTTCAGGTTTGCTGTAATATCTCTAAGGAAACTACCGTGGAAGGCTGTTAGTAAGACCAACTAATCTCTATAGACAACCGATTCTATCTAGTGTGAACCAATGCTTAGCGAGTCCTTTAGCTCGTGGATCGTAGATGAACGGTCAGATACGACCAGGCTGACTTTATACTGCTAAGTGTGGAGGCAAGATGATAACAATTTGCATACTCTGCAGGGTCAGGTCGACAATACTAGGGAGAAGTATGTTATTAGTGACCCCTTAAGCACTCAATAGGATACCGTGGTTGGCTGAACACGCAGGATATTAAAGCAGCTGGAAACATGCGGATATGCAGATCTTGCATGACCAAGTACTCCCATTCTTGACTTACATCTCCGGTCACGGATGGGACCAAGAGAAGCATCCCGATACTAATATGTGCTGCGTTTCTATACTCTGACCTACTTTTATCTAACACAGATCAGCTATGGCTAGCTGACCCCGTCGAAGGCGTCGTCGACTGAGAAAGTTAAAGCCTACGCGGAGCTAAAAGGCGCGCAGAAGCAGACCCAGTATACTCCCTGAATTGCGGTGATCGAAGGCGGCCTAGTAGGTATATAATGGACAGCAGCCTCATTTGAAATTATTTAAGATACTTGCTCCGGCAGCCATTTTCCAACTATTTAATAGATATTAGTTTGCTTAGATCTGCGGCTCGCAGGTCTATCTAATATTAGTCGGTGTATCCTTGCCCTAGAAAGTGTTACTAAGATAAATGGCTTTTGAATAATATACGCCGCCTGCGCCTAGCCCATGTAGTTGGATTAAAGATTCTGTTAATAGTGCACTATCATACCGAGGAAGTAGCATTGATATGCAAGATCGCAAATACGGTCTCTGGGTTTGACAGACTTTCTAGCAGACCGTTATGCAAACCACTCCCACAACAGAAAGTCTTCTTAAAGAGTCATGTGCATGGGGGCCTGAATTGAAGTAGTTTTTGAACATACTTTCCTGTTCTACTGGATCATTGGGAATGAGGCTGCCTTGTTGATAGCTAGTAAGAGCCAAGCAGTTTACTCTACAGGAAAGGTACACTTGAGGATTATAGGTATCATGTAATACAAGACAGATGATACCAACTTACCTCTGCTTCAATTGACCTGCAGTGAGCCTATCAAACATTACAGCCCTTTGGATTATTCATATGGTGACGATGATTCCTTCCTGATGTTTCGTAGAATAATATCAACAAAATCCCGCTGATCGAGATTGCCACTACGGCCATTCCCTAAAGAGAATTCATGAGTCACGACTACTTGGTTCTACTTTGTAGATTGCACCTTCAGCAAATAGGTCGTATAATATTCTACAAACGTTGAGGCTTTCCTGACTGCCAGGGAAAGCTATATTAAAGCCGACTTTCCTGACGACCCCTGGAGGTCCTAGCCATAAGCGTTCACGGCCGTTCGAGTTCTAACTGCTTAGATTACCATCTCCTTATCTCCAGTCAAAGAAAAAGCCAGCTAGCTTACACCATGTCGATTCCTAGAGAGTGCACTGTGTTGGTAGTGGGCGGCGGACCCGCTGGGTCGTATGCTGCTTCGGTCCTTGCCCGCGAAGGCATCGACACGGTCGTTTTGGAGGCAGATACATTCCCCAGGTAAGAACAAGAATAGCTGGCGGGAGATTACCTAGTAGAGTGGTGATTCTAAGCCGGATCATAGATATCACATCGGCGAAAGCTTGCTACCATCTATGAGATATTTCCTCGATCATATTGATCTATACTCCAAGTTCGACAGTCACGGTTTCCAGAAAAAGGTATGAGCAACGCACTTGAGCTTGCGCATCATGTATACAGAATTAACATGATGGCTTCAATATACAGAAAGGGGCCGCATTCAAATTTCTGTCGACTTTGCCCAGTGACGAGTGTAGGTAGTGACTGTCGACGAAACATTTATCTATACTCACTCCGACTAGATACCGATTTTATCGCCTCCGGTGGAGCTGGCCATCATGCCTGGAATGTCGTCCGCTCGGAGGCAGATAACATCCTGTTCGAGCATGCCGGCGACAGCGGCGCAAAGGTTTTTGACGGTGTTAAAGTGAACACGGTCCAATTCGCACACCAGCACACCACAGAGGGCTTCTCAGTCCATGACGAAGACCAAGTCGGTCGCCCAGATTCTGCTTCCTGGTCACGCAAGGACGGTAGCACCGGAGATGTTCGATTCGAGTATCTTGTTGATGCGTCTGGGCGAGCAGGCCTACTTGCGACCCGATATATGAAAATCCGTCATTACAACCAAGGTCTCAAGAGTACCGCCACCTGGGGTTATTGGGAGGGTGCTGGAAAATACGGCGAGGGAACCCATCGCGAAGGAGATCCTTACTTTGAGGCGATTAAAGGTAATGCTGAGACGTCTTCCCTCAGGAGTATACCGCTGACGGGACAACAGATGGAAGCGGGTGGGTGTGGTTTATCCCACTGCACAACAACACGACATCAGTTGGAGTCGTCATAAGGCAAGACCGTCTTGCTTCCAGGAAGCGAGCGAAGTCTAGTGCCGAATTCTACCAACAAGCCGTGGAGGACACTCCCGGAATTGCCCGACTCCTCCAGAATGCACGTCTCACGTCTGAGCTCAAGTCCGCATCTGACTGGTCGTATCATGCCTCCGCCTATGCCGGGCCATTCTTCCGCATCTGTGGTGATGCGGGCTGCTTCATTGACCCGCTCTTTTCATCCGGTGTGCATCTTGCAATTGCCAGCGGTCTCTCGGCAGCCGTAACGATCTGTGCCGCACGAAAAGGAGACTGTAGCGAGGCGGAGGCAGGCAATTGGCACACGCGGAAGGTTGCTGAAGGATATACTCGATTCCTGCTGATAGTGACTAGTGCTCTGAGACAGATTTATGGAACCGAGGAGCATGTGCTGAATGAGCTCGGCGAGAGTGACTTTACCCGAGCTTTCGAGAATTTCAAACCGAGTAAGTCATTCAGTATGCCATCGCTGTTATCAACAGCTCTGCTAACTAAAGTAAAATGCAGTCATTCAAGGTCATGTCGATCTTGAAGGCAAACTAAACCAGGAAGAGATTGATAGAGCTGTGGAGTTCTGCGTTCATGTGCTGCAAAAGGCAGACCAGTTCGGTGGGCCAGCCCTGGAATCGGCAAGAGAACTGGGAATAGTTCACAAAGGCTTTGCTGGAGGCGTCGGCAAGGAGAAAGTCGGTGGTGAAACGCTGAAGAAGATTGTTCACATGGCCCGTGGTGGTAACAGTGTCGACGAGTTCAGGACGGACGTGATCAACGGAATGGCCCCGAACATAAGCCGTGGAAGACTCGGTCTTGTCAAGGTCGATACAGCATGACTCTGGTCTGATGATTGAGAGAATTGATGGAAGATCATGATCTCGAGGTCTTACTAGGATTCTGGTCTCTTTCCCGAGGTGGCTTCTATCGTCTCATCTTATTACTCAACATTACAGCAGGGGGTCATGCAGTTTTCGCTCTTTTTTCGACTAAGTATATAGGCACCAGAACGTATCTCAAGCCTCACGGATGTTGCCCGGTTTAGCAATGACAAACACACTTCTTCTCCTAGGCAAGCCTTCTAGATATCTGTATCATGATATCGCCATACCCCGTTGTCCACGGTGTCTACATCACTTTCGCTGTAAGATACAAAGACAGTATAAGTCAGATGAAAGGATATTCTCGCGGAACACCAACTTTTACCTCATGCCTTTTTATATCCACCAGCTTTCAAAGCATTATCGCACACGCGTGTCACTCCCAGAAGATACTCTTCGGTTAGTCGCCGGCTCACAAGCTGTATTGCGACAGGAGCATCCAGTAAGCGCGCGGGCGGATCTGCAGCCATTTCAACACTAGAGACATTCAGTGTCAAACGTATTGTAGCTTACATTCATTCCAAACCTGTGCCTCAACAGTTTTTCGGCAATTGTACTGAGGCTTCGGGATGTCAGCGGCCATCACTTTGGTGACCGGAACAGTCGTTGCGCAGTAATCGAGAACGTTCCAGAGGCTGGTATAGTTGTCATAAGAGTATCTATATTTTCTCACAAGCTGGCCATGGGGAACATGGCTTGGATAGAGCGTCCATCTCTCGGCCGGTCCGAGTCCTCGTTTTTTGTAGCCGCCCACGCCTGCAGCATCCGCCGGGTGTATTCAGCCCGCTTGACCTGAGCTTCCTAAAAGATCGGATACTGTGCTGCCACCTTTAAGATCATGGCTTACTATATCCTGAAGGATTACCATTCCCTGCGGTCAGGGCTGTTGGGTCTCGGAAAGTTTTCGGTTCACTATCTCCGCAGCAGCAGAGCAGTAGAGGGCTGGTTTCAGGTCATCAACATAGAGAGGGCTATGGCTGTGCACTCGGCATTAGATTTGGAACAAGAATGACGGTTCAAAGTATTCTTACATATGGAAAGGTATGACTGAATGACAGGCTGCTTCCAATACGGTCTTCGTTTGAAGCAAAGCACAGGTGACAGGAGATGAAGGCTTTCGACGGCCCGTCGGTGTTTACTGTTTTTCTAATCAAGACAACATGTAAGCTGTAGGATGACAAGCTGGGCACTCGAAGTATAGACGACTTAAGGAGAGAGGACCGAACCTCTATAGTTCGTGTGAGGGAGACTGTGTTCCAGGAAATGCAGAGACGACGTAGCTGCCTGGGACCGTGGCGTGTTCGGGTAGTCGCTGAGACCGTTTCGACCAAGAACGAGTTGCTTCTCGATATCTGTTGGGGACTCTCACATCCTCCATCGATCCTTTTCCGAAGAGCCAGCCAAGGTCGTCTCCGGTCATGGAATCTACCTCTTATTAGAGAATGGAAAGCAGGTCATTGATGCCGCCTGTGGCCCTTCCGTATCCTGTCTAGGCCATTCCCAGCCGGAAATCACCGATGCCATCACAGGCCACCTGAAGAATAACATCGCCTACGTCTACTCCGGCTCGCCGTATACGAATGAGGCGACGGAGGTACTTGCGCGGATGCTTCTGTCCCACCGACCCGGCGGCCTGTCGAAAGCCATCTTCGTCAATTCGGGAAGCGAGGCAACAGATGCCGCGCTCAAGTTGGCTGTGCAGTACTGGCACGAGCAAGGCCAGCCGCAGCGGACACATTTCATTGCGCGCAAGCAGAGCTATCATGGGAACACGATCGGTGCGCTCTGTGTGTCTGGTCATGAATCTCGGAGAGCATTCTATAAGGATTTCATGTCGTCCAATGTCTCCTTTCTGGACCCATGTTATGCCTATCGGATGAAGGGTGACAATGAGTCAGATGAGGTGTTTGCCCAATGGCTTGCTCGGCAGTTCGAAGATGAGATTCTGCGTGTTGGGCCTGAACGGGTCGCTGGTTTTGTAGCGGAAACTGTCAGCGGGACTACTCTGGGGTGCTTGCCTGCGGTGCCTGGATATTTTAGAGCGGTTCGAGAGATATGCGATAGGTATAGCATTTTGTTAATCCTCGACGAGGTAAGCACATTTCTTGCTTGAAATATGCCATTCTCGACACAACCACTGACTTTTGAGCCTGCCTGCAGATCATCTGCGGTATGGGCAAGACCGGAACAATGCATGCATGGGAGCAGGAGGATATTCGCGGACCGGATATCCAGACCATCGGCAAGGCCCTGGGAGCTGGGTTCGTCCCGCTTCCCGGGGTGTTGCTTCACCAGAAGATCTTTGATGTGCTGGCCGCTGGCTCGGGGGGTTGGCACACGGCCATGCATTCCAGGTACTATCTTTCTTCGAGTCGATTGATCGATCATGTTGAGGGTTGATGCTGATCCATTGTCTGCTCCAGGCTCATCCCCTTGCTTGTGCGGCTGCTATCGCGGCGCAAAAGATCATACAGCGCGGTGGTTTGATTGAGCGCACTGCAACCATGGGAAAGAAACTTGAAGCCCTGCTGCGGACGCAGATAGGTCCTCTTCCCCTTGTCGGTGATAGTCGTGGCCGAGGGTTGTTCTGGGCCGTCGAATTTGTCCGGGACAAACGCCTCAAGGCGGCATTCCCACCGGAAACTAGCTTCTGCAACCAGGTCGTAAAGCGTAGCTTGGCTTTGGGACTGAATATTATTGGGAATCTCGGCCATACAGGCAAATTTCAGGTTGACCATGTGCTGGTTTGTCCTCCTTACATTGTGACGGACGGTGAACTTGACGAGATCGTATCACTTCTCAAGACGGCGATTACCAAGGCAAGCCAGGGCTTTCTGGATGGGACGAAGGTACAGAGTAAGGTCGAGGTAGCTGAGATCAGCGTCGTCAGCCGGTGATCCTGTGCAATTGTCTTATATAGATTGAGTGAATGACTGCGTTTTATTGTTCCATCGTGTATAGATCGTAGATGCATCTAGATCACCTCGACGGACGCTAACGTCAAGCGAGATTGCACCGCCTCTTTTGAGTCACCACAAGTCAACTCGAACACAATCCCCTCGAACTTGACATGTTACGGATCTTCTGAACATGATGCTGGACCTGACAGAAGAGTCGCTGTATGAGCAGCCCGGGGATATCTCCACGATGGCTCTGGACGACATATATCGCCAACTACACCACCTCGACAACTTGGAGCAATCCCTGACCCCTCGACCAAAACCCCAGGATTCAGATGAAGAAGATGAATACGAGGACGAGGAATATGGGGAGAAGGCCAGCCCAGTAGAAGAGGACCCCGAAACAGCTCGGACAAAACAAATCCTCCACGACCTGCACGCGCGACAGGCCGCGCTGCGAGACCAGGCAATGACTCTCTCCCGGCCCAATATCCGGGCCCTCGCTCTGCTCGATCTGCCCAACGATCTCCTCTGCAAGGTGCTGGACTACTTTCGAGATTCAAGGACAGATCGCGGCTGGATCAAGCGGCATCATACGAGGTCGCCTGACAACCAAATCTGCCACCGCACCATCCAGAGCGCCCGTCTGGTCTGCCGACTCTTCAACGACCTCGCAACGCCGCTACTCTGTCCGATCCTGCGCGTCAACCTGGACCAGGAGTCCCTTGACCGCGCAACGAAGCTATCTCGCTCTCCTAGAGTGGCGGCTGGAATTCGTGCCGTCCTTGTCGATGTGCGGTACTGTCCGCAAGAGCTCGCGGTTGATCTGGCCAGGTTCAGGAAATTCCGTCGCGAACAGTTAGGCGAGATCGAAAGCTACTGCGACTGGGTGGTTGAAGGAGCTGCGCTGGCAAGCTCCGATGGCGAAGTAGTCACAGGGGGACCGCCGACTAAGTATGAACAGGCGATGGACTGCTACAGGGATATCGTACAGGCATGGCACGCCTACGCCAATGATGACAGCAGTGATTGTGATCGAGTCGCAGGGCCGTCTAGGAAAGCAGTCATCTACCAGGACATCCTCACGCAGGCCCACGAGATCTTCCGCCAAAGGCACCAAGAGCAGCTGCAGCTACTCGAGTCCCAATCCTATGTGCGCACTCTCGCGGCGTGCATCACCATGATGCCCAACATCATATCTCTCGCCTTCACGGACAAAGACCACCCTGCCGTATCCTACAAGACCAAACCAGAGATCCTGTGGGACAACACGCTCCTCGCAGAGTTTATGACGACAAGCATCCAGTGGACCCAGATAGAGGACCTCCCGGATTGTGCACTCGTCCCAGCCCGTCTTCTCTGCGATCTGCCCATCGCCATCCATCGCTCTGGCGTCACCCTGCGCGATCTCTTCATCGGCCCGTTTCCGCTTCTACGTGATTTCGCGCTCCTTGCGCCGGATGCCCAGGAGGTCCCCACGGTATGGACTGATCTCCGCGCCGCCTGTCGCTCCCTCCGTCGAGCCAGTTTCGGCGAGCAGCTCAACATCCAAAAGATCCGACACGACCATCTCGTCCCCGACGACAAACGCTATGTCGACGAGTATATTAGCGCGCTGCTGTCGAGCCCAGACCTCGAGGACGTCTGCCTCCGCATGTACCCCTTCTCCCTGGATGACGGCTGGGATACGAAGCACGGGATGTACGATATCAGCTCTGTCCTTGCCGCCGCGCGCTGGCCGCGCATCCGCCGCGTGTCTATCATTTCGCTTTCCCTGACACAGGAGGCTCTCGATGCCTTCTGCGCGGGTCTGCCCCAGAGCACCATGGACTACCTACACCTTGTGCTAAACCTTCTCGCCGGTAGCTGGGCCCCGGCCCTCGATGCACTCCGCGCAAAGCTGCGTCCGCAGGCCACGGTCTACTTTCGCGCCCCAACGGGAGGCGAGTTCGAAGCTCTCGGTGCGCACAAACGAGTGCGCACCTCTGACTGGCTGTTCAATCCAAACTTCAAATACCCCGAGACGCCAACGTTGGTGAGGCAGGCGGCGGCGTATCTCGCTGGTGCTGACATGGTTAATCCGCTCTGCTATAGCTGATCGCAAGTATCGCGATGTATCTTCTCTAATCCACTTAGATATTAAACACTACATTATATAATTATTTGTATATAATTTATCAGCTATAGATCTGCATGAAAATTTCTTCTGCGCATCATGACAGGACATGATTCATGAAGGGTGGCATATGGCATCCGGTTGATGCCTGACTGAACCCTTCGTAGGGAACGAAGAGCCATCCATCTTGGACAACACCAAGCAATGACACCCACGGGCGACCAGCTGGTACCGCACGATTGGATTCTGCTTACACCGCTCTATTGTTCGCAAATCTTTGTTGCGGATGTTGTGCGCAGCCTTGCAGACCGTCTGCATGCAATGATTTGACACACATGAACTGATACACCCCTGCTCGATGGCCCGATTAGGTATGCAACCTGCTTCCTCGAGCTTCATCTCCCTATCCCACCACCCAGCCCAACTCGCACAGAGGTACGTGGCTCGCGTCGATCGTTGAATCGATCCTCCATGCATCTGGCACAGTCGCGGCGCTGGTGACAGAAAGGAAAACACGTCAGATAAATGAAAGGTAGGGTATGAGGCCACTGCCGCATAAATAGGCGATACCTCCCAACTGTCCAATTCAATTCGCAGCATCTCGAGAAAGCAGTGTCTTCACCACAGCCTCGTGTGTCCAAATTCTCCATTTCTTGTTTGGCCGTCCAGGTTGGCATATTTCGACTTCACAAAATGGGATCCCACATCGGAAGAGACACGGATGTGATGCAGCAGTCCATGAAAGAGTCCAGGAGGGACTTCGGCCGATATGAGAGCCTCGCGCAGAAAGCTTCCGAAATCTGCGCCAAGGCAGTCCGTGACGGTGGCGTTCTATGCATGACAGCCTGCCAGGTCCAGTGTCCCAGCACACTGGAAGCGAAATTGCAGCAGAAGGCGCCCCTCTTGCCTTATCGGGCTGTGCAGGAAATCGAAGATGAGATGGTCGGTTTGGCCAGCGTCTGTGTTGCGGTGTATATCCCTCGCCAGCAGGCACAAGCCGGTCGACTCATCAAACCATGTTTCAACGTCATCGGAGGAGTCAACTCCCCTGAAGAGCCACCCAAGGATGCGGACGGGGATAGGATGCCGCGGGGGTTCCCGCGCGGCGCGGACTATTATTATGTCCATCTTAAGCCCGAGGATGGGCCAGCAGGGTTGATTGAGATTCAGGTCGTCTCCCTGTTACGCCACGTCTGTGCAGAGGTCGGTTGTGACCTGGAGAGCGAGATGGATGCAAGCGAGGTGGAGCACCAGATTCTGGCCGGGCTCAGTGGCACTATCGCTGCGAGCGAAGGCTTCCTGGATCAACTGCACGAGCGCCGAACATCCGGCCGACCGTTCCAATCAGTCTATCATCTGGGATCATGCCTGTTCCAGTGGATGCAGGCCCGGTCCGGCGCCGCACGCGACGATCTGGGAGACGTCGAGTTACTCTGGCAGGTGCTGAGGATCATGGACATGAACGACCGGTCCCGGCTCAGGGGTTTGCTCGGCGAAGCCCGCCTTCCTCTGCCTTCAGCCACTGGCGGAAAACAGGGCAAAATGGCCATCTCCAGCTATCTCTCGGAACAGATCATCCGCTCGCCCCGGGGGCAGAGGGAGATCGTGGCCCAGTTCGAGGCCCGCGGTGGAAATGAACCGCGGTGCAGGCTGCAGGTCATCATTAACACCTTCGCCCTCCTCGGGCACCTGCTACCTTTTCCCGCCTGGGTTACGCCGGTCATGAATCTAGACGGTGGGACCTTGGACGGGCGCAAACACATCCTGGCCTGGCTCGACTGGCTCGACTCGGAGGATCCGAAAAACTTTTACGAGTATGGGATGCCGCTGCAGCATCCGGAGACTATTGATCGGCTATGGGGCTGCCTGGAGCGACACGCGGAAGCTCATGATAAGAGCCCTGTTGGTTTTGCCTTCAGTCTATCCAAATTGGGCGTCGTGAAGAACGGGCGGGCCGTGGACTGGGAAGGCCTCACCTCCGCCGTTGGGCGTTTGATCGCCTGTGAAGACATATAGTTCTACAGCGTGTCCGTTATGTACTGGGGTCATTGGCCTTTCCAGGCCCCGCCCGGCATTCGGAGGGATGTACAGAGTATGGTCTTTTTCTTTGTATGAATCAGACGATCTTTTCTTTCCTGTCCTTGCTCTTTACAACGCACCAGTCAACATTAACCCAATTGAGCCTCGAGCCCTCGAGGCTCGAGCGCACTAGTGTATTTCGTCAAGCTTGCTGTTGATCAATAGAACCAAGAAATATATGAAACACCCCCCGAGCCGATGCCTGCCACACATCCGGGGAGCGCTTCCGTAGCAAAAGCAAATACAGGCATTATTTTCGCTTCGGTGAGTGCAAAGTCCGACGAAGGCTTCTCGCCTCCAGCCACAATCCAACAAAAGTCCACTTTTGCCCTAGGCAAAGTCCCAGTCAGTACTTCTGTTTCAGGGGCTAACTAGGCAGCACCGGGTCATTGCCTGGGCCCAGCGCTTGTTTCGTCGAGGCATCCGGCTGCGATTCGGGTGCCAGTAGCAGTGGATACGACAGGGTATCTGGCTAGGAAATCCCAGGCCTTGCAAAGGGACTATCTTCCTGGCCAAACTCTCCAGTAATATCACGCTTTGGTATTGGCCAGCATCTCTGAAATATAGCATAGGAAACAAGTCGTAGGATGCACCAAGTCAGGCGACTGTCTGGTGTGAGGGACGGATGTCAACTAGATAGAGGTGACCCAGCAATCTGGTCCTGCATGCATGCACGAAGAACGGGTTGAGGATGAGGAAGCCGGACTGTCGGCTGCAGGATAGCTTGCTGCCGGTTCCCTGCACTGTCATGACTGGATCAGCACAAATGGCGGTGTCTAAGAAAAAGCAAGTTAGTCGTTTAATTTCCGAGTTCGTCTGAACTCGTGGTCGATGCATCCAGATACTGAGGGTACAGAACGTACCCGACCTCGTACGGGGTACCGTAGGAAATAATGAATAAATACCTCTTTCGTAGGATGACCGGATGACAACTCGCAGTCCTGGGAGGATTTAAGGAGATTCGTCTCCCTCGCTTCTTGATCATTCTCTCGTTGTCTCCGTCTGTATATATCTATACATCCCGAGACCAATCAGCATCGTCCTCGTCAACGGTCATGAGCGTGCTCAAGAAACGCGAGTCTCAGTCGCTTTCCGGTATGGGCACACTCACTCTTGATGCACCAGAGCTAACCTATTAGAAAGCCCCCTTAGGCTACGGCGCTCAGGTCGCCGCCGCGCTGGACAACCTGGAAAACAACCTCGCTGCGTACGGCGCACACGAACTCGACCGGTTACAACGGGCCCGCCATCTCGTCGAGCAAACAGGCCTTCGCGGGTATAAGAAGAGGGCGGAAATCATCAACTTGATGCGGTTCACGTACCAGAAAAGCATTGATGATGAGTGGTTGCATTACCGGACGAACAGGAAGCTCGAGAAGTGGTATGGTGGTCATGGTCCCGATGGAGAGAACTTGGCTAACTATGTCCACTGCTTGCCTCCAGAATTTCTATCTCAGTTCTCCCTGATATGAGTGTCGAGTATTTGTTGTGTCTGTTACGGTGGGAGACAAGTCAGATGGATATGGTGCTTTCATGCCCATGCTGCACTATCAAAAGTTATTCCTTCTTTTAAATCATTGGGGTTCTCCAACCCTGCCTAATATTGTTAGAAGCTGTCCTTTATTATATATACACAGAGTTCTGCGCTTGTGGTAGTGCTAGAAGCAGACTGGACAATCGTCTGGGATAGAGTATACGTTGTTTACATATTTACATATTCCTCTGCCAGTCATCGGAGGTATTTCCTTGCAATGCATTGATATTTGACACACGATACTCATAGTTAGGGCTATCAACTGATCCATGTGGATGGTTTGTACCGATGCAATTGTACTCTCCCATGTAAGATATATACCCGGCGCCAAACCTCCCATGTCCAGGTTGGCTCCGTAGTCTTTGTTCAGGCGACAATCTCCAATTCCGAGATCCTGTCCTTCGCATAAACGTCCTTCCACTGGTCCCACAAGCTCTCCAGCTCTCGCACGTACTCGGCATGGAGACGGTCAATATATTCATCGTCGATCTTGTCCCTGTCTTGCTGCCGAACAACCTGAATAGGACGACCAACAACGATGTTCAGAGGCCGACGGTACGGCATCAAGCCCACGTCGTAGTTGAAAATCCCCCGAGCATGGAACAAAGGCACAGTAAACCCCAGAAACCGCTTCACCAACATCTGGACTTTGTATATGAGGGGATGTTGGTCGGAGCGCACTTGCTCGTACAGGTCGTTTTCACCGAATGCCAGCACGGGGACAAGATCCGCTCCGGTGCGAATCGCGAGCTTAATGAATCCCTTCCGCCTCTTGAGGACCAGACGCATGGTATGCGGCAGCGCGTCCAGCGACTCTCGGGCGCCTCCGACCACAATTGTGATGGCTCGTCCCATGCCTTCGCCGTCTGCGCCTCCTTTGGTGAGGAGATTTTCGCATGATTCCCGCGACACGCTCGCGACGCCCATGGCCATCGCATATTCTCTATAAAATGGTATACGGAAATTCGAGTCAAGCGTCAGTAAGGTGTTGGTGATCCCTGGGAAGAGCTTAGAGAATCCCAGAGCATCTGTGGCGAAGGCGGCGAATGCGCCGTGCGAGATGATCCCGTGCGGATGATATCCAAAGATGTATTTGCGTGTCGGTAGAAGTGGCTCGGACCGATGCAACTTTGCTGGGAAGTAGGCGGTGTAGAGCTTCCAGATGGGAAGCGAGCGCAGGAAGTCGCTGCGGCCCTTCAGCGTTCCCGAAGTTGGGGCGGTCGAGAAAAGGGTGATGTAAACGAGATAAGGGAACAGGAGGGGCCATGTCAAGGGAATGGCGCATGTGAAGAAAAAGAAGGCCAGAAAGAGCGCAATGGTCAACGTATGGCAGAGAACAACCAAGGTCTGAAGGCGACGCTCGAGGCCGATGTTTAGGGGGGCCCAGCGGATCCTTGAGTATTTATTAGGTACTGTATGCTGGAACAGACGACTGCGGATCAGGACTCACTCACCCTTGTCGTTTTCGGTCTTTTTTGTGAGATGCATTGGGTCCGGCGTTGTTTGCCGGTGGATGGGTATTCCGCGGCATTGTAGCTTATAGCGATCGAAATCTGTGGCCCTCCTTTTCGAATATCACCCCGAAGCTACTGTCGTGGTGGTGTTGCCGCCTCAGGAACATGTCCTTCTCGTCTTCCCTTCTCGTCGGATCGGTCTTCGTCCAAGCTTCCCACGTTGGGCGCGTTCGGACGGGTTGGGTCGCTGGGCCAGGCTATCTGTGGGCTAAGGATGGGTTGTAGACAGGGACATGCGACGGGTTGACCTGTGTCTTTGGCGGTTAGCCCGGAACGTGCAGATCCACGTAGGTGTGGCAGTGTGGGAATGGGGTTGCCTACTGCCTTGAATTCTGTGACGATTGTGTCATATGAGCCCAGCGGCCTTGGAGTTGGTTCGATGATATACAAGTAGCATAGCACTATGAACAGGGAGGGACTGTACTAGGGAAAGTACTGGAGGGGTTCGCGGCGCAAGGATCGCGACGGCAGCTGGGGCCCTGGTGGATGATGACGAATGTGGGGATCTGAGGCGCCAAGAAATGTTCCTGATACGGATGTGATAGCAGCTATCCATGTCATGTACTGTGAGTACTTGTATATACATCGTCCCTCCCAAGCACACCTTTTACGTGCCTTATAACAAACAGAAACCCCGACTCCTTAAAGACGTCAAAAGAAACAGCCAAAGTCTATCGCTATAGATGAAGAAAATGCAGAATCCGACACATTAACATATCGGTAGTACGCCATATCGCACGTCATCCCTAGGCTTTCACCATGAAGATCTAGACCCATTAGCTTCAAATCCGAATACCTTCTCATAATAATCCGAAAGGGTAATTACCTCATTCAAGGACTTGTCATCCATCAGCGCTCTCTTCTTCTGGGCGATGTGTCGGCCTCTGACAATCTGTCGACCCAGAGGGCGTCGTTCCCGCGAGGCCTTCACAACGGACACAGATGTACTGTCCGATTCCAGACCGGTGGACTCCTTTTCGGGGGCCGGTGTTTCGCTCGCAGACTTCTGGGACGCATCATTGTCCTCTTCTGCACGCTTTCTCTTCTTGTCCTTCTTGTCCTTCTTCTCTTTCTTTTCCTTTTTGTCTTTCTTCTCCTTCTTCTCTCGTCGCTTTTCCGATCGGGAACTCTGTTCGTCAGACGAAGAATCAGAAGAAGTCTTCTTCTTTTTCTTCTTTGACACTTTAGAAGCGTCATTTTCGGAGTTCCGGTTGCTGTCAGATGTCTCGACTGCAGCCCTGCTCTGCTGAACCGATTCTCTCTCAGGGAGCCTCTCAAGCTTTTCCTGGGCTAGTAATCCTCCGCTGACGAATCTGACCGCCTGCCACTTGAACGCCGCATATCGGGCCAGTTTAATATCATCCGCCTTGCGTTGGTCGGCCGCCAATTCAGCATCAGACTTGCCGTTAAGTCTGCCCAGTAGACCCTTAAAGGCGTCAAGACCGGTGGGTTCGTTGGGGTCGCGACCGGCCCGCGCTCCAAGACCAAGGGTGTCATCTTTCACCACCACCCGTATGTGACCAGCACTCGCGGCGGTGAACATATCCGCATGGGCGGCATCGCGTGCACCGAGAAAACTGCCAGGGGTCCATCCTTGAGAGCTGAGTATTTTGTGTCCGAAACCACTGGTTGACCGCGCCCAGTTCGTGTTATTCGGATCATGAGAGATCTTAGTTCTCCTTGAGAAAACAAAAGTGGGATTAGCCCTGGATTAATTCATGGGATTGGGGTCGGGGTGCGGCGCATACTTGCGAGGCGCTGCTAGACCCATTTGGGGCAGTTGATATTTTCAATATGGGGTGGTGTTTGCTCTGGGAAAAGCGACCGCATAAGAAACAAAAGAGGGTATAATCAAAGAGCGAAAGAGCAAAACACACCCGACGCACTGTAAACCGTCTATCCCGAAGGAAAGTGATGGAGGCGGGAAAAAAATCTAGGCCTGATAAGGCGGAGCGCTCCACTCACCGCCTTCCAATCACGGCTAATCCTTATCCTGATGTGGATGTGTATCTGCTCTGGGGAAGTTCATCGCACTCCAATATCACCATGCACGCCATCAATGGCTGAAATACCCTTCGCTGATAATGACTAGCCTACGGATCCTTTCTCGGGACCATCCCCACCGGACACTGGCTTTGGCTACCGATGATTGCGCCCTGATCTTTCAATACACCTCCTCCGAGTCGGGCGCGGGACACCAACGGCGTAATAACAATGACCCGCCACGGTGTTTAGTTGAATTCGTTAGCCTCTCGTCGGCGGAATTGAAGGGCTATCGGTCCCTAGGGATTGGATTCGGTACTCTCGGCTTGGTCACTCTGGATGAAGATGTCTTCCTTTGTGTGGTCACTGGCTCCTCACGCGCGGCAACCGTCCGCCCGGGTGAAACAGTTTCACGAATCGACAACGTGGACTTCTGTATGTTTCTTGATTCCTTTGTTTTGCCCTCAGCTGACATTTTTTAAGACTGTCTGAATCGTTCGGATTATGAGGATGGGCTGGAGTACGCGTGGGACTCGTCCTTTGCAGCGGAAGATAACAATAATGGCCCTGGGATGGAAGGGAAAGAGATGGTCACTGACCATCCGTTTCTGGCCCTGAAGAAGCTCCTCAGCGATGGTAGTTTCTACTACAGCCTTGATTTTAATCTCACGGACCGTCTGCAGGATCGGTAAGCTGGATCAGCTCTGTATACTTCTTCGACCAGGGCGACTAACCTGCAACCAGTTCGGACAAATCTGCGGCCTTCGACATCGAATCTCTCAAAGAAGACATGCTCTGGAACTCCTACATGATACACCCCCTCCTCCTATTCAGGAACCGCCTGTCTCCCCTGGAAAAGCAACGTCTTGATTCTTCGCAGATCCTGACCTGTGTCATCCGGGGATTTGCTAGCACCGTGACAGTCCCTGCCATTGTCCATGTCATACCTGAGGCGCCGGCGCATCATCCATCCTTACTCACCATAATATCTCGTCAATCCTCCCGACGCGCAGGGACCAGATTCAACTCTCGTGGCATCGATGACGACGGACATGTCGCGAATTTTGTGGAGACAGAGTTGATCCTATGGGTCCCTCCTGGCACGTCTTTCTCCTATGTCCAAATTCGTGGCTCGGTTCCTCTTTTCTGGGAGCAGGCCAGCGGCTTTATTCCTGGGCAACAGAAAATCGAAATCACCCGGTCAAGTGAGGCAACGCAGTATGCTTTCAACAAACATTTTGAACATCTAGAGCTTGAGTATGGTGCAATCCATGTGGTCAACCTCCTCAGTGAACTCAAGCCGGCGGAATCTGAGCTTTCTGCAAAGTTCCGGGAACAAATTCGGAAGAGCTCACTTGCCCAAAAAGCGGGATTCGACATGCTATCTGACCATGCCCTGTTGCGAGTGACCGAGTTTGACTTCCACGCAGAGGCCCGCGGCCCCCAGGGATACGGAGCTAGTAACCAAATCAAACATGAAATTTCACACTCGCTACATGGCTTTGCATATTTCTTGTCTGACGAGGACAGTGCAACCACTGTCGACGACAGCAGACGCCAGCCAAGAAGCTCCTCTGTTCTCCTCCAACAAGAAGGTGTATTCCGCACAAATTGTCTAGACTGCCTCGATAGAACAAATCTGGTGCAGACGATTATAAGTCTGATGGCGCTGGAGTCATTCTTGCATCAGAAAGGTGCGAGCCTGAGTTCTGCCGTTCAGGTAAGGCACTCGAGTCTTTGGGCGGATAATGGTGATGCTTTGTCCAAAATATATGCCGGCACAGGCGCCCTCAAGAGTTCGTTCACACGGCATGGGAAAATGTCTCTCGCTGGTGCTCTTGCAGATGCCCGCAAGACGGCCACAAGACTCTATGTCAACAATTTTACGGACAAAGCCCGTCAGAAAACAATAGATCTCTTGCTAGGGCGTCTGGCAGATCAAGTTCCTGTGTATCTGTTTGACCCAATCAACGACCTGGTGTCTGAGGAGTTGAGCCGACGAACAGCGGAATACTCTTTCACGAGAACAATCAAGATCTGGACGGGTACCTTCAATGTTAACGGCCGCCATCTGGGTGCTGACGTTGATCTAAGCCTATGGCTATGGCCGTCCCTCGACGAGCAAGATGATATCCCCGCCATCGTTGCTGTTGGGTTCCAGGAGATTGTACCCTTGAGCCCACAGCAAATCATGTCCACAGACCCTACTACTCGTAAAGTATGGGAAGTTGCAGTCAAGAACTGTTTGAACAACTACGCAGCGGCCAGAGGAACTGCGAAGTATATTCTCTTGCGCAGTGGGCAACTTGTAGGTACTGCTCTTATGATCTTTGTGAGAGAAGAGGCCTTGAACTATATAAAGAACGTTGAAGGAAGTGTCAAGAAGGTAGGCACCTACTTTCCAATAATAAATTCAGCTTGCCTAATGATTATAGACCGGACTTTCTGGAATGGCAGGCAACAAAGGTGGCTGTGCGATCCGCTTTGACTACTCCAGCACGCGGTTATGTTTTGTCACAGCACATCTTGCCGCGGGATTCGGGAATTACGAAGAAAGGAACAGGGATTATGAAACCATTTCCCATGGACTGAGATTCCAGAAGAACAGGTCAATTGCGGATCACGATGCTATCATCTGGCTTGGAGATTTCAATTATCGAATCGGGCGGGACAACCAAACTGTTCGGGATCTGGTGGCCCGAAAAGACTTCCAAAAGCTATATGACAACGATCAGGTATTTGCCTCGCCGCCGAAGAGTATACATATACTGACAGAGTACCCGTAGCTCAACCTAGGGATGCTTAAAGGTTGGACCTTTCAATTCTATACTGAAGGAACCATCACCTTCCCTCCGACGTACAAGTACGATGTTGGTAGGGATGAATATGACACATCGTACGACATAACCCTTCCTAACTTTGATGGAGATCAACTGACAACCCACAGAGAGAAGGCACGCATCCCTGCGTGGTGCGACAGAATCCTATGGAGAGGATCAGGCCTGCAGCAGACGAATTACCAAGCTGCCAATCTACGGTTTTCAGACCATCGTCCGGTCTGGGCGACGTTCTCGTGCAAAATCACTGTCATTGACGAGACCATGAAAAGCAAGCTCCGACAGCAACTATATGAGCAGAGGCAGAGGGATCCACGCAATGTAGTTGCCAGCACGAAGGACCTGATGGGATCTGAAACGGAAGATCTGATAATGCTTGAATCTATTGCACCCGGACTACCGCCTGCTAGTTCGGACAATCAGAAATGGTGGCTCGATAACGGTACGTTCTTCATTCTGCTGGATAACAATGTCTTGCCCACGGCATGCAAAGTCCGATATACTGACCATTTATGCAGGCATGCCAGTCAGATCAACCGTAAAGCCACCAGGCGACGACTACATTCTGAATGTTTTCGAGCAATCCAATCCCTTTCCTTCTCCCAAGGGATCCGACTGGGTCAACATACACGGCCATCAAGATGGGAACGGCCCGAGAGACCCAAAGAACGATGACAGCTCCCAACGACCCGCCCTACCCCCGCGGGTGAGAACGGCTGATCTCAAAGATCATGAGAGCTCCTCCAACGTCAACTCCAGCAGCCCCAAGAGTGCTGGATCCTCGCATCAGAACCACCCGAAAGACCAGAAGTCAGCACCGCCAATACCACGGAAGCCAGTCTCTCTTAGCATGGGACCGCAGCCCTCCCCGAGTACCCCGGGAAGGCTGGACCCTGGAGCGCCAGCAAGACGCGCCGAAACCCGTCCAGGTGATAGAAGCGGTGTTCATGGACTTGAAGGCATGGCAAATGTTTCCTTGACGGACCGTGCGACTCCCAAGTCGCAGTGGAGAAACCCAGCAGTGAATAAACACCAGGAGGGGAGTCTTCTGGACAGTCCCGTCGACATGCTCTCGCCGTCTCCAGCTGGTCCTGGAGACCTTCTTGACGGAGCTCTGGATGGGAAAGTTGACTGGAAGCCATTAATGCCCAATTAAGACCGGTCCCGTATCTTCCCGGAGTGTGGTCCGTTTGGTATGTCATTTGGCAGGAGTCCTGTCTCTATACTCCCTTCTGCCGTCTCCATTCCACTTCTACTGCATCATATTAGCCAGATCTGTCCCTTAGTGATGTACATGGTCTCTGGTCATCGTCTATCCTATGAAACATATTGAATATCAAGGAAACGTAAATTCCATTCAACACTCTATGGGTATATTAGCAAGCCACCCAACACCATCCAACATTGTCACGAAGTACATGCTAAGACAACCACAAGAATTCAAGACGCCCGATGGCCAAACCACCATGCTCCCATTTTCGACCAATACATGGGGGGGGGGAAATCAAACGACAAAGCAAAACGAAAACGAAGATGGGGAAACCGTAGTCTCCCCTGAAGCATGAGAAACCAATCCCGACCAAGCGAGAGGAAAAAGCCATGCTCCCCTATAGCAGACCATGAGGCGGAGTTCGCCTCAAACCGCTCCATGCAGCTCAAAAGTACCAACCCAAGTGACCTCACCAAGTCGTGGCTTCGCCAAATCTGCCGGCTATGTGGGACAGAAAGCCACCAGAGGTCGGAAAACTGACGTAGCCGCGTCTTCGCGGGACCAGGGGCCAGTATATAATTTGAGGCTTGATAACAGTTTGAGGTTGGCCGCATCACATGACACGGCAAACACTGCCGTGTTGGACTACTCTAGGCTTTTTTCCCACTTTTAAAGCCTTGTTCAGCCGCGCACGTTGACTGCTGCCCACCATCCACATAGCAAAAGCACCAGGATCTGGTTTAGGCTTGGGTTTCTTTGGGCCTAAATGAATAGTTAGCTTACGATACATACCAATCTGGGGAAAGGGGACAGATGGGGAAGTCGGAGGTCCGATTGTGGAAACATACCTGGCTTCTTTGCTTCAGGAGCGGGAGCCTCTGGGGCGGGCTCCGCAGGTGGTTCTGGCTCAGGATCCTTTGGCTTCTCGGGTATTGGCCACATGTGCATTGTTATAGTCCAGTCAGGTTCAATGACCGTTTCCCAAACCTGAGGAAGAATGATATCTCCGTTGGGCCCTATCAAATCGTAGTGGCCGTCGGCGACATGCGGGCCGAGGACCTCTATGTGAAGAAAAGCTTGTCGGATGAGTTCCTCCATGCCCTGTTATTGAGGATGGTTAGATATGGTCTGAAGATCTCAATAGGAAAAGAAGTTGCGGACTTACCTGCCAAGTACGACACAGATCAAAGGGGAAACTGAATTTTCTTCCAACAGCATCCTTAAACTTGATAGGCTTTGGCTTCTCCGGTGCCTTGGCTGCGTTCTTGACTTCTTCCAATTGTTTTTGCGCAGCTTCATTTGCTGCTTCCGTAGCCTTTGCTGCAGCCTCTGCAGCCGCGTCCTGTGCTGCCTTCTCAGCCTCCTCCTTTGCTTTGGCCGCTTCTTCCGCGGCCTTTTTCTCCGCTTCTTCTCTGGCACGGGCAGCAGCCTCCTCGGTGATTTTCTTCTCATGAGCGACCCGTGCTTCCTCTGCCGCTTTGGCTTCGGCCGCCTGCTTCAGCGCAAGCTCTCGTTCTTCCTCCCGTTTGTCCCTAGCCTCGCGCTCGAGCTTTTCGTCCAGAATCAACTTTTCCAACCGAGCCAATGCCTCGTCCTTTGCTGCATCTGCTGGCGGCGCCGCAGCAACAGCCAGGGGGCCCGCCAATTCCAATTGGCTTGGAGACGGCGCACGAGCATATGGGTTGTAATAGGGCGACATGGCCCCAGGAACCATGGAGAAGGGTTCTCTCGGGTTGTAAAAGGGCCCCGGTCCGTAAGGAACCATTTCATGCGACCCCAGGGGACCGTTAAAGGGCGTCGGGCTGTGAGAATGTAGGGGATGGGGTAGCGGATGCTGTTGATTATGGCCATCGCCTCTGGAGTGTGTTGATGATGGCGTATGGTGTGCGGTACGAATCTGATGAGGGTCGTGGGGAAAGTACGGTGGTACGGGACCAGGTGGCTGCTGCACTGGGCCGTATGGATATGCTGGATGTCCATATGGGTTCGACTGGCCAAATTGGTTGTGGGGTCCAACTCTTATAAGCTGATCCGTAGCGGGGTGGGTACCGTTCGGGTGTCCAAACGGTGCATGGGGAACACCTCCGTTGGGGTAAACGTAGGAGGGCACCGGGGAGGTGCTGTTGGCGTAACCCAGGCCTTGGCTGGCAGGCGGCCAGCCTCCCCTTCCATGGGGCATTCGGCCATAGAGATGTCCATACTCCTCCGCCGAATCCGCGCTCTCCGGGGATTCTGGGGACGGCGCTCGGCGCCTTCGAGAAGAATATTGCTCCCGGTCCGGAATGACGTTATGGTTCCTCATTGAATGGCGACGGGCCGCAGATGAGCCATGGATTGGGTTGCGGCTCCGGGTACGGTGAGAGGTTCTAGGCCGGGAGGCCGAGTCGGATGGTTTCAGTTCGTCAGGGTATGGTAATCCCGCCCATTCATCGTAGGGATCTCGATAATCGTGACTCCCGGTGGAAGGTGGGGAGACTTCAACCCCCGAAGAGTCCTCCTCGTCGGTAAAAGAGGAGTCCGAGTCGTGGTGACTAGGGCCGATTGTAATATTGAATCTGTTCGTTAGTTAGTCAGAAACTTCGGTCGTGTTCAAGGGAAGATACGGGTGACAAACGGCGGCATGAAGGAATCGCAGCTAGACTGGACGCTCGGCGCGCAATTCGTCAAAATTCACAAAAAAAAAAAAAAAAAACAAAACAAAACAAAACACCGGCTCACGGCCAGACGCGTTCGCAAATATGCTAATGGTATGGAATGTGATGACCAGCGGCGATCCTCAGAATAGGTCCCAGACGTTGATGTGTGTCTCCCTATGGATCATGATTCTCTGTTCTCACGGAGGGCCGCAAAACAGAGCGAGCGATGGATCGTGGGTCGAATCTTGACTGCGAGGGCGGAATGCAGGCTGGTCGGAGGCAAAATGCATCAGGGGGCGGCGGTCGAATTCGAAACGGTTCCCTCTGCAGAATATCCGATGAGATACAGAGGGAGAAGCGAAGGGGGAGGGGGAGTGAGGTGAGTAAAAAAGATGGAGGGGAAAGCGGGAGAGAAGACGAGACGGATGGTTGTTATCGAGGGCGGTGGATGTGCGAAAGAAGAAGAATGTGGGGAGGGGCAAGAACAACAAGAAAGATCTACGGAGGAGTATAACCAAAAGGACGTCAATGATTATATAGAAATGTCACGTCCGGCCTAACCGACCCGATTGTTGGGCTAAGAGGCGGACTTTGGGCACGGTATATTATTCTTATTGTTGTGTTGCTCTTTGTTATTCGGATGTCTTTCTTTTCTTTTCTTTTTCTTCTGTTGCTGTCAGGCAGAATGAAGTGGCAGGGGGTTTGGGTATCGGTTCCAGATCTAGACCTAATCTTCAAGTACCGCGCAGGTACCTCGTCCACTCAGAGTATCGGATGGGGGTACCCGGTGGTGACCTTGGCTGCCCGACTGCCCGTCATGAAAACCAACAACCATTTTCTGTTGCACAGCCATCTACATCATAGATATGACTCTTCTTCTGCTGCTCTTCTCCTTGTTCTTCGTTTCTTACTCTTGTCTTCTCCAGGGACCAGGTGAGCCATTCTGAAGCTGAGACTGGGTACCCGACAGAATCGGACCGAGCATAAAGTGAGTCACCAGCCGACCTGATACCCACGACCTCATCATACCGGTGCCCAATACGCGACAAACGCGAGATGATACGTCGGGATAACCTGATCTCTCTCTGGATCTCATACACACTCGGTCCAGACCTTCCAAATGCCTAGAAGAGATGTTGAATGAGCGACCATCAGATCTTCATTCAATCTATACAGTATTATGGTTATCTAGGTACGTACATAGTACTCCGGACTATGTACCTTACAATTTTGACTCTTCGCCGTTCCACATCGGACCCACAACTTCATAGATGGTCGGTCTCTCAACTTGCGTGCGACCAAATCAACTGCAAGAGAAAAAGGTAATGTCACGAGGGAAGCGACCACACGGTTCTTTTCGGTGGCAACATGCTTTGGTGCCGAGGAAAGGTTATTCGGTTCACAGGGTATAATTGCAAGGATGATTACAACGAGGCCCAACCGCAGCAACGATCCAAGAAAGACCATCATGGCGGAGACCGTGATTACACAAGTCCATCAACGAATCAAGTCTCATGAAGAACTTCCCATGAGGTCAAGAAGTTCTTTCGCAGCGATGAGTTCTCCTTGGGCAAACTCCCAATTTCGATGGTTCAACGAACGTTGTTCCACAATACTCCGAAGCTCCCCGATTGCGAATTCATGCAGCTTCTCAAACGACTCGTTCGAGACGGACACCGCCACCGGCTTCTGCGGAAGGTCGCTGGAACGCTTATTCTTCGAAAATGGTGATGTGGCCTAGCGTGGAACCAACCCAAGTCAGAGGTGTTTTCTTGAAATATGGATGGGAGACCAAGGAATCCCGTTTGGGACGTGAGGGCGACTTACCAGCGCGAGGCCGTACAGTCCTCTAAGATAGTGATCGCAAAGCTCGATACTTCGGCAAAAGTAACGTATTGACCGTTCGAGGAGTTGGGAGGATGTTTCGCCGTCGGAGGAACAAGCGCCGATGTACAAGACCTCACCTAAGCGAGCGTGGATCTGGAATGAATGTGAATCGCTTGGTCAACATGGAAGAAATCGAAATAACTCACGTTCCAAGCATTAGGCACAAGCAACAGGGCCTCTTCCAAGCAGAATACCGCCTGAGAAATCATGGATTCGGATAGATAGAGATCAGCGAGTTCGCACCAAGACTCCGAATCTGTAGGCACAGCCTTCAATAATTCGACCAGGGAGCTGATGGCCTCTGCGGGTTTAGACAAAGAACGTAAAAGCGAAATCCGGCGCTTGAGGATAGGCTATAGCTGCATTAGCGATATGATCAAACAGGAATTGACCCAAACCTACCAAGTTCATAGGGTTCTCGGCAAGCGCTTCGTCATATTTCCGCAGGCAGTCCTCCAGATCAGATTGTTTCCCGGCGATGGCCTCCTGGTATAAGCCACGAAGGCCCTGTATCCTCTCATTCGAAGCTCCGAATCTGTGCGTCAACTGATCAAGGCATCGTAAAGCTGATTGATCGTCACCGGTCTGAAGGCACGACAAGAAAAGCTGTTCCAACGTGTCGTATGTCTCAGGATTATCCGATCCACTCTTCCCACCAAGTATCACAGGAGCCTTCTGCGAGAAATGGAGTGTAGAAATAAGGTTGGAATGGTCCAGCGCATGAGGCTCGGGAGTAGCGGAAGCCATTTTTCTAGGGTTGTTGAACGTATGGTGTATGCCTGGCGAAGTCGACCGAGCGAAGCAAATGGGGGTAGGGTGTCCGGGTGTCCGAGGTCGTAAAAGTGATTCTGGCCTCAAAGTAGGGTTACCGCTGCACCATGAAAGAGACGATGGAGCTTCTATTTTTCAGGAATGCAGCAGAGATGAGTGAGGTCCCAATGGCAAAGCAGCTACGTAGTAACTAGCTGCGCGGCCCAGATGCGGAGGTTGCGGGCGCTTGTTCCCGTGACTGTCCCGGAGCCTGGAACAACCCCTCGGCGTCCCGACCATCTTATCACTATCTTCCGTTTGCTTCTCCGCACCGCTAATGCATTGAGCAAAACGACGACCGTCCCTCAGTACGCATGAGAAGGAGATTGGTATTTATTGCCAGCGGACGGTCAACTATTCTCGAAGATTCCGACTTATATCGAAAGGTGTCTCCGCGGGGTAGCAAACGATGTGAGTATCGCTTCATGCGGAGATATGTCTCTAATGCTGATCACGGCTCAGGTTTGAGAAATCTCTCTACGACCTTATTAAAGGTCTAAGAAACCACAAGGGAGCCGAGGAAGATTATATACAGGATAGCCTCCGAGAATGTAAGGCCGAAATCAAGTCGCAAGACATGGGTATGAAACGACAGCTCTCGATTCACCGGTTCGAGGCTCATCCGTTGCAGATAAGAAGGCCACGGCCTTGTTGAAGTTGATATATCTGGAGATGTTCGGGTATGATATGTCTTGGGCTTCGTTCTACGTGCTGGAAGTCATGTCGTCTACGAAATACCTACAGAAGCGATCGGGCTACCTAGCGGCTGTCCAGAGCTTCCGACCCGACACTGAAGTCTTGATGCTGGCTACGAATCTCTTGAAGAAGGTAACTGAACATCCTATTCTATTCTGTTACCTCACTAAATGTTCTAAAGGACTTAGTGTCCTCGAATATACCAAATATGTCGTTGCCCCTCATAACGCTGCCAAACATCATCACACCTTCACTCGCCATGTCTCTGCTTCCCGATGTTCTCTCTCGAATCTCTCACTCCCATGCCGCGGTCCGTAAGAAGGCAGTTGTGTGTCTATATCGATTATCTCTTGTCTATCCCGAATCTCTGAAGCTGGCATGGCCAAAATTAAAGGATCGTCTTATGGACGACGAAGAAGACGGGAGCGTCACGACAGCTGTCATAAATGTGGTGTGCGAGCTTGGATGGCGAAGGCCTCACGATTTTCTTCCTCTGGCACCAAGGTTTTTCGAGTTACTGGTGGATAGTGGGAACAACTGGATGGCCATTAAGATAATCAAGCTGGTATGGCTCACTTCCTCCATTCTGGTTCTCGCTCTGACAGAGACAGTTTGCAACTTTAACCCCTCTGGAACCGCGATTGATTCGAAAACTTCTACGCCCCCTGATGAACATAATTCAATCTACAACCGCCATGTCCTTGCTTTATGAATGTATCAATGGCATCATCCAAGGAGGGATCCTGGATGGTGACGGGGCTCTTGAAGAAAAGGACGAGATCGCCAGTTTATGTGTTGGAAAGCTCCGGGGGATGATAGTCACAGACTCTGATCCAAACTGTGAGTTTCTTCGTGGCTAAGACAGTACTCATTCTAATCCAGTCTCAGTGAAATATGTTGCTCTGTTGGCTTTCAACCGGATCGCGGTTTCGTACCCTTTTCTGGTGTCGGTACACCAGGACGTGATCATGGACTGTCTTGATGACCCCGACATTTCAATTCGGCTACAAGCTCTTGAACTTGCAGTCCGAATGGTCACAAGTGATACTCTGGAATCGATTGTGCATCGTTTACTATCCCAGCTTCAGTACACACGCCAAAACACAGACGGCAACCGCACAGACATTCATATGGCCGAGGCTCTGGAGGAAGAGGATCGAAGGCACTCGAATACCCCGTCTACCGTTCTACCATACAACTACCGGATCGAGGTCATTCACCGGATCCTGGACATTTGCTCCAACAACAACTACTCGGAGTTGCCTGATTTTGAATGGTATGTGGACGTTTTAGTACAGCTGGTGAAGCTGCTTCCTTCGGATGGTGCAGAATTACCAAGCAACGGCGTTGCATATCATCAGGCGAATAACCAGCGAGGGAGCATAGCCTCCCGAGTCGGATCGGAGCTGCGCAATGTAGCGGTTCGTGTCAGGGACGTTCGAATGGAGGCAACCAGGGCTGCCGAATCGCTCATTGTAAACGAGAACACAGAAGCTATATGCCCTGCCATGTCTGGTTCGAATGACAGTCTTTTAGGACCTGTCGCATGGATTGTGGGTGAATACGCAGAGTATCTCTTATCTCCCGGGCAAACACTTCAGTCATTGATGGATCTTTCACGCATGAATTTATCTGCAAGCACAACGTCGCTCTGTCTGCAAGCATTGCCCAAAGTCTTGGTGGAACTCATCACTGGGAAGGGACAGGGGTGGGATACACAGCGGAAGGGTGAAATCTCGCTTTTGTTGGCACGCATTATCGAAGTGCTGGAAACGTTGGCATCGAATCCTGATCTAGATGTACAGGAGAGGGCGACTGAATTCTTGGAAGTCATGCGACTGGCAGCAGACGCGATCCAGTCGCACGTACATGAAATGGATCAGATGCCACTCCTCCTTACCTCTGCGCTACCAAGCCTGTTCTACGGTCTTGAACTGAACCCGGTGTCCGTGAGCGCCCAGAAAAAGGTGCCCTTGCCCGAGCAGATCACCCTCGATGACCAGTTCAACGAGAATCTTCGAGAACTGTTCAGGGATCAAGATAACACTGCGTTGGTGCTGGACGCCCAGGTGCGCTTGCAAGACTTCTATTACATCCGAGAGCCATCACTCTCCAGCAAACCGATCGAATCGATCCAGCTCGATATCCAACCGGACTCCTACCAGAACCTAGCGGATAATTTCATGGATGACGGAGCGGCTGGGGCGAGACGAAAGGCTGTGCGCAAAGAACGCAATCGAGAAGACCCTTTTTACATTGGGACAGGGGAGGACTCCTCGGGCACGTCGACGCCTTTCCATCAAGCTTTCACTGCCGCCAATGGGTCCGAACTGGACATCGACTCCATCCCCATCATCGACCTCAAATTGAACGACGTCGAAAGCTATCGCAAGCCTTCACTGGCGCCCCATGAGAACCGTAAGCACGGGAAGTCCCGTCCCAAACGATACAATATCATCGCCGATGAGGTGATCGGCCAGGACGAGACGGGCAGTTTGGAGACGTCGGGTGGGCCTAGTAAATCGAAAAAATCGCTCCTTGAGGTGGACTCGAGTGGCTTAGGGCGCCTTTCTTTGCGAGAAGAGGCGGATTCTTCACCAGGGACTGGGGCCTTCCCCAGTGCAGCCGCGCATGACACGGAGATGGCACTAGCGATGCAAGAAGTCGAGAGGGCGCGACTTGAGATGCAAAGAGCTTCCGAACGAGTCCAAGCGAAGGATATCCCCGCAGAGGGGACATTGGTGAAAAAGAAGCGGAAGGTCAAGAAAGCGAAAGGTGACGAAGCGCGACCGACGGACCCACAAAACCCCGAGGTTTTATCGAAGAAGAAGAGGACCAGGAAGCCGGCAACGTCATAGCTACGATCTGGACAATTTCGCATTCTTCACGACCTGACGGACATTTATCCGCTATTTTGCTGTAAATTATGTATGACATCGTGTTTGACGATCCATAGAATCTTCGGCTGGACAGCAAATCGATTGGGTTTGGATATGGGGATTGATGCGATCGCAACTCCACCGTCCAAGTTCTGCCTAGGTAGCCCGATTACGGCGTAGTGTAAGAAGAATATGAGAGATCGATAGATATGGGGGACAGATGATAGAGTCGGACGTGGGCCAAATTCATCCAGAGGTATAGTATTGGAAGGATTCCGAGTTGCTTGTAGAGGACCGCTAATATACAATTCACAAATTCATACGGAAGAGCGCTTGAACATGCCGACAACCGCTGACCAGAGTTCTGGGACGATTCTGAGGAGCTCGAAGGCAAGGCCACCACAGACGACAAAGGCGAGGAGAACTGCGGAGTTTCAGCAAGCTGTCTGTCTATGCCGACAGGGTCATGCAGACGTACCAACCCAGCCGATCGATACTGGGGATTTCTGTTGTTGCTTCTGTTTCACGACGGCTTTCCCTTTTCCGCGCTTTGCGGCCTCGGTTTTGGCAAATTTCTCGTTTGCCTTTCGCTGTTGAGGTGTTTGGGCCTTGGGATGGGTCAGCGTCGCGAGGATACTAAGTCAGGGAGCTTCGTGCAACGGGCCTTGCGTACCATGGTGTCTGCTGTTTTGGGTAATCAATGTCAAGAATTGAGTGATTGGCGCTACCGACCGTGAGAAGAACAAGAATGCGCACGATTCATTAGAGCCGGTTGGAAGGCTCTTGAGCACGAGGAGAGGGAGTTGTTAAAGAATATGGCGGGTATGCGTCGCAGAAACAGGCCACGTTGCGACGTCAACTACTAGTCTCATCCCAAGTGCGGCCACTACATATTGTCAGATTGATTCGGAATAATGTCATTCTCGAGGAAGTTTACATGGAAAGTAAGATTATTACTATTTGTGAATGATGTTTTCTGGATAGAATCAGTTGAAAAGGCCCCAGGAAGGAGACGATCAACGCAGTTCACTGCATACAGGTACTTGTACTCCGTAACTATCTGCTGCGCGACAATATGCTGACTAACCTAATGTTCTCTTCAATGCACTCCTCCCGAACTACGGAGTACCTAAAGTATTCTTGCCAAAGGCTATTCCTCTGCCTTTAGAGACCGAAAAGCCGCGGCCGAATCCAGACCGGGTTTAGCGGGGGATGTTACAGTGGATCCCGCTCTCCCGCCAATCAGACGCGCTCTCCCAGCCCTAGTCGAACCGGCATGTCATGTGACGCACAATCGCCGCCCCGTCTTCCAATTTTCCGGTCACCGCACATCAAAGTCCTTTTTCCCCAACCGACGACAACCCGTACACAGTCTAACCACGACACCCCTTGAGGAGGCAACTTCAAGATGACTGTTCGCAACCACGGTGCGTGACCTTTTTCGACCCTGTTGTTCGACCAATTTCTGTCCGCCGACGCCTCGAATGCTGACGAGATGTTTTCTCTATAGGCCTCGCCTCTTCCCGGAGCAAGTCTCGCAAGGCTCACTTCTCTGCGCCCAGCAGTGAGCGCCGGGTCCGCATGTCCGCGACGCTCTCCAAGGAGCTCAGAGAGAAGTTCAACGTAAGTCCGCTGATCGGTTCGAATGCGATGTTCAATCTGGATTTGGCCCACTCGGGATTGGGGTTGGGGTTGAGGGGAGAATCAGATGCAGATATCAAGACACAAGTGACGACAGGACGGTTTACACTAACACGACGGGATACAATAGGTCCGCTCTATCCCCATCCGTGTCGGAGATGAAGTCGTCGTGAACCGCGGAGGACTCAAGGGCCGTGAGGGCCGTGTCAAGAGCGTCTACCGCCGTCGCTACGTCGTCCACATTGACCGTGTCGTGCGCGAGAAGTCCAACGGCCAGAGCGTTCCCCTCGGTGTCGCCGCCTCCAACCTTGTCATCACCAAGCTCCACCTCGACAAGGACCGCGAAGAGATCCTTGCGCGCATCGCTAAGGGACGTGAGGCTGCCAAGTCGGCTTAAGGGATATCTTGGGTGTAGGGTTTAGGTTCATATTGCAATGGCGGTTTTAACGGCGCTGGTGTATTAAAGGGCTCCTACGAGAAGGACGTCCGATCTACCATTCTCAGGACCAACGTTTCTGAAACCAGGTGCATTACGATCAATGAAAAGTTCAAAGATATCCATCTTTCTATCCGGAGTTCGGGCTCCTCGAGAGATCTCTTCTCTGGTCCAATTGATGTTGCCCAGGCCATAGCGAGCGCTACCTCTTGCGTCAGTCCAATGAAGCGTACCGAGTCTATTGACATGATAGAGATTGAAGGCGACAGTCAATCTGGCCATAGGGAAACTGCAGTAACAACTCGCTCCATGCACCTTGATGAACACGGTTTAGTGCCAAATGTGATATTGTCAGACAGAGATACCGTGGAGGCATGCGGCTGGTGGTATCTCACCGCAATCGGTGCCATTTCGACCTTTCGAGATGGGCAAGAACCTTTGGCGTCAGTGGGAAGTAGACGTAATAAGTAGGTAATATATCCGTTAGCCCCTATGCCATCCGACAGTATACTGCTATTTTCGGTAAATCCAGACAAGCAGCCAGGCCCTGGACTTAGATCTGAGGCATGGTCGAGGCGCCCATGGATCTATCGTCAAAGCCGTCGCCATCGCTGTCGAGTCAAAGATGTTCACTCAGAGTGAACAAAGGCACCTACGCCCATTCTGACCAAGCCTCTGGCAATGCGGTCGTGCCCTGGGGGCTGGTCTAGAGTATATATATCTTTCGGGCAACGGCCTCCTATCAATTCGTGGAATATAAGCATGGAAGAACTGGGTACCACTTGGTCCTGGCCTCAGTGGCTGGGAAAAGAAGACTCACCGACACATGAAGATCCGACCTAGCAATAGCTCTGGCCTAGAGCTCCAGATATAGAGTCCGTGGTCATCCGATAGCGACGACAACGGCTATACCAGGGGATCTAAACGGATGATCGGCTGTGTAGGTGATCCTCTCGAAGAGTTGCAATGATTGTGCTGAAAGACTTGAGGTTATATTATGCACGGGAAGTGCAAGAAACAACATGTTAAAGTTCACTATCATAGGGACCTAGAGATGCAAGGAGAATGTCAGATGCCTGTCAGGCTCATTCAACGGAACCAAGAGAATCTAATCGATGCCTATCAGCGTCGACATGCGCAAGCGAATCTGCGATATCTCTCCAGCTTGTAAACACCGCCCCCATCAGGACCTCCAGTATATAAGAACCGTCCCCTTGCTGTTCTAACCCTCCTCTCTCCCGACTTCTTCACCCCCTATCCCCCAAACAATCTACACCCTTCCGGCCACTGCCGTCGTTTCATCTGCCACAATAAGCTGCGTTAGCTCTTATACAAATAGATTAATTGAAATTAGCCAGGCTAGGAGCCTAAGGCGATAGTTTGGACGTGTGTTTTATGTGATAATCCTACTGCAGCTCTAAGCTTTATTGATGGAACGCCATTGCTGCTTCTTTTAATAAGCATCGATAGTTAATATTAATTAGACGATGCAATGCAGAAAAAAGTACAAACTGCAGGCATGCTTCTTTGCCTTTATCCCTTTTCAGCTTCACGGGCATACATAGAAATCAGAAACAATCTTCATAGCATGTGCTCCGGAGTTTCATGTGGCTTCAGCCGTAATAAAGCCTATGTAGTTTTTCAATACTGTTGGCTAATTCAAGAGGTGGGAGAAAGGGTCCTTGACTCCCCTCCTGAATGCAAGTAGCAACGAGAATTCCATCTGTGGACCATATCCGCTGTACAACCAGTCCTCCCTCATTTCCTGCCCATGGAGACTCCATTTCTGTGAGCATTCAGTCATCTAATCGGACCGCCTGTGGGTGATGTAGGTATATGGAATGGTTGGGGCTGGCCATCACTTCGATTTCTTCGGTCTTTGGTTTCGCTCTTCCTGATCTGTAGGTGGTGGAGAAGGGTAAGGCAATAACCACAGGGTTCCAATGAAATAGGTGTCTGTTAAGTATGTGAGTGCCAATATATGTGCGTTGGAACCACCAGAGTTAGATATGGTTCCCCTTGATCGTACGAAACATCTATATCTTTTGCCTGATGGACAAAGCAAGTCATCTACTTAGTGATTCAAAGCCAGGAGTCTCGTAAGCAATTGCAGCATCACATTTCAAAGGATATATCCGACAATACCTACCAATGTCACTGTTCACAATTCGAGATTCAAACAGCCCGTTCCCAGTACCTTCTCCTCTGATTACCGCAGGATCTTGCGGCACTGAAACATCGGGTTTCGATATGGGGTGCTCTAGGACCTTTTATTCCATGCTGCTGTGGTTATCAACAAAGCTCACAGCTGCTGTGAATGTCTGATGGTTTCTTTGTTTGGCTTTCACCATACAAGTCACCAATCTATCACCATCATTGACATGATCAACATGGTAATAAATGGGTGTCTCTGCTGTCGCTGCGATGAGAAAATGGCAATGCATACTGTGCATGTTGACAGTAGAGGGAACAGTGAGCATGGCTGCAGAGAGGGACTGGGCGATGAGAGTCCCTCCGTATACTCCACGGGATCCAGAGGGATGCCATAGAGGATGGGTGTTGGTGAAGACGACCTGTCAGGCAGTCTGTGGAGACCTGGTTCCATTTATTTTTTTTTCTAGAGTTAGTACACCAGGACATATTAGCTGCTACACCTACTTGGCCATCGTTGCTGGGCACAGGAGTCAGTTCAAACACATTCTCAATCGTTGCCTTGCATTCGTCTAGTGGTGGGGTTGGAAAGAGAGTAGTATGTGTCTTGGTCATCTTCAAAGCGTATGCAATCAACAACAATCGATCTATTAAAAGTATAGGGTACAGATATGGTTGGCAGAATTCGTATGAATGTCTGGACCTCTTTGAATGATCATTGATAGTTGTCATCCTGTCTTGCAGGGACATTGGCGCAAAGCGCCAACCAATTATAAACTAGTTAATGCAATTAACCACCGAACCCCTCAGGCAACTTTGAAACACAGTGTATATATTTATGGCGTTGTCCTCCGTTCTTCTGAATTGTACCTGATAAAATATATTGTAAAAGATTGGTAATATAGTGGCCTTTTAGTCCAATGGTCGACCTGCAGCCCTAGGTGCAGGCCTAACAAAGAATTAGATATTTTAAAATATTTAAATTTAGAATTAGCCGTCTCTAGTAAGCAGCCCCACCCCGCCTCGGGGGGGTTGGTCTGCTTCACCTCAACGCAAAAAAACAGCTATACTTCTAATTCTACTCCACCACAAAGATAAATTTTAATTTTAAATATATAGCCTATATTTATATAACTTAAGAAATGCTATATGTCTTAAAAAATATAATTTATTTATATAAATAGAGTAATATAGCTCTTTTTAATAGTATTTTAAAAATATATTAAAATAAAAATATAAATATATTTTAATGTTTATTTATAAAAAAGAAATATAGTACTATAAATAATAAATTCTATTTTATTAGAGAAACTAGTTAGAAACTCTATAAGTTTCTTTATTTCTATAATTATTAAGTGGAGTGGGTTAACCTGACTGTTGTACCTCACTATACCCTGACTATAACCGGCTAGGTCAGGTTAAAGTATAAAGAACCTAATAATTAGACTAGTATAGTTAGGTTAAAGATAAAGATTTTATTTTATTAGATTAACTAGCCGGTAAAAAAAAATTAATCTAATAAGATTACTAACTGTAGATTAAATAGTAATTGTCAGACAGTAGGGGTGTTTGCCTCAGGCAGCCATTTAGTCAGCAGATTCAGGCACCTATCTCAGGCAGCCATTATTACCTAGGCAACCACCAGATTAATTCTATTAATTTCCATTGTTTTGATCTGCATTATTCTAACCTATTCTTTCTAATTTAATTATGTTATCTGCTTGCGTTATCTTCTAGTATTCCTACATTATTTCTAATTTTAATTATTAATTACCTACTTTTAGAAGACTCTATGTCGCCGTTCCTAATTATGTATGTAACCTACCGGTAGTACGGAGATATGTTATACCGAACCGGGCGTTAATAGTCGCTACTACACATCGTACATCCGGCCTATAACCGCTATTTCTAACACTCTGCTTTACTCCAATATAATAATCTTACTTTACTATATTAAAACGTGCTATAAACTGGTAGTATATCTATATTTGTTCTAGAGGGTATTTCTCCTAGATTTATAACCGTTCTTTAGTATTCTTTATATTTTAATAACCGCTGTTAAATACTTAGATACTCTAAGATACTTTTAGCGATTTTCTATTACTTTATAATCGCGCCGACTAACTGACTATCTAACCTATTTACGTTTCTAAGTAGTATTTCTAATACTTTACTATATCTTCCGCTTTTAATAGATAATTTATTATCTAGTCTAACTTACGTTATTTAAAATTATATTATTTTAAATTACGTTACTCTAGATCGCGTTATTTTCTAATTATACTATTACTAGAGTTTAGCCCTAACTACACTTTCTTCTTTACTAAACTCTATATTTAATCTCTATCTTTATCTTTTTTTCTTTCTTCTATCTCTACTGCTCTATATTTCTTTTATTTTATTTATCTTATTCTCTTATTCTAAGTCTTTTAATCCTTCTATCTTATATTCTACTATTATACTAATAGTTGCTTATACTTAACTAATAACCGGTTAGATCTTATATCTTACTAAGCTTATTTATTAAATCAGCGTTTTTTATAATTAATTTAAGAGCCTACTTACTTGATAGTTCGATACTAAGACTATCTGTTTTATTTAATATTTTTAGTTTACTAAATTTTAATCTATATTATTAGGCAATTATCTCTATCCGCCTAACTAGAATATTAACTATTGAATACTATACTACGCCACGTAAAAATTCCTATATTTTATTTATTCACGATTACATATGCAGCAATACTGACTACTAGTTCGAAATGTATTTAGATAATAAACTACTATCTAATATTTGCTAGATAGAATAT